TTAGTTGTATCTACCTACATACATTATGATATTTTCGAAATAGAACTTTTAAATTCATGTTTTAATAGGTAATTACTCAAGTGAGCTACACTGCAGTGAGCAGTTAAATATATGACCAAATAAGAATTGTCTGTTCACCGTTCCTTTCCTGATAAAATTGAGAGCAGCAAAGTTTAAAAAAAGTTAGGCTGAACATGCACCCCACACGTGGTATCAGGAGTTTTGCATATCACCCAGGATAGTCAAATGGAGGACAAAGCCACATTGCTTTAGATCATGGAGTACAAAACATATTTCTAATCCCTCTGTGTCTGTGTAGTCCCCCAAAGGTAGCGGATGACGCAAAATGAAGAAGCACGAGACGCACAGTCAAAGTAGACTGCTATAATGCCATGCTCCAAATAATTCAGAATGAAAATAGGCCTTTCCGCAGGGAGAGTGCATTTCAAAAGAAACTGGGAATAAAATCTCAAAGAATAAACCCTTTTTTTAGCTCTACGATCTCCTCTGCAATGCAATATAAGTAGGTACCTACTGTGAAGTAGACCTAGGGCAGAGCTGGGCAGTATTCGATTTTGTAAATACTTTTTAGTATTCAAATACTTTGTAATGAAATACTTTTATGGAAGCAGTAATTGTATTTGTAACTCAAATACTTTCACAAATATTTAGTATTCGAATACTTCGCAAGGTATTTGAATACTTTGAAAAGTTTTTACCAAAAATCGACTACACCAAAATTTCTCGGGAAAATACTTTTTCTTATTAATTTTGGGGCGTAGAATTCGAAACAATTCGTACTTTTTCGATTAGACTTCTCAATCAAAAGTTTTAGACTAGAAACCAATTTCGAAAGAAAATTCAAAGGGCTGTAACTTTTAAACTAGTAGCCCAATCTTGGAACTGTTTGAAATTATGGATTCTACAGGCCACATTCTATAAGAAAATTTTTTTCCGGGTCGATCTGAGACAATTTTTTTTGGGGCCTCAAAAAAAGGCAGTGTATAACCTTCCTTTTTTACCAAAAATCGACTGCACCAAAATTTCTCGGGAAAACACTTTTTCTTATTAATTTTGGTGCGTAGAATCCAAAAGAATTCGTACTTTTTCGATTAGACTTCTCAATCAAAAGTTATAGACTAGAAACCAATTTCGAAAGAAAATTCAAAGGGCTGTAACTTTTAAACTAGTAGCCCAATCTTGGAACTGTTTGAAATTATGGATTCTACAGGCCACATTCTATAAGAAAATTTTTTTTCCGGGTCGATCTGAGACAATTTTTTTTTCGGGCCTCAAAAAAAGGCAGTGTATAACCTTCCTTTTTTACCAAAAATCGACTGCACCAAAATTTCTCGGGAAAACACTTTTTCTTATTAATTTTGGGGCGCAGAATCCAAAACGATTCGTACTTTTTCGATTAGACTTCTCAATCAAAAGTTATGACTAGAAACCAATTTCGAAAGAAAATTCAAAGGGCTGTAACTTTTGAACTAGTAGCCCAATCTTGGAACTGTTTGAAATTATGGATTCTACAGGCCACATTCTATAAGAAAATTTTTTTCCGGGTCGATCTGAGACAATTTTTTTTTCGGGCCTCAAAAAAAGGCAGTGTATAACCTTCCTTTTTTACCAAAAATCGACTACACCAAAATTTCTCGGGAAAACACTTTTTCTAATTAATTTTGGTGCGTAGAATCCAAAACAATTCGTACTTTTTCGATCAGACTTCTCAATCAAAAGTTATAGACTAGAAACCAATTTTGAAAGAAAATTCAAAGGGCTGTAACTTTTGAACTAGTAGCTCAATCTTGGAACTGTTTGAAATTATGGATTCTACAGGCCCCATTCTATAAGAACATTTTTTTCCGGGTCGATCTGAGACAATTTTTTTTTCGCGCCTCAAAAAAAGGCAGTGTATAACCTTCCTTTTTTACCAAAAATCGACTACACCAAAATTTATCGCGAAAGCACTTTTTCTTATTAATTTTGGGGCGTAGAATCCAAAACAATTCGTACTTTTTCGATTAGACTTCTCAATCAAAAGTTATAGACTACGAACCAATTTCGAAAGAAAATTCAAAGGGCTGTAACTTTTGAACTAGTAGCCTAATCTTGGAACTGTATGGATTCTACAGGCCCCATTCTATAAGAAAATTTTTTTTTCGGGTCGATCTGAGACAATTTTTTTTTCGGGCCTCAAAAAAAGGCAGTGTGTATATCCTTCGTTTTTTACCAAAAATCGACTACACCAAAATTTATTCAAATATTTGAGAACAATTTAGAAATGTTTAGAGAAAATTTCCATTGTCACAAAATCAAATATAAAAATCCGATACAACTGAATACCGAACGATCCTGGAGTGAAACTTTTTGACTCGATAGTCTACGTAATTTAAAAACAATAGGGACCTTTCTTATATCCTTAAGACCATGTGTACCAATTTTCAAAGCGATCGCACGTTTCTAAACAAACTATCATGCACACGGACAAACGGATGGTCAAAAATGGATCTGTTCCAAAATCGCTAGGATCAATTTAAATTTGTATATAACAATAGAGATATAAAAAAAGCTAACCTCATGCAAAGTATAATTTGATTTTTTAAGTAGTATTAAGACTTTTATCTAGTATAATATTTTAAATTTTTAATGTATTTGAGTGGCAAGTATTTGAATACTTTTTACTGTATTCGAATACTTTTTATAGTATTCGAATACCTTTGATTATATTAGAATACTTTTGCAAATATTCGAATACATTCTAAAGTATTTGAATACCTACTTATTTTTTAAAGTATTTGAATACTTTTCAATGTATCTGTATCTAGTACTCGCTTGTGCTGGACGTAAAAGTATTTAGTATTCAAATACCTTTGATATGTGTAAAGTATTTACTATTTAGTATTCACATACTTTTTGAAAGTATTCTGCCCAGCTCTGACCTAGGGTAGAGTAAATTATTTATACTTAGACAAAGAGTAAATTATTTACTCTATTATCTATAGCTAGGAATAATATAAAATACCCATAGGTATAAAATGTAACGTAAGTAACTTTTACCCAAAATCGCTCTGAAACCTTCATTTTCATGCCTACTTTCTGTTAGGAAATTTAAGTTTCCACGACAGAAACCCTGAAATCATTATTACATGATATCAGGGTGGCGTCATCAGCATAAAGAATGCAATCCATGTGCTTGGGCAACACCATGGGCATATAGTTTATATAAATTAGAATTAACAGGGGCCCGAGTATAGACCCCTGTGGAACTTCCCGTGTTACAGGTAATGTAGAAGTCTGATTCATGTGCACACACTGGAACCTATTGATTAAATATGATGAAAGTGGTAAACGTATTTTAATTTACGAACTAGTTAATAGTTTGTGGTCGACACAATCGAATGCCTTAAAGAAATCAATAAAAGCCGCTACCAAATGCTGGCCTCTTTCAAAACATTCGTAAGCATTATTAAAGAAGGTAATAATTGCATCAGAAGTTCCACGTCCTTTGCCTTTCATAAATCCAAACTGTTTGCGGTAAAATAGAGCATTGTTTTCGAAACAGTGGTTCATTTGCTTATATAGGATTCTTTCTAATAGGAAGAATAGAAAGTCGACGGTAGTTGTTCAGATTGTTGGTATCGTCACCTTTTTTGAAAAGGGACAATATACTACTGCTACTTTAAAACAGTCAGGAAAAATTCCGGTTGATATAGCAAGATTCACTAATATGATTAGTCTTACAAACACATCAATGTTACGCTTAATTACTTGACTATTGAAACAAAAAAAATCTTTCGTGTTGCTGTTTCGCAAACTGGAGTTGGTATCACGTACATTATTGCGGGTGAGAGGGCAGCCAAGTAATTCAAGGTTTTCGCGAACAACCTTAATAGGTGACAGTTGGTTAAAATTGGTAACATCCTTGTCCGGGTTGTCATTGTTCAAAAACTAAGCTCACATTTACTTGAATTTATGGATAGACCAATTTTAGCGTATTCATGTATAATATTATTTTTTCAAAGTCAGATAATAAAGTGTTTGAGTCTCCTCCTAGTGTTCCATCGTCCAAAAACCAAATATTAAGGTCAGATTCAACGGAGTTGATTATTTCCTGAATTACTAGACTAAATAATAATGGGCCGCACGGATCTCCTTGTTGTGTAGGTACCTACTTAACTCTGAATGGATAATGTAGTGTCCAAAAGAAAGATTAGATGGAGTTGCGTAACATTGAAACAAAAGGACGATTTTATTATACTATTGAAAGTATCTGAACACGATCCACTGAGTTAGAGGCATTTCTGAAATCGATCTTCAGGAGTACTTTAGTTTGATTTTGAGTTTAAATGGATGAAAGATCTAACTGAATGTACTGATTAATCCCTATTTGAGTAGGTTGTAAGAATTCAGCAACTGATTGATAGCAGGTATTTTGGCACATAATCTTCTGAGCGTCATTCCTATTGTAATTGGTCTTAAACCGCCTCCTTTTTTATTAAGGGCACATAGGTTTGCTCCATTGGCTGAATTTGCTTTTCCAAGAAGCATAAGCTTGATAAGGTCGTGCCTTTTCACGTAAGTATACGTAGTCGGCTAGGGCGTTACCATTCGAATCAGACGGAGTGAGTCTAGTCCTGAAGCAGAGTCAAGTGCGAACAACTTGATGGCTGAAGTTACTTCCTCAACATTGATTTGGTGAGCAAGGGATTGGTCGTCCAAAGATACAGTTGGTTTTGTTTCGTTTTGGGTTGCTGAAGGATGCTTGTGCAACAAAATTTTATGAATTTCGGATAATGAAAAATTAAGACAGCATTTAAACCCTTATTTGTTAACGACACATTCGAATAATTGATTTTCGAATAATCGCTTTTTGAAGAAGTAGGTATGTAGGTAGCTCTATATTAACCATACTATGGAAACACATTCACGTTATTTCATAGTATAGTATCAACAATGGTTATGCCTCACATGGTTAGTTATAGGGAGAAACAAAGAACTCGTTTTATGAGTATATTTATTCCTAATTGCATCTTAAAAGTTATAAGTGCATTTTGCTCAAAGCTACATCCAATTTTCCACTTCAAGCTCAATTTGTGGCATACAAATCGATATGTTTCACGATGTATTTCCTCAGTTCAGCGTTGTTAATATGTGAGTATACACCAGGATATCTCGCATCCGCACATCCGCGTCCCCAAGAAACAACACCAATTTGGGCATCTCCTGAGACGAGTGGACCTCCTGAATCTCCCTAAGAAAAGTAAACGTTTTTGATTGCATAAATTGACAAAATTGTTACTATTACCTGGCAAGAATCTTTACCGGCAGCCTTGAAACAGATCATTCTGTCGGTGATTTTACCGGGATATACTTCTCCACATGCATCTCTATCTTCTTCGTGGACTTTGGCAACCTGCAGTTGTTGAGGATACGGACCATCCATGTAGAGAGCACCCCAACCAGTTACAAAAGCATGTCTACCTCCCTCTGGGGTAAGGGATGGAACCAACTTTATAATCTGAGCCTTGGACGACAGTTCAATGTTTCCAGACAGTTTTAGAATTGAAAGATCGTAATCGGTGGTAAATGCATCGTAACTGGGATGAACGTATTTTTCGCCAACTTTGAGTACAAAACCACCTTTCTCCATTATGCTGCTACCATACCGGATGCTTAGAAAGTAGACACCGTAGCTAAAACGTTTAAGATACTACTAAAAAGTAACAAGTAGCAACTTACTCAGCCGTGCAATGAGCAGCAGTCAAAATGAGATTACGAGCAATAATAGAGCCGCCACAAGTGTGGGTGTCTAGGTATTGAAGCGAAATTTGATGCGGATAATCTTCAATTTGCGTATCCTCGCCGCCAACAATTCTTCCATCGAGCTGAGGAACTCCCGCACGATTCCTCGGGGTAGCTTCTGTGTTTCAAGTGTTATTTGATTCTTAATTAAAACGATTTTTTTGCTTACCAACGGCAATAGCGGCGAGCGCTGAAATCAGTACAATCCTGAACATGTTGCTGCTAAAAGGTGAGGATGATGGTTTTATATTTTGCTTTTATACTGTTCTCGCGTACCTACGCCTTGGAGTGCCTAGATTAGATCTATTTCGTATACGGTTCTTATTGGTCATTCCATCGCCACGTTTCATGATGAAACGTAGAATTTGAGTACATTTATCTAAAAGGCTTCTGTTTATCAAATTAATTAATGACGTTCATTGTTAGTTTTATAACAAATTTTTGGTAAAATGTTCTCTCTTTAACCGGTTCCACGGAGATTCTTTATATTTAACCGTTATTGTCTGGCCGCTATATGATCTGACGCAAATGCACCCTCTATGAGTTCAATGAGCGAAAATAACGCACACAACGCGCTATGGTCGCTAAATGACCAAACACCAAAATTATAAATATTTTTACGTGTATGGTAGTTAACTTATGACCATTTTGGAAGCGACCACAACAGGTTTTGTTCATTTGAAGAATGACCATAATGAGAGGCCGTGAAGTAGGCAGGACATGGAAAGCGCAAACGATGGTTTTAGGTTTAATCGTATGTGCCCTGTTTGTGCTTCGTTTGTGCTCGTTTGTGCCGTATAAGAAGTATCAGCAAAACTAACTATACAAAAATTATGGGTAATTCAAAATTTTCAGCTGACCACGCACAAAATTAAAGCACAAACCACGTGTTTAATCGCAATCGATTGTTGTTTGCTGTTCTGTTTACGGGTAATTTAGTCCTATGGCTCCTGAATAATATAGTGCTGAGTGGTTTTGCCTCCTGCGAGTAACTGGCACTCCTCAAACAGTTTTATAAGTTATAAAAGGAACAGTTATTTCCACACTTATTGCAACTTAATAAACAATTAATAAAGAGAGTGGTTTAGCATTAAAACCACAGTCGAGGCAATATATTTATGTAATGTGGCTCTTGGAAGTCGCTGACACCCCCAAAGAGTTTCCATTTAATTAACAATTTGTAAATAGAGCAATTAATTGCACACTTGTTATTTAGTATGCTATTCATATAGAGAGTATAGTTAAAAGCATAGAGGTAAATTATTTATTTAAGGCATTTTACTCTTATAAATAACTGGCACCTCCAACCAAGGGAATTAGGTAACTTTATTATATAGTCATACTAAGTTAGCAAAAAGTTCTGCAATTTTCTTTTTTAATTTTTTTCACTCTAAATACATTTTAGGGGGAATGCGCTTCCTGAAAATTAATAGGGCCCCACCTTAATGACCAAACCACGGTCGTATATACGACCATACGACCGTGGTCCAAGTACCCGTAGGTAAGTCAAATTTTCAACATGATCGGCTACATTTCAAAAGAGTTATAGCGCACACGGGCGGACGGGCGGACTGACGGACATACTGACAAACAACAATACAAAACTATAAAGGATCTGAGGATCTTTAATAAATGAATTTTGCAGATTTCGCCTATAAAGTGATCTTTTGTGAAGAACATCTGTAGTGTAGATACCTTTTTATAAAATGAAATTATATTTACTTACGGAGACTCTGGCCTCAAACCAATTCGCATAATGCTCCGTTTTGCAGTCATAAATCCCTTTCAAGTTTCAAATATGATAAAAAGGAAAGCAGTGCCGGTAGAGTACCTTTTTCGAAGGAAGTGAATGAAATAAACGACGGTAACTCAATTATAAAATTAAACTGACGATGACGTGTGGTAAAAATTCAACAAATGAGCAGTCAATTATATAAAGAGCACCCAAATATTCAGTAATCATAGTATTGGCCATAATCATTTACGAGCTACTCTCGAATCATTACTAATACCAATAAAATTACGCCAAGTTATCCTCAATTTACAAGAACATAAAGTCACACAGATTGAAACAATTAAAGGAAAAACTAAGAAGATTAAGTTAGAACGAGGAGTAATGCAGGGTTCTCCACTGTCACCAACCCTACACAATCTTTGTGTTGATCATATTTTCCATTCCGTTTCAAATCAACTTGGTTTTAAAATTATTGATCAAGCTCTACCTATTAGTGCCTTAGGATTTGCTGATGACACGCAGTATTGACTGGGAAATCAAAAGAATCCGCTATGATATTATATGAAACAGCTATAGATCTATTTTGTGAAATAGGATTGAATTTAAATGTTAAGAAAACCAAAATTAAAAATATTATCAAAGGCAAATTGTTTAAATAAGCTTAAATGGATTATTAATTAAATCCCTGAAAAAATGAAACTATAAAATATTTAGGAGTGAATTTTAATAACGAGATTACCTTTAATCCACCAGAAATCATTAAAAAATTGGGAACAAAGCTGGATACCGTTATTTCTCACCCTTTTCTTAAGGATATTCAAAAGTTAACAATTCTGAATTCCTATGTTTGGCCCACTTTAACATACAACATCCAAACTGCTCCATTAATTATCAATTTCTTAATTACATTGACAAAATGGTTCGCTGTGCTTTAATTAAAAGAAATTTTATACCTTCCTTAATTTACCAAATGCAAAGATCAAAAAATAAAAAAGATCTCCAATTATTTTGCGCTGGTTGGGAGGCTTATTGACAACACATTAATATATGTAATCGTCTGCAACATCCTAATGAAGAAATCATTATGAAAACAAGAAATTTGGAAGATATAAAGAAATTATGTTTGAAAAACATGGATGAAGTCTTCCTGATCAAGCCCGTAAAATACATAAGATCCTTTTTACAAGATCGAGAATACATTAATTGGACTAAACTGACACACACATAAGGGTAGAGGTGTAATCCTTTTTACGGACTACTGTCCAGCGAATAATATTCTAGATCGCTCTGGAGTTTCTTCTTCTGAATTAAAATACGCAATAAAAATTATTGGTGATGTCGCTCCATTAAGAGCGCTTCCAGACAGATCAAAGGACGGCACCCGGTGTCGACACTGAGACATTCATATCTGAAACTTTGCCTCATGTCCTTGGGCCTGTCCATTCAGTGAACGTTTACGGAATAATCGCCATCACACTCTGCGTACTATGATAGCTGACGCTTTACGGTCTAAATGTTAAACCTTCTACGAGGAGGTAGTTTGTACCGCGAATTCGGGCAGTACCAGACCGGTTGACATATTGGCTATTGATAAATAGAAAAATGTCGGTTGGATTATCGATCCCACTGTTAGATTCGTAGTTGACGAACACCAAGAAATTTAGTAGTAAATTTAGAAAAACAAAAGATTTATGGTTCAACAACGAGCTTCTTCAAAGAATCTTATGGATTAAAAAAAGTTGATATCATAGGACTACTTGTTGGTGCTCGCGGAACAATTACCACTTTTGGATTACCATTAAAATTGTTAAAATTAATAGCAATAACTACTATAAAAAATTCCATTTACATTTTAAGAAATCATTTATATAATTAATTTGTTTGTTTTTTTTTCATGTTCAAATTTGTATTGTATCCTTTGTTTCACAGCAACCCAGAATGTTGGGAAGGTGTAATTTATATTTTATATATATATATAATATAAATTACACCTTCTCACCACTTCTATCAGAAGGCCATCTTTTACTTTTTTAATTGTCTTTATATCTTTATATTCTGTTGTGTTTTTATTTTTGTGATTATATGTATTTTTTTTGTTTTTTTTTGTTGTTGTTTATCTTTATATTATCTATGAGGGATGTGTGGATAGAGATAGATACCTGGAAAAAAGGATAAGGAAAGTAGTGGAGATGGATGTAAGAGTTGGAAAGAAAAGTGGGTAGGTACATAAGTACTAAAGGTGGTTGGACTCGTCACCTTTAGTGCTCATTGATGGCCTTTTACGATCTCCAGGGCGGGAGTGGGCCAATTCTATCCCCGAGCCCACAGGGGATTATTATTATTACTATTATTATTAATATGCATTAAAAATATAAAGGCGAAATTAATGGGTGTAAAAAATGTTAAATGAAAAATGGTTTTTGTACGATTATTTCAAATGAAAAATAGAAAATAGGTAAATAAAACTTGGAATACAAATGGATTTATGATTTAATTGATTCTTGCATGAACATCTCTGCATAAACTTCAATTAAGGGTCGATGAGGTATGTAATCCGCCGTCATTTTATAAATCCAATAATTTCGCATTTCTTTACTTCTGCTATGTTCTTCATTGATTCCTCTGTGGACATTGATATTCTATTTTATTAGCAAATGTAGTTTCGCTCAAGACCCGAAGCAATTCATCATCCCAATCAGTGTTTACCAGTTCCTTTGCAAAGCTCTAGTAGTGTAGGACCTACCAAGCTTTGAACACAACAGAAATATCGTATGTGGTATAGAGAAGAATTTAAAGCTTATAATAGGAAACATCACTATAAGTAAGTAAGTACACCCTGAAAAGAGTATAAAATGTTTTCAAAAGCCCTTCCAAGTAATTTCCCGATTTTTTATAGGTTCTTTTCCATCAGAGTATAGAATTCTCTATAAAGTCACAGAAAGCGATTGAAACTCCTTGACAAGGCGTATAAACTCTTAAAAGGGAACATGGGGAACTTGCGAAGGCGTTAGTACTCGCGATTGAGATAGATAGAGATTGCTGTATTTTATGACTATGTACCGGAAACTGACAGTAGAGGTATCTATGTGGAACAGTTTACCTAACACTGAAGAAAAATAAAACTTTCATCCCGGCAGAATTTTTGCCCCATCGGAATCGTTCATCCGGAGGTTACCATGGTACCAAATTCTGAAGATCGCGCTGTCCACTTCATGAATTTTATGGACGTCGTGGTGGTGAACGCTTTCGTTATATCGAAACAACTGCGTCCATACTGGCAAGAAGCGTGTTCTGTATATACAAACGACGATTATAGTTCCTTTTACAATTAGGGAAACCTTTAGAAGGATCAATAATGCTTCCATATACGCTCCAGGCTGTATAAAAATATACCGACCAAAATGCGAATTCCATAATAGACGACATAATCAGTTGAAAACAAACCAAGAGGAACCCGAGACGGCACCTGCTCGGGCGGAGCACAATTTGCGATAAAGGGGTTGGCGTCATGCATGTTGTAGGTCAAAATAAAGTACAATAAAAAAATTATTTTTGTAAGAATTTTGTGTGTCCGAAAGTAAAACATAGTAAGGCCATGAAAGTTTGTATAAGGGCCGGTTCTACAATGCGAGAATAAAACCGAGAATTGGTATACCAGGGATAAGCTTATACTCGGTTAAATTTTTGAGTTGCGTTCTACAGTCATCCGATCACCCTCCTCGTATATCCGGGGAGTAGCTCATTTGTACGCATATTAGTTCAGTTTGTGCTGTCATTTGTACTGATTACAGAATTTTTTGTGATTTGTGTATTGATTTCGCGGGTCTTAGAAACGATAGAAAGTGGCGAGGGTAAAAAAGGTGCAGTAATTTTACATCTGATGAAGTAGATGTGCTGGTTAGCTTGTTTGAAGAATTCAAGGGTATAGTAGGAAGTGTTATGAAGTTATTATGAAGAGAGGCGATTGCGTCGGTCACCTGGGTCACAACGCCACAGGCAGAGGTTTTGCTAATAACTGCAAAATCTGCAACTGAAATGAGCATGTTGCCTGTTGCACGAAAACGTAAACTTAAGAGCTACTTTGTTGTGGATGTTATCGCATGATTTCTGTCTGTGGTGCTTTGAATTCTATCCTGAATCATTTCTAAGAGCATTTCACATGTACGCTTTTGCAGACGAAACCGCGTAAAGAATTCCAAATCGTCATATTCTTCAAAGAAATTTGTAAACCATCGAATAGGCCTTCTAGTTATGTAAAGCAAAATAACGTCAGCTTACCGACGTCTAAACATTTTCGGATTATGTCCGTTCTCAAACTCATCCCAGTCATCTTCGTCAGAGTCGAAAATATTTATGTTCATTTTGATTTTGATAAAAAAATCACAAAAAAAACACGTGCTGTCAGCTTGACAAGTAAGTGACAAACGAGAACGACATACAAAGCCGCTACCAATAGAATGGGAGAATAACTTTAATGCCTGGTATATCCAAACAATTTCAAAGGGATAACTTATCCGTCATTTTACACCTGGAATAACGCTATTCTGCAAATGTACAACCAAATTTTCGAATGTTATTCCAAGAATAGCTTATCCGTGGTATATATACTAGCATTGTAGAACCGGCCCTTAAATGTTAAATTTGGTTGTATCTACCATAATGATATTTTATAGTACCTAATAGAGTTTTTAAACTCATGTTTTAATAAATTGCCCAAGTGAGCTACACTGCAGTGAGCAGTCAAATATAACCAAATAATAATTGTCTGTTCACCGTTTCCTTCCTGATAAAATTGAGAATAGCAAAGTTTAAACAAAAAGTTAGCTTGAACGTGCACCCCACACCTGGTATCAGAAGTTTTGCATATTACCCAGAATGGTCAAATTGAAGACAAAACCACGTTGCTTTAGTTCATGGAGTACAAAACATATTTCTAATCCCTCCGTGTAGTCCCCCAAAGGTAGCGGATGAAGCAAAATGAAGAAGCACGAGACGCACAGTCAAAGTAAACTGCTATATAATGCCATGCCCCACGTAATTTAGAATATAAATAGGCCTTTCCGCAGGGAGACTGCATTTCAAAAGAAACTGGGAATAAAGTCTCAAAGAATAAACCCATTTTTTAGCTCTAAGATCTTCTCTGCAATGCAACATAAGTACTTTCATTGTATATATACAATGGTACTGTGAAGTAGACCTAGGATATAGAGTAAATTGTTTATTCTTAGACAAAGAGTAAACTATTTACTCTATAGTCTATAGCTAGAAATAATATAAAATACCCATAGGTTTAAAATGTAACCTAATGTGACGTAAGTAACTTTTTCCTATATTTCCACATTTTGATGGTACAACTATCGCCTAAATGTAGGCAGCCAAAGTAGCTATTCCAATTAACTTGATGTGTCGAGCAAAAAATCTACGTACATACTTCACTCAACGGTACATACCTTTACATTTATGGCCTTATGCACCGAAAATGTGTAAGCTGAGCTTAGCTTAAGCCTAGCTTAAAATCCATGGCAACCATTGTCCCAATAATCGTTACCATGGATATTAATACACTTAAGGCATTGAATAAATTTATTCAATGACTTAGGCCACAGATATACGTAAAGAACGTATATCTTTATCTGTGCTTAGGCTAAGATCAGCATACGGCCATTAATGAACAAGTCATAAAAGAAGTAGTTAATTTCACACCTTGCAATTTAGTCCTATGGTTCCTAGTAAGTGGTTTTGCCTCCTGAGAGTAACTGGCACCCCTCAAACAGTTTTATAAGTTATAAAAGGAACAATTATTTACACACTTGCAACTTATTAGGTAAACAATTAATAAAGAGAGTGATTTAGCCTTAGAGAAGGGGGTTTAGCATTAAAACCACAGAGGCAATAAATTTATCTATGACATGTGACTCTTGCAAGTCGCTGACACCCAAACAGTTTCCATTTAATTAACAATTTATAAATAAAGCAATTAATTACACACTTGAAATTTACTATGCCAGAGTATAGTTAAAAGCATCGAGGAAAATAATTCATTTAAGGCACTTTACTTTTATAAGTAACTGGCACCTCCAACCAAAGGAATTAACTTTATTATACCTATAGTCATACTAAGTTAGCAAAAAGTTCTGCAATTTTCTTTTTAAGTTTTTTTCACTCTAATAATACATTTTAGGGGGAATGCGCTTCCTGAAAATCAATAGGGCCCTACCTATAATGTTCAAAACGACCGTGGTCCAAAGTACCCGTAAGTCAAATTTTCAACACGAAACTTTTCAAAAGAATTATAGCGCACACGGACGGACAATCAACAATACAAAACTATAAAGGATCTGAGGATCCTTAATAAGTAAATTTTTCAGATTTCGCTTAAAGTGATCTTTTGTGAAGAACATTTATTCCTTTTTATAACATTATGAAATTATTTACTTACTGAGACCCTGGATGGGAGGCTTCAACCAAAAACGTTGGGGAGACATGCGCCATAGTTCCAGTGTCCCTTAAAGGGAATAATTTTCATAAACTAATTTTAACTGATATGAAAAACCCATAATAGGTACTCCCTTTTTGCAGTCATAAATGCCTTTCAAATATAATAAAAAGGAAGACAGTGCCGGTAGAGTACCTTTTTCGGAGGAAGTGAATGAAATAAACGACGGTAATTCAATTATAAAATTAAACTAACGATGACGTGTGGAAAAAATTCAACAAATGAGCAGTCACTATATGAGCACCCAAATATTCAGTCCATCTCAAGAAAAACTGTTAGTGGAGTATTTGTATACGTGTAGTGAAATGCATTATGAACTCTCCCGGAAGGCAGCTTTATCTTTCTCATGTGATTTTGCAAAATTTTCGAAAATTGGAAAAAACTATGGGAAAAATTTTAATTTGAACCCTAGGACATTACAATTTACAACTGCGATGAAACTGTCTGCACTACAGTACAAAAATGCCCTAAGGTCATAGGTAGTGTTCGTTTGGTTACTTCTGCAGAGAGACTTTGACGCTTCAATGTCAACTAAGCAGTAATAATTTTAATTATACAAGGCAAAGCAAAATTGCATATTTTAAATGGAACACCCTGGTTATTTTCTAATATTTCAATTCTTCTTTCAATTTTAAGCAAAATTTGTGATAAGCAATATAATCGAGTTATCGAGTTTTGAAAATAAACGCTATTATTTTAAAATCCATTAATAATTGAACAAAAAGCAATAATTAATGATTCCAAGCAATCATAACAAACTTCACACAAAATGTTTTCAAAAAAAATTCGTAATGTCATTAATTATTGTTCTTTATTCAATACATTTTAAAGCGATACCTTGATTAGCTTACTTACAATTTATGCTGAAAATTGGAGAAAAATTGAAATATCGATTAATATACAGGAAGTTCCACTTAAAAAAATGTAGTATTGATGTGCCATGCCTTCATGATTAACCGTGTATACCTAATTAAAATTACTAGTAGACATTAAAGAACCTCAAATCTTTTGTATAAAACTTTTTTTGATACCTTGTATATTTTCCCCGAGAATCGATCGTTTCCAGCCACTCTGTATATGAACAAATTTAGTTTCTGTTCCACCCCCAATGTCTAAGGTTTCTAAGTTTCAAACAACAACTGTACCTGTTAGGTATATACTTAGTGGCAAGTTTATAGTAGAAAGGAAAAAATGGTAAAGGAAAAGGGGTTCAACTGTCCCGCACTCACCCCTACCCATTTATGGAGGTTCCAAGCGCACATTAATTTCGTAAAAAAATTCCAAGAAGCGCCACAAAGTGGTCCATGTGCAAAGGCTCTTCTGCATCGACCAAGAATTGAACCTGGGCCGACCATTTTCTACAAATCACATTCTTATTAAATTTGGCATCGTTGTTGACCATAAGAGCCTGTACTGTAAAGTCAAGGCGAGACGGACAAAGTACCTAGCATATTTTTTCCTCTTCGGCTAATAGATCTTCAAACTATAATGTTTCAGAAATAATCATTTTTCAGTCAATCCAATACAAGTCAAGAGACTTTGCTGTATTTTTTTATATAGGATTTCTTCAGGAAAAACTCAAGTATAGAATCGCAAGACTTCTTTGCAACTGCCATAAGTTTCGCCAACTTGAGACTAGACTATAAGACAAAAAATACCTAAATATGTGAATTAATTAACAATCTTTATTAATCGTATACATAAAAATATATGCATTGTCCGATGTAAACCTATAACTGTAAATATAAAAATACAATTGCTCTCAAGGTTATAACAATGAAGGTCCCCTTCTACCACAATCAACAAAACAATACAATTAAAATAAATAAAACAATTTTTTTAAATAATTTACATGTTATTCAAATAACGCCTAAGTTCTTCTTGAGTATCAAATATCATAACAGGAAATGCGGAACCCGGAACATGTTCACCCGCCCATTTTACTTCAACTCGGTAATCACCAGGTTCGGTGGGATCATACTAAAATTTGTAACTTATAATAAATAGGAAGGTGTAATATCAGCTTACTTTGCATAAAATGGTCCTATCCTTTTGACTTTCGCGTTGCATCTCTACGCGGAAAGCTCCCTTAGGACCGCGTACTCTAACTGTTAACTGACCAGCGCCAGCCCCACGAGTATCACAAATAAACCTCGATTGAAATGTGGCCAACACACCATGCTCAACTCCAGGACCGTAAACCTTAACCTAAAGACTTCAATTTAAATCCGCCTCTTCGAGTGGGTAGTTTACTTACTTTACTAGCATCGGGCGCCCCTGCAACGCGTAGCACGAAGGGCGACCCAGGAACGTGTTGCCCCGCGTACTTAATGGTTAACGCATGCCGCCCCGATTCTTGCGGTTTCACATTGAGAGTGAATGTGGCGTCTCCGTGATCGTAAAGCTCACAATATGCGACTTTTCGAGGTCCGGTACAGTGGGCAGTCAACTCACCAGGACCGGCACGTCTTGTGTCAATCCATGATCGTATTTCTTTTCCAACGACGCCTTGTCGAAGCCCCTCACCAGAGCACAAAACCTATACAGTAAAGGACAATGACAATAAAATAAGATAAAAATTACTTCATGCCATTTGGATTGCAAAATGCATCTTTTGGCAGCTATTGTCAGTTTTCTGTGGTTACAAACAGAGCAATCAAACTGATTCAAATTGTAAGTGAACTAGAGCTAGTCAATTATAATTTTTCTGGTACTCATTTTGAGCATTTTGGGATTACGAAGCAAATCTTGTGCTGTTTTGGAAATTTAGTACAACTTTACGCTGGAAAGCAGCAATATACCTACCTTAGAGGCATCTGCTCCCCCTTTCGCTTCTACCATTAACGGACATCCTTTAACAGGGCGACCGGCCCACAAGACCGTGAGTAAGTAATTTCCTGGATTGTTAATCGTGTAACTGGCCTGCCAAATCTTTTCACCAGCTAAGCTGATCATGACTGGTATGGGTAAGTTCATTTCGGACGCGTGAAGTGTTACTTCCGGGTTTCCTAGATACCATTCGGTTAAGTGTGGAAATTTGGAGCAATAAGTTACCTGATCCTGCTCGGGAGCCATCTATTGTGAAAATCGCAGTCTCACCGCACTGCGCGTGCGCAAGACCTTTTCCGGTTAAAACGACCTGATCGCCGGTACACACGGCAATCTTCGGCGCGTCGGACAGTATCAGATTCGCGAATCTAATTTCGAAATCGTGCTCGCCGGCGTTGGAAGACTGAGTTCAGGGAGAGCTTTTAATCACCTTTTATGTGACGGTCTAGGATCTTACACCAAAAACGCCGATTGCACCAATGGCAATCCTGCATGTGTAAGCAATTTGTAACAAAATGGACGCTCTCCAGTGCACTTTCTAGTCCTTTACCGGGCTCTCGGTGGCGGAACGGGGCCCACGGGGCCAACACCAAGGGCTAATGGAGAACCTTTAACTGCTACCCCACCGTATGTGATTGTTACTTGATATAAGCCGGGGAGGTAAGGTAAAAATGATATTTCTTTTAACGTCTCATCTATTTCTATCTCGTTGACGGCAATCGTCTGACCTATTGGGTTTGTAACGACGACTTCTAGCTCGGCCGATCCGCTATTTTTGAATGAAACTGGAAGAGAGAGGGAGAGTTTTTCACCTTTTATGGACGGTCTAGGATCTTACACCAAAAACGCCGATTGCACCAATGGCAATCCTGCATGTGTAAGCAAGTAACAAAATGGAAGGGGGAGACGGTGGCGTTTTAGGCGTTATGATCCACGAATGGGAAAACTTACCATTAAAGCTAATGCGTTCCCCAACGTTGCTTTGAGACTGAGGAATATCCTGTATCCTAACACTATCACTATCAAAACCTTGACAGGTAAACGGACTGCCACTCAATTGCTTCGCTTGATGCAGAACCTCCACTTTATGCGCGCCAACTTCCCGTGCCGTAAATTCGGCCTGTAGCTTACCAGTTTTCGTTTGATAGCATCGAACCGGCAACGCAGATCCGGTAGGGCCGCTGACGACGACGTCAAATTCCCTTGCCGGTCTACCGAAGGTGTCAATGTGGAAGGATGTAACTTTAGCGACTCTCGCCTGAAACAGTCCCAATCCACCGGCCCACGGTTCATTTCCTGGTGCTTTAACCGGCACTTCCAGTGCGCCCGGTTTTGGAACTCCATTGTACAGAATCGTTATTCTATGCGGCGCGGCGTGAATTGGGTGGAAGACGATCTCCCATATATTTAAATTATTGACACTCTGCCGTACGCTGTGGGGCACATCGCGATTTGCTACTCTAACTAATGCAGTGAGCTTGCCGGGACCTGCCTTATTAATATTGACACCTACAACTGCGGGTCGATGGCAAATTGCCTCTGGCGCGCTGACTATATCGATTTTTGACATGCTGAAGACGTGAACAGTTCGTGTCGTGATAACCTCGTGCATTCGAATTATGTGGACGTGGTAAGTACCGGTGAGATTCGCTGTGAACTCTGCTTTCCCGTTGTGCACGGCGTACTTCACACTGTGATTGCTCGGATCTTTGATTTCAACATCGTGCTGATCACTAGGTAAATCGATATAAACCAATCCTCCTGTTTGTACGTATTGCATTGGTTCGATAACCGGGCAGTGGAATGGACTGCCCGGAACCGACATGTCGTTAAATGTAATGTTAACATAATGATCTTCGTTAGAGTGTGGTACAAAGGTAACATCATAGAGACCCCGCGCGCAAGCGACCACCTCGGCCTTTACTGTTGTGTGCTGGGTGGACACAACTAACTCCAGAGTACCCTCGCCTGCTTGCGCCGCATCTACGCTAAACGTAACGGCCTTGCCCACCTCAGCAGATGACTTATCTTGCAGACTCATGTCTCTGAGGTCGTGCATGTCCGTTTTATGACCAGGAAGGCCAGTTACAAACACTTTATTCACATCGTAGACGTTACAACCGAATGGTGATCCAATCACGTGCTGGTCATTTATTAGGATCGCGACCGAGTGTCGTCCTACCACTTCCGGAATGAAAGTCGCCGTATGGGTATTGCCAGATAAAGATATATTTGTGTTTAAAATTTTTTCCGTTGGCGACGTGACGATTACTTGCGGTTCGGCTCCTGTACGCAATTGGAATAATTACCTTGATTAGTGATGCTAAAGCCAATTACCTATGATGCCTTCCAGTTTCACTTCGGCGACCTGTCCCACAGCTGCGAGCTCAATCCCAGCGCCCGATACCGGTATTCGCGCTTGAGTATTTCCGGGAATTACCTTACAACTGAACGGTGATCCTGGTACAGGCTGCCCATTAAACCTGGATAATTGCATAGATTTAATTTTTTGGTTGCGAAAAATACCCGAAACTAAATTTGGAATATTGTGGGTGGGTTTTTTACTTGACTTTTGGAACGATTTGAAATACTACCTATTTCCAAAGGAATTTTACAGACAGACAATATGAATCAGCAGCGTCCTATAGAAACCACAAAATGCTTATTAGGTTATTACGTCTGCTATTACTCAGACTATCTGTTATACACAATGAAACAAAAATAGCTATAGGTATACACATCTATGGGTAAATCAAAACGATAACATAAACGAAAGCAACACGTGTACCTGAAAAATGTTCAGCAAGTGACAATTAACCGATCCGTTCAATGCAGAGACTTGCTATAACTAGACTGCGCTTAACGTATCTAAGGTGTTGTCGACACAGTATGCAACACACAATGCACCGCGGGGCAAAAATCGCTGAGATGATAACAATATAATGAAATAAGCTGTTATTTTAGATGTTCCGTTCATTAATCATTCTCGTGATTAGCTCGAATTAGTGAACAGATAAATTTCTGTTGAGAATAAACCAATAAACTTAGGTTAACTTTTGCCTATCAATGTACTCTGTCGATAAATTTTTAAATAATATGCTGATTTTCAACGGATAAAAGTTTAAAGGGCCAATGGATCAGAGCCATTCGAAGAGAAAAATTTACTCCCACCAAGTGCATTTGCGGGGAATGAAGCCGATTTTAGAAAGGTACCTACGAAGGTGTTAAACAATAATGCAATACCGAGCGTTTTCCACTTTCCCATTCACTTAAAATAACGTAGAACTATTCGACATCCTTTACCAGCCAGACAACGGCAATTTGCCTATTAGGTATAGACGTAAATAAGTACTTACTGGTACTGAGTATATTTCAGGTTTTCTACAAAAAAAAATAGCTAAGTCTGTTAAATGTTCCATATGTGCAGATGCGATATTCGCATCAGAGAGTCATTCAAAGCTTTTAACTAGAAAAAATCGTGGAGGGTTGTTGCACGTATCAAGCGATGTATTAAAAATTTTCCAAATTGCTGAAAATGTGTTCAGGTTTTTCATTCAATCCACACCACACCGCGTTGTAAACAAAATGGTTATCAGCAGTCTAAGAAAAATAAATAACAGTTACAGCCCATTTGGGTTTTTGAATAGGCATATATTGAATCAAAATCCGCTACATAATCATATCTTACTACCTACATCTTTAGTTTTAAGAGTATATTTTTCCATACGTGTTCACCACCAAAATACACATATAAATCAAATTAGGACTAGAGTAAGGCAGTTATATACCAATTTAGTTCAAATAAAATACCAATAAATTCGATTAAAACAGTTAACAGCTATATGTTATCTTTTTTGCTACTAAAATTTAGAATAAACATGGCTAAAGCAAGCTGCAGAACGTACGTCTGCCCCGCGATGAACAGTTGGTTGCCTATCCTATCTTGACAACAGGCGTTTATAGTAAAATCTACGTTACGCGCCGTCTAGTTATAACAAGTCTCTGGTTCAATGTCCTTAAAATTGCAATTTTAAATAACTTCACAGGAATCGCGCGAATGCGTCAATCTTCAGCCCAGCAAAGTTGCAAAAAGCTCGTTGGTGTTTCATTTGAAGGGTACCCCGTTACTTATAAACTTAATCCTTGCAAACAGCTTCAAAATCTTAATTTATTATTAATTTTGTTGAGGAAAAGGTAAAACGCGGCGGGTTAACTACGTATAAAAGCTGCTGGACCATTCATAGGGTAAACCTAAAGTAAAAAGTCAACGAAATGACAAATACTGCCCTGTTCCCATGACGAATATTGTGTAGACCCCAATTTATCAAACAAAAAGAGGGTAAGATATGAAGAGTGCGAACGTCAGTTCGTCTGAATCAACGCTTTTTGTGGTTCTTTTGTCTCACGAATAAATGACGATTTTCTCAATTTTGGGGCCTACCTCTACACTTTTGATGCAATGTACCTACGCATCACACATTTATTCTTAAGCCCAGTCTTATCCAGTACCTACCTTACGCTTAGAGTATGCACAGCAGCTTCCGTTGGTTTAAAATTCACTTTAAATCTCGCATTCCCTTCGCTCTGTACAAAATTGGGAACATTCCGTCCGGCAACGGCAACAATTATTTCCAAATTTCCCGCGCCCGCCTGCGACGCGTTTATGCTGAACGACACCGGTTTTCCCACCGTTCCGTCCATTATGTCAGTAACACTAACGCGATTGGCATCGTAGGCCTTAACAAGGAATGGGCTGCCTTCTATGTGTCCTCCTGGTAGTCGAACCTACAGCACAATATCCAGTTAGTAAGGTATTACAATAATTGGTTTTAGTGAGATTAAGTCACCTTCAATGATGTCTATTGTTTGAGAGAGCAGGTAGGTACTTACAGTACATGAGATACATTATTGCACTCTAGAGACATCAAGTCCCTACATATACAAAGTACCACAAAATTCCAAGTATTAGTTCGATAAAAAATCAAGGAATAACACAAACAGGATTTGATCCAGTCTTGGACTGTGCAATAGGATAGAGGAAAGTTTCTTCCCGAGGCTCAATGCTCAATGCAACATTAATTTGCCCCATTCCATACAATTTTTTTGTATTTGGAAACCGATAATGACGGATTGAGTGCTTATAAGAAATCCTCCCTGCTGCTCGAGATATTGAAAGGTCATAGATCGACGTAAGGGCCTATAGAGCACCTCACTTCTACGCCTCTCTTAAAGCAACTTTAGTATTTAAACCTATGAGACAACAACAGCAAGTTCTTTCTTCAGTTCCTGAAATTTTTTCCAGGAATTCCTGTAGATTCTGTAATTTCTATAATTCCGGTAGTTAATCAATTTCTATAGTTAGTAATATTTCATATGTATATTATGGTAAGCGGTACAGGAGTTAATGTTAATATATAGTTCCTGCAGTTTCTCCGGGCACTGTATAGTTTATATAATTCCTATTTCCCGTTTTTGTATTCTTGTAATTCCTGCAGTTTCTGTATGTATTGCAGATTTTATACATTCTTCTAAATCGGCTGTAGTTTCTGTAGTCCTTGCAATTTATGTAGTTCTAGAAGTTTTTGTAATTCTTGTAATTTCTCAAGTTCATGTAGTTTCTGCAAACCCTCTCTAAATCTTCTAGTTCTCTATTAATCGAGGATAAGTACAATTATCCAATTAGAATTTTGCCATGGTTATCAGGTTATGTAATTGCGTATTCGTATTCTTTGTTTAGAAAATTTCTGCTACCTACGTATGAATAAAGACTGTGTACCCGCCTTATGATAATGCCCCGAATAGTTGGGCGCTTCGTTACTAAGAAACCGTAGTTTCTAAATTTACTTATTTGCTCTAGGAGACAAGGGATTGGGCTTTTGTGTGTTTTCATTTTGTTTAATTGTTTGTCTTACCGTCGATAACGTACGTAAGTTTCGTATTGAATTTATCCGTTTTGCAACCGTTCCTGTCGAAATATTTAAATTGTTTTTAGAGCCAGCGAAAGCTCTCTGGTTAGGGAAGAAGAGAAAAAAATTAATCTTTCGGCCCGTTAATTACCCATTCATCGATTTTAGTTTTCTAATGGTAACGAAAATCCAGGATTAAACCGGCAAGGTCGCGCAGTTTACGAAAAATATCAACGTGATAATAGATTACGCCGCTTGACCCCACATTCCAACGAACTGCTGAAATTGAGAGATTTCATTCCGACTATTTGGGCAAGTATAATTAACCATCATTAGTTGAATGGGTTACAGATAAGAACCTCGGATTAAGTCGAGATTGCATCTGTTAGGTGCGCCCTTAAACAACTTTAATTTTGACACAGGTCCCGTATTTTTAAGAAACCTGGGAACAACGTAGGTACTTAATTAAAGAAGTTGTAATTTTTAGATGTAGATAACCAAAACCTCCGACCGACTTGGAATTTCCTAAATTCCCTCCATGGCATGGCCGAACTTTGTATGAGGTGGGCGCTTAATTTGGAGGGGATCTTTTTGCCATTGTTGCTTGTCGTAAGTACGTACCTATAAGGTTATCTAGCTTTTCCGTAAATTTACTTTTCATCTGAAATGTTCAATTTTGGTTTGTTTGAAATTAATTCTACCGCACTATATTTAAATGTTTTGCGTTTGGTGGTTTACCGCAACGTAAACCTTTTTTTTTTGCATTTGGTCGTTGAGTAAGAAATATAAAGATGCGCAACTTGGGTAATTTAGGTCAGGTCTATGTAGGCACCAACAAATAGATACGACCACACACACCCCTCCCACTGTGGACGGTGGGGTGCGGGTAGCTTCGGCGAGTGAGATGGGACATGTGTATCGCAATTTACACATTATAGTTGCGCCTCTTTACTATTTCTCACTCAACGCTTTAGTGTTTAATATTTAAATCGTTTGCTTTCTGCCTTTTGTATCTTTGCAAAGTATTGTAATTTTGAGCTTTTTCCTGCACAGTAATTGCTACCGCTCCGTTAATTATAAGGAGGGGGATATTGTCTCGCTTATTCCTGCAATTGCTTTCCCGTAGACTCCACTACTGAATCCGATTATTCACTGTTTCCGATTAGAGAAGATTAGCACAGGATAGGAAAGGGCGTCCAATCAATCCTAGGATTGTGAACTCCAAGAAGAAGGACGCAAAAAGTCCCTTAACAATACATTGCCCGCCATATTTCCAAAGAATATCAATTGCGGTACTTTGTACATCTAAAAAAGTGAAGTCCTAAGATTTCAAGTTATTCTGAAGCGCCACCATAGAGTTGCATGGGTGCATAAACAATAGCGGAGTATCAGCAAAATCGAGGCTTACCTCAACACTATGATCACCGACTTCAATTGGAGTAAACGATACATCAAACTTGCCGGACTGGTCAGCTTGTGGAACTATCTACAAAAAATATTATGAGCAATCATTTTGACTCATTACACGAGCACTGCATTACTTGAGTAGGCACGGACCGCCTTGCAGGGCCTAAGACCTCAACAATTGGTGGAGAAGGACTCTCAACTGCAAATAAACACGGACGACCGACCGAGATTTTATCGAGCGCATCCGGCGCGATAATTCTCGCAGCCGGCGCAACGTTACACTTAAACGGACTTCCGGGTACATCTTGACCGTTAAAACGCAAATCAACGGAATGCGTTGTTGCCTCTCGGGGAGTAAACGATATGGCGTAGGTGTGAGGGCCTTGCGCTTGCGCGGAAGTAGGTACCCTGCCGCCGTTTACTGTCACTTCCAGATTGCCTGGACCTGCCTGACTCGTTTCAACTGCAATTCTTTTAATGTAACGAACTGGCTTAATTATGACACTATACCCACCTAAAAACATAACAGGCTTCCCGACAACTCCTGTAGGTGCTTCCTTCACCTTAATTGCCTGAACGTCATAAATTTTAGCTGCGTATGGACTTCCGGCAGTAGGGGTGCTGTTGACGCTTACTGCGATTCTGTGTTCGCCTACAGCTCTTGGCACGAACTCCGCTTGGAACTGTCCATTACCGAGAGGTTGCACTTGAGTAGGGACCGATTGACCTCCTGGGCCTGCTCATACGTAATAATGTCATCGTCAAGGGTTCTTAGGGCGAAATTTTGTAAAAATTGTAATAAAAAGGAACGGAGGTGAGATTTACTTTTATTATTTTAGTGAAAGCGCCGTGAAGTTATTGTTAATTTTTTCATGGAATGTTTCAATTAAATTACTCGCTTTCATTCCCTCCTAAAGTTTACTTTATATATCTGAAATCTCACCGTTAATCCCATACAAACAGTACCACAATGGATCGGAATTGTTATTGATACGTTAAATTTGCCTATATTTTCATTCATCGTTCATACCCTTGTATGGGAACTCAAAATCATTTCTAATTTATTAATGTCTTAAATTTGTTATGCAAAAACTTGTACCTAGGTAGGTACTTCAATGAACCACTATCATGAAATAGCATCACCATTACCATTAAAGAAAATACACACGATTCTGGAATTATGCTACAATACATTCTGCTAGTTACCTGTGCAGACCAAAGTCATTACCTAGGTTTACTATTAACATACAGAGGGTTCTTGAAAAGTACGCTAATACCATCTGAAAATATTTTTTTTTTTAATTGAACCCTGCAACTTTAGATCTTTAAATTAGAGGAGCCTGTCAGATATGGACAATGTGACTAAATTCCAATTGTAGGTATTCGGTAATCACCAGTAGTGATTTACCTCGACGTATTACACGCATATGTTGCGTAGAACAAATAAAATTTGGTTTGTAAATTAGATAATGGTGATGCTAACTTCAATGGCTACACAATATTATTTTGGGTATAAAGTAATGAGACTCTTTTATACTCTATTTCAATGCGTTAACCAGGAAGAAAAAGTGAATGAAAAAGCGATAGAATTTTAATGCTATTAGAACAGCAGACCAACTGTTAGTGTACCACTAATTATCCGCAAATATTCTACAAAGAATTGTATGGCAACGTAATTGTTAGTTTTGATAATTACAAAAAAATTCCTCTGTAAGTGCACATGACAAAACTGATTTGATCATTTATTATAAAGTAAGTATAATGCGTCATGTTATCTTCCACCATATGTTGTGTGATGTAATTGGACAATGATGTAAGTATATTCTCTGAATTTTAGGTGCCATCTGCGATTATTGAAACTTTCTAGCTATTTATGGCTTCGAATAAGCATGCTAGCAACGGATCAATCAAGCCAATTATTGAGACACAATGAGAACCTTGGAAAAATCAAGTGTTTATGCAATCAACACACAATACAATTTAAATTCAAGTGGATAATTGGAAGAAACGATATCTCCAGGCCTCAACCAAGTTTAGAACTGTCCTACAAATCTTTACTTTCATGCACTTTTCGGTTAAGTTTAATTCAACATATATGGCCTATGATCAACATACTCTGGGAAGCAAATTGTAAGAAATTGTTTAGTAAGTATCTACTTTTATCCCAATATTTATTACGGATGACAAACTATTTATATACGCAAAAGGAAGGAGCAAGTTACGTAGGTACCTACTCATCGTAGTTCTAATAGAAAAATCATAAAGACTTTTAAGGAGAGCCAGTTTTATCTCTACAAGAGTCATGTTCAAAATTCACGATGAACAGAAACTAAAACGAAAAAATTCAAAGAAAATGATTTAGAAAGATTAATGACACCCTGGAGTGGCGTTGAGCATATTTTTAGAAGGAACAACTTAAAATCATTTTATAATTTCAGGGCAGCATTAGTTTTAAAAAAAAAACAGGTAGTAATTTTTTCAGATTTCTCCAGTTCCATCAGAATTAATGCAATTGAAACCCAATGCCTCAAAAAGTCGCAGAAAAGTGTTTTGATTTCACTATGCCTAGGTCCTACCTATGGAATATACAAGGAGATCATAGGAACTACACTTTATTTTCATGTTCTTCCATGAGAGGACGAAAGTACGACCCAATATGCATCCAAAGTTAACAAAAACCACTCGAAAATGAAGTGTAGGTACTTTTGATAGTGTTTTTGTTAAAATTTTTGAGGTAAGGCTCCTTGATGTAATCTGCTACAGTCCCCGCACAGGGTCTTGTGTCCAAGATATGTCTATCATGGGGATCTCAGAGAGGATCTCAGAAACCACGGAAGATACGACAATGGTCAAATTAGGGAAAAGTTGCGTAATTAAAGAATTGTTATCATGCTTTAAACAAAACCAGAAAATTCCGATTACTTCCGAAGATACGCCTGAAAAACCAAAATTTGCCGATTTGGTTTAAAAATTTTTTTATGTTATTTAAACGGATACAAAAAAAAACACTTTTTGAGCTCTACAAGACATCGTTTAGAGCTTTTCAAGATACAACGTTTCGTTTCGGATAAATCTTCATCAACTTTATTTTTTTATATGGCCCGTAAAAAAAGTTCACACTGTATAAGTAGTATTTTTTGTTATGATTATAGAGATATATGGTACACAAAAAAAAACAAGATTTGGAAACTGTTGGTTTCAGGATGGTGCATCCACGGACAACGCCCTAATCGTGCGAGAATACCTATCGGACAAATTTCCTGGAATATGAAAAACTTTTCCGATAGGTATTTTCGCACGAATAGGGCATTGTGCGTGGGTGCACCATCCTGTTGAATCTAAAGGTTTCCAAATTTTGTTTTTTTTATGTGCCATATATTGTTGTATTCGTAATAAAAAATGCTACTCAATTCAGTGTAGGTATATTTTTTTACGGGCCATATAAAAAAATAGTTGATGATTTTTTCGAACTGAAAACGTATTGAAAATCTCTCAACGGTGTCTTGTAGAGGTCAAGAAGTGGCAATTAGAAAGTGTTTTATATTTTTTTATTTTTCATTTGCCCATTATATGTCAATTATATCTGTCATATGTGATATATGAAGCAGTCTATTACGCCCAAGGGCATAATGGTTTGTCATCTCATTATGCCCTCAAACGGCCTGTCAAATTGACTGACGGAGTTATATTATGTAATAAAAAAGATGCAACTTGATTCGTATGAAGCACTTTAATGTTGGAAAAACAATAATCATGACATTTGCATATTGGAAATGCATTCTTTGGAACGATGAAAAATAAAATGTTGTATGCACCTCAGGCATTACTCAATATTTAACCCTCGGCTCGGGCCGGAGGCCCTCGGGCTCTGTCGCCCTCGGCATAAATATCGCCTTAATGCCCTTGATGCATAAATAACTATTGTATCTGTTTAAATAACAGTAAAAAATATTAACGAAATTGACAAATTTTGGTTTTTCTCGCATATCTTGGGAAGTAATTGGAATTTTCTGGCTTTCTTGAAAGCATGATAATAGCTCTTTAATTGTGCATCTTTTCTCTAATCAGTAATCATCTATTGTTTCAGAGGTCCCCATGATAGAGACATTCTTATTTTGGACACAGTAGGTTCGCCTTGTGGTTTTAACGTTACACGCTTTTATAGAGACGTGAAAACCAAAAATCTAAATATGCCCTCGGAATCATCTATTATTATATATACCCACTCTTTCCAATTTTCATATTCCTTTTATAGCTTCGAGACGTACAATCCCATGTGTGTCTAAATGTGCAAATAATATTAATTGTTGTATCTAATTCTATCTAATTGCAGTGTAAAGAAATGAAGCGGGATCTTTTTTTAAGTTGGTGGAGGCTATTTATGCTAAGGCAGAATCTTTTATTAGCTTATAATTTCGTCATGTCAAGTCTGATCTGGCCACACGCCCTTTTTACGTTTATTTAGAATGTTAATGCACCCTCCTTCAACTTGATTGCATAAGTACTGAGCCAAAAGTCCAGACACAGGCTAACATCATTTAGCGTCCATGAAGCGCAAGTCCCTACAGGACTGCCATTCAGTACTAATTTGTACATCTAATGTTTGTACCTATTGTTATTAACAAAATACTGTGTATGAGCCAACCGACCTGTTGCTGATGTACTATGCAGACCATACCCCATAAGTGACATATTTATTGTATCTTTACCTAACACAGGACATACGCAAAACGTTCCATAAATATATTTTTTTCGTCGCAAACTCTTGCGAGTTTTTTGTAGGGTATCTGTTCTCTAACTTAACCATCGTCATATCTTCTATGGTTTCCGAGATCCCCTTATCTTAGACACAGTGTACATTTCATTACAGATCCAAAACGACCAGAACATAAAACAATCACCACTACATCAAAAGTTATGGCTCTTTCCTTTTTCTTTGGAAATCGGTTTGTGTGTAGGTAAGCGTATGGGCTAGAAAAGTAGTACTCCTAGGCTCTTCAGGAAAACGCAAGGAATAGCCACGAACAAAAATGCATTTATCAAATTTATTTTGGTGATAAAAGTACAATAAATTTTTTGCCATTGTCTTCTTATGTAATGCAAAACAGTAGGAATTGGTCTGAAAGACGCGAAAAAATATATCTATGGAATGCATCTTTTCTTGGTAGGTATAAAGGTATATTTTCCTGGTAGATAAAAATAAAATAAATGTTTCACGTATAGGTTCTCTTTATGTAGGAGCTGGAAATACAGTACTGCCAGTACCTCCAATAAATGGTAAAGTTTAATTTTATTTATGTAATGTGCCTTTGGGGTAGATAAAAATACATACCTAAGAAGTATACGTTTGTGAAAGTGTTATAGTGTTATAATTTAAACGCGGTATTTTTACTAATATGGGATGTATCTATTTATTTCCTATAAAAATCGAAATATTCGAAAGCCATTTTAAAATGTGGCTTTAAACAGTGCATAAATTCAGTGATTAGTCTTGTCAATATGCAAGTTATGCGAAATCTACATGCTTTTTGCTATATTCTGACAATATATTGAATCATTTCTCCAACGAAATTGGTTCATATATTTCCACTAGCACAGTACGGTCGTGTTTTTCCCTTCTCGCAGGTAGGTACCATGCGTTTGTGTAAATCAATGCTTTAATCGTTATTTGTGATAGGTATACAATTTTGTTGGAAAAATTGATAAAACATATTGCAATATAGTAAACAGTACAGGAAACTAGGTATTTGCAGAAGTGTTGAGATGATTTAAATTGGTTAAATAAGTGGTTTAAATGTCCTAACTAACATTTTGTACTGTATTTTCCGGAAAATTAGAAAAATCTCCGAATTGGCTATTCTTGATGATATTATAGAACTTTATTCAGTTGTTTCATTGGGTTTAGTTGGAATAATGCATAAGTACATAAAACTAGTTGAATATAATGAATGTACTTTCCGAAATGTACATCCCTTACCACCAAAACCAGTGAGTGCATGTTTTAAATAATTTTTTGGTAGAAGACCCATATTCGACGTTTCGAGTATGTGTTTTTTAATTGTCTGGGTGATAGTAGGAGCAGGAGGGTCGTATATTTGTACATATAACTTGCAGTATGTCCTACAGTCCCTACAGCTCCTATACAAATATAGGTATCAGTGAATGTATTAAAACATGGGACTTGAGGAGGCTGACAGCTAAATTTCGTAGAGAGACTAAAGGGTTGTCACTAACAATATTTTGTTCTTTGTTTTGTTTTGAGGATAATTAACAAAAAGCGGTCTGCTGTTCTGTGCTTCAAGTAAATAATTCATTCAAACTAGTAATTACATTTAACTGCTTGATTGTTCAACATGCTGCACCCACAGCCTGTGTTATAGTTACAACCCTTCACCACAGCAATCTGTACAACGTTTTTTTTTTAATTAATAGTTAGTACTTACAAAGTAGGTAGGTATATACAAAATGAAATAAGTACAAAAAAGGTACCAAAAACTATAAAAGAAAATGAAAACCACATTCCATGAAAAAATGCTTATATTTGTAGGAAAAAAAGGATAGTTAGTATGAACGGTAGATGTTAGTCCGTCTAGTATAAAGATCTCCGATGACCTGAAAATGAGAAGTGTGCAATAGAAAATAAAAAAAAATAGAAAAACACAAAATATGAAAACATATCATGCATATATTTACACAAATAGAGTATAAAAGAGTATAAATACAAAAATAATAATTACAATAATTTGTGTAGAAGAAGCGTATGAACAAAAGCGTTACTAAATTAAGTTTCTCACCCTCAACGTTTACTTCAATATCCTCTAGTCGCCCGGGATGGTTGATTAACAAAGTGCTGGGTTTATGTATAGGTCCGGGTCCGGGCAAAGTAACACTAGGCCCACTTCCTCCACCGCCCACGCCAACAATTAACGGACACCCAACGACCGGTCGCTTATTAAAAGCGACATTAATAACGTGATCGCACGATTCGGCCGGCACAAAACTAACTGCAAATCTCGCATTTCCCTGGGGATGCACTTGCGTTGGTATATTTAAACCCCTCGCCGATATCGTAATTTCTAAGTTTCCTTCACCCGCCTCACCGGCATCGACCGAAAATGTCACCGGTCGTCCCACAGTCCCCCTCGCTACATGCCCCACAGTCACTCGGGTCGAATCGAAAGCTTTCGCTATAAATGGCGTCCCTTGCACCGCTCTCCCATTATAATCCACGTTAATTTGGTGAGCACCGACTTGGGTCGGCGTAAATTCAGCTGTAAATCCCGAATGTATATCGCCGGTAACTTTCACGGGTAGCTCTCCCACCGGGCCCCGAACGGCGACTGCCAATTCGGCGGCGCCCCCACCCGCGACGCCCATGTGAAACGAGCTCGTTTGATTAACGGGGATCAGCTCCAGATGCGATAGGCTGAGAGTGACTCGGCTTGTGTCGGCGACCGGACAGACAAAAGGACAACCTCTAACTGTTTCTCCATTGAATTTAATATCGATTAAGTGTGATTTCGCAACATCAGGTGTGAACGACACTAGGCAACGACCTCCTCCAACAACCTGCACGTGGTTCGGGACTTCTCCTTCGTTTATCGAAATTTCCAGCTGTCCTTCACCGGCCTGACTAGCGTCCACTAAAATTAAATTTGGTTTGAAACTGAAAGCACTCATTACTGTCAAGGGGGAAACCACTCATGTGTACAACGTGTTTGAAATTACTTTTGCAGTACATTGACATTTTGGAAACGTTACCTACTATTGATTACAAGGTAGGTACTATCGAAGACCTCAACATAAATCGCAATTCAAACGTTAATTTGCGACAACCGTTATTATACCTAAACAGCGCGACTTTTTAATTAAATTAAATTAATTATTTAAAGTTGTGCTTGATTCGTGTGCAGTAATTTTTAGGACCTCTGCTTTCGCGTCCGCTTTGCATTTGTCACTTCCGCTTCCGCATCCGATGTTATAACGGAAGTATACCGAAATTTCTCAAATATAGCAAGGTGCGCTATAAGTTCTTATTGGCCGAACAGGACCGCGCGTGAAATGAATCGTGGGCGGGGTTTGTCAGCCAAGCCGTCAGACGTGTCGTGACTTGTTTGCCTTTGTTTACTTTCATTCATCTCAGTTCGTCGCTACAATTCGTATTTTATTTAATTTAATAAACTAAATTTAGTTAGTAGTTATTGAGTTACCTACTGGCATTTTTTTTTAAAACATTCTTATTTTTCATTAGGTGTAGTACCTAGGCTTTGGAAGCAATCGTTTTATTTGGAATGCAATCTTAGTGTTCAAAGTATAATTCGTCCAATTTTCACAATGGGTCCGTATGGGTCATTATCCACATTGTGTTCTTTTTGAGTTGTTTGTTATTTACGCCAAAAACTAAAAAAAAAAGAAAATGGTATGGTTCGAGATATCGTTCATAATTTTAAAAAAAAACCAAGACTGTGCCACTTCGGGTATTTACAGAACGACGAGATTAAGTCATTCTCAAGGTCACCACCGATCAGCCCCCCTTAGAATTCTACAACCATTGTATAAAACTTTTTTCCAAAAAAGATGATTCCTGCTAGTTATTAAATCGTCTCGAGATAAATGAATCACCTGGTATGTTATATATGTATAACCGAGCGCCAAACATATCACAGCACAAACTGTTTTTTACCTACTACATAAAATCTGTACCTACAACTAAAACGCGCGCTCCCCATGTGATTGATGGTACCACCAGGTCCTGCTTCTGTACTCCCTAAAATTTGTAGACGTACTACTGGTAGCAAAATACCCCTCATTTTAACCGAAATACAGCTGATCAAGTTAGACAGTTTCTCGAAATGTAAAAAAATTGCTGAAAAACGAAACTCATCTTAGAACCGATTCCTTCACCCTCCCCCCGTCCCTCCCAAGATGAGACATACACATCAACCCAAAAGACGACATTGTACCATCGGCATCTGATTCACCTCGCTTTACTAAAAAAAAATACGCACTCCTCAACAGTACCTGGCTGGAATGGGTTTATCAAGTTAAGGGCCAATTACACCATCAAAATTAAGTATCCCTTAAAGTTAAGCATAACTTTAAATACCATAGCAACGATTGGTGCAACTGGGGCTAAGGCCACAAGGGGAGGAGTATAAATCTTCAAGCGACTATTCCACTGTGTACACATCCATCCATTGTTCTGGAAAGCTTGAGGCGTGGTGGTTCCTCCTCTTGATGAGTTGCATGGGTGCCGTGGGAACCATTACAGCAGGGGGTGGCTTGAAATAACTCTTCTGCAAAGTCTTTGCAAGCAACATAGTGTTCATAAAATTATCTCATGGAACGCTTATGCCAGAGCTGTTCGCCAGCATAGCCTTGCACACGCTGCCTTAGTCGGACGCGTCAATGATCTTTTGGAATTGGAGATGTTTCTGCTGGACTCTTCGTACACTTTGAAAATAGATTCAAAGAGCCCTTCACTCAAAAGTGTGATGGAAAAACTGAAGAACATTGAGGACTGAGGGCCAACTGCGACACTTTGGATTCAATATTTCCGCATGTGCACGCTAATGAAGAACTTCATCAGAGCTAAAAGGACAGGTGACTGAGAACTATGCCTTCATTCCGTCAGCCGACACCGATGACGATAGTGAAGATCCCACTAACCTCCCCCTTTTCCTGCCCCAAAGGTGCATGAGGAAGACGTGTGAATGGACACCTGCAACGATGACGACGACAAGGAAGATTTGGCAGCCTCCAAAGTTTTCATAGCTTGATCTACTATCTACTATATGTACATATTGTGGCGAATATTCCGGAAATCCCGATAGACATTGAGGCACCGTCAAATATTAGTCATCAGCGATAAAGAACAAAGGCGGATGTGACGTAATCTTTCCGAGAAGTATGACGTGTTTGTTCGAGAACATTGTAAAAAGGCTTTGAAGTGTCCGCAAGCGTTCGACAACTATCGAGAAAGAGGGAGTTGATTGAATAATGATTCAGGACAGTTCCAATTACTACGCCGAAGCAATAAATAGTGATAAATGTTCATGTATTGGTAATATTACTATTTTTCATTAAATTTACCTTACAATATAGCGATGCTTTTTTTTGGAAAATAAATTACTTTAATTCTTGATTACTAATAATTTTAAAGTAGGGCGAATACCCACAAAGCCGACACGATTTTTAGATGGTCCATATCGTCGACTAACCATAGTGTCCGTCGGCGAAGTGGCATTGTCGGCGTTGTGTCCCTTGCACACTTGTCGACGATGGGGCACGGTCGGCGTAGTGTCCCTAGTCGGCGATATGGACCATCAAAATATCGTCCGTCGGCGTTATGGGCATTCCGCATTCGGCGAAGTGTTCTACACCCATAAACATTTTTGGTATGCGAGAGGGTTCCTTAAAATGCATTTATTACATTAAAATGAGGCATTTTCGCGTTAATGGAAGGGGGGGGGGGTTACAGATGTTCCAAGATGAGTTTGGTTAACATTGGTGCTAATAATTCGTTTCGCCAGCCAAATTTTAGCACATTTAATGCCCTACAACTTTGTAATGCCCTACTTATGATAAAAAATATTCTTAGTTTATGAGATATACCTAAGCGATAAAATAGTAGTTTGAAAATTTTGGAGTTTTTGATCCCCTTCCTAGTTAGGACACGGTCGAGGTCGAAGAAGGGTAGATAGCATGGTGCACCCCCAAACAACCTGTAAAAGTTGCATTAACTTTTAAATGCTTTCCAGATAAAAAGTGGATATTGACTGGACTATATTGCAGAAATGGTGGAATATAAATATGTACCTAAATTGTAGAGATTGAAGATACATATACCTACTCATCCAGCATGACATTCGGCACTTGATTTTAGAGAATAGGTACTGCAGGTATTAATTTGGGCACGTGAGGGCAACATACGAGTATGTTAATTAAACATACAGCTCTACAAAGTCGTTTCAGTGTTGATTAATTTAAGGGCATTTTGCCAAGACCAATTTGTGCTTTTTTGTTCATATCTTTTAAATTATGACAGAACACTCGTTTGTTTGGGGTTAAGAAATTATAATTAGTAATAAAATATTACAAAGAATTCAAATTTTAAGTTTGTTTAAAAACATTCAACTGCTCCATCCTTTTCTTTCATATGTATGTAGATTACATAAAAATGCTCCCTCTCAGTGAAAGCGTACCATATGGCACATCGCAGCAAAGATCTAACAAAATGATCATGCTATCAAAGCAATTACATATTAATAATTTATAAAAGGAGCACAACATTTATTTTAAAAATCATTTCCTGAAAAAGTCCCTTGGAATATTATGGACACACTAATCCTACCTAGGTAGGTATTGGTATAGCACACAATCCAGCACAACATTAGTTCGCCTAATTCAAAAATGTTCTCATGTTTAATTCTGTTCAAATTAAGAATTGTATTTTTTCTTAGATGAAACAGGCACAAACCTAGCACAAAACTTTGTTTATTTTGCTGGTTTATACCAGAGTACATTACTAAGAGTTTTACTTAGGAGTATCTAGAACTCCTAGGTTCCTACTGCATTGCCAACATTAAAAAAATAAATCATGTAGGTACCTACAGCTTTTTAATGAGTGGTTCTACCCTCGACTGTCATAATATATAGTTACCTCGAAATTGCACTGGTTGCCCCACGACACCTCCATTAACATCAGCCACCTGTATGAGTCCGGCATCATAAACTTTAGCAATTAGTGGCGATGACAGTTTTTCACCGCCCACAGTCACTTCGACAATATGTGTACCGACCTCAGTCGGAATGAATTCGACACTCTGCAGACCCGGTCGGGTTCCGGGTAGTACGCGAGCCTGCACCACTCTTTTAGCCGGTGATATTACGTGCACCGAGACATCTTCGGGAATGACGGAGGTGCTATTCGTTATTATTTCGAATACCGCCGGCGTGTTAGCGGCGACAAGTCTCGTAGATTCTCCAAGTACGGACGCCGAAGAGTTCGACATGATGTTAACATGCCAGGGACTTCCTTAAATGAAAATATAAGGTGTAGTGTGAGAAGGTAAATTGTTATGTAAATTAAAATGGTACTGTACTGTACCTGGCACCTGTTGATCGACTCCTTGGCGTTATAAATATAATAAAAACTTCACAATTGTATAAGAAAACAATCTTTACCATACGAGGGAAATATGGAGGAACATTTTAGAAAGCGCCTTGAAAAAGAAATTCCGCAAGGAGCGACACGAAAACACTTTAAAGCAGCGCGAACGGTGCAACAAGTTTCGAGCGGAGGGGTCAGGGGCAGTCGACATTCCTTTCGTGGAAGCACTAGACCACGCAAATGCAAGCACAATAGGCGTACTTTGCAACAACATTGCCGTAATTAGCTGCTTGAACGACTTTGCATTACGCTATTATCGTTCAATTACAATCTTTATAAAATTCAAATTTCATGTTTTCATGCCAAATTTTATGGCGGGAATACCTTCCGTTGGTAAGTGGGGCAATGACCACGGATTTTGTGAAAGTCGGTTTACATATTATATATGAGGACTAAAATTACGAAGATTTATATAATTTTTATATATGATTTTGTTATTTAGAAAATAAATACGAATTTTACATACGCAAACTATTAATGCGCTACTCTAAAAATAGGATCGGCGACCTTAGCATCAAGGGCGTTTAAATTTACGCTCGGTGGTCCAATTCGGTAAATAGATAGCGGTTGCAGAGAGATAAAAAAGCCTAAAATTGCTAATTTTTTATCTCGTCGGTGAGTAACATGTCTAAATTTGTTTATAATCGAAGACGAAGATAGGTTGAAGCTTCGCTTCCGTAAATTAGGCGCCAATTTCCCATGCGCGGTTCCCGCAAAAATTTAAATTGACGTAGTCATAAAATCACAATTTTCAACCATGATAGAATTTGTAACGTAAAACTAGGCTTGTCTAATGGGGTAATCACGCTCGCAAAGAATTTAATTTGCCATAATAAATTCCAAAACCGTTTGCCAATGTCTTCTAAATGCTATCCTGGATGTTAGACAACACATCGTACACACAAATCGTTGAGTGCGTTATTCAATGGTGGGTTATCCTCCCTGTGGTGGTAACCTTTGAATATAAAGTTTTGTATTCAAAAGTGGAACCAGTTTCCATTGTATGTAGGTACTTTTGCCGTTTTTTGGGAAATTTCATTCCGAAAAATGACTGCTGACTTGGCGAGCGCACCAAAAGGATTTTGAATAAATCCACAAACGATGAAAGGAGGGACCCCCATATACATAATTCTTTGAATGTAACCTCCTTTGTACCCTCGTCGTTTTTGAAAAATCACGATCATCTTCGCGAATTCAATGTACGATCGCCGACTAAAGTAATGATAATCGGAACTTGCTGCCACTTAGGCAACCAACCATACACTATCTAAAATGTCAACGTTGAAGTGTAAGGTTTACGGGGAAGATTCGTGAGAGATAGGCCCAATGAATAAAAAATACAATTCATTGGATGGGCCACATGCCTTCGCGTATTGTCGTCTTTGCTTCGGCGTTTCTTCCTTACTACCTTGATATAAACGCTACAGTAGGTTTAATTACAAAATTCGGGTAAAACCGGATTTTATGCATTATATTCTTGCAAACTTAGGAGACATTAATTCACATTGGAGATAAAAACCGGTTTTAAGGTTAATTTTGCAAGACTTTCTTTTTTTAAACAAATACTCTCTTAAGATGTAGTGATCCTGTTCCAGAATATCGCGTTTCGAAAAAATCCTTTTAACAACATTCTACTAAATGAAAATGATACGTAGCATCATTGTACATCTTTCGCGTCGTCTCACCTTTGACTTCTTCAGTTTAAAAAAAATAATAGTTAACTTTTGGGCTCTCCGTTCTGTATTTTGTGGAGGATCAAAGACGAGACTTTCAGAAGCTGGAATTTGGAGGATCGCAAGTGTAAGTTGTCTCAAGGACCTACAAAGCCATCGAACAACAAGCAGTAACGCCTATTATTCTGACTATTTTTTTAATTTATTTCAAGAACGATTTGGACGAAATTGATGCAGATCAAGTTCATGGAAAACCAAAATATAGTTTATATCTACGTTATCAGCGCTATGAAATCGACACAATGTTGTAACGAAGCACCTGTTTTCCTCCTCGAAGTTATGACCACACCGTGTATTTGTGCAGTCAACAGCTTTGCTGGACACCTGGTATCTAGAAGCGTTTTTTGTTGGGCGCTTCGTTATTAAGTAGTACGCTGATATTACTTATTTGCTCTAGGAGATGACGAGACTGTGTTTTCATTTTGTTTAATTGTATGCCTACCACCGATAACGCATGTAAGTTTTGTAGTGAATACATTCTTTTCTGCAACCTTTCCTGTAGGAATATTTAAATTGTTTTGACAGTCACCGAAAACTCTCTTGCCAGAGGAGAATAGGGCAAATTAATATTTTAGAATTTCTATGGTAAATTTAAAACGAGCATTATAAGCTGTACGGTCGTGCAGTTTATTTCGTTAACGCAGACCTTTTACGATTGACTCAAAATTTCAGGTCACTGTGGGCAATAGTAGCTACCGAATTTGAATTTGCTTTAGCGCAACGACACACCGACCGATTTGGAATTTCCTATTTTTCGCTCCATGCAACAGACGCGCTTTATATAAAGTAAAGCCGTTTGGGGGGGGGGGGGGATCTTTTGCTTTTGCACTTTTGCCAATTACATTTGCAAATACCGTACCTATTGAATTTTGATATTTCCGTAAATTTATTTCGTAAACCGTACCGTATTTAAATCATGATATTTTGCTTTTTGGATATTGTTAGCTTTCTCGCATTTGCTTTTCCGTCGCTTCCGCCGATTTGTATTTTGTTGCTTTCATCCTCACTAGGGAGTTTGCCGTAATTTTATTTTAGTTTCCAAGTGACCGCCGCCATTTTCTGGATCCGCATTTGTCCTCGAGTCCGTCCGTTCGTCCATCCGTCCGTTTGGTTTCGCCAACTGCCATTACGTTTGTCCGCTACTATCTTCATTAGAATTACTACAATTTCTATAGGTAGCTTATATTTTCTTTGAAGTTAAATTATAATTATTATCCCGCTAATATTTTGTTTAAATTTTTTAAAGCTCACCGAGTGTGCGCGAACTGCCCAAGTTCGTCGCAATGTAACGGCTTAGTTACATTTACAGAAGTTGGATACCTTGCTCTCTTAAAACAAAATTTAATTTCTACGGCACTGGTAAAAATTTTACTGTAACAATTAATTTTTTGTAATGCAATAATTAATACCACGGATTGCTCAATAATAATAAATAATAATAAAATTTAACCCACCCAAAAGAATGATATCTTACTGAACTGTTAAAAACTTTACCAATATCTTTAGTTTGGGTTCATTTCAGTCAAAGGAAATATACAAATTTGTTCACGGAATAAATTCTCGTGGGTTGGCCTCTTCAGGAATGTTAGAGTCAAAATATTCAGTTGATTTTGGCTTGAGGCGGTTTCGAAGCTGCCCGCGAGGTCTCAATAGGTCCCGCGATTCAAGTTCCCCAATTCCAAACCTTTACTGTTATCTACTTCCGTGCCAAGTAAAAAAACCGAAACACGTTCATCGCAAAATGCGAGACCAAGCTGGATTATCTCTTAACCCACGCATTGGTAGCTGCACCTCACTATCATCGAACCTACTGGCGCTAACTCTACTTATGTAATTTTACCAATATATAGAATTCTAAAAAATGTAACCGGCAAAGCGAGCCCCCGTTACCTTATCTATGGTATAAATTAAAAAGAAATCAAACAATAAAATTACTAAATGGAAATAAGTAGGTTGTTTAATTGTAACAATGTTAATCGGACAACTGAATTTCTGCTTGGATTTCGCATATCAACAATTACGCGGTGAGTTATTACATTGTATTCTCTATTATAGGTACTATGATTGTATGTAGTATTAAATGGTCATCTTTCAAAACGAGATGCTATTGGTACATTGATAATTTTAAAATTGGTAAAAATTAAAAATAGGGTAGGAATGCATAACTGCCCCTGTTCTCCATATTTCATCTCATCGTGGAATTAATGACCGCAAAAATTTTGTCACACTTTCCACTAGGTTGCTTACAAATCGGCGAATTGCGTGTAATTCAATTACAAAAAGTAATTAAAAACGTCACGCTTGATGACTACACACAAATTTGTATCCGTACTAAAACACCAAGAGTTCCGACGAAAAATGTTCACTTCCTTCACTTTTAACAGTGCGCCCATTTTACACAAATTAATCACTTACCTGGTACAGTTTCGCCATTGAACCTAATGTCAATGCGATGGGATAACGCTTGGTGTGGTGTAAAGGCAGCTTTGAAACGCTGCCCGCCTAGGCTTCTAACGCTCGACGTCACCCTACCTCCTTCCACTAGGATTTCCAAATCACCAGAACCGGCACCGCCTCCGTCAACTATCCACAAAAATACAAATTTAGCTACAAACACCTCCAAAAACCAACATACTTTCAAATTCAACAGGTTGTCCCAAGACACCATCAGGGACAGGTTGCACTTTAATAGCGGAGGCACCACCTGCCTTGCTTACCGTCCTGTACTGACTGTCGTAATTCTGCGTACTTGACGAATAATTCTGCATGTAGCTCTGCTCGCGTTTAACGAGCCTTTCGCTGTCATCGTCAGTTCTCTGGTGCAATTCCGTAGATAATTGGGGTTCCGTTAAATTAGCAACGGACTCTAAGCTGCGATGCGATAACATATTGCGTGTTTTAGCAATAGCGTCCCACGAGTCACGCCTCGCCGAAACCTGCTCGTTCGCTCCCGACACTTTAATAATTGGCGTCGTATCAACGCCCGAATTGCTATTACTCGTGTACGTGCGACTTTCGGTTTTGTCGTAACGGGACGTTGAGCTGTATCCCAAATTTGGACTGGCGCGTTCCATGAAGTTTGGACTGCGCGATTCGGAGACGTGAAGGGACGATACCTTGTTTGTGTACGTGTCGTAGTCGGTTCTCTTGGCGAAGCTGGGGCTTGGAGTTTCGTGTCGTCTCTCGTTCAGTCTCTTGCTTGTGATGTACTCGGGACTTTGGGCTCTGTTGTAGCTGGGACTCTGCGCGCGCGGAGCAAGCGAGGGGCTGCTGATACGTGGAATTGGTCCGGGACTATTCGCTCTGAGCCTGTCATCGAAACTGGGAGAGCTCGATAATAGTCTACTGTCTGTTACTACCAGCTTTTGGTAGTTATTTCCGAAACTAGGGCTACTGTTTTCTCGGTATTTCGAGGTTTTGTTCGAGTTATATGTGGAGTTGATCGTAACGGGGCTTGGAGTGTTAAGTCTGCTCGATAAAGTCGGACTCTGTTTATACGTCGAGTTTGGACTGCTATTTGATGATTTTGATCTTCTTTGCGTGCCGACCCTCATCATGAACGGAGAACCTTTCACGTCGTATCCGTTAAAATAGATGTAGACCTAAGAATATAAGTACTTAAGAAGAAATGCTAGGAGAAATTGTGTAATTACCCTATGCTTTCCGGGGGTTTTTGGCGTGAAATGTATTCTGTATACAAACCCGGCCGTATCTGCTCTTTCTATGCGACAATGGATTGATCTTTTGTCGTGTACGATGTCAGCAAAGACTTCGCCTGGTACGCCGACCGCAGTGCAATCAACGTCAATAATATGCGGTACTAACGGCAAGGCTTGTTCCAAACCAGACACCTGGACTCCATTAGGATCGAATACAGAGCATGTAAAAGGGCCACCCTAAAAATGGCAAAAAAAAATTTTATTAGACACCTGCTTGTATGTAAACCATAATTAATTAGTGCTAGAACTCGGCCTAGAGGAAGTTGCATTCTCGGAAGAGCGGCATATGGGTGGTTCTCTATAGTAAGCCACATTCGTACGAAACAACAATTATTTACGGGGATGCTACGTGTTCGAGCGCGTCAAAGTTCATATGAACGCTGATATCCGAGTAATGAAACCATTATCGACAAAAACATACCTTGACATCAGGGAAGCTGAAACATCCAGTTCTTGGGCGAAACGTAAGGCAGATCAATCTGCATTTTATGAGTGATTGTCCATTCCTACTTCATATAACGCAAATATATTTGAACCTAGGGGGACTTTGTCTTCAGACAAATGCTATAGGATCATCGACGTAACTCCAGGAGAAAAATATTTAGAGGTATCGTAAAATATTTGGTGTTGGTGTTGTTTTTTAATCGCCGTGAATTAAGTGGTTTTCAAAAAAAAAGTAACCCTTAAGATTTTTTACGTGTAAATGTTCAATTATCCAGTAAGGTTTGTATTTTTGTGTATTTTAATAAAACTTAACTAAGAAGGGTAAATTTTGAATTAATCAGATTATTTACTACTTATAGATTTCGAGTTTTTTTTTTACAAGACCCTCCCCATTTAACTGTACAAATATCTGAATGCCTTAGAGGTAGGCGATTTTCAATTTCGAAAACTGCCTCAAAAATTGGAGTGGAGAGAGAGGGCAGAGTTCTCTTTATGACATTTAAAGTACATCTGACACACGTTCAAACTATCCCCTGGCTGAGACCCCCATTTTCGAAATATTTGTCCTCAACACTTTCTCGTCGAAACCTTTCGTTGAAAGTCTCCTTTGACAGTCCGGTTTTCAATGGTTTTTAATGTGTTCACCTCACCACTGACAACGTCTCGTGCAGACGTTCCTTGCTTTTTCAAAAATTCTATGCCCAATCTGATGAAGCATCATTTTTAGTTCATAATTACCGAAACTATTGTAACGGGACCCCGTTAGATCATATATAATTTTTTTCGAATTTTAAAATGTGTAGAGTGAGGGCGCATAGATTTAATGGCGACTACGAAGCGCTTTGCGATAATCAAAGCGAATCGCGAGAATTGCGGTCGTTCCGTATCAGTTTTTTAGGACGGCTATAAGTTAAATAAAATTGGGGAGTTACGATTGGTTAAAATGCGCGCCGGAAGCTATCGAATCCAGGGGCGGACTGGCCCGGGGGGGCGGGTAGCGATTGCCACCTGGCCTGTAGGTCATAATGGCCCGTTGGAAATTTATAAGTAGGGCTAGAATTTTGATGATTTTGTATCTTGTTTTCTGAAAGTCTGAGACATTGCTCTGTTATATATAAACGTGTTTCAGGATAAATTGAATCAAATGTGAAATGACAGCAACTTGTTGGTGCATTTTTTTTGCATTCTTTGCCATTTTTGAGCAATGGGTCATTTTTTGCTCATTTTTACGGTATTTTTAGCATTTTTTTGTGTGTTTACTGTAAATTTTTTGCATTTTTCAGGAATAGCGCTAATTTTTAGCGCATTTTCCAACAAAGTTGGGTGCGCTATTGTAGCCACTTTCTCTGACCGTCCGTCTGTCCGAGGCCTTAACTACTCCTACAGTTTTCAAGATATTTAGTTCGTTCTTTTTGCATTCGGTAGCGTATCTCTCTGGCACCTGAGTCAAGGAAAATCTTGACGATTGAACTGCGCATGCGCAGGCTGCGCAATGTGAACTTTTTTATTTATTAATATATTTTGTTGAAATTTTAATCACAGATACTTGTAGTAAAGGCACATATATATATCGCATATAGTAAAAATCAGATGTGCGCATGCGCAGACTGCGCAATGTCAACTTTCTTATTTATGGAGCTATTTCTTTGAAATTTTAACCAAAGATGCTTATTGTAAAAGCAAACGTATTGCATATTATAAATATCAGATTAATAAGCGCATGCGCAGGACGCGCAATATCAACTGCGCAGTAAATGTCAACTTCCTTATCAATGAAGATATTTCTTTAAAATTTTAACCATATATGCCTCTAGTAATGAAAAAAATAGCGCACATAGGTATAGCCTTTGGGAAAGTATTGATCAATTTATGGAAAATGCGCTGAAGTTACTCGCCTTAGGGCGTAAACCTTTTTACTTGTTTTGATATTTTATGGTATTTCTCTTGGCGAACTTATAAATCTTTGTTAAAGTTTTATTTTTCATGCAGTCTTATATTTCTAAAACATAATGCACCTACCTGTTTAGAAATGAAGCCTAAAACCTCCATTGCAAGCTAAATGCATAATTAACGTTTTCTTGGAACGTGCTTAAGTCATCCACAAACGAATGCCCACTAAAAGGGATTAAATTTCTTTGGGATGGGGTAAGTGAGTCAGTACCTTACATACCTAGTTTCTACGACTGGCCTGCAGAGGGTGGAAATGAACCACCACTGAAATTCCTGTCTTATCTTACTTAATTACTACCCTTCTTAACATAATTTTGCGGTCTTATTCAGTTTCATCAATAAATTTATTTGTTATTTAAAATGTCATCTTTTTAAATTTGTATGTCATTTTTGCGAAATTTTTAAGTCATAATTGCATTTTTTATTTTGCATTTTCGCTGATTTTTAACGTCATTAAAATCCTAGCCCTACTTATAAGTATGTGCTGTATTTAGTTTCTTGCACTATTAATCAATTATTAACACGTTTCTCTTATCAGCTGCAATTAAAAAACTATTGTAATTAATTTGCGAGAAAAGAATACTTTAAAATGAAGCAAAAAAATTGGCCAGTAACCTATGCAATTCCACCTGGCCCGTAAGTACCCAGTCCGCCCCTGATCGAATCCCTGCGAGCGAATACGAACCATTTGCGTTGGAGTTGTTTAATTTTTCCTACCCGGGCAGACAGATGGACCCTTAGATTTGTGTCTAAGGATGGACCAAACAATCACATAAAGGGAATTTCTTTCGATTAATACACGACCAATCGGCTTGGTGATTGTTTCAAATTCTAACCAATCAGATGATTTTTTAAGTGATTAGGTAGCTTTTTATCGGCGATAAAAATGCGTGTAGGAATGCGTAAAATATATAGTCTAAAGCACTCAAATTTCGTTTAAAACTAAAATTATCCGATTAAAAATCAAGCCCTTGTGTATGCCCCCGAAAAATTCCCCTAAAAGAGGAGAGAGCCGAGCAGCAACCGCGATAGAGTGCAAATAGTCGGCACTAACATTGCGGTCGCGAAATAAAGCGAATTTAACATTAAAAGTATACGTGAAAGTAAGGTAGCCGAGCATTACTCGCTTTAGGTCTTTCGCTGGCAGTTTTGATTGCGGAGGAACTTATAAGTTATCGCGTCTTTTAAAAAAGTAAAAGGTTAGTGGAATAACGGCAGCTGTATTGCTTTCAGAGGAAAGGTTCGGAAGGTTCCTGTATTCTATAGGGATCTATTCGGTAATCGACGAGTTTTGCTTTCGTGCAAGCCCTCAGCTGTTCCCAAACTGTGACTATCTTTTACATTGTCGATCCCCATGGTAGGCGACAGAGGTAGCGATCAGAAAATTAAAACAGGACCGACAAACTTTACATTACTCGTCGAAGTTTTTACCTTTACAAAATCAAAGAACCTTCAAATAATCTGAATTAGACGTTTTTTTTGTATTGTGACAAAATAGAGCGAGTGGCAAAAAGGTTGAAGCAAGCAAATCGACTCTAACATGTCGGTTTTATACATGTAGCAAAAATACGGATTATGACGATTGTTTACGTAAGGAAAATGGATCAAGGATAATTTAAGTAGGCGCGCTGTCACAAACAACCATTGTTAAAACTGCTGTGTAAATGTATAGGTCCGACATCGTTGATAACCAACCCTTACAGATGAAATCCTTTACCTGTATTTGTTTGCCCTGGTACGTAATTTCAATTCGCCATTCACCGGGCTCGTCCGGTTTGAACGTGGCGCTGTTCGTGCCATCGATGGTAGTTAAGGGACAATTTAGTGGCCGCCCATGTGGACTGTAAGCTATCACTCGAATGTCTTCCCTTCTGGGAGCACCTAAAAAATTGTGTAATGACAAATTTACTGACGGACATTCTAACCAGTTGCATTGACGAGAACTTGCACCAGTGAACCAAGCGCGCAGGGTGCCATATCTGGAGGCGCAACTTCAACAAGAGGCGGTAGTACTCTGAAATAATGACCGGTGGATACCTCCTGCGAATCGTAGGAAACTATTATTTCGTGCATTCCCACTTTATTTGGCACAAACACACCGCGGCCTTGGTTTAGGTTCTTGACCACGTACACTTTATTGTCGGGCGCTTTAACGTCCGTTGATAAGCTTCTGTAAGATAACGACGAATCCAATAGCGACACTTGGAAGTGAGTCTAAAATTGCTAGTTACGAAAGTTTGTAATCAAATACAAGCGCTTACCGGTTCTCCAACTCGTCCAGACGTGCTGTCTAATCTGACATTGATGAGATCGTGTAAAGGTGGACGCTCTGGGATCCATTGGTAGTGAGCAGCATAAGCCATCACGCCTAGATGCTCAACGTGAGTATCCGCCAAATCCCTGGCAGACAGAATAGGCTCGACTCCTGCATTAACCAATCAAGGTGAGTTATCTAAAGACACGCACTCACCAAGCCTTTTCCCTGCATCTAACCCTTGTTGTAAATTGGACTCCCAATAGCTTGGATCGCTTCTCAGTTTATCGGGCGAAGGTGCGGATCCGCCCAACGATCGAACAATTTCACAGATTGTTCTGCCGTCATTCCAATCGGACTAGAAAGTGGGTAACGTTATCCGCGCAACGTATATTATGAAGACCTTTACTTACCGTAAAGTTCTTAATAGACCGCTCCAGTCTAGAATTGACCCATCGCAAGGTGGCGTGGAATCCTGGCGATCCTGGTTTCATGAAGTAGGACAAGTATGTCATACCGGACAGCTCGTCCAGCCACGGCGATGCTAGGTACTCAGGTTCGAGAACCGCCGGAATGCCCAGATCCTTTTGGGCGATTCCCATGGATCTCCGACAATTTTCGATGCTTTCATTTTTATCTGTCGTGCAGAAGTTACTTATTAAGACTGTGTCAGTTTAACAATAGAGCTCGTTACCTAGCTTTCTCCAATTAGGGAACAATCCCGGTTTACAATAGTCGATAAGTGCGGATAGTAGTATTCCAGAATTCCAATCAGTTGTCAGATTATTAACTTTGCATTCGGGAAGCACGGCTTGCAACCAAGCCAGCATTAGCTTGCGTGGAGGGAATTTCGATCTGCCAATTTGGTAGCGTACAATTAAAGACCAAATTAAGCCCAGTATAAGCTTTAAATTTCCATTTACGATGTCGACGTTTCCTGCAACAAAATTAAAATTAATCGGGATGAAAATTATTCGTGTATTCCGTGCGTGTTAGTAATACGCGGCGTGCAATTAAAATTATGAAAACAATAAGAATTATGATTTGAGTCAATAAACGCGAAAGTATGCTACTTCAGTCCTCATTTTAGAAGAAAACGATTTCAATTAAATCTACAAGGTATTGTTTCAAGACTCCCACATTATACCTACGAAGTAGCTAAACTGGTGTGAAATATTTCATGGCAAGTAATTCAAACAAAATTCGTCGTTGTTTATTCCATTGTATATTATGCATTTATCAAAGCCGCTCTGCTATAAGAAGGGATTTTTACCACCACCAAGGAATTTCACATAAACCAAGACTCCTGCCATAAACCAGTTAACAATTTTAAAGCCATAACCACTTGCAAGTTCATATATTTGTAATACCTATATTAGATTTCCATATTTTAAGTCTATATTCATCAGTTCATGAAACATTTGAAAACTGTTATTATAAGTAGAAGAAGAAACGCAATCCACAATTATATATTTTTAAGGGTTTTGAAATCTTAGGGCCATGGGGAAGCAATTTATCAAAATTATAAGAGTAAAGAGACGAACATGTTATCCATATTTATCCACCGAGGGAAACGCTCAAATATATAATTTGTAACAATTAGACATTCATTTTGGTTACCTACAACAAAAGCTGTTCATTTACTTAATGCAAAACATTAATTTATTGAATAGAGTTGATTACTAACGCTATGTCGTAGATATAATTTATTGTATAGTAATGACTATGACAACGGGTCGTGGAGGTAATAAAAGTTAGCTTAATAGTCAAGAAGTGTAATTAATTATGCTTTATAGATTATACCGTTAAGAAAGTATAATAAAACCTGAATTAGATACCCACCTACGATGTGCTCAAATTCTATGACATTGTACTGAAATTTCACCCTATATGTAACCAATTAAAAAAGGCCTGTGATGACTAGGTCAAACAATCAGAGAAATCAAATCCGATCTTAACGTAAACCACCCCCTGAACAGGTCCAATGGTATCGCGAAACTGTTTATTCAAGACCCGAAAGTTTCAAACCGTCCTTTTATGCGTCTTTATGTCCGTCCGTCAGCCTTACAGAATTTAAGCTAATCCCTTTATGAGGATCAAGTAAGAAAATCGAAATTTAAATCAACGGAGGTGCTCATCAACATTGAAATACCCTTCTTAACAGTGATAGCGTATTTTGAAATTATTAAAATAGTGTTTGAAATTAAGTTAAGTTAAGTAGTTGTAGTAGGTAGCAGTATGAAAATTGCATTTGAAACTAGAAGTTTTCCATTTGTAAATGGACATGTAAATAGGCAGCGGTTTGTTTTATAAATTTGCTGCGTGTTGTTATTATGTGTCGCCTACGTTGTTTTGCTAATGAAGTTTGGATAATCGGTACGAAAATCGCAACTATTTAGTGGGGTTTCATGATTTTCGTATTCCAACAGGCAACATCACTGCGTGTAATTGACTTCTGCAAGAAGTAAGGGGCAGTCCATCGAGCTCAATCCCGAAGGCGTGGGTTGCCCCACAGCTGACACCGTGAAACCCAATCCGATGCAATGAGATTATCAACGGTGACGACTTGAACAGTCAGAGGATACTATTTTTGTGCTTAATTATTTAGATTTGTCTGATTAGAAATAATCGTTATAAGTATTGTTTACTAAGATAGGTTTAATTATCTGCCCAGCAGACATATTTTTTATTATTTCAGTTAGGATTACGCTTTTCGCTTATTTTTGGGGGCTTGCAGGAATTTTTAAATTCAGTGTCTGAGATAATCCTTTGGAATCTGCATGACAGTTATTGCTTTTCTACAAGGAGAGTAAACGATTTCTTTCAAGGAAACAAGCCAATATGGAAGTTGAATAGTGTCTCCAAAATATATACAAGTATACAAGTATCTGAATATTTTGGTAATGAAATGTAACCCCTCATTACAAATTGACGCATAATCGTGGGAATTTGCTACCCAAGAAGACAACGAAGCCTAGGAACCGTGACAGAAACTCTCTTTAAACAAACGTAAACTTGCCGAATTTTTGCTTTTATAGGATTCGCAAGAGTCTACTGTAAAAATTAAAACATAGTCAGTTTACAATTTCCCAAAAACCCAAAAATTCAAACATACGTGCCCTCAAAGCAGGCGAATTTCCATAATAAGGTAGGAAATTTCGAACCACTCATTAAAAAGATCCGTGCAATGTAATATTATGAACTTTTTGGTATTAATTACATTAATAGTTTCTCTACACAGTCAAAACTACAATTGTAACTACAGTAACTACAGTAACACAGTGTAGTATAAATCGAAGTTGTCTGTTTGAAAATCCTAGTTACGACCACAGATTTTAGTTTACTGTTACTTTAAGGTAGGTAATTAAGATTTGCTTTAATTAATTGTCTATCAATCGCTTATTTGCGTGGTATGTGATATTCTGGCCCGAGTGCCTGATTGTTTTATTTATTTCATCTGTAAATGATTTTGTGAAATTACGAATTTACGACCTTAATAAAAACGTTCATGTTAAATTTTTCTATTTTGTACCCGTAATTACATCAGGTGTTAATCAAAATTTCTTAATTAGTTTTTTGGATTTTTGGAGTCGGTAATAAGTATAGGCGTCAAGAGTTTTCGGTCAAATTTAAATTGTGAAATTGTCAATTTCAGAATGCCCTATATTTTTTAGTTACAATTAAGAGATACAAAAATTTTTTTAATATCTTATTTTAATATACTTAATCAAGGTAGCGTAATTTTTGCACTTCTGTCAGCTCTCCAGGCTTTCAGAATTCAGAAATAATCATTTTTTGGTGCAAGGGAAATAGAAACGTGGATACGGACCGGTGAGCCTTTCTGCATTGTCTATTTCCTAAGCTTTTATGGAAATGCTGTCAAAAGGCTTATCTATATCCTTTCAAAAAGAAACGAGTCCTTTCCAGAAATGATACTTCAAAAAAATTGTTCAAATAAATTGCATGGAACGCGACAGTTTTTTGGATTATTTAATGAAATGATTTCTAGATGTACCTAAGTACTATCATAGTATGTTATATTATGGTACTATACATCCGCGGAAAATATGCATTGGCGAAGGGTCGAGACCATCAGGGAAGGTTAATGATTTTCTCATATAAACACCACGGACGAATGTAGGGTACACTTTTATGGCCTTGAAATCAAGGATTTAGTCAAAATCTCGTCATGATGATTGTCCACCATTGAGCTCTAAATATAAGGGAACAGATGCTAGAAACAAAAATTCGCAAATTTTTGTAATACGTTTCATGAAACTTTTTGAAAGGAACAAGAAATTTGTTTCATAATCGCAAAACGCATGTATTCAAATAAGACTAAACACAACTGGCCTTTCCAAAACAGGACCTTATTTCATAAAAGGTTTAAAGACATTATAGAAACTGATCTAAAAGTAATAATCAACGTGTGATGTACGTGCAACTAACAAACACAGTAGAAAGCATCTTAAAAAAGAAAATATAAATCAAAAATAGTTTCACCTGACAAAGATGACAATAAGAAATATTTATGTGAAAGTGAAGAGAAATAAATTAATCGCTGTGTATGTACTAATTACCGTGATTGTGACTTTGACACAATGTGTTTATTACCCATTATAAGTACAGCATGTTGAGACTTTTACCTACGGCTAAAGTAGGAGTATAGTATACCTATGACCAAAGCCAAACGATTTAAATTTGTCTACAAGATGCTATTTCTTCACCACCACAATAGAATCGACTTAACTTATGATCCTGGAGCATTTTATACGTAACTTACAGCTTCCCAGTCTCCTGGGCATAACGTAAGTATTCATCGCACATAAGGTGATAATCACACTACCCCATGGAGTAGGTAGTGTTAATTTAAATTTTATATCGAGTAAGATGTCAGTTTGGGTAACGGTAAGTGAGTATAGTTAATCGAAATATTGTGACTGCACATGAAAAGTCGAGTGAAAAGTGCTCTTTTAGTTCAACTATAATCTCTACTTAGGTACCATTTATAATATGTACCGTTGTTAGAATTAAAAAGTTTGTGCGAAGTAAATAACATTTTACCTAATGTAAGCTGTCAGATATAGGTACAAGGGTAAACCCAACAATTTGATTAAATTAGGTATACTAATTGCATATGCACTTAGCACTATGAATAGTCCCCTCGTCAAGGTGTTTATACAGTGGTTAACCCCATATAACTGGAGGTCATATGTCGAACAAACGCCCGAGAATAGGTACCTACAATGTCCAAGGTGAGTTTTCTCGTTTTCAAGCCAAATATTTCTGTTAACTATGTACTCTTCCTAGTGCCATTCCGTGACCATTTAATGTCATGTTGTGTAGAGCTTCTATACCTGGAGTGCTGTTGGCAAAAACAATTTTGGTGACTTAGCGCACTTGAAACGAGTACAGCCTTCATACCCAATTTTAAAGATAAAGGTCTCAATGGGGGCATCCCGGCTTCATTTTTAGCGCATTTTTGCAAATTTATTTGTAAAAAGTAGCTTTTAATCTCACTTTGGCTGGCTGGCTGCAAATGTGGGCGCGTAGAAGAAGTCTTGTAGAAAGGCAACGGGTGTACGTGTATCTACAAGGCCGTGAAATTTATCAACCTTAGGGACATGGCTACATGATGTGGGGTTGGCGACATCTGAGCGTCATCCTCGAGCGTAGTATACTAACGTGAAGGTTTTTCAGTTTTTTCCTATCTTCTACTACAGCTTTGGTCCGATTCTTTACAAATTGGTGTCGTCGGAAAGATGTTGTAAACGCGCACAACTCACAACTCCTGCGTATTTTGTTTTTTGTCCTAGGGGCGAAATTAACGACCTTTTGCGAGGCGCGCGCGCGTCTTCGAGAAGTAGTCAACTTCGGGCGCCTTTTACCTTCCGTTACGAACTCACGCGGTTTATCGTTTCGTAAATCTCGAATCGCTGTCTCTCTTTCTCGTGTCGCCAATAGAAGCGAATTGCGGGTGAACGGGACGTCGGAAGTGGCTACCGTCAAAGGGAATGTGGTAGCCCCCGACCCGATTTTAACTTTAAAGCGAATTGCGGGTGCACGCGGAAAGTGGGAAACGGTTAGTGAATGTAGTAGCCTTCGACAAGATCTGTTATTGATGATTGAGTCGAAAGTGGCTAATAGAATACTGATTTGCCACACAAAAATGCGCTGAAGTCCCTTCGATCTCACACAAGGACTTTGATAATTTTTTATTTCTGATCTACAAAGTACATTCTAGGAATTTTCCAACGAAATTAGGTACGCTAATCCAGTCACTTTCTCTGTCCGTCCGTCCGAAGCCTCCTACATTTATATTCTTTTTGAATCCGGTAGCTCTGTTACCTGAGCCAAGAAAACCTTGACGATTAATGTGCGCATGCGCAGGCTGCTCAATATCCACTGTCTTATTTATGGAAATATTTCTTCGAAATGTCAACCAAAGATGCAGATGCTTTCAGTAAAAGTAAACGTATCGCATATTGTAAACATCAGATTATGCACAGAATGCGCAATATCAACTGTCTTTTTTACCGAGGTATCTTTTTCAAATGTTAATCACAGATTTAGTCGGTAATTGTGAATACGCCATGTGCGAGATAAGCAACGTAGGTGTTGCACAATTACCACAGAAGGTGGTTTCTCTTTTAAATCACTGGAATTAAGTGTAAACCGAAGCCTAAGTGAGTTATCTCGGGTTTTTCGAAAGAAACTGTAAAGTCTGTGACTATTGCACCGGTAGTCTAGCCGGATATGTGATTTTAAATGAATAAAAGCGCAGTCGTCTTCATATTAACAAAATAATACAGAAACAAGTTTAACGTCGTCCAAGAAGTTTTTTATGCATGTAATTTCGAGTTTGGAGTTGTAATACAAGAGAAGTCTTATCATCTGAGCAGTCATAAATTTAAATATTTTTTGTCTTTGTCAGATTTTTGTCAAATTAACAGTGAGTGTCTTCCCGTACATTACATATTTTTATTCCGACCAGTTTACTTGGATTGTTTTTCGATCGAGCGGTTTGTAAACGGGGTATTTTTTTTTCGAAAGGCACTCTTGTAGTAGCAAGATGGAAGAAGTGAGAATTAATACACTATTCAGCAATGGACATGGTAGAACGAATTGGGTGGACAAATGGATTAGTCAATAGTAGCTGTAAATGAAACAATGAATGATATGAGCTAATTTTAATTTTTCTTTTTCTCCCCATGGAGTGGCCTGATGAAATGTTTCCAAAGTAGTGCAGTTCGAGCTGTGTATCATTATCTTAGCAAGTTGTGTGAATGAAACAAAGTAATATTTGCATATGCTAGTCGGAATGGGTGATCTAGATATTGATAATTTCATATGTTCCTCCTTACTTGCGATTTGAACACAGACGTATAGTGTTTTTTATAAATTTCTCAACCATGTGGTGCTGGATAAACAAGACGTAATGAATCGTTAATATACTTTCCACTTAATCCGATTTACATATGTGAGGCGTGGACCAAAGGAAAGGAAGTACCAATACATAATGCTTATGTAACCTCCGCCGACGTAACCAGAATTTCACAAGGGCGAGACTCTTGTGGATCAATTGCAAAAATCGCTTCTTGACAATAAGTAACAAAATGTAAAGAATTTGAGGTCATGGTATGCTAACAAACTTTTAAGTGTTTAGCAAAGATGACATCACATACCCACTATGTGACATGCATAGGTAAATATACAGGTAGAACTACAGTTGAAGATCTGGTCATCGTAATCGCAGATGATCTCACCCACGTTAAGTACATTTTCAAATCCTAATGTAGGTTAAATGTGACTGTGGCATAACATAATTCCCGTAACTTTGTTGTGCCGATATAGGTGACAATGAACCTACGCGTGCTACCATTTACACATAAAGAAAATATTTAGATACTATAGAAAATATTCCTTACCATAAATAGTAACATGAGCAATTGATTTATACGGCGGTTGAATACTAAGTATAAGGAAACTCTTTCTGAATCAATAATATGATTATTAACTTTCTTCACAAATTGTTATAAGTAAAGCAAAAGCAGTACAGATTTTTTTCAAAATTATTCAAAAAACGAATTCATAAAATTAATATTGACCTTACCAATATTAACAAGTTTAACTCCATCCTGCTCAATAGCGTGCAAAGCGGCGGTAACGTTTTCCAAATAATGATGTTGATTCACAGGTCGCTTGTTCCATGAAGGTTTAATGGGATGTCCCTGGAGAGCTTCGACCAAAGCACATAAGGTAACGCCCGAGCACAAATCCTGCGATAAATCTCTAACCCTTAAATTGGTGGGTAGGTGTTCGTTAACCCAATTCCGAAATGTGTTTGCCTGAATTTCGACCCACACGTCTTCGTTTCCTTTAATTTGCATGCCGCGAGCGGCATGTCCTTCTGGACTTCTGGCGAGGAGTCCACTGTGGGATATTTTGCCTTCCATTTTCTGTTTATTATTTATAAAATCATCGCGTGTTTTTTTATATTTCTGCGACACTATGCTGTGAATTGGAGATGTTAACGTAACGGCCGATACCTATACAGATGTTTATTAATCGCGAATTGTGGTTGTACTAAACACAAAACTTTAAGCGTACTTTAAAGGCGAAGTTGCGCAATCATACCTGTATGGTAGTAGTAGTCTACCTGTGGAAAGTGATTTTGATGCAAAACCGAACCGCTGTCGGCCCATTTGTACGTTTACAATCTCACAAACTAACATCCTTTGCCACAGTTTCGGCTTTTTGTTTATTAAATATGTTGACGTCCATATGAAATAGATATTATTCTCATTGGTGATATTAACGTTAGATCAGACTACGAACTGATTTGCGGTTAATTTTCGTCCGATACATAAATCGCAAGTTTTTGTTTTCAAAACGCGATATGTGAAGAATTAAAATGAAAATCAAAAATAATTCTTTTACATTATTTTCGGTAGCAAAAAACGCCTAGAGGTATTGTCGTACGAAAGCAAAAAAATTCAAGGATGTTAGCTTCCTACTTAAATTTTTGTAGTGATTATATTGTTATTGCATAATAAAAGAATCTCATTCTTTCATAATGTCCTTGTTTTTCGTCCCAGAAGCACACATATACCTACTAACCAATGTAATGTTTACATGCATGTAAGTCGGTTAGAACAAATACCTACTTTTAGATTGATACCTGAGTAATTTGCATTTCTTAAGGGTTTAAGGGTCAGTCAAATAATGTAGGTAATTATAAATGATGAAATATATCGCATTATCTCTATAGATTCCTTCGGCGGTATTTCGAAAATATATTTTTAATTTTTTTTAAATTTATTATCCCTCTCTTGTTCTGGGCCCTCCACCGGCTTGCGCCCAATTACAGAGTGACCCGCATAATGCTTTTATGAAGGTGCCTCTGCAGAAGGTCCCAAGTTGTTTTATACTACTCCGGTATGTACCTTACGAATTAGGAAAACTGCAGAAAAACCTAAGTCGCAGTAGCCAGCAAAATGTTCGAAACTGGTCTAAGGTAATTCCCATCTCTGCCACAGATGAAAAATTCACCTCAACCCAGGTTCGAACACCCGACCTCCGGATTAATAGCCCAAGTTCGTGTAATTAATACGAGTGTAAATTTTGGGAGAGCGTAATTCGTTAATCGGGGCTATACGGTGGGTTTTTGAATAGCGCGTTTTGCCTTTCTCAAGTTAATCGGTTCATTGGGTGTATCCCGAAAAAAGAAGACCGAGCCGTCGATCGTCTAGATCAGAGTTTCTCAAACTTTTTAAACCACGGAGCCCCTACAATGTGGAATCTAACATGACGGAGTCTCCAGGGCTCCCGCAAAGGTGATCTACGTCTACATTCCCGAGGTTCTTGTTTGAGGGGGGGATTGGGGATACGGAGTACCCCCCTCCATCAAATAGGGGCGTCCGGAGAAATGTTTGAAGTGCAGTCGCACAAATATATTTATTTTATTTATTAAAGTCAAAAAATTGATAACACATACTTTGATGTACCTATATGACTCTCTTTTAGAAACCATTCTCATGGTAAATCTACGCCGAGTGTAAGCTCGGTAATGAACCAAATCATTACAAGCGGGCATGCCGGCCAATCCAGTTGGAAGGGGCAAAAAAACAAGAAACCATTCATGAATTATGAATTGGAAAAAGCTGTCATAGGCACAGTGATCCTAATGTAATATACACCTATGGATGTATAGTATGTAGCACTAATTTTTCAGAATTTGCATTAAAAAAATGCCCCAATGAAGACAGATCTGAGGTAATTAAATCAATACAGTATGGCTAGCCCCATCATCAGCTCTTTACAAAAGGTATGAATACAAAATCTTCACATTTTTTTAAGCAACAGAGCACGAGAAGCAGAGGCCAAGCCGGAAGTGTAGCATTATACTATTGTGTTTTGTTTTTTCGTTAAAAAAAATTTTAATGTCATTTTTTAAAGGTTGAAAAACATCTTTAATAGGTATTTTTGAAATGTTTTATCATTTTAAAATATTTTTGCAGTTATTTTAAAAAATTCTTTCGACATTTTAAAAATGTTTTTATATCTACCTATTTTTAAAACAATTTTTGATATTCTAAAAATATTTTTACAGCTCTTTTTCAATCATTTCAAAAATATTACCATAAATATTTTGCATACATTTTAAATATGTTTTTGAAATATTGCAGTCACAACGTTTTTTGGCCATTAACAGATTTTTGCAACGATTTCTAAAACGTTTCTGCAACATATTTGAAAAAAGATATTTCTGACGTGCTAATGAAAAATATTTTTACCTCCTCTTAATTACTGGAAAAAGAGGAGAGCACAAACTTCCAATACCATTTGCAATAGAAGTAGTGATATAAATATAACTAGTACTGTAGGTACTTTTATTTAATATTTATGTTTTAGGTACCTACAGAACATAAATTTGTACCCTAGCATTTTTATTCGACTAGTCCAACACAAAATATTTTAAAATAACTACGGCCTTGTGATTTTTTTTTAATATTTAATAAAGATAATTGATCAGTCTTATCGTTCAAACTATTATAGATACTATTTTTTCTCTGGCAGCCTTTGAAATTAGCGTTCAACATACCTACTATCCCAATCTCTTTCTAGCATCAGGCATTGTTTAAATACTTAAACAATGCATCAGGCAAGCGCAATAACGTACGTTGAACGCAAACTTCAAATATGCATCAAAGACCTACGAGGATCCTTCACCAAAAAAATACATTAATTGTGTTTGCCTATGGTGCGTTCAACCTGGGACACACAGTATACTTCCTTCTATCAATAATTTTAATGGGTACCTATACATGTAAGGACGGTATCGAAGAGCACACATCTATTTATTTTTTTTGGGTTTATTTTTGAGTGGGCGGTGTTTCTAAGGCTGCTCTACCAACCCAACCCCCTATAGGTACATTTGCAAATATCCATGCCTGAACCCGGATTCGAACCAGGGACCTTATAAGTACCGCAGTCCAGCTAAAGAGAAAAAACAAATGAACATTAAGGAATAAACCATTGAACCTATCGAAGTTTTTAGTTGTATGCATGCAGGGAAGTATTAGTGAAATGACAGGAAGTCTGAAGAAATCAAAGGAATGACCAGGATATCAGAGGATTTTTCAGAAAGTACAAAATGTAGGTAGTGGTTTGCCTCTGATGGAATATGCCTACACTCGTAGGAGTGTCACAATTTTGTTTACTAAATTACATACGACTTTCTAACTAAGCCACAGTAAATGCATATGCAATAATTAGGTACTTACTAAAGGTACCTACTAAAAGTTATTACTATATCAAAAATAATAGAAGGCAGATAACTTATTTTAGTGTTTAGCTGTCACTTGGAAACTTAATTACCTAGAAGATGCCCAATGCAAGTTTGGATGAAGAACCCATTCTTGCTATATTATTAGAAATTAATCTACATAGTACTTATCTATATAAGTAGTATATCTGCAATTTTTGGGTCACTACCCACTACGTAATAAGTTATCTATCCTACTTTCGTATGCTATGTACATTGACTGCATGTGGCCAGCACGAAATTTACATTATATGATTAAAAGTGATTCAATTTAATTTTAAGAGCATTTCTTACTCAATTATTTACACATTTACTAAAGAATATTTCCCTCAGAGTTCAGCAGAGCAAAACCTAAAAAAACATATCAAACATATAGGAATCAGCTTACTTCAATAAAATTAAAGGTAAATGCTTACCAAGTCCTTTCATTCAACTAAACAAGATTGTTTTACTTATCCTTGACTTGCGATGAGTGTGCGAGATTGTGCACATACAAAATCACGTGCTACTCACGGGTACATTCACTTTACAGTGAAATGAAACAGAACACGCTATTCCTATATAGGTACGTAGCTTCGGTTGCCTATATATACATTTTAAAAAGCCGCGTGACATGTACATGTAGGTATCATTTGCTAACGCAAACGCCTTGGAATGTGAAGTAGACCAGCGGTGGAGCAACCAGTACATTTAATATTTGAGGTCTTTAGTTTTCATTTATTTATTGCCAATATTGAGTTAGTCTCAATTCGTTATTTTAGGGAATTACGTGGCGATCTATCTCGAATTGGCTTACCTGTAAACAAGTAGAGCCGCGAAATCGACTGAAAGGAAACGTGTTAGTTACAAGTTTGTCCAACAGAGGGCCTGCGGACTTGTTCCACTATAGTGCTTTTTTGTTTTGATGTATTAAAACGTAAGTGAAGTGAATTCATCATCTGTGTATTCAATAACGTTTCCAAAGTGTAAAAATACAATTGCAAAACAGCCGGATTTAGGTCTGCATTATTCTAAGCAAGGTTATTATGACGTTAGTCATTAGCATTATAAAATAATTGTTGCATTTTAGTACACAGTTCTACCATTATACAATTAGATGCTTCCATCATGTCCACTGAACAAGAACCAGTTCAAGCGCCTGTCATGTTTGACATAACCGAAGAAACAAGTGATAGTGGTACAACTGAGTGTGAAGCTAAGGAGGCGGTTATCGAAAGCGACCTCGCCATCGGGCAAATGAATGTTGATAATGTATCGGCTATTGACAGCAGTCAGATTATGACAATTGAAAGTGACAGTCCTGAAGATGTAAGTGCCATAACACAACAAGTCGACAGTGAAACAATCGCAAATGACATACCTAACGAAGAACAAGATGCAGGTACTTCAAAACCGAGTAGAGAACTGAAATTATTATTGGCTTTGTCGAAAGAGGCCAACCTCGATACCAACATAGCTCATAAAAGAAAAAGTGTGGAGCCTCTTGGAAGGTCAGAGATAACGAATAAACGACGACATTCCACCGGTTCAAGTAATGACAGTACTGCAATGCCGGACGAACCACATCCTGAGAAGAAGACTGATGTCGATGAAATTGGGACAGATGAAGCCAATTCCAGTGCTTTAGTCAGTAAGGATGGAAAATCAAGGGAAGGAAAAAGAGTTGTAGAGGGCGCTGTGGATGAAAATGGAGTCAGAAATAAAAAATTATCCAATACTTTTGTCACATTCAATAATGAGGTAAAAATGTTCATTAAAATTGTCGTGTTATTTATTCCCGAATTTGTTGTAGAAAAAGGATTCCTTCTGCTGGCAGTGCCATCATTCGGGCTCGAATTTTTTTTGCAAATCGTGCCCGCGGTCGTTCCATCAGAAGTGTTTGAAGCAGAATGTCGCACAGCCGAATCATTGGCTATGTCCGGAATGTGTGACCATCATGCAAGCGGAAAATTTGAAACAAAGGTCTTTATTGATTGGTATTCTCTTGCATTTATTTCGCTACTAAATAGTCTCATTTGTAACTTTTATTATCTCTGTGTCCCACTTTAAGGTGGGAGCACTCTAATGCAAAAGCTATTTTTTATTCTCTTACATACTGTTGCTGTAAACATTTCCCACTACAAAGGAAATTTACTGATTATGTAGGTAGTGGAAATATCTGATACTTTGTGTGATAATAACCCACCCTGTGGATATGAAAATATTTATTGTCATGGTTTTTGTTTAACAGGATTAGAAGACAATGATGAAACAGGGTCGTTGTAGGCATATGTATTCCTAATTATGCGCCATTTTGTTTCTTATATAACTTAGGTACATAGGCACATATAGTCTGCCTTTGGAATTAGAATTTGTTCATTACTGTATAACAACAGTATACATATTGTCAAATATTTGTATGTTCATGTCAGTAACTAAGGGCCATCAAAACGCAGAAAATAATACGTTATTTTGCGCCTTTGCTTTGTTGTAGCTCTTCTTATTTATCAATTTTACGACAATTTCTGGCAATTGCAGCAGCACACAAGGTAAGGTAGAACAGAGTCTGTCCCAAAAGACAATTGACTGCGACAAGCGTGGATTTATTTGTCTTCTGGGACAGTACAAAGTCAAAAATTTGTTGTTTACATTTCTTTTTCTGATTTTCTTTATACAGCGCGATGAATAGGGGGAAACGAGGGTGGAAACAGGTGAATTTTGTACCTTGAAATTTTTTTTAATCCTCTGAAATCTCCAGAGATCCTTTTAAATCCCTAGAGACTACAGAAACCCCTGGAGATTCTGCGTATAATATCCATTGAAATCCTCTTAAATTCTTCAACTGTTGATATTGGAGTAGTGGGCACCAATGCATGATATTTACCTTACCAGGGCGTCAGTTGTGAAATTGTTAAATCCAATTGTCTATAGTGCGATTCACACTTAGTATTGGTCTTATCGAAGGTAGCGTTGCCAGATGTGAGATGTGTTGTTGTTTCACAAAAGACCTGGGTTAGAGAAACCTATTAGCAATGGCGGGTGCCATTTAGTACCAACAATAGGTAAATCAATACAATACATATATTTCAAGAAAAAAAGCAATTTCGTTAAAAATTAGGTACCTACTTCAACCTTAACAATAGAAGAAGGTAAAGGAATTATGGCAACGCTGTGTAATTTACGTCAATAAGAATAGCATTGCAGTATGATTTACATGTTGAACTTTAAGTGTAAATAGCACTATGCTACTGTTATTGATCATTTATAACTGCTCGTACAGGGATATTGATTATTAAAGTACCCAATGGATATTAGAGGTACACATCATCAAATGTAAAAGTTGTAGGTGTGACAAGTCTTCTTAATGTATTTAAAACACAGTGGCGTACCACAGCAAAGGGATACAAAAATAATATATTTTTTTACATTGTCACAATGCCCTCATTTTTATGAATTCAAAAATATTCCACATGATATCTCTATCTTAAACCATTGTTGAGTTATTAAAAATTAAAATGGTGGTTGTGCTACTTAATTACTTGCCTTTTAGAAAGTGATTACCATCAAAGTGAGCTATAAAATATTATTGTATACATTGTATTTTATTTTATTTTCATTATTAATATACAGGGTGTTCCTAAATGTTCCGTAAATACAGAAGGGGCTATTTCTTTGGTTTATTTTATGACTAAAAGTTCACATAAACATAGGCACTTCGTTTCCGATGTACAGGGTGTAACAATTTCAAGATTTTTTTGAGATATTTCGCTCAAATTTGAAATATAATTTTTGTCAATTTATAAAATGCCTGCCATGACCTTGGAACCGCGACATCGTCAGCCATTGTATACATTTAATTACTTGTATATTTTAAAATAGTAGTCGGAAGTTAGTGAAATATTCATACCTGGTATACCTGAGTAACTCTGGGCCCCCCTCGCCCATTTTAGCGAGACCCCATCTCATAGGTGGTAGGTATAACAGACGCACTGGGCAAAATTTCGGATTTTATAATTTACATACCTGTTAGTACTATCCGTCTAAGTATGATTTTTGTAAAAAAAATGGATGAGATTGTCATTTTGACTTACCCTATAGGTGCTTAGAGTTGGCAACTCTGGAGAAAATTACAAACAGGCCCATCTAACTTTCATGTCAAAATGATTTTCAAATCTTGGTAGTAGTCGGTTAGGACCCGGTGGTACGGATAAACTCCTATGTTGTGTTAAACTATCGCGATTCTTTTTGTGCGGTAGGACGTGAGACACAATCGGGTTGGAAATCGAAGAATTTTGTGTGCAAGAAAAAACACGAAATGTATTAGGACGAAAAAGGCCAGGAAAATGCCTTCACTGGACAAAAAACCCTGGCATAACACATACAAATACAAGAAATAAATCAACCGTCCATGGAATAAATGGTTAGTCGTTGACTCATACAGGGTAACATCACACTGATAATATACTTTCATGTCAATACATAAATAAATACTTAATAAAACAATATACACTTATACAGGCATAATCACTTGTACAGGATGGTTGAAATTCATCGCTCACCATTGGGATCTCCGTAACGCTGAGAGGCACAGTGTAGGTGAAATAGGGGCAACGTTGCCATTTTTTGTGACTAATAAAGCGCATTTGAAATTTTTGAAAAATCTTTGAAAATAACTGGTTTCACTGAAAAACTCAAAATGTTAAATTTCATTTTGCCTTTATACGGAATTGTGAACATGCATAAATATCACGCATAGAAACAACAGTACCCACTCTTGTTCAGTTAAAAATCTGTTTCTTTACGTTGTTTTTCTTTCCAGGTCATCAGCGATGCGCAATATGACTTTAGTACACTTATGTGGGTTGCTCAAATTCGCACTGAGGCGCATGCTCGAAGTCGCAGGGGTAAGTAAGGTATTCGTCTGTCGATTTTTAGTGTTAATTAATGTTAATCAATGTAGTGTGAACCATTTATACACGCAGTAAACGATGAAGACTTTCCCGACTACAAAATGTATATTATATGTCCTATGGATGTAACGCGTTTAGAAAAGAGTATCAAGAAGAATTTATACGGCAGTCCCCAAGCTTTTGAGGCAGACGCCAAATGGATTTTACACAACAGTATTATTTTTAATTCCTGTACGTTAAAACCGACACAATATTTTACATTTCTTATCCGATTGAATTGCAGATCAGTCTAAATTGACGTCGATCGCAAAAAGCATGCTAAAAATTTGCAAGCAGGAAATGCTGGAAATTGAGAATTGCGCCACCTGCTATTTAAACGCCAATACTAAAAAGAAGACTTGGTTTGTCGAGGTGTGTCCCAAACCCCACATACCTGTTTGGGCAAAGCTTAAAGGTGTGCTTATCATTTGTCAAAAGACACTATTTCAAAGGTGTTTCAGGTTTCCCTTATTGGCCTGCCAAAGCCATGAAGTGCAATCCAAGTGGAATGGTCGATGTGCGATTTTTCGGTGCTCATGATCGTGCATGGGTCCATTATAAGGAATGTTTCCTATTTTCGCTTAAAGATCCTAATTCAAATAAGCAAAAGAAGAATGATATATTAGAGAGCGTTAAGGTAAATTCCTGCAGTCAGTGTTACGAGATTCTCAAAAGTTTGTTTTAGGAGTTGCAACTCTACGTGGATAATTTGAAAAAGGTTTACGGTGAATTCCGATACGCTGATTATCGTGTACAACTCGAACCGGAAAGTTTTGAGATTCAACTGAAACTAATGCTACCTACCTATCCGAATATAACACGAGCTAGAAAATCCATATACAAAATTCCAAAAACCAACGGTACCACTCCTGTTATAACTGAAGAACCCGAGAAAGAAAATGAAGTTGGTGAACTAAATATTAAGAAACTGTTCAAGTCTGATGGATCTAGCGAAGAAGATAATGTCAGCCTGGATATGTTTATGAAGAAGAGTGGCGATTCCTTAAATAGTCATAAAGCCACGGACAGTCCGTTGCGTGGTGGTTCCGTAAGAATGAGAGGAGGAATCACAAACACTTCTGGTAATTTTCTTACTACAGCTATCAGTGTTGTATATATGTCAATTTTCAGGGAAAATCAAAATCCTTCCCAAATTGACTCCTGAATCTAACATTAAAAAAAGACTGTCAACAGAAGAATTGGGTACTCCCCCAAAGCTACCTCGCATCAACAGTGATACACCTTCAGATAGTATAGAGATGCTCAGCGAACTTGATGCCACCAACACTACAATGGAAAGCGATGTAGATACTTCTTCGCCTCAGCGTCACGCTACCGGCGTAGCGGGCGAAAATTTGGAAGATACATCGCCCAGCCAAACTGTAGCCAAAATCAGCGATCGGCTAATGAAAAAGCTTACCGGATCAGAAAAAGTGCCAACTGATAGCCCACCCACTCCGACAAAACGCACGACCGAAACCGATATTTTCCTGGAAACGTTCAAAACCAAAGGTCTCACAATGTTGGAGAAGATCACCGAGTTATCTGCGGATACTGAGATTTTCGAGACCGGCCAGGACGACCCCAAAGAAAGCAATGATGGTGGAGAATTTACCAAACAAGAGCAATGCGACGATTTACTTTGCACCGAAGTCGATTTGGAGGAGAAACACAATCTACTTTTACACGACGACTCATTTGCGTCTAGCAGCGTTAACGCAGAAGATGTTCCTGTACGGGATATTAATTCACATTCAACAGAAGCTCACATGAATTTGGACAAACGAGATAAACATGTGGAGGATTGTACGGAAAGTGCCAGTTCAGAAAAAGAAACCGACTGCAACAATGATAATGTGATACATACTCGTTCACCCAGTCCACCTGATAACAATTTGAATAACCGGAATGAAGTTGTAACTTCACCACAAAATACTGAACAACTAACTGAAACGTTTTCAGGTGAGTAAAATTAACGGAGGTAGGTGTTCGTACTATTTTTTCCTTTCAATTGAGTGGAAAATTAATCGTCATCTATTAATTTTCATTTTGAAGCAACTATAATCTGTTCACCATACAGATGCAGTTAAGCCACTCCCAATAAATTTTGGCCAATGTAATAACAGACCCGTTTCACGGTCAAAAAAATTATAAAAACCGGGAAATTTAAAATCGCATGTCACATTGTATGACTAAGTTATAAAGTGTTTTGCATATTGACCTTTCAACACACAGCAGTAGTACATAGTTTCAAATTGTTTATTAAGTTCAAAAAGATTAGTTTGTTGGTATAAACAAAATTATCTGCAAATTGAGGCAAGGCAAATACAAAACGCAATTACAGGTTTGACGTTAAGGATGTCAATTTAGAACCGACAATTATAATTGGAAGCAAATAGTTGCGTGTGTTACAGGTTTTGAAAATTCGGCCAAGTAAAAATGTTCATTTAAATTTGCCGCGGATTTTTTGGGAGGAGCTTAACTGCATCTGTTGGGTGAATAGATAATAGTCCAGTATGAGAGAAAACTATTTTAAAAAAAATGTATAAAGGAAATGTGTCCAAACTTTGAGCATTTAAAAGAGGATCCAAATCTTATTTAATTTTCATATATTAAATTTCGTCCATTGAGGGTGGAGTGACCACTCTTTTGAAAAATAATAATGAAATATGGAGTCATGTGATACATCATTTGAGAGTTTATTTAATTCTCTAAACAGATCGTAACTAACTATTTCGAGTCGAGTCTTAATGTTGTACTTGTGCATGTTTTGAGGGATTTTGACAGGGGTGGAAATCGATATTAATTGTATACCTGATTAAAGAAAGATTATGTACCACCCCAAATTTTCAATTAAAACCATTTGTACTTTTGCGTATGAAATAGAAAATTTAACATGAACACTTGTCTAAAAAGAAGGGTACTCAGGGTCAAATAAAACACAACGCAACAAGCGATCAATTAAAAAAATTAAATTTAAATAAAGTTTTAATTACCTTAAGTTAAATAATCATTATCACACAGACTAACACATAAAATAGAAACTTGGCTTTGAGAATTATACCGAAAAAACCTGTGCAGCCGACCGACCAACCAATCGAACAGCCAAAATGAATATATAAGCGCTACTTTTTTCAAAAACGCGCTCAAAATTAAACCACCTGATGGTAATGGTCCGTTTTTGGGCTTACTGTGTCAGGGATCAAGCTTAGGCGGCATTCGAACTACTGCTATATCTTTATTATATTATTATTATTATATATATTATATATCAAATTTTTAAATACGGATTTTAATGAAATTTTTTGTGTCTTGCATTATAAGCGAGGGGCTAATTGTATCATTTTTTGTTTAGATGGACCTCCTCAATTAAGTGAGAATACAGAAGACGATTCAGGAGTCAGTATATTAAATAACGGTACTAGTGAATCTGAAATAAGTACCTTGCAAAGGAACATGCTCACAGTGGTCAGTGTAGAGGAAATAAAGAAAAAAAATTTAGATGCAAGGCGACTTTCAGGATCTCAACCGACACCCAAGTCGATACTAGAAAATCGGTTGTCTAATAATTGTCAAGATAGCACCAAAAGTAATAAGGATAATGGTAGTGGTGAAACTGAAACTGTCGTCATTAAAAGTGAACCGTCATCAGAAGACGAACCTAGCGATAGTGAGTATTTAGAAAAAAAAAGAAAGTACTTATCCGCTTTAAACATATCAGAAAAGCTACCAGAGAAGCCGAAAGTACACAAAATTCGAACTCGTTCAAAAACAGAAGAGAGGGCGACTTTTAAGATTGTGGATAACTTATCCAAGGTGATCGACGACGTCGCAACTCACTACAGTATCAAGCACGCTAATGAGGCAATTACGGTTCCGGAAACGCCGAAAAGGAAGGAGATATTTATAAAACCCCTATCTTCGCTGCAAGAACTGAAACAGAGAGCGAGAAAAAGTTTTCCCACTCCTAAAAATACACAGTCTCCAAAAAACGAGACTTTGAAGCTTTGCAAATCCATCATTACTCCTGTTTTTAGTGTCAAACCTCCGCCTCAAAAGCTCACCGTAATTAGCAAACCGTCTGACACCAGTAATTGCACCAAAGTGATATTAACAACCTCCTCAGCCAACAGTATACTACCACCAAATCAACCGATAACCTACACACCAAGTCAATTAACACCCTTACTAAGTATGATCCAAAGTACAAGCTCCTCCGGGGTACTCCTGCCCCCTCTATCCTTCACCTATGCCAAAACCGCAGAATCTCAACCGACTAATCCAACATCCCTATCAGCTTCTGTGATGACAACCGCGAAAACGGTCACAAGCTCGAACATTGTTACAAGAACCATCGCGACAACCCCGATCGTTGCCAGTTCCACGGGTAGCAACGATCAGACCAACGCCATCATGGAAGAAGTTCGCATAGTGTCGTCTGCGGTACCCGAGAATGTATCGAAAGCAATAAACGAAATTATGCTAGGCGTACCTCCAAAACTAAAACCGAGACCGCCGGGTCCGCTCAGTACACATTTCGATGATGGCGTTCCTAGTTCTGCGGGGGTGGTTACAAGTAAAGTCAACTCAATTTCGCACAGAGTAAGTAATTGTTCTTATTTTATTATTGTTCAGCAAATTGTGCCTGTCGTAAATGTAATAGGTAGGTACTTTCAGTACGTATATTCTTCTAAATGTATAACAATTCATTATTTGGCGCGCCAGTTGCACCAAGCAATCATAAAGCCCTCATCCATTATAGAGTCATTAATCTGGGAATTGGAATAAATATAATAATAATTTTCGTTAGTTCATATTTGTGATTGATAGACGTCTCACAAGTAGCTTTATTTGTAAAGTAGTTAAAAACCCATTGAACCAAATAGACCATGAAAGTATGCACGGTTTACAGGGGTTTCTATTAATAAAGATGCCAGGCTATATCCATGGAACCGTTAATTGGACAGCTTGGGGAAAAGATTTTGTTAACAAGAGGCCAACAAAAATTGGTGGAAATTGTTTTCAAGTTTTTTAGGTTTGCCGTTAGAGGGCGTGCGATTCTTGGTTATACAGAAAAATGTTTTTTTCCTAAAATACTATGTGTCTAAGATAAGGATGCCTATCATGGGGATCTTCGAAACCAGTCATTATCATGCTTTAAACAAAATTAAAAAATTCCCATTACTCCCGAACATATTCCAGAAAAACCAAAATTTGTCGATTTCATTTTTATTTTTTTCTGAAAGGACAAATACAAAAAAATAAGAAAACATTTTGACGTTTTTTGAGCTCTATAAGAGACCGTTGAAAGATTTTCAATACAACGTTTCGGAGATGTATCATCAACTTGATTTTTTCATATGGCACATAAAAAAATACACACTGTATTGAGTAGCGTTTATTATTACGAATTTTCAGTGAGTTCAATTCATAGTTCCGTCCAGGCTTGAATGTGTAGGGATGTTTCACGCCAAGCTTGGACTGAATTCTCGCGCGGCTCGCAAACTTTCAGCGCAACAAAACTCCTGGGCTCAGTTCATTACTGTAGGCCCTAAAAGTATATACACGGTGTCCATTTTTCGAGTGCCACTATGGGGATCTCACTTATCTTTGATAGAAAGTTGGTTAAATGGGGGCAAAGTTGCAAATTTCCGTGCTGAATAAGAATCTGAAAAGAAATTTGAAATATCTTCAATAATTGAAGATATCACAAAAAAAACGAAAATTTCTGATTTTCGTTTTTAATTTTTTTATGATAAACTAGTCGTAGTAGACATTTCTAATTAGCACATTATTCGGACACTTTTTAATGGAGATTTCAAATATGGCATCCTGTTTTTAATTACGTTCAAGATGACGGAGAAACACGTGGAAACTTTAGTTTTTCTTATGGGCGCCATATTGAATTTTGACATTTTGGGATTACGTCTTTTTTTCTCTTTACAACGATATATCACACATAGTGGTTTAGTATCACATTTTTCCTAAAAATACAATTTTTCATTTTTTGAGAAGAGTTATATATTTCGGCTCCAAATCACAGCTACTATGTCGTGGAGAACAGCAGTTAGTTAATTTATTCAGAGCTGCTGCAATTTCTTGGAGTTCTTTCAAAAAGAAAATGTTTTTCGAACTATTTGTGCGTCTTTTCGGAATACGGACAAGAAAAGGCTACATTCATGCGGTATGGCGTAGCAAAACCGTGGCCACGCCCTTACTTGTTAACTCGCTTCTAGCAAAGTGCCACCAGAATTGCAAACGAACAAAACGACTTAACAATTTGTTAAACGCGACTTAACAAATTCGTTAAACGTAGCAAATTTGCTAAAATAACAAATGCCACGAGAATAAGACTGAATTTAGGGCCTGTTTAATGAAAATGATTGTATAATGGTGGATTTATACAATCATTATCATTAGTTCACTATCATTAGATCATTAATAAATAGCCAATAACAATAAGTTTATTGTGCGTCGCTTACCAACGAAACCATACATTTGTTTCTATTGGCTATTTTTAAATGATCGAATGATAGTGAACTAATGATTCTATAAACCCACCATGACTATCACAAAAAAACTAAGCGAGTATATGAATCAACAAAAGCATCACTGTCACTGTAAATATCATGAAAATAACAAATAAGGGCACAATTTGCATTATAAATTCCTCAAAGTTTAAATACATAGAACACATAATCTCTTTGCAGCTGAACGATTATTTCCGTGGAATGCTAGTTGAACTACTGCACGAGGCTGGAACCGTCGCAAATCCAGAGGCCGAAATCACACGTTTAAAATTAGAAAACGAAGAACTGAAGCACAAGCACAGCGAGGAAATATTAGAAATTAAGAAAAACATAAGTTCAATATTAAAAGATATGCAAAAAAGTCTGACCGATGAAAAGGAACGCACGATCGAAGAGACACGCGCGACCTGCGAAATTGAAACGCTAAAACGGGTCGAAGATGCGAAATCCAAGCAATGGTAATGTTAAACCGACGCCATCCAATTTCTTAATTTAGTCACTGTAGGTGCGCGTGCTGTTCGAAAGAAGCGCAGTTTTATTGCTGTTGGAATACCAGCTATTGCGACTATCCGTGTCAACAAAAACATTGGTCCGCGCACATGTCGAAGTGTACACAGCAGATTCAAAGTGGGCAGTTACAAAGTTCAGGTACATCGTCAGGCACGACCAAAGCTACAAATCCTTTGGTGCTTCGACCGACGTCGGCTCCGAAAGGATTCAAAGCGGTACGATAACATTACCATCTGACTTTGTGTATGATGGTCTCTCTTTCAGAAGACCATAATTGGCAAACCCGGCAAAGTACTTGTTAATAGACCCACGTCAGTAAATAAAGTTCCATTCACGTTTGCTAGGGTTGGTGATTGTACTTTTTGATTGTTTCACTAAATTAGTTTATTTTCAGACGACGGGTAACCATATTACTTTAGTGGAATCCACTCCGGGAAATTACGAATTGCTTGGTAGTGGGGGCCCGATATCGGTGGGCGGAAAAATCATCGCAAACTTTGGAAAGAAACTGACCGGCAGTGTTTTAGCTGTAACATCTACCGCAAACTCGAATTTGGATTTAGCGACTGTGAAGAAAATTACAGTAAATCCAGCACAGACCCTGCCGGTTGCAAACAAACCAACAGTCATTGACTGAGTTGTATAAAGTTTTCTACCGCGGACATTTGTTACATGATGTATATAGTAAAAATAACTTAGATTACTGTTTCGTAAGTTTTAAGTTCAAAATACAGTGATCACTTCTTTTGAATTTTTCATAACTTTAATCACTGAAATTTTTCAATTATAACAGGTTACTTGTTATTGTACAGAGACTTGACTTTTTTGTTTATTTTTATTTACATATTGATATTATAGACTTTTTAAAATAAAAACCTACGTTTCCTCTTTAATATTTGAAATTACAAGATGACTCATTATTTCCATCATAAGTATTGTCAAAAAGACATTAAAAGAAAACAGAAAAAAAGTCGCATCCTGCACATTTCCATGGCCTACATGGTTAGCACAAAAGAACTTTATCCAGTACAGTAAAACCTTGTTTTAAAAACACTGTCAGTTTCTGTTAACCATAATGAATGCCGAGTAGCATACGTGAATATGTCTGTCATGCAATAAAACGATCTGATTTTCTATTACGAACGTGTTTAATTTGTTTGCGCTTGAAAATACACTCATGTACGAGTAGAGAGCGCATATGTGAAATAATATCCTGAAGTGTGGAAAATTGGATCAAGGGGAGCATGGAGAACAAAAAAAGAAGCATATATCAAATTTTATTTATATACCGCTTCATAATGAAAAAGAACAAAAATATATGCGAGGAATCAAAAACAACCGTCCTGCCTTAACAGAGTGTGAGGGATGGCGTTTCTGGTATAACTTTACATCTAGAGAGGACAAACGTTGGTTACATCGCTCCGTAAATCTTTTTTTGTTATTTTGTGTTATTTAATGCAGGTAATAATCTGCATTTATTTATAATTTATTTGTGTTTTGTATGCGACATTTTAATATTTTTGTATAATTTTTCATCTTTGTTTTTTTAAATTGACTTAACCTCAATGCAGAATCACGTATTTGATACCTTTTGAAATCACTTGCGGCCTTGCAGATAAAAATGCAAAATAAGCCACCGGACACGCCATTCTTTATATATCAATAAAAAAAATTTGCTCTGTTGACAAAGACATTTATTATTATTATACATTTAGGTGTGTGCATTTGCTTTTAGGTTAGAAAAGAGCAACCTTGCTAATACTCTATCGCTAAGTCAGTGCACATATGTCACCTCTCGAAGCCTGCATGATATAGGTGGGTATATTTGGTTAATATTGTCGTTATAATCATTAGAACCAATTAATTTTGGTACACAATTTAATTTGTTGGTTGGTTTTTCTCAGCCTCCTTCGGTTTTTATTCGGTGAACTATCGTTTCCAAAGTTTATTCTTCCAATGCAATTCATTACATGCCTTAGAATTTAGATGTTTGATCATGTGCCACTTTCAGAGATGAACATTTTGTATACCACGGCATTGGGCAGGCCAATTAATCAGTGAATTTACCCACAATAAAGCCTAGTTAAGTAATAAATTGGGCAATATCAACAAAGTGGAGAATTGGTCATAATTTCTGTGCGTAAGTACTTATACCTTATCACCACCTGGAATATTACTTTCGCGAAACTGAAACCGGTTTGGTCGAATATTCGCCAATCACAGGGACATTTTTGTTTTGCATTCATCAAGGAAACGGCATTTTACAGGGAGACTAATTGTAACGTTAAAGGAAGTTACCTATGTCAAAACCTGCAAGTTATTTTAAATTTTTTTATTTGTATAAATTAGTGATCGGTTATTTTTAGGAATTTGTATAAAAAATGCCGAGAAATGCTATTTGAAGTAATTTTGTTATTCCCAAAGAAATCGACGAACGTAGCGCCAGTCGGCGGAACGTAGGTGTTCAGTCGCCGAAAAGACTCGAGCGCCACCAAGAGTACGGCCTCGCCCCTGGTCAAGGTTGGAAGTAGCAGCGGTTTGGCGCATCGGTCTCGGAAACCTGGGGTAAAGGGCAACTCCAGAAATCGGACGAGTTCACCAAATGGCGGTCACTTCGGAAAAACTAAAACAAAATTACAATATTCCCCGCTTATAACTTAAAATCACACGCTTACCTTTTAATCAGATCGGTTCTGCAAAAATTTGCTCAAAATGAAACAGTACGGATGCAAAGAAATGTAACTGGCGAAAGTGCAAAAAACAAAAAGATCCAAATACAGTGCAGTAAACTTAACCGTAAAAGCAAAATTTGAATAATTTGACTGCAAAATAAATCTACGGAAAAGCTCAAATCAAAATTAGGGTGCTTACAAAACGTACTTACGACAAGAAAAAATGGCAAAAGATAAACTATTCGGTTAAACGTCACAAGCAAAAAGATCCCCTCTAAACAACGGCTTTATCTTTTAGAAAATATAAAAATATAGGTCTGGGCTCATAATCTTTCTTAATTAAGCGCGCTTAATTTGGCGCCAAGAACGCCGCAATCGAATGACATTTACTTAACACATTTATTTGGCTACTGTTAATTTCACTCACTTAATTGGCCGTACTCAAATTTCCAATTAATACCCATTGTTAATTGGAATGTCGGGATGAACCGGCGGGCCAGCGCTATCGGCTGATAAAGGCGTAAACCTGCATGGCCTTGCAGTTCCAATGCTCGTTTTATTTACCATAGGAAACAAAACCAGCTAATAATGGCTAAAATTCTAAAATATTAATTTCTCCTCTTCTTCTAAATGACAGGGCGCAACAAAACCCACTGAAATATCTGGACGAGAACGGTTGCAAACGGCGGGCGGATTAATTGCAGCGTTAATTACGGTAGCGGCAACTGAAACAGAACTGTAAAAATTAAATCAATTACCTTCAGCTTGCATCTTCCAACTACCTAGACCCAACACAAATACTATTGGCACGACATTTACGTAATAAAGCACCTCTTTATACCGGGCGTTCATTTACAGGGAGTTCACCAAAACTGTGTGCTTCGATACAATGCTTTAACATTTTATTTGTTACTTACACAAGAATGAATCTCAAAGAAATTCCTAAAATGTATTGATGTCCACAAATTATAAACAATGCATAATTTTTGATTCAGTAATTTGTTAGGTCAGGGGAATTTGCATGTTTGTCACCAGAAACAAGAAAAATTCATGGAAACTAAAGACTCTACAAACACTTCTATGACATTAATCAAAGGTGCTTTTTCTTTAAAATTTCTTGGTAGGGACTAAAATGAAGGAAATGTGATGAGATCATATATTCTCTCATATTAAAATTTAAATTTCAGATCACCAAACAAAGATTACATTTCAATTTTCACCTCTTTTTAGGCATACTTAAAAGTTACTTTAAAATTTATTATATAAACAACTTTAGGCAATAAATGACAATGAAGCCAAACACAAAAACAAATCAAATGGACGTTGGACCCGGGTATAAACCCAAATGCAATTGAGCACAAAATAGGTTATAATCACATGGCAAACATAGGTTGCAACTTTGACGACGTTATTAATTACAAATATTTCAAAAAATAAATTAGGTAAAATCTATTATATACAGTGTGAATTAATAAATTATTTACAAAAGCGATTGTTCCAGCATTATTTTCTCGAAACCCGATGGAGGCGTATGATTGAAGTTTTCAAATATAACGTCCAAAATGGCACCATCATCAACTGAAATGAGAAAGAACACTATTAGCATGATTAAGAGAGATATTTTATGTTTGCTGACCCAGCATTGGATAAATGAGAATTTGGTATAGTTTGATGATCTCCAAGGACCCAATTGCATTTGTCATTGATCTTGCCTGAAAGATCTCGAAGTAAATGATCCGTAACCAAATAAAAGACATTATTGTTAATGAAAAAACTCCTCTTTCAAAAAATTTGTCCCAACATTATTTCTAAAGCTATTGATATCGATCAAGAAGCAACCAGCACAGGATAACTAAAAGCTTAATCCCCTAAAATGGAATACAAATAAATAACAACTAATTTAACTAAATTTTTTCATAAGGCTACTAAGAATCACCATCTATTGATGCAAAAATGATATCGGGCTTCTGTTAGGTAGTGCATCTAAAAATACATGATACCAACTGTACCAGTTCAGTCTCCCCAATCCATCACAACACTTTTGGTGATTTGAAAACCACTAAATTCTGCTTGATTGCTTCTTAATTAATCTTGATAGCTTTAGAAATAATTGCAAGACGAATTATTGAAGACGATGAAATATTTTTTCCTTAACAAAAATAGCAACCCAAGATCAATGACCTAAACAAAGATATTGGGAACAAATTAGTTCTGTGACAACACATCAATACCCCACCAGATCAACGAACATAAACAATCTGCCTTAAATTGCAACCCTTACCATATAAAGCTGGATAAACTGTACCCTTCACATTAACAGTCGGGAATTCTATTTCTTCTCCATTAACATAAAACTTCAATTGAATGTGATCGTAAGAAACGCCTAAAACATCACCCTCTTGCGGTACAGGACCAGAAATCGCAGTTACGTTTGGTACCAATCCCGAGGCCCCTATCCTAAATAGATCTTGCTTATTATGTCTTATTACGTTGTCGCTACACAATGCCCATGAAAATTGATCCATGCCACCTACACCATCAATGACTTATAGTTATCAAAACGTAAGCTCACCTTGAGTTAGACTTAAGTCTGTCTGTCTAGTAGCTAACCCTATCGACCACAAACCACCCTGCTGCACTTTGACTTCGAAGTACGATTTCGACTGTACCAGTGGAGCATTTCCTAACGCCGCTCCGGCTCCGCATACCCTTTGGCCGCCCTTAACAATTACGACTTCGTACCCTGCATAAAAGCAAAAATTATGTTTGTTCGGGTGGGATAAGTAGTAAGCTACCCATGAAAGAAGTGTCAAGTTGAATCGGGTTTTCCCTGGGTATGTGGGGAACAGTTGAAGTAAAACCTATGCCATTTAAGCAACCTTTTAAACAACAAAATACTGAAACAGATGTCATGATTAATGTTTATTATTAATTATAACCTATCCTAACATAACAGTACAATTTTTGTAATCAAATCAATGGTTGCATTCATATGGATCAACATATTCTGTTGGTACTACTGACTACTGTTTTGTTACACGTGTACTCCACGTGATACAAAATATTAGTTACCGTTGCTTTGTAAATTAGTCTTTGAAATTACCGAGACCTACTCCAAAATTGATATTTTCAATTTTTAGTTACCTACGTTACTTGTGTCACCCCGAAGAATTTGTGCATAGGTACGATCTTGTTTACATGTTGAATTAATTATGCTGTTGTATAGAAATGTAGTTATTTGGGCATCGTAAAGTACTTTCTCTTGATTTAACTTCCCGTTTATGTTTTTGTTATCACCGATTTGTACGGACGATGCGTGGTCGATCAAAATTTTGCTGTTGTTAGTGTAAAGTCATTTGAATTATTGTTCTTATTGAGCATTAATTGTGAATTTAGTATACGAATTCTTAGTGTCCAGACGTTAGCCATTGCCACTGCAATATTTTGTGCCGCACTATTCACTATATCCCTCTTGTTTGTTTGTTTGTGGGGTTATTTGTTACAGATAATGCAGAAAAGCGTCTTTCTGAGCTCAAAAGGCCATTAAAGGTAATTTTTTCAAAATTTCGTCTACTCATTGGTATGTTAGATTACATATACTGGATTTCGATACTATCGAATGTAATTATTCAATTTATCAAAGTATAGCTCCGTTGTTTTATGCGGAAGCCTACTGATCCACCTTTTTATTGCTAAAAATTGATTTAAATTTAAATGTTGACATTTCAGATCTAGATATATTTACAGTGACCTATTTGTAATATTTTGAGATCACTTATTAAATTACCATCGATTGTGATATCAATTCTTGTTTATATTCTACCCTGTCCTTTGTTTTATTGCTTCAGCTTATCAAGAGCAGAACAAAGGACCTCTTAGTATACCTTAGTTTCCCGTTTCGGTAAGTATTGCATTGCTTCAAAAACTTTAGGTAAGTAATACAGTTTCTTAAAAACAAGTAAGTTTGTTAAACTCGTGATGACTCTTAGAAACCTTTGAGCACTTGAAAACCTAATAGGTACGTTAAAAAAATCTCATATACATAACTCTTCTTCTTAATGTTCTTACAGATTAAAAGCTCTCAAAGAAAGACACAATAATTGTTAAAGCGTGAGCTCTCAAAGACATTATGTTTTACGGCTATTGGAAGCTTTTAAAGGCCCTCAGAGGCTTACCAGGCTTTTACAAGAAAGACGTATAATCTCTTAAATGATCCCATACACTAATAGTATCGTATAACCCGTAGACGACACCTTTTTTTCTGTAAGAATAATGTAGATACCGACTCAAAATTCCACGTATAGGCCCACTAATAGGCGGGCAGTCGATCAATGGCAAATCTGTAGGTAAATAAATTAAATTCGGATTTCTCTTAGACAAGGGATTTCTTGTTTGCTTAAAGCGACATCTCAAATTAAAAAAAAAAGCATACAAATCTTATTTAATATTACTCGCTTCGATATCCAAGTGTGCAATTCACTTCTGTATTAAAATACAGATTGTCGCTCCTTGGACACATAAAAATCATTTGTCATTAAACTTTGCATTGCGATTTATCGGTTATTTTGCTATCGATTTGCTTGATATCCTTTAATACCTATAAGACAAACCTTTCTATATCGATTACAATGTTCAAAAGACTTATTTGTATGCTTAAAATTTACTCTTTCGCCATCTATCGGCAGGAGTAGGAGTGACCCTCTTAAGAAAATTAAAGACTCGCTCACCTTAACGATATTTAAAGGTTTTGAAACACTAAATATAGACCTTTAGTCTTTCACAAATCCTTAAAGGATCTAAAAGCCTGTTCACCAAAATTGATATCGGTATTAAATTTATAAAGAGTCGAAATCGCCTCACCCAGTTCCACCAACATAAATATAAAATTTGCTAGTCATGTCCTAGTAAAGACATACGGATTTTTTTTTACCCCAGACACCGGTGCAAGTAGAAGAAAATAGAAAGAAAAAAGGAAAACGTTCACCCGAGTTGACACCTTTGACACTAATGGCGAACGGTGTACAAAATGTAATCGGTATTCTTTAACTGGATTTATTTTATTATACTCAATAAATGTGGCGGTTTAATTGTGGACGGTAGTTTAAGAATAGATGTTATTATAATTTGGTGTAATTATTCCTCCTAGTGCCTGTTATCTGGAGGTAAATATTGTAAGATTATGCTAGAATAGAAATGGTGTGTAGGTCTTGGAAAAGAAAGGGCCGCTGACGCATACAAGGCGCACCCACTCCCATTTGATATGCCCAGCATACACCTTTGCCAAGCCTGCACCGGCTCTCGGCACCTCGCATTTAGCTCGCTTCTTTTTTCCAGCAGATATGTCTTCAGATGAAGAAAAACCACCCGCTCCTCCTGTACGCTTAACGTCTAATAGGGGAACCGACCTGAGTAACAACGCATTGGCGGTCGACCGACCGTTGCCCAAAGAACCGGAGGATGCCGAACGTAAGAAGAAGACTTTAAAATCGAAAATGAAAAGCAACAAGTCGACGTTGCACATGTCCGATAAACCTAATATATCATATCCTACTAACTTCGAGCATACGGTTCACGTCGGCTTCGATCCGGTATCGGGTGAATTCACGGTAAGTCTACACACTACGGTAACACTATGATGTGCGAGGAATTACTTGTTTTGCAGAATTATTGAAGTGTCTTGCGTAAATAATTAACGCATGAGTCATAAGATGATTGAATTTCATATAATGTATAAGTAATAACAGCGGTTTTTTCTAGGAGTCGATATTCGATATTGTGATAATTAGAAACTGTGCTTTCCTATACTATTTTTTTTATGGATGTTTTTCTTGTTTTATTGTTGGATTTAGTTTGCGACATGTTATGTGCTAAAAATATTGTCTGCAATTAATATTTATGGTGTCTTGTTCCAAAACTTGACACGAATTTAAATTATCTGGTGTATTGTTCTTTGGGGTATTGTATTTTTAAATCGGTTACCTAGTCGTATTAGCTGACAACATGGGGATGGTAAGCATTCAATACTTGTAGTTGTTTATTTATTTTCTTACATTCTTTTCACGTTCATATAATTAACATTTTTTGCTATGGATTCATTATTTTAGAACTGATCAAACAATTTAAAAGACAAAAGTCTGATATAAGTTCATTATTCTGTCTTTGGGGTATTGAAATTAATATAGAATAGTCTCTTTTCTAAAAGACAAATAAATATTACAGAAAATTCCCATAAGTTCCTGAATATTCACAACAAATAAATTATGGGAATTTTACAACAGTACTCCTGTGATGTACAAATTGGCTATGTACTGCGGACCCTTCATATTTTGCTAACTGCACTTGATTGCTGTCAATGTCCTAGGTGACTCAAGGGTGTATCATTGTTTTGTACGGCAATTGGGACAGTTCGGGAATTCCGGGAACTGAGTGTCGACCAGAGTGTAATAGTGAATCATACTCCATAGTCGTGTGACTACCATCTGGCTTTTTAGGGCACCTAGTGTACTGTGTGCACCCCATTTCTCAAGTTAACTTAATTTCTCCTCGAAAATTCTGCCTTAGCAGTCTTAATCTATTTGCGATTTGTGGTAGTTTGTGGTTTTTTAACTGTTGTGTCTGATTTCTCATCTAGCCTTTTTCAGTTCTTTGTTCCACCAGGCAGTTTCTCGAATTTGGGACAGCAACCTTCATAGAGTCCTGGAGGAGTAATTCTATGGACTATGATAACCTCCGAAAATTCCAAAGAATTTATTACAAACACTTTAATTAATACCTGAAATAAATCTTGGGCACCAATAGACAAACCTGACGTGAAGAGTCTATCCGGGTCTCACTTTGGGTTCGAATAAACAGACAATTAATTGAATTGTTAGTAAGAGTAAAATCGAGAAGGGACTCACCTCGTCGGTTACAGCAGGTGTTTCCCCAAATGGTATGGTGGGAATTTGCATTGCAGCAAAAGAATTGCTTGGCGGAAATCGAAAGGAAGATAATTTGAATTATTCTTCGTTTCTTCTCTTTAGTATTCCATCGGCTTTGTATAGTTTTTATGTAGTTAGAACAAAAATTCAACTTCAAGGTTCTTCCTAACTAGAATAAATGTTCGAGGTTGTATTGTGATTATTAATGACTTGACCTTTGGCACCTCCTAGATCACAGGTTAGTCCATTCATGGTTGTTGTATGAGTGCCAAGCCCATGTTTCCTACATAGCGACTGCTTTGAAGAACCGCAAAGGCTTTATCTCCGTCTGGGATCTCGCTCACATTAGGAGACGGCAAATGTCGTCAGCTGGACCTCCGAGTACTTAAGGTGGTACATAGTCATTTTCACTGCTGCTGCAGGTTCTGTGAAAGTACCCTCTTCAACATGTTTCACTGCAAGGGAAGGAGTGCTTGCATGTGATCGCTGCCATTTATATCCTTTGTAGGGTCCGAGATGACCTTGGACTTCTCCTGATCAGTCAGTTCTGACTTCGGCTCTCCCAAGGTTGAGCTTACCTCGAGTTGTGATGTCTCACCATTGTAGAAGACTCGCTCATGACACTGTTTTCTTCCTAAGGAATAAATTTGTTTAGAGATTCTATAAACAGGGTGGTCCAAATTGGACACTTTCTTATGGCAACACCCTTTATTTTAAGAGAAAAAAATGGACCTAGATTTCTGGAGCTCAATTTTAAAGAGAAAACCACTGGTGCAAACAGAATTCAGCTCTTTAATCGTTTGGCCGGTGGGCGTTTCTTGAATTTAGTCAATTTCTTTAATTACCTATAACTTTCTTGTTGTTAAAGATAATTGATTTCTTTCCTATGTATCTTTTTTATGTAGAATCCATCGCGATACACAGCATTTATACTGGGCATTTGATTTTTACACGACCCTAAACTGAATGTTGACATATCACAATGTAAATGTAAATATTTTAATGTATAAAACGCAATAATGTTTAATGTAAATATGTACGTATAACAAGTGATACATCAAAATTTAGTAATTATACGCTTTTTTAAGAACTGCAAAGTGTATAGGGTGGTCCGTATCAAAAAATGTAGTTTAGAACGGTATAATAAAAACTGCGCATCGAGATGGATTCCACATAAAACAGTGATCTAAGAAAGATTTTGCCAATTTAATAGTAAGGGCACGGTTATAGGGCATTCAAGAAATTGACTAAATTCCAGAAGCGCTCCCTAGCGGCCAAATGATTAGCAGAATTAATTTTGTACCAGTGATTTTCTCTTTAAAATTGAGCTCCAGACACCTAGCTCTATTTTTGTCCGTCTTTTAAAATAAAGGATGTTTCCATATCCAATTATCCATGACATTATACTTTGGAGGTCACCCGCTTTCCTGAGATCCCTGAAAATTCCATCCGAAAAAAGTTTAAGCACAATTAAACCATGAAATGCTATATACAATTGAATTCAGAACAAAAAGGGCTTGAAGGCTTATTATCGGAATAACAGGGCCATATTTTAAACGAAAATACAGTTGACCAGACCAATCGTGGACAGACCATATTATATGATAAGGAAAATTTGATGATGGTTCCGCAAAGACGAAACGTTGGATTAAAACATTAACAACGCTACCTTAGAGAGCCTTAAAAGTTGCTGTGGAGAAGTGTCATTGGTTTTGCTCTAGGTCAAACATTAATCCCCCCCCCCCAGTTATTGCATCTCGTGGTGATTCATTTGCGCTAGTTTCAGATTTGCTACCATCAGATCTGTTATCAGATTACTCTGATATCGTTACTGTTAATATGTGCCGCTTTCTATTTATTTGCCTTTGAGTGCATAATAATAAAAGGTGCACATTTTTCCCATATGACCATACTCAAGATTTGAATGCACAACACGGGAATCTTGAAAACGGTAAAATATACAGTGTGGTTTAAATTAGGAAAAAGTTGCACTATTTAGAGTATATTTATATACAAATCGCAGAAATTCATAATTATTTATCTGTTTATGTTTCCGAGTGATCATTATTGACTTCATTTTTTGCGAGATTTTTTTGTATGACCACAAAAATACAAACACCTTGTATATGGTAGCATTTTTTATTACAAATTCAACTATGTATCACACATTGCCAAAAAACAAAAATAAATTTTAATATTTTTGTAGGTTCTTAATCTAGTAGGCGTTGGAAAAAGAATTCAAAGATTACTGCAAGTGTTCAAACAATTTCTCATTATTTTCTAGAACCAAGTGAGGAGATTGTGTTATCTGCTGCTATAACCGATGCCAATTATTGTTCTTTATTTTCAAAAGTCAAGTCATACACTTGATTTGTTACATAACCCCACAGGAAAAAGTCTAACTAACATTTCTTGAGATATGCGCTGGGGCACCATCTTGCTGAAACCATCAGTTGTTAATTATTGCTAGAGGTGATTCATCCAACGCGTCTTCCAATTCAGTCTGCAGCAGGTCAAGATACCGCTCGGAATTTAAATTACTGTGATAAATAAAGGGACTTATTATTCTGCTATCTCAAATACCTGCTCAGCAGTTACACAAGATATAACATGTCAACATATCAAATTTTTCTTCGTTTGTGAAATTTGCTCAAATTTACATTTTTACAACAAAGAGAAAAGCGGTTTGAATGGTGATCCTTGTGGCGCCCCACTGTAAAGTAAATGATCTTTATTGCCCACTCCAGAGTTAGTGTGACGTCTGTTTATGATAATGAAATTTGTGAACAGCATTTAAGGGTACATTTGAAATTGGATCTGATTATGCGCTTCAATATTTCTGCAAGCTTATATGTGTCGTTTCACCACTAGTCCTAGTGAAACTTACGTACGAATACAGAATATTCTTGAAAGTCTTTACGAACAAGTGAGTAAATTGTAAGGAAACGTGTAGGCGCTTGTTTTGCTTATTAATTTTAATTAATTCCACATTTTATTTTACAAGCTGCCACTGAAAGTAAGTAATGCATGTTTTTGTTTAGTTGCAAGTTAGTTTTAGATAGCGTTTTAGTATCTCAATACCTTTTGCGCTAATTTATTTCATGGCGAAGTCACTGTTTTTCACAACACTTACACAACTCAATTTTATTCCTAATCGATTTAATAATACGTTGATTGTTGTCATCAGGGAATGCCGGAAGCATGGTCTCGTCTGTTGATGAATTCGAACATCAGCAAACAAGAACAGAAGAAGAATCCGCAAGCCGTATTAGATGTTCTTAATTGGTACGACAATAGCTCTAAAGAAACGCCTAGCACGAAGTACATGACAAAAGCCACTGCAACGACCCACTCAGGTACCTTCGTGTCAAAGCACATCGATTTGTGACCGTTTTTCTTTTGTAGGTTCGTCATTGAGTCGAGTATCGAGTTCCAGTCCGAGCAGTACAACACCAACAGAGGCGGAGGGAACAATCCAGTCTTATCATAGCCCAGTACATGTCGTTAATTCGGAAGCGGAAGATGAACCACCTCCTCCTCCAATTGCGAGCCGACCCGAACGAACTAAGAGCATTGTAAGTACGCTGTCTTATTAGACGGAATTTTATCACAAATTTATAGTACACCAAACCGATCGAAGAAGTTCAAAATACGACGACAAATAACAGTACTCATACGCCTACGCACAGTTTAAGCCCCGTACATACGACACCGACACACGTCACCAACGCAAACACCCCACCCGGCGCACCGATGTTAGATAGGAATAAAAATCAAGCAGGCTCCGAAATATCGAGGGCGGCGTCGGAGAAGAGAAAGAAAAAGATGACAGACGATGAAATTTTAGAGAAACTTAGGAGTATAGTGTCGGTCGGCGATCCTAATAGAAAGTACGCGAAAATGGAGAAAATCGGACAAGGGTAAGCCACAAGAGCCCAGTTCCTGTTTGATATTTGTCTTTTAGAGCTTCGGGTACGGTATATACGGCAATTGAAACGTCGACGGGTGTGGAGGTAGCTATAAAACAAATGAACCTATCGCAACAGCCGAAGAAGGAGTTAATTATTAATGAAATTCTAGTCATGCGAGAGAACAAGCATATGAACGTTGTAAATTATTTGGATAGCTACCTTGTTTCGGAGGTTTGTAGAGATTTATGTTCAAATCCGTGCAAGAAATTGGGGGGGGGGGGGCTTAGAAAGTGTTAGTAGGTTTTACAGAAAGACTGAATACTACGGAGGGTCACACAAGTGTTTTCCAAGGTCTTATTAGTGGTTTCAGGGCATTCTTGGGCCTTTTCAATACTGTCTAGCCCTAGCAATTTACCATTACAAACTGATCGAGAGCCCTTTTCAGTATCCAATAATATGCTTTCCTGGGCTTTTAGTTTTCCCAAATCTTTGTAGGTCTTTTCCAGGACTAGATGAGTCTATAGTGCGTCTCACCTTGATTTTATAGTGCAGGGAACATAGGGCGATACAATCCATATGAGAGAGCTCTCCCACTTCTTCCGCTATTTGAATCTCGCGTGGTAAAAATACGGAAGAATTTTTGTCACATGCTCAGCTTTAAACAGAATGAAACGAAACTTATAAGGGCCAAGAGATCATTGCAACCACACTCACAATGCGTTTCTTGCTGGTTATCGCCAGACATATATTTCACGTTCGCTATGAAGCGGTATATGTGTAAATTTTCCTATGCTGAACAAAATACAAATTCAAAAAAATACTTATTTAATTCTAAAGGGACCACCCGGTATATCTCTACATTTCATTCTCATTCTTGGACAGGATGCTCTTCCATACACTCTTGCCGCCGCTTTTCATATTTTGACGAAAACTGATATTACGAACTCCAGTAATTTAATTTCGTTATCCACTGTAACTGCCACTTGTACGGGGCGATAGCTTCGTTCTTCCCACTATTAGTACTAATTTAAATCATTCAATTTACAGGAATTATGGGTTGTGATGGAATATTTACCTGGTGGATCGTTGACGGACGTTGTGACCGAGACATGTATGGATGAGGGTCAGATAGCTGCCGTATGTAGGGAAGTATTACAAGCACTTGAGTTCCTTCATAGCAATCAGGTGATTCATAGAGACATAAAGTCTGACAATATTTTGCTCGGCCTAGATGGATCCGTTAAATTAAGTAAATCCTTTTAACACATCACGGTAAAGTCCGATAACGCAACCTGTTTTAGCTGATTTCGGTTTCTGTGCACAAATTAGTCCCGAGCAATCTAAAAGGACGACGATGGTAGGTACACCGTATTGGATGGCGCCGGAAGTTGTGACTAGGAAACAGTACGGCCCGAAGGTAAATCTTCGCTTTCGTAACTACCGCGCGTAAACGAAATTTGTAGGTAGACGTCTGGTCGTTAGGAATAATGGCTATTGAAATGATCGAAGGGGAGCCTCCGTATTTAAACGAGAATCCATTAAGGGCGCTTTATCTTATCGCGACCAACGGTAAACCGGAGATTAAGGAGAAAGACAAATTATCCCCTGCCTTCCAAGATTTTTTAGACCAATGTTTAGCCGTCGAGGTTGACAAGCGATCGTCGGCGCGTGATCTTCTAAAGGTTTGCCGTGGGAAAATTCTGTGTATGTCAGTCTAACTTCCATTTTGTAGCACCAGTTTTTGAAATCTGCCCGGCCATTGGCCAGCCTAACGCCACTAATCCTCGCGGCGAAAGATGCAGCTAAGGGTCACTAGCGGTAGCTACACCGGCCGCAGGCAAGAGACTATAACGAGCCATATAACTAGAATTATTTCCCCCTTCCTCTCTTGACATCTTATGCGGTTGTACGTTGTTAGATAGTTCTAGTTGTATGGATCATAGTATTTATAAAATAGGACAAAGCATTTAATAGTGACGAATGACGTGTGCCTAATTTCACAATAATAAGCAGCATTGCATCATAATTTTATATATTTGTAAATAGTTTACATTTTATTTTCGATGGGAAATTAAACGTTTCATTTTTGTTAAATAAATTTTTGTGCGTGATAACGTTTTAATCTCCCATTACATATTTTGTTTATCCGATGTTAAACATCATAAATTTTATTAGTACAGGAGTATCAGGAAAGTTGCATATGATGAATAGAGGCCGATTTTATATTGTACTACCAAAGCTTGGGCATTTTTCGGTTATGCTTCACCACAGATTGTTTTACCATAGAAAAAAAATGCTTGTATCATTTGCAACCTTCTGACAAGAAGAAATGAATTACTTTGTAGACCTTGATGCTCATACTAGATTATTTAAAAAAAAATTATGAGTGCATATATGACATCTTTCAACATGTTGTTTCGTTATTACATTATTCGTGACATTTTTCGCATTTTAAGTTTCATACAAAAAAAAAAGTATTAAATACAATAACGTTCAACTTGTCGAAAGTGTATACCTACCTATAGTAGTTGTAAATGAGTGAATGAAGAAATTAGGTATAGTATTTTTGCACTAGTATTTATGAATGAATATATTTCATAACGTGATTGCGCTAGAACATTATTATAGTACTTTGTGCATTGTTGCCAATTAGGTTTAAAATGTACGAAGTGTGGTATCTAATAAATAAATCATTTTATATTTAACAAAGGACTGTAGTTGAAATTATTTTATATAAAGTTCTCTTCCTATGTATTAGTGTTATTTATTGCAATTTATATCGAGGACTAAGGGAAGGGAGAGAGTGCTAGAGGGTAGTTTTGCGAAGGACTACTTAAGCTTAGCGTTTTTTTTTTAAATTCCTTTCTCAACAACCTCGATATATTGTGTAAAGTACGCCATGTGGACGTTTTATTTGGTATCGGCACCTGCAGCAATGTTGGGTTATTCTGTATTATGAATTTCAAATTTTGCGGTTAAATGTGCTTATCATTTGAGATTGAACACAATTCCGATCGTGGTATTTGAAGTCAATGTGGTTTTGTTTAAGAATTATTTCTTGCTTAATTTTGTTTAAATAATTGCGTAGTATTTTATTGCTCTTTTGGAAATAATGTTTTGTTCAAGTTATGAAATTTAAATCCGGTCGTTGCCATAAGAAACCTGTGGTTGTTGCGTAAGCTAATTAGTTTCCAGATAAGCTGGTCCCAATGACGCAAATTCGAGTAGGAAAGAATATTTTAAATAGCAGAGGAAGACGTGAATCGTTTGTTTGGTGGTGGATGTTAATGGAAGATTTTTTTGACTGAGTGAACATTGTTTTGTTTTGGCGATTCGCCGTATATAAGCGAATTGTTGCAAGACAGTTCGACTTGCCAGTTGTAAAGTTCTGTAAAAAAGTGTGTTACTCATCGAGATTTTATCTTATACGTTGTTCAAAATGAATCTTTATGTCGAATTGAGCGGAATCGTGTTAGTGTACGAAGAAACTTGGTCAGACTGTTGGGACTATCTTTTGTTTATCGTTTTGTTTCACAGTACCAGTTAAAGAGACTATTTCCACCATCAAAGAGCCAATATTACATCTGAAATTACAACGAATCCAGTGTCGTTTAAATAGTAATTTAAGTGCAACTATAAAGAAGCTGATTATTATTTTGGGTTATTAGCACTTTAAAATCCAGATTAGCCAGACCCCACTACTGCCTTCACGAGCCAGCTCGTCCGCCCTGTAGTTGTCCCCTATTCCGCAATGCGCTGGCACCCAAGATCAGCGCCGCATATGCTTATTACAGTAACCTCTACGGCTCTACGGAGGTTATTCTCCTGTGCATAGGTCATAATGGCTAACATCTCTTTCTGAAACACTGTGATATGCCGACCAAGGGAGAAACTGACGTCAGCTCTCTGTCAATCACCATATTATAGACCCATGCCCGTTCCCCTTTCTGTTAGGGACCCGTCTGTAAACCACACGAGCCCCTCAGGTTTGAGGAATATATGGATCTGAGCTCACCACTGCTCCCTGTCCGGGAAAGTGATTATGACTCTTCGGTCTCAGTAAGATCGTTCGGATCACATCCCTTCTTGAAAGGGGATCGGATCTGAAGGTTTCCTCCCAGATTGGCCCGTGCGTAAGGCTACCTCGATCCTTCCACTTGTCCAAATCATTTAGCCGTATGGAAGAGCCTTCTGAGCCTCTGCCTCCACAGCCACAGTGTAAAGGCTCTACTCCCAAAAGTGCCTTCATGGCCAAAGTTTTCAAGGTTCCACTGACTCCGAGACAGGCGAGTCTCTGGACCTTTCCTAGCTAAATAAATACAGATCGAAAAAAATTGTCAAGTTAACTAAAACAAAGAGGATTCTAAAATGATTCAAACAAAATTCGGAGATTCTAGGAAAATTTGGAGCTGATTCTAAAGACATAAGAAGAGTACAAGATAAATTTTACAAGATTCTACTTACGTTCTAAAGAAGATTCTAATATACATTTTAACGTTGTGAGAGTTCTGTATTGTATCTACAAGTTTTAAAAAATCACAAAATGCTCTAAAAAGATTCTCAGAAAATTTCGAGAATATTCTCATAAGAATCCAAGATGATCTTAAGGTATAAAGATTTTACAAATACTCTAAGCTTTAAGTAGAGGTTTTAAGAAAACTCTAAGAGGATTTTTATAAAATTTTATACTGCTACGAGTATTGCAGGATGCACAAAGTGTATATATAGTTCAACGAGTCATTGATGAACTTCAGAGAATTAAGACACCCGCCCTATAGCTCGGATTTAATGATCACTATCCTATCCACTGTTGCGTGCGCTTTGTTATTAGAGGCGTGGCGAAAAAAACATGAAGCACTATACGCACTAGCATGACATGAAACAGACGTTAGACACAGCAACATCAAGTAGACCATGACCAGTCTTACATTTTGCCATCACAAATCTAACCTAACCTACAGCAGAGTGGCTACAAAGTGGCAAAAAGTCATACATAATGGTCAAATAGGACAAAAATGGACCATACTGCAATCATGACTCACCCACCACTTCTCCAAGGCTCCACGACACGACAGGCGCAGTCAAACATTGCGCAATAATGCCAAGGAAGATATAAATTTTGGGTGCCCACCAATATAGAACCAGTCACTTCTCATTCCCATGATGGATTCCCCCCGATGGTGTCGTCCCTCGGACTTACATTACCCAAAGGTCTGGTCGCAATTTACCAGAACAAACAGCGACGGCACGACATACGAATTTCAAATTCAAGATTTACCCGAAAATTTGTTCTCAAAGTGCCTGGATTTTATGGTCAAGTATTTCATTGCAGACGAACCATTGTTCAATTGCTTAGGTAGAGACCGTAGAAATTGATCATTACTAAATTTTTTTGCTTTCAGGTTTTGCAGCCGATAGCACATCCGTAACTAATTTGCTGAGTTGTTGGAGGAAGGCTTTATTCGATAAATGCACGCTCATTTGCACACTTAAAAACTGTGATTCTAATGAAACTGAAATCGTTGGAGCATACATACTTTACTATCACCACAAAGTACATGATTGTGACGATGATGTAATTCAATTATTTCGCAAAATGTTTATTGTAATATTCAATTCTAGTGCAATGGGAAGAGCTATAGAGCGTTGTTCGACATAGTTACGTACATGGAGAAGCAAGACAATCGATATGAGCGGTTCTGTATCGATGATTATTTAGACGAGTTCGGTGTCAGTGTCCATCCGAAATATAGAGGTTTGGGGATTGCTACAGAATTAGTTAAAGCACGGTGAGACATTGCAACTGATTTGCAGTATTGTAACACATAGAATTTTAGCAACTTGTTAGGAGAGGCTTTGGGTTTAAAATACAGTTTTAGTTTGTGCACTGGAATTGCCTCACAGAAGGCCTGCGAGAAAATGGGTTACAAAGATTTAGTTGAAGTAAAGTACGAAACATTGCAAGAAGTATTTCCCCATTTAAACGTACATGTTAAAGGTACACCTTCGCTTCGATATATGTATATACAGCATAATTGTTAAATTTTGTTAAATGTAACTTATGGGCAATAATGTTTTCTTATCTATGAGTGGCATTTCACTATCTGAACGTCACCACTTGGTAAAAGTTTTTTGCGATATTAAGTACAACTTTATAGACATTTTGAGAACACAATAATCAGCACAATCAATTTCAAATGTACTTGTAACACATATGGTTTTGGAACTATATTTTAAATGATAATTTCTGATTTGTTATTGTTTTCCAAATTGCGTCACTACGCCCTCTTGTTTCGCTTACTGGAATTATAAAGTTGTCCATGCCAGTTTTTCCGAGAGTCTTTCTTCTAAATACAGGGTGTTAATACTTAGTAGTTACACCCGAAAATGGCAATTAGCAAACGACTTTTCTTAGTTCCAATTTTTGAGTTGGTCCTATGTCTTTATTGATGTTCTGTTTTTTCCAAAAATCGTCATGACTCCTTTATCTAAAGGACTATTGCAAAAAAAAACCTTCCTTCAGATCTCTAAAACATTTGCGGTTGCAATTATTTCTTATTTTTTCAAATAAGAAAATGGCGAGCGATCAAAAATTTCAAAAGAAGGTTTTTTGATAACCACTTGAAACTAAAACATTTATAAAATCCCTAAGCTATCTTCTACAATATTTGTCCTAAACATTTGTTCCAATCTATCCAAAAAAAGGCTTTAGACATTTACTTTAATTACAGATAATTATGAACAAACTAAAAAAAGCATTTAAATAGAAGTACCTGCCATTGCACAATGAAACAGCAGAACTTTGGATTTACATCCTAAAATAAGGCGATTAAACCAAAAGTTGCTAAGTAACGTTACTTCAAATATGGCATATAATAAAAGAATAAAACTATAATCTGGGGCTGAAATACAAAATCCTCTCGGATCACTTTCTGCAAATGAGATGATGAAGAATAAACAGTCCACTTAATTAGACATGTGTATTCGAGATAACGTCAATATGACTTTATTTTATTTCCCTTATTTTTAAATTATATATCAAATGGAGACTTTAGTTTCAACATGATGGGGCACCAGCTCATACACACGATAGGTAAGTAACCACATTGCTAAACCGGGAATACCCAATGAAGTGGATTGGAAGGAGAGGTCCCGTTGCGTGGCCAAGCCGAAGTCCCAACTTAACTCCACCAGACTTCTTTTTCTGGGGTCAGATGAAAACCTCTGTATACGAGACACCAGCGAACACAGAGGAAGAACTAGTGGCTAGAATCGTGGCTACAGCTACATCGTAAAACAGAGGCAGGCTGTCATTGTGATGGTCTCTATCAACATTAAAAAATGCTGACGCCAATGGTGGCCATTTTGAAACTTGAAATTGAAAAAAATGTTATTGCCATTTTGTTATTTAAAAAAATAATTGCTAATACAGATGTTTTAGAAAGGTGAGTTTTTTTTTTTCAATAATCTTTAAAGTAAGGAAGTTACAACGATTTTTAGAGAAGCAAAAGAACGCCAATAACTTCGAACCGGGGCACCAAATCAAAAATTGGAACTAAGAAAACTTGTTTGTTTTAATAAGTGTGCAGTTTTCGGGTGTAACGAGTATTAACACCCTGTATACAATAGTTGCCGACCCGATCCGGTAGTACTCTGGACTGGAGTGATGTAAATAAATGAAACTATGTTTAGTCTGTTCGAATTGAGCATCCTCAAACTGTTCTACCCTGGCTCATTGGATCTGTACACTACGTCCAAGATACAGAGGGCCAGTAAGAGATATAAATTTGGGTAAATGGGAGAAAAGTTGCGAAATTAAAGGTGTAAGAAGATAGCGTTTGGAAATCCTTAAACAAATTGGTTTTTTGAGATATTTTGAAACTTTTTTTCGGTTTTACGAACTATTTTTTTCTGGCGAAAAAAAACACTTCTACACAGCAACTTTTAATGCTCTTTAAAGTGGGGGTTGTTAATTTTTTTAAATGGCCCTGATACTCCGACATCACATTCTTAAAGCCCCTTTCATTCTGAATTCCAAGGATGTATAGCACTTTATGGTTTAATTGCGATTTAGTCTTATCTTGGACAAAGTGCATAATTTTAAGAGCCAAATTTGGAATAGTGCGAAACAAACTTTTTTAACTAAAACATTCAAAAAAATTTCAAAATCAGTGTCTTCTAAGGGTAAAAATAACAAACATACGAAATTTTTCTTCCACACTTCACTAAACACTTTCTTCCTAGCTCGCCAACTTCAGAAGTTGTAAAATCGCAAATTTTTGTTTTTCACTTACACAATAAAAAAATAATAAACTATGCAGTTCTTGATCATTCCTATTCTATACAAAATTGTAGCCCATACCACTGGAGCGAAACTAAGGAGTGGGAGATCCCCCAGCATCCCGCCATACAGCCCGGACATGTTGCAGTGCAACGTTTTTGGACTCGTGAAGAAGCACTTGAAAGGTCGCTGTTTCATGTCTGCAGAGATGGAGGAGAATTTACCGCGGGTCAGGTTTTATTTGACTGCGCCTACCATATATTGACGTTATTTGCAACGACTTTCCAAACCACTATTACAGTACATGTAACGAAAAAAGTTTTAGAAAAAAAGCACCCAGGATTTCGAAAGGGCTCGGGAAAACACTAGAACATTTTAGGGTTGAATCTCTCTGAGTAGACCATTTAGAAAAATTGCGGAATTTGGGCATAGGAAATGTGGCGAAGGGCTTAGAGAACTCTTAAACTGTTCAATAAAAGATTACAAGGTTCTGAGAAAAAAAAAGCATTTCAGGGGCTTTTCAGAATTTTCTATTTCCATATTGTATGGATTCTTTCTAGAGTTTTCAAGAACCTAGACCTTTTCCAGGACATCTTAGGTTTATTCCTTTTCAGAGCAATAGTCGAACCAAGAATGGTTCAAAGCTCCAAGAAGAGCCTATGGTCCCTTGAAAAGGACCAAGAGTTTTCAAGAACCTAGACGTTTTCCAGGACTTCTTAGATGTTAATCCCTTTCAAAGATAGTCGAATGAAGATTGGCTTAGAAAAGGTAGACAAAGCTCAAGGAAGATTCTAGAGTTCCTTCGGGAGTACCAGAAATCTTCGATGTCTACTAAGCTTTTTAAGGGGATAGAAATCTAAATAAACCTGGGAAGGTGATTTGATCTTCTGCAGGTTCAGAAACGCACCAAGAAACCCTTGGAATTTTTTTGCGCGTTGGAAAATCTTTGAACGTTCTGGGAAGCGGTTACAAGATTTTTGAAAGTATTGAAAAAGCTTTGCCCGATCTGGAAATATCCTAGAAGGCTTTGGTATGGACATAAAGGGTCTAACAAAAACTGAATTCCCTAAAAACCTCTGAGAGCGTGAGTGCTCTAGAATGTTCTAAAAGCCTTTGAATATCTATCCTAGAATTCTGATTCTGTCTTGTAGGTTTTGCAGTGAAACTTCTTTAGGCCTTTATTTTCGTAAGTCTCTAGGTCCTTTCGGAGCTAGACGAGCCAAGACAGGTCTAAAAACGGCCTACTCTCTTCGACGATTAGCGATACCCGGCTAGACGTCTGTCAACCTCCCCCTGGCAACAACATCAGCACTCCTAATGGAACTCTCGAGTTGGCGAATGACAGAAGGCAAACCAAATCCAAGTCAAGATGGAACAGCTGGCGTCGATGACTGCCTGGCTGAGCCCGCAGAAGAGCTTGGTGAATGGAATCCTCCCCATTCTCCTTATAAAAGGGACTGAGACATTATCGCCCAACTTTTTACTGGGAGCTACTCCCTAAGCTATATCCCCCAAGGACTGGAGGAAGGAAGGTAGGTGTTTTTTTATTTCTAAGGCAGGCAAGAGGCCCAGGGACCAACCCGAGAGCTGCCAACCTATCGTCCTTCATCATTAAAACGATTGAGACAATAGTAGGGAAATACATAAGGGAAGAGCGACCTTAAACAAAAACCTTCACACCAACCAACATGCATACCAAAAGGGACGTTCTACGGAGACCGCCCTTCATAACCGATTCGCAGAGGTCATTGCGACCAAAGGGTGACTGGGTTCGTGCATTTACATCTGCTCGAACATTGGGGCAGTTCTCAAGTCCCTAGCAGCCTTCTCTCCCACCCCTAACCTGCTCCTGGAGCACCAGCAAGTCTAGCTGGAGAAGTGATAAGAAGTCGGCTCAGAAAGTGATCAATGGACACTGCTCCTTAAGATATCATTTCAACAAAATCAGGATCACACATGTCGCCTCTCCTTCGAGGAGGAAGAGATAGTGGAACACATCATCTGATGATGCGGGGGAGGGATCACAAGACCTGGGTCAGGAAGTTGCAGCCGGAAAGGGTCCTCAGATTTTTTAACAAACTGCCTCTCTCGGAATAAGACACTGGGGCATGCACAACAGATCCAAGGGTCAAAGTGCATAGACGTGATATGCCCCAATTCAAGGAGCTCTCTCTGTGGATTCTTTGGAGCACCCTCATTCAAGCAAAAAAGGGAACTGCGATTCCTGATGAGTAGGTCGCTTTTTTCCAAGCTCGTTCCTTGTGGATAATGGATATGGGATATCCACCTTGAATGCGAATGCACAAATGTTCCAAAACAAAACCGCATCGTGACCTAAAACAAATTCAGTCTCTAGGAATAAGACTTGGTGAATTTGAGACCTTTGAAGAAAAAAAAATGTTTTGGTTTCACGCATTTTGTTTTAATACTTATTACTCCCTGTGGGGAATGCAGTATTTGGTTAGTTGACGTTATAAATATGAATATCTTCACAGAAATTCATTTACATTGCACGTGCCTTAGCCACTAACAGTTGTAAATAGTAATTTAAAATGATGTTTTTTCAATATCTTCGTAAAACATAATTTTTTATTTATAGAGCGATGCTGTTTTTTATAGAATATAGGTCACCTACAAGTAGGCATATTAATCTTTATTGCATAAGTGACCCTTGAAAAATTATGCATACTAAATAGCAATTTATATGCACGTGTAGTAAAATTTACATTAATGTATTGCGTTAATAAGACGCATCAATGTAGCTCATTTTTCCGAATTCAATATACGTTTTCATGTAGGTATGATAAAATAACAAGTCATTTACAAACAACTTTATTGTTAACATAAAAACAAATTATAATGAAACATAAATCATAAAGACATCACAACAACTACACAGCGTAAGAATGAGGAATACCATTTCGCTAATTTCAATTTGCTACATACAAACAATTGGCTTTTACGAAAATATGCAAAACGGATATATCTTAGAAAGTATAGGCATTTAAATATCGATTGTCCAAATTACTCTAACATTAGCTAAGATTAGCTTTGCTGAATACCATTCTTATGAGGTATAAAGTTGATGGAAGCCGAGTTGATGCAGAAACGCCTCTTCGTCGGTTTGGGACCATCGTTGAATACATGTCCCAGATGAGCGTTGCACGCGGCGCAAGAAACCTCTGTTCGAATTCGCCCTGGTTGGGAGATTAGGAGTAGTAGGTTACCTCCAACTTTTGGTACGATGGGATAGGGTACAGGGGCGTAAAAAAATATCGGACGGGATTCGGGTTAATTAGTAAATGAAAAATTAACTCAAATTTACGGATTGACATAAACAAAAATGCGAGTTAACGAAAACAATATGTACAGGGAAGGTCATGAGGCAGGAAATACGGAAATGAAAAAGAAAATAGCTCAATTAGCATCCCAAAGATGTTCATAAAAATAAAAACGCAAAACCCATCAAACTGCATGCCAAAACCACAACACTGTAGCTGGTGAATTATCTTCTTGACTATATCTACACTAATATTAGTTTAATGCAGGTGAAAGTAGCGATAGTTAAGCACATTCCCTCAAGTCAACAGCATAACAAAATAGACCTCGTTCTTGCAAAATATGATCATAAGATTTTAAGCCTTGTTTTCAAAAATTTGAGCTTGTAGTCATATTACTAATGCTTTTCTGAAAATTATCGTTTTTTTTTCTGTAGGATAAAAATTGAGTAAGATATCGTCCGTTTAAGGTTTGCATAGACAGTGCATTCAAGATAACGAGGGTCACTTCAATATCTCTATCCGATCGCGTATTGAAACTTCCGGTTTAACCAACTTGCGTTTTTCAAATGCAATGTCTATGTTTTTTTAAGATACTTAGAGAACTTATGAAATCAAACATGCAATGTGCCATATCACACAGAAAAGACCTATATCAATTTGTTCAATGTGGCATACTCTTGCGCTATCCGTGTAACACAACTTCAACCGCGCATCCTGACAGCACACGGCATGCTAGTAATAAGTTTTTTAAATATTGCATCAAGAATTTCCCAATTTTTCTGTATATCAACCATATGTTGTCGTACAGCAAATTGGGAATATTGGAATATAGTACGAAATCCAATCAAATCAACCTACACTTGAAGAGCTGTTGAAAGCGATTTTTTGTAGCTGTAAAAAAGCGTGCAGGTGGGTAAAACTTTTCTGCAATTCGACATGTGTAATAAGCAGCAAAGACAATTGTGAAAATAGTGCTCCAATTATGGGACGAGGACTAGGTGAAAAAGAATGATGACATATGTTTTTTGTAATAAACCAAAAATACAAAAATTAACATCCAATAAAATGTTTATTTTTCCTATTTTTTATTGTAAATTGTATGGGGTTGTTTTTTTAAGAGTTAATAAAGTCAATACATTTCATTTTAAATAATGACAATACAATATAGTACATTTTGAACCATATTAACTGTAATTGTTCCATTTTTTGTAAGGGGTGGATTTAATGAGGGTTGAAGTAAATGATCAAAAATCAAAACAAAACAAAAATCTAAAAATAATTGAATCATTTAAAGTTGCTGAATATCATGTTTCAACATTATTTTTTAATTATTACTGTCATAGGGTCTTTTATTTTGCCTTTATTTTTGAGTGGGCGGGGTTTCAGCCAAGGCCAACCCACTATACAATACAAATATCCATGCCCGAACCCGGATTCAAACCAAGGACCCTTAGCACCACAGTCCAGTTTCAACTGAACTGCGCCGGGTCTTATAATTTATTCATAAAAATGTCAATTGATGGTTATAATTACAAGCTTGAATCTACAATTTTATAATTATTTGGAAAATGGGGTAGAAAAAAATCATTAAAAATAGTAGCGAACAGCACAGGCTGATATTTGAAGTAGAGGGTAAGTAGAATTCAAATCGGAGATATTTAATCATTCCAAGTGGCTAAAGAACCTTGTGAAGACATTTTTTTAATTATTCTAGGCGGGTGGCTTTTAGTAGCGAAACGATTTAATAAATCATAAATTATGTCCCTTATTGTAATTTGCATTTGCATTTTACTGTTGAAATCATGCAAAAGTGGTGGCGAATGCGTTAATTTTAAAAAATTTGGTTTCGTTGTTTAAAGATACCTAAATATGACATTTTGTATACTCCAGAATTCTTTTTCGCATCCCTGTTCAGAAGTTTGCCAAGTTGGGGAAGAACTTTTGTAAAATTGGAGAGGGCATAATTTAATAATTTTTGAATTTTTTAATTATTATTTGAATAGAATTTTAAGAATATTTTGGATTTAAAAAATCAAGTCGGCATTGACAATGCAGCAAAAACTTTTTTTGCTCATGATACGACAAAATGTTACTAACAAAAATTGTTCACCATGAGGAATTATGACTATACAACATTTCAACAATATTTACGACCCAAAAATGCAGTTTACCTGAAAAGAAAATAGTTTATGCTTCACTGTCAAGGCCGACTTGATTTTTAAAAACCCAAAATATTCTTACAATTCTATTCACACCAAGCAGGGCTTTTTCGCAGAATCTTAAAATAAAATTCAAAAATGTTTAGTCCATCACATCTCTTGTAACATCAATCCAGGGACACACTGTATATCATTTTTCAAATTTTTGAAATGAACAACAGTCATTTTTATTGATTGGTACCGGCTGCCTCAGCTACCATGGATGCAAGTCGGGATGCAATAAACAAAGTCTCCATGACTCCATGGTCTACTATTTAAAAACCGTAAAAAATGTTTTTATTTTTGATCCATGGCAAAAATTAAAAAAATTAAGTTGTGATAAATCAATGTAATTAGAAAAATAATGGCAAAAAATTGACGTTAAGATATACAGGGTGTTGCTGAAAAATCTCCCTAAGGGCAAATGGCACACAATCGATTTTTGTTTCGCTCGATTCTCACCAAATATTGTTGTAATGTTCTCAATACGGCTCAGAGTACTGCCAGATCCTACGCAATACTGAGGCCTGACACTGCTCAGTATTGCTGTACATTTGTATACCTCTACTGTAAGTAAGACACCCTTCGATCTCTAAGGGTATTTGATCCAATGTACCAATCTATTTAGAATCATAGAGACTAGCATGCTAAGCCTTAGCTGTATATTTTGCTTAATCTAATTTCCCAAATTCTACAGAATGTTACCAAATAAATAAAAAAAATAGATTAAATACAATTTGGCATTTGGTGTTTTGCGACCTTTAACCTTGGTAAAAGCAGGTCAATTTTGAAATACTGGCACAGATGTTTGTACAAACAGCCTTTAGTAGGAAAAATACCAAGGTTGTATGAACTCGGGCACAAAATTCCTGAACACTTTACACTCGGTCAAGTGTTTAAAGTAAATAAATACGTCGAATGATACAAAGAATGTCATCGGGAATTGTTAATGAAGTGCACATCCGATAATCTCCTTACTTAATAAATCTCTGTCATTGACCTGATAACCTTTGAATTACCGAAAGAGATTCATCAACAAATCCTTGTAAGGTTCAACGTCACCATTCACAACACAAGCGAGTCAATGCACAAGCAGATTTGGGATTAATTAGGATTGTAAGGATCAATCTAACAAAGTTTGTGCCGCTTCTAAGTATTAAATAAGCCGACAAACTTGCGTTAGAAAAAGAGAAAATTTAAAACGGAACACTCGACTTACCCCCTGACGTATCGGGCGTCAGTTTAACTTTGCCTTGCTCGAGAACGTCGTTAAATGCGGGCCAGCCGCATCCGCTGTCGTATTTTGTATTGGAACTAAAAAGGGGTTGCTCGCATACTACGCAAATGTAGGTACCTTCCTCGTAAAACTTATTATAGCAGCCTAAAATATGCGAGTAATTTTTGATGAATTAAGTTAAAAATAAATACCTGTGAAGGGTCGTTCGGTGCCCCGTTCTTGAGTAACGTGGTACTGCATCGGTGTTAGTTTGGTTTTCAGTTCTCGCTTGTCTATTGCTTCCATACTCAGGCAGGCTAAAAAAAGTAATACTGCAGTGAGTAAAGCTCGAGTAATTTAAACGTTATTAATAAAAGTAACGCCCACACCAAATTGGGAATGAATAGAGGCAATCACCTGAGGACGAACGTGGATTTTTAATCGCGACCGCTCGCTTAAATACTGCCCCCCAAAGTACCTTTTCCACTTGTCTTATCATCCCATACTAAGTAATTACAGCGAATTTTAATTACAGCCGTAAAAGTTTTTAAAAGCGGCCCGATGACATTTGACAGAGTTCACGTCGTTCAAGTTCATCTTGGCGCGTCAGTTTTCAAATTCAAAAACCTCGCGTCATTTTTGCGCGTTTGAATAGTTTGCGCGCGTAATACCCAAAAATATGCATCGTATTGAACTAAACCACGCGCAATTACTAACATTTTCGAGAATTTCGCATTTGAATTACATCAAACCGATCGCATTCACAACCCAATCCGACTTTCACAAAGCCATCTCGCTTACGAAAGAAGCGAATTTCTCACAGCCGAATAAAATTCTATTTCAATGGCCGCAGAAGCGAAAATTTTTATTAGAAAAAGAACTGGCACTTCCGGTTTGGCTCCTGGCGCATACGCTGTTTTGGTTGCACGTAACGCATATCCTTCCGAGTGGTACAGGTAGGTATTCCAAATTTGTTGAAAAACCGACCTTAAAAAACAAGGTTCTCTTGAATCTTTATATAGTTCAAGGTGAGTAGATATTTTCGAGCATTGCCACACGTGTACTTAGTAAAAAAAGTTCTCTATCAATATTGGATATGCCCATAGTTCTAACAATTTCTCTCGTGACCATGAAAACACGATTCGGCGTTATTATTAGATTAAGTTGTATTATCAAATTATTAAACTCTCAAGGTCCCTTTTTTTGTATCTCAATAACTCTAAACAGGAGTTTAATTAAATACAAACAAGTGCTAAGTAGGTACTTAATCTTCTTGATTAGAAACAAATAAGTCAATTTATTACGAAAATATAAGTACCATTGAACTATTTCCGTATCTACTTATTTTTTCCAAAAGTTTAATTAAACATTAATAGCTGCAAGTAGAAGTAGGTTCACGCAAAACCGACAAAACACAAACAATTTTTTTTAATTCGTAGATAATTATTTATATGGTCGATACTTTTAGGTTTATTCATCATTAGTTTATCAAAAATTTGACAAAAACAGCAATTTTGAAGTGTTTGTTGATTAGGATTTGAATTTTTTGCGAGCTACTTTGAGTGTATGAGCGAGTACGATTCAACTTCAAAACTCGATCTCTGCTCTTATCAACCACAAGGTGGCATATAATTGCTTTTATTATTTAAAAAAAAATTTACATTGTCTCTCTTTTGTATAGGTTTGCGTGCACACTTACATATTACGTAAATGTTTGGTATGACAGACCGAAACAGTGTCAGGAAACTTCAATCCCTATTTCTCAACTCACAGTTCCCAACGACTCTCTTTGTGATTGTGTAATTGCCAAACATTCCCCTGTTTTATCTTTTATTGCAGGAAATATACTGCTCTAACCTTCTACGTAGGACAAGCACCTGCAGGCGCTTTTCTAGAGACGATTTTCCTTCATTTTCGGCCGTCAAGCGTCAGGCCAAGGCGGTAGTTTTAGGTGAATAGCAGGGGTTGTGGGACCTGTCGTTTAAAGAGCGCAATACCTACGCCCTGATCCCTATAACCAATCCAAGTATGGCTTCACTATGGCACATTTCCACAAAAATAAAAAAAAATGCGCTATTGTGGCCACTTTATCCGTCCGTCCGTCCGTCCGGCTGTAATAATAATAATAATAATATATTTATTGCCTGTGATCAATATACATTGACATAGACATAGTCACTAATATTAACAAAAACACATTAAAAAACACGTTAAAAAACACATTAAAAAACACATTAAAAATATGTCGTATCACAGTTGGTCAATATAAATCACAGTGTATACAAATCGCTTGTTTTATAGAAACAATTGTGCACTAAAAAACTTTTTAGTGCCGTTTTAAATGCCATGTCGGTTTTCAAATTTTTAATAGTAGATGGAAGGGAATTATATATTTTTATGCAATTGTACAATGGTCCTTTTTCGAATTTGGTCGTACGGTGAACGGGAATAGTGAGGATATCAGAGTTTCTTGTCTTATAGTCATGATTAGCATTCAATTGATTTGAATTTGATTTAGGATTTGTATGGACAAACATGCTTGACTTATAAATATAAATGCTTGGAAATGTAAGCATTTTGATGGCAATAAAAGTGTTTTTATGTGAAGTTAGGGGCTTAATATTAAATATTAGTCGAACAAGTCTTTTTTGTAATGTAAATACTCTACTACACTCCCCAGCTGCCCCCCATGCTATTACACCGTATGCTAGATGGGGGTATGCCAGAGCATAGTATATTGTGAGTAGAGCGTTTTGATCTAAACTCGATTTTAAGTTTAACAGCACATAAAAAGTCTTGTTAAGTTTTTTACAAACATGGTCTATTTGATGGCGCCACGATAACTCATCGTCAATAACAATACCCAAAAACTTTGCACTAAGTCTTATATTGGTTTCATTTGATGGCCTCATCTTCCCAAACTGTAGACATACGGTCTTTTCAACATTTAAAACAAGTTTATTTACACAACACCAGTTTTTAAATTCCTTCATGGCAAGATTGGTTAAAGTAAGTAAATCATTTGAGGTATCGGCCGAGACCACAATTGTAGTATCATCAGCGAAACCTACCAATTTACTAATTTTTACGAACTTTGGAAGGTCAGCACAGTATAACAAAAATAGCAGAGGACCAAGCACTGATCCTTGAGGAACACCCAAAGATACTTCAAACGTCCTAGATGGCACATTTTCTATGTCCACGTATAGTTGTCTTCCCGTCAAGAAAGATCTTATCCACGCGAGCAACGGTCCCCTAACACCCAGATGTTCGAGTTTATAACAGATACATTCTGTTTGGATGGTATCAAAGGCACGACTGATGTCAAACAGTAGAACGTTGATCAGTTTCCTTTTGTCTAGTTCTGTGTACAGATGTGTTAGTAGATCGAACGCTGCGCTTTCAGTAGACATCCCTGACCGAAAGCCATGCTGACAGGGTGGCAAGATTTTAAATTTATTTATAAATGATGTTAATCGATTGGAGATAATTTTTTCCAAGAGCTTGGAGAAAATACTCAACAATGATATTGGTCTGTAATTTTCAATACTTGTCGGATCCCCCTTCTTGTATAACACAATTACACGAGCAGTTTTTAGTGAGCCGGCCAGCCGGGGAAAGTTCCACAGGCTAATGATTTGTTATATAGATGTAGTATGACAGGTGCAATGGACGTCCAAATGTGTCGCAAGATTTTCACAGAGATACCGTCTTCTCCTGACGACGAGGTGTTTTTTAGGGAATCCAATGTACGATTTAGTTCGTGTTGTGTTATTGGATAGACGTAGATTGATTGACTAATTCTGTTGTCTAATGTAACAGAGCATGTCGTGTTTTTGTCAAAGTGTCCATCCGTCCGTCCGCTCGTTTTGCGACGCTACTAGTTCTTTATCTTAAGAGCTATTGTTCTACTTTTTTCGCTATTTGGTTCGTTATGGTGTCGTGCGCCAAGGAAGGAATTTTTTCTGCGTTTATTGCTAAAAAAGTTATTGTAAAAAAACCAACAAACCGTTTTTTACATGTTCCATAATTTTACACTTTTGCCGTTTATTAACCATCCTAGAGATCATTTATAATTTTGTATTGTTGTCTGTCGTCTATCTGTTGGTCTGTCCGTCTGTTCCTTTGCCTGTCTGTCCCTCTATCTGTCCGTGTGAACGATAACTTTGTTTAGAAATGTCCGATCGCTTTTACATCTCGTTTGCATGAAATTCAATATGGGCCATAGCCTTAGCCATATAATACGCAATGCCAAAAGTTGAGTCGAATCGATTCAAAATTCACAGTGCCCTTTTCGCATCTCGACCATTTATAAACCGAATTGCAAACTTTTTTTCTTATAAAAGTATTTGAATGAAATTTGATACATAGGCACTTGGAATAAAGGAAAATCAAACGCCAATTTCAAAATTTGGTTTTGCGCATGCGCAGTGCCAACTTTTTTTATTTATGGAAGAATTTAAACGAAATTTGATACATAGGCACTTGGAATAAAGGAAAATCTAACGCCAGTTTCAAAATTTGGTTTTGCGCATGCGCAGTGCGAACTTTTTTATTTATGGAAGCATTTAAATGAAATTATATGCTTGGAATAAAGGAAAATTTAGCGCCAGTTTCAAAATTTCGGTTTGCGCATGCGCAGTTCCAACTTTCTTATTTAGAAAAGCATTGAAATGAAATTCTTCTTATAAACTGAAATTGAAATAGCACGTCAAAAATGGATTGCCCATGTGCAACGCTATCTTTCATATTTGTGGCCGGATTTTTACGATTTTAACAGAAGTTGCATCTTACAAATGGGAAATGAATGCAAGTGGAAATGCGCTTTATGTAAATCGTTTACGATTACTTTTTAACTTTTTAGCCTTACCAGGGAGTGCCGCGTGCGTCTTCGATTTCTTCTGGAATTCACCTTTCTTCGTAAACAGCTCAAACTCCACACATTGGCCCTCTTTCTGAAACTACCTCATATTTAATTCCCATACGTTTATCGTATATGGGTGTTCCACCTAAAATCTGCACTGAATATAGATCCCGACAACTCACTCTTTCATTCCTTTCTATGGGGTGCAACAGTGAAGTGAAAAACTACAATTTTTTTCAAACATCCCTTATCCCTATGTCTAATGTACACACAAAATAAGGCTTGGATGGCAATTTGCCTTACTATAATCGGAAATCCGGTGCTGTTTCTCGCATAATCTTATAGAATTTACCTATTGACGTGATGATATAATAATAAAAGGCCATTAACAATAAAGTAATTTCACGCTTGAACTCCATCTATGACTTGTTCCTCGTTAAATCTCCTGCATAGGTGTCACTCGTCTGTTAAACAATGTGTAGGTTATATAATACACATTATACAATTTATACTTTTAGCAATGATTTCCAATTGATATTGTATTATTAAACGTTACGACATTATGCGCATTATTTGTTTAAAGCAGATAAATTTGAATTAAAACAACGCATTGTAGGCAACTGAAACTACGCAACTACCAATGTAGTAACAAACTATACCCTTTGGAAGGAGGAAGTTACTGTTACAACGCTTTTACGAAACGTATACCTGTTGGTCCATCCCTGTGCTTAGATCTTAGTATCGACACTTCGTAAAAGTATTTACTATTATAGTAGAGTAGGTTATTGAACGGAAAATTATGAAACTTGGTTGTTGTTTATTGTTTTGTCGCTTTATTCGTACTATCTTAACTTTAGTTTTCCTTTTCTTTTATAGGTTTGGAGTTAAAGCAACCTATATGGAAGTATAGAGCACCTTTACCAAAACCGGGTAATAGAGATTACATTATAGAACCAGATTGGGACTCTCGTTTTCTTTAATTGGTATGCAATAAAACTATTCAAACAAAACTGTTGAGTACATACAAGGTATGGTAGGTAAAGCTAAGCTAGATCGGTCACCAATTCCCGCATTATAAATATACAAATTAGGATTAGGAAAAAGTAGGTGCATGCATAATGAGTCGAGCAATCAACGATGTCCCTACCTATGTACTCGAAAGTTACGAACACCGACTGAGAAACTGCCTTGTTTTGGATCTCGGCCCAGTTTAAACTCAATTATACAATCTGCTGCTTTACCGTGCTTTGGTGAAGAGTATTATCATTGATTATTGTGTATAATCAATGGTATTATCGTACTAAATCCTTGGACAGATGTTACAGTTCGAACCTCGAATGATTTTATTCCTCTTCGATCTCCATTGTAATATGTTACATAGTATGTGAAACGCGCGGTAGGAATATTGACGTCGATGTATAATAAAAATGTGTCCTTGTTTGAAGCATATATATGGTTTGAAGTTTAGTTTTTGAGGTTGTGTTTTCGTTTTCGGTTTTTGTGGTTCTGATTCTGACATATCAAACGACTCAACTTTTGAGGTTTTGTTGATATTATGTTTTCGTTTAATTGTTGAATTAAATACGCTATTTTTGCAATAATGTTTTAAATAATGAAGGATCTCAAGAGTGTATCAGTTCAAGCAATCGACAGCGATATCGCTTTGCTGTTACCATCAGGAGTGTATGAAATCAAACCAATGGAACCGAAATCGAGGTTGAAAAGTGTAGCTTTTTTTTGTGTAGCTTTAGCATTATCTGGCATAGTGGGTTTCGGATATTTTTGCCCAGACAGGGTAGGGCAATAGTACGTAACTCATTTGTATACTATAGGGAATGTTTTAGGTGTGTGCTTTATCGAAACGTGATCTTATGATTTCTCCGGCAGCTATAAGTGACGGTATGGGGAAGCCGTTGTCTCATTTAAATAGCAAAAACGGTTTAAGCTACGATGAAATGATTAATGATGAATTTGCTTTCGATATGGATTCACATGATGTCATGGTATTTCTACACATGCAAAAAACTGGTAAGAACCCTTATTGCATTTACTTTCTTTGTGTTCCATAAATAGGTCAAGGAAACCGTATTTCATTTGAAATCTTAACAGGAAACTGCACAAATGCACATCTAAGATTAGTGTATTATTATAAAATGTAATGATAGGGTTACACCTGGAAGTGGGTATGACATTCTCCACGTCATATCCTTTATGTTATGACCTCTTACAAAACGTGCATAATCACAACTTTATAATCTATTTCCAATTCAAGTTATCTTATTAAAAGTTTTGTCATTCTTAGTTTTTTTTTTTAGTGACGCAATCCTGATTTGAATTTTGATCACGCACAATTAGGAATGTTGTGTCCAACCTTGGTTTCTTGTAAGTTGCGAGTATACAGCCTTATGAGTTATGACAAAGATCACACTGCTTGGTGTGGGGGGTAAAGAAATTCCTTTCTTGGTAGGTATGGTGTCCATAAAGGGACCGACTTCTCCAGAGTGTAGGCAAACTACAAACAGGTAGAGCTATGAAAAGCTGATGCTCGGAATTAACACAGATTTGCCATGTTAAGGTGGAGCTTCCTGTTCATGTCTAAGTTGGTTTTGTGGTTTACCAAACAAAATAATAAATTTTTTGCCCAGCTATTGACTCAAAACCTCAAAGGTTATTGTTGTAACTTGATACTAGATTTATAATTTAATATTTAATAAAGGAACCTCTTTATTTGAGGCATTGAGCTGCACTCCATAAATTCCATAAAGTAAAATAACTTATCTATCCCTGTACAATACTATCAATATCAACATAATTTTACTATACGTCTTAACAGTTATAATATTAAATAGTTCTTCCGCATTCGGATGGAAATTCGCAGTTTCAATTTAATTGATAAAAAATACACCTTTGAATTCTAGAGGACACACTTCCTGGGTATATTATTTTGACCATTGTGGTTATCATTCACAATCAATCCATAATTTTTACTAAGTAATATATCAGTTAATAAAAATGATAAGTTATTGATCGATGATTTTTTGTAACAGCGTTAATTAAATAGTTCCTGCCCGTCCTCGTACCCGTCTACATGAAATGAGGTTTGCCAAAGGGATTCACAAATAAATCCAACATGTGCGTTGTTTTTGCTAATAACAATTTCGGGAAAACAGACAAGATAGAATCATAATAATAATCCATTCCAAAACAATTACCCAAAATAGCTCAACCTTGTCAAGACCTATGTTTTTGGGCATTGGTGGTGCCCTCCTCTGAACTTCAGACAAACCGTTTTTGTGTTCAGCGTTTGACCCTATTTGGACAACATTTCCATTTAACATTTTCATCTCAAGATATTGTAATTGTATTGTAGCGAATATTCCAGAAATCCCGATAGACATCGAGGTGCCATGAAAGATTAATTATCGGCGATAAAGAACGAAAGGCAGTTCCAATTTCAAGGCTGAAGTAATAAATACTTCGCGCTGTTATAAATTGTGTATCTATGTGTGATAAATAATATTTTAACTGTTACAAATCAATTCATTTCAAGACTGTTATAATTGTTCATTAATTCTAAATAAATAAATCACGTAATTAAATGTAGGTTACAGTATTATTGAATTGTCAAATCTTACAAAAATGTATAAAAATGTATTTTCATAATTAATAATGTTCAAGACATTTTTGTGTTAACACTTAACACTCCACAAACATTGCAGTTTGGACGCAAACGAAGTCATAGACGCATCGTGTAAACCCAAGTGGCGACCTTGCTCCATAAAAGTAGGTACACAGAGTTCTGAGAGCGCAGGACACCTATTAAATGATGTATGCTGCAGTTGCAAAAGAACACGATAGAAGAATATCAATATATAGGCTCTCATTGATAATTTAAATCTGAAAATTGTCATGATCTATCTAAAGAAAATATCACAATCGTTTCACTTTCGTGTCACAGGGTGCGGATAGCAACTTTCTTATTTCAAATAGAACACCCTGTATTTGATTGCATTTTAGAAATCTACATGAAAATCTATGCCGTTTGATACCACATATCTCTATACCAAACATCAAAGGTTTTCAAGTTATTTGAGATTTTTGACAATGTTTGCCATATAATAATAATAATAATAATAATACTAATACGCGTTATTTCCATCGACACATGATAATAGTGCATATGGATGCGTCAAAAAGTACATACTAACCTTCGCATACAAAAAACGAAGAAAAAACGACGTAAATTTTCATAAAGATTTCGAAAAGACAGGATGTTCTATTTAAAAAGAAGAAAGTTGCCATCCGGTTAATCTGGAGGGTGCAGATTGTTGCCTAAAACGTAGTTGACGGCAGTAGTCGGCAGTCATTACGGCCTCGTGGTTTTGGAAAAAGCGGTAGCCACAGTTGAAGAAACGGCTGTCCAGGGATCGGGCTGACTGAAAAAAATTACGACACACGAATAGGACAGGATAGGTAGCGATTTCTCAAGCGGAAACGGAAGCTGAAGCTAATTAGCGGCATCTACGGGGAAACGAGATGCAGGAAAAACGGAACACAGCCCCTCCTTCTTATACTTAATGGAAAGAAAAGCATCAAAAGCTCTCCTCTAAACATTCGCGGAGGGACCGACAGTATACTTCCGGCCAGCACAGCGTATTCGAATACCGTTATTAAAACTTTAAATTAACATAGGGAAACTGAAATCAGCTAATACCTAATGTATGTATGTTCGGCAGCTGGTTTCCTTATCAGCGGTTAAAACGACTCTACAAATTTTAAAACATGCACACACTGCAGTGTGAGATTGCTATTGTTTTCATGTTTCTTGATAGTACAACAGGAACCACAAAAGTTTTGAGCAACACCTCGAGGGACACTGAATTATAGAGCCTCAACACTCTCTACACCCTCTTAGAACCCTTGGGAAAGTAGTCCTACACCCATTATATTCAAGTGCAAAAATAACAGAGGTCACTGTAAGTCATAACTTGCAAAGAACTGCAGTAAATGCAAGTCATCAGCTTTCTATTTCTATGTTAAATTCAGTGGATCGAATAACCTACTCGATAAGCAGCCGTTTGTTAATTATATACTTTTTAACAGGTGGTACCTCTTTCGGAAAACACTTGGTCCACGACTTAGATTTAAAACGACCCTGTACCTGCCCGATCGTGAGAAAACGCTGCTATTGCTTCCGGCCACATTCCAATCAGAGTTGGTTGTTTAGTAGATACACGACAGGTTGGAAATGCGGACTACACGCGGACTGGACCGAACTCACGAGCTGCGTCGACGAGAAACTGGACGAAATGGAGGGTCACATCGCCAGGCGGCGATACTTTTACATCACTTTACTTAGAGAACCCGTCGCTAGGTATCTATCGGAATATAGGCATGTACAACGTGGCGCCACCTGGAAGGCCGCCAGACACTACTGTAGTGGTCGATCGGCCACATCCGAAGAATTGCCACAGTGTTTCGACTCTGAAACCTGGGAAGGTGTAAGTCTCGACGAGTTTATGGCTTGCGAAGCTAATTTGGCTTCGAATAGGCAGACGCGCATGTTGTCTGATCTAGAATTAGTGGGATGTTATAATAGCGATTACATGCCGAAGGCGGAAAGAGATAGGGTAATGCTGGCGAGCGCGAAAAAGAATTTGGCGTCCATGTCTTACTTTGGCCTAACCGAATTTCAAAAAATCTCCCAGTACATTTTCGAGGAAACGTTTAACTTGCGTTTTGCGATCCCATTCGAACAAAATAACGCCACCGTCTCGAGTTCCACCATCACGACTTTATCGTCACAGCAGGCAGCTCGAATTGCTCATCTTAACGCCTTGGATCTCGAACTGTACGACTTTGCGAAAAAATTACTGTTCGAAAGATTCAATAAGTTAAAAGCTAGAGACGCAAATTTTGGGCAACGGTTTAAGCATCTAGGCGAGCTGCCATTTAAAAATGGTGTAACCGAGTTCGATTGGGACAAATTAAGCGATGATACAACTGACGGCACAATTTAATTATTTAGTTGTGAAAGGCAACTTTAGTTGTTTTGTTAATGCACATAACAATAGATTTCCAGTATTTAAACACCTAGAACGCTATTGTTGCCGAATGTTTGTAAATTGATCTCAACAAGCAAAGCTTAACCTGATGAGACTATTTCCGACTGTACACAATTTGTCCAACGTCCAAATCTTAATGATAACGTAGTTTTTTTTTATTACCAAAGATTGTAAGTATATGTGTTAATAGATCTGGAAATTCATTTTTTTTACGGAACCGGATTTTTTATGAATCTTTTCTGGAAAGTGTAGGCACATTTTTTGAACTGAGGGCATTTGGATGATTCTATTTAACAATAACCGTTTAGTTTAACCCGATCTTATTGAAAGTGATTCACTCTGGCACCTCGCCTGTCACTTTCTTACAGAAACTCATGTTTCTGTCAAGTATAGAAAAATACAGAACACTCAAAATAGTAACTCACTAGCGCAAACTGCTTCTCATACAGATTTCTCAAAGCAGTTGTAATGTAAAATAAGCTCTTTTCTACTCCACACCAAAAAATGCGAAGTAGCTGTAAATTTGGTTACAAGGGTCCTGGGTTCGAATCCCAGGTACGACAAGGCTGGTTGTGATTGTATTAGTAGGTTGAGTAGGGAGAGTAGATGGTTGTGTTAGCTAACTCTTTTCTCACCATAAAAATCAAATAAATTCGAAAACTGCTTGAGATTGCCAAATTTTGTTTACGCTAGTGATGAATTGCCCCAGTGACTTTCTCATAAAATTTGAGTCCTGAGGAAGATGGTCAGTATTTTATTTTGGAACACTGAATGAAGATGAAAAATACACCTAATTAATGTCATGTCACTTACCGCACGCTTTCCGGAAAATGTTTGTAGAAATCCAGATTGGTTCCTTTTGCTTATCAAATTTGAAATAATGAACTGTTATAGATTATAAGTAGGTACTCATTTTGATCATGAACAATTTTATCGGACACGGTAGGCCTAAACGTAGAATTCGCTGTGAACTGAAAATTGCACATTATCTCGTGAATGGTGTATACATCGAAAACTTCGTCTTACCATACGGTATTTGCCAATTATTTTTATAGAGTGACTTTTTCGATACTCGAAGACTTGAATTTCAAAAATTCATTGCTCAAAATGATAATGCATAATTGAGAGAGGTGTATCCTTTTTGCTGTAAATTGTTGGGTGACCCACAAATAGATGGCGTGCTGTACTTCACATATTAAAGTCACTAGATATAGAAAGTACCGCAATCATCCGCCATTTTTGGGCAAATTTGCTGCCAACTTAAAAAAATTGACAAATAAAATCTGAATAGCTGTCATTTTTCATAACCTAACTTTATAGTACTGTCATGTTTTATAAAAATATATGCAGATATCTCCAAACAGGTGGAACAATCCCTAACATTAAAGTTACTAGAATCTGGTAACTTCCGCCATTTTTGGGCAAAAATCATGCGTTCTCTCTCTAACACACGAGCCCAATGGATTGCGGTACTTTCTATATTTAGTGACTTTACACATATAACACATCACATTGCTATATGCTTTCCAGTGCCAGTTTTGTCCTCTATCTTTTCCATTACTCCCTTCACAAATACAGGGAGTTGGATGTACACAGGCACTAATAAGATTGGCCTTATTTTGACATTTGCGCATGGCCGTTTACATTCACAAAAAACGTGTTTGTTGCAAGTAAAAATATACTCTGAGAAGACTTTGAGGTTAGGATTGAAATCCGTTTTCTCCAATTGGAATTTTAGCCATGCACTATTTCAAAATCCCAGTACCAAACTAAAGAGTATGGGCACTGTGTTTTTTAAATTTCCATTATAATTCGCGATTCAGTTAACAGTGAGACCTCTGGTGGCAGCACATGTAATTAATATTGGTGGATAAGGCCGCCATTTTGTTTATTTACAATGGCTAAAAGTAATCAACATTGCAATTTACACGTGTGTTAAAGTAAATACACTTGCAAAAAATTTAATTACACGTTAAATAGCATGGATAGTCACATTTTATCACGTTACTTTCACGAATTTTAAATGTGATCAGTGCAATTATGCAACCAACAATAAGGATAATTTAAGAAATCGTCGTCTAACGCATAATATTTCCAAATTCTTTAATTGTGAATAGTGCAATCTCACAACAAAAAATAGGAGATACAATATAGGTCATTCTTTGACACACCTCCGCTTTGAATAACGTTCTATCAGTTTAATTACGCTGTAATTCGTTCGCAAAAGCGTCACCTTTTAACAGGCGCGGGATATGCATGCGAACGCGATCGCAGCGAATTCGATCCTTCTGGACATGGTCTTAGGGAATGTCGGCGAGTTGTTCTACAGTTGTACGAGTGCGCAAGAAATTGAATGATACATGGTGATATTTATTTGTAATTAGAAAATTGAGTCAATTGCGTGTTCAAGCTAATTCGAGACAGCCTTGTGTTAAGAAAAAGACCTTTCAGGAAGGATAAGATTAAGGGTTTATGTTTTCAAGTTTCAAAAACGGCAGGATTAAGTCAATTCACTTTCAAATTCCCACCTATACACGCCACTTGTAAATTAAACCAGAGCCTCTAGTGTTAATCTGAATCGCGAACACACATGTCGGTAACATAGGTTTCTATTCCACCTACGAGCACTAGTAACTGTTGGTAACTCATTTTTTTCTATTAATGTTTATGCACATCTTTAGAGAATGTTTCGGTGTTAAAATGGGATATTCGCTTGAGCTTCCCTTTTTCTTTCTTCCATTTCGCGTGATTTACTTCCTAATAAGTGGGCAAGTTTATGGATGATTTTCTGTAAAATTAGAGGTGGGGCGAAAAATTCATTTCCAGGTTGGCTTAACCTTAGTCTCCCCACTTATGTTAAAAGAAAAATACCCTTGACGTTATGTAACTTTTCTCTTATTAAGGTGAAGAGAGCTCCTACTGTCTTGCGTCTGTGAAATGTATGTTGTATTTTTCCCAGCTTTCTTTAAATGGGCGGCTAACCTTCAAATTGCCACTAAGTATATTCCGTTGGCAGCTCCAGATGCAGTATGGGGTCTTATGGACTAAATGTCTCTCTTACTGATTTGCGTCATTCTTCTATAACGCAATCCTTGTTCCTCAGCGCACTGATGCCAAAGTGACATATGATTGAATTGAAGTATTAAAACACAACCTAATCTCCTTTTGCTGTGATTGACATGTTGTTAATAAGTTTGACATCATGTCTTGTATGTATGTCCATAAGCACCATATACTGCATCTGGAGATGCGAACGCGTTATAGGAATTGAAATTATCAAAAACCATAGCAGTATCGTTTTAAGCCTCATTTTTTATAGGTATTTACGAAATTTCATTCTCTTCATTGAAGATCACTATGATGGTCCAGACCTTAGAGAAGGAAAGAGTGAGGAGTGATAATAATGATCGTAAAGTGAAGCCCACATTTGTTTGTTATTTCACCGAAAACTAACCTATAATTCCCTGCGAAACGATATACTTTCGCGTGTTTTTTGGCACTTGTTTCGTGCACTACAATTTGCCATTGTCCAATAATGTTTTTAATCGCACACTTCGAATCTTAAGGATCGCATAAACACGAAAATGAAAAATTAAACAAGCTTTGGCTCCGAAAATATGGCCGCCCCAGGCTACAACGCGCAGCATTGCCCTGGATAGGCCTGTTTATTTCAATAAATAAATATTATCAGTCCCCTTTCTTTCATAGTCTAAGGTCCGGACGTTTTTTTAGAATACAAAAAACAGCACTTGCAAATAAAGTGTATCAACTGATGAAAACCAACAGTGTTGCCAATAAACCAAGCAAGAATTTTAATCCCTAGACAATGACCTCACTATAGAAGTAGAAACTGGCGGGATTTAAAAAAAAATGAATTGTTTTATCTCATGTTGAAGTGCTGACTTACCACACTCTTTCTATCCACCCCATTTTATGGTAGACGTCAATGTTCTATTGAACAAATGCTACTTTATTTCAACAGCTTATGCTCCAAAATGTTTCTTGATTCTTATAGAATCGTATTGTAGAGAACATAATGCAAAATTTACAGCTAAATTTTGATGGTTTAGCTCTCATTTTTGAATTATTTTTGTGATTTACCTACCATACTACATTATGTAGTTAGCGGTTTTATGTCCTTTAAATTCCTATTATTACATCACCCTACTGTTGAGTATTGGGTCGTCTTGCATGTCACCTAAAGTGGAGAAGCAAATTGACTACATCCTCTTTTCTCGGATCATCGCCCAAAATCTAGATTTAGATTTAACCGAATTGTCAATTTAAGTTTAAATCGTAACGTTTCGTTTGCGCCGAACGAACAAACTAATACTCATTAAATTTAACGCTCGCAGCAATTATTAAGCAAAGTGATTTTTAGTAGTAAAATTGTACCTAATATCGTATCGCGTAGAGTGTAAGAGGTTGGCCTTAATAATTTCTTACAATCGAGAAGGTTTTGCACATTTGCCGTGCACGTTGTCCCGCACTATCCTAATCTTAAACATGTGATGAAACGTTTTTTGAAACACGACAATTCACTTGAATTTTATCATATCACAGGGTTTTTAATAATAAGTGTAACTTTTTTTCAATATTAATTAACTGTACAAATTAGAGTATAATTTATTCATAAATACGTGCATCTACTGCCATGTTTATCGTATTTATTTGACTGATTAGATTAGATGATAATTTATCATTATTTGTTTCGAGTCCAATTGTAACGTTCGCATAGCTTTACACTTGTTTATTAGCGAGGAAGGTTTACATTTGACAGATTTAGATCATAAATAATTTTCGTAGAGCTTCCAATTAAAACCTAACATCATAGTGTTAGTACTCAATTTGTATTAATTTTAAGTTCACCCCAAAGAGTACAAAGCTATTCGTATATACTGCGACCACGAAATTAAATATATGAAAATTTAACGTTTATTGTGTTATTATATTTTTGTGTTAAATATAAATTTGTTATCTAACTTGTAACCTGTAACATTAAGAATGTCTATGTAATGTAAATACATAGAATGTAATTTTGCAGATATATAATAAATTAGTTTACTATAACATTTGTTTATAACAACGCAAAGCACCTCAAACCCTTCTACTTTTTTCATTTATATGTACCAATTTTGTTTTGAAAAAGATCAAGAAAGCTGCAAACATCATGTCAATTTTTCACGAAATGAAAGTGTTGCAAATCTATACTGCATTCATTATAAGAAGGTAGCAGATGGCGCTGTGTTTGAAGATAAGCACACATATGAAAAATATAAAACGGCACCAAATAATTGCAAAGTAGAAGTATCTAGCACTGCAAACAGACATAAATCTTTTAAATTATCAATTAATGGCACTTCAACAGTTTAGATCTCAACAGAAAGTATCACCTTGCAGAATTCGCCACTCGTTTTATGTTTCAGCGTAATACTGACTCGTGTTTTAACCAATCACACTGAAGGGCAAAGCTTCCCTATGCTTTCTACCCTACCTTCTTAAAATGAATAGTAGGAAAGTAGTTCAGAACGTCGACGTAAAGCTACCGCCACCAACATGGAATCCTATGAATGTACGTAGATCCGCCTTCCAATGAAATGAGGAAAAGCCGTCGTTTCTTTGGGAGTGTCGACAATAAGGATGTCTTCCACGAACTTCTCCAGTAGGCGGGATTTAATTCTTGAATCGATCTGATATTCGCCCTTGCTCTGACTCTTCAATTCATTGAGTGATCGACATTCTTCAGTGTTCCATCGCCATCTCCACTGTGGGATACGGTCTATGGCGTTTCCTATACTCTGAAGGCACGGAGAAATACTTCCTCTGATCAAAATGGTGATATTGTGCAAGAAGCTTCAAGTCAGGAGGAATCCGTTCCCAAATGTTCCTTACCGAGTGCATCTGGACAATGTTTTGTTTGTCAAGAGAGTGTGGCACGCAGCATGTATATCCGGTAGTAAACTAAAACGTCTCATTGGTCAAAACGGCCAATCGATGAGAGCCTAGCGTCCCTGACTGCAAACGTTTAAAAGCAGAGCGTCGAACTCTGCAAAGGCAATTCCTGCTTCGACTGCTCTTCAAGAGACAACCAGCTCTCGGCCTGGAGAACCATTTCGCCCTCGCGCCGGAAGACGACAGCGCACGCCGCCTACATTTCGGCTACGATTTTGTACATATTGTAAATGTATTCCATAAAACTCAACAATTTATTTAGCGTCGCTTTTCTTTTTCCAAAAAATCAGCAGTTATTTCTTTACCACAAAGGCAGCAATAACCCTTGAAGCAAACTCATTTCTTTACAACTGACCTGATATAACAGCAGAGCTCGTTTATGGATGGCTGGTGGACCGTCATTTATCCCGCTATACTCCCGCGGCGTATATGAGCGGCTATCATACAGCCTCAATGCAATTTTTACATTTTTTAAACACTTGCTAACCATGCCAGACAACGTATCAAACTTTTAGAACTACTGGAGTGTTTGTAAGGTAACCCCCCTCTATTCACTGAATTATGGGAGAATTATTCTTTACGTAGGTAATTATTCTTTTAAATAAAAAATTCTGGATAAGGATCCGACTTTCCTTTGTGTTTGGTATGCCCTTTCGATTTTGAGAAGAAAATTGTCTTACCGGAGGGGAGGGGGGTACCGGCAAGAAAAAAGGAGACCAATGATCATAAACGGCATGAAAACACCACTAAACCTTCAGGTATGTGCATAACGGCGCACCGCACCTTGCATCGCACTATAAATATCCGATAATGCCTCGCACGAAGGGTTGCCGCCGAGAGTCAATTCTTTTTTGTTGCAGCAGTTCATGTATTTGTGTGGACTATGGCGGGGTTTTTGTCCCGAAAAAGGTTTCCGGTATCGTCTTGTTGTGTGGGCAATATATTTATTTGTTCTTGATTATGTCTCACGTCCCAACACAAAAGGACCGTCCTAGTACGTATGGCACAATGTAGGACCAATATTCATGCTACCCAATCCGAGTCGACTATTACTGAGATTCAAAACTGCCGCGAAGTGTCCGTCTTTTCGCCATTCGACTTGAAAGTTAGATAGATTTGCTCCACCGACCTCTTAAAAAAATAAGAGGTCCATGCGTTGCTCGTAGTTTCTTTCCCCCAAAGTTGCTAACTGTATGTGTAGGTACGGTAGTGCCGGCTTGGGGAAGTCATCACAATATTTGGGTGTAGCGCCCTCTATTGCGGAGCAGTATAAACATGTACCTTTCAACTGCGCTTATGGATTTATGTATTATATGTCGCTGTAAAAAATTTAAACCGAATGAGTAGGTTACTTCATTGTTTGACTCACTTTGACCCAGCTTACCCTCTATCATATCCTATCACTGTAATAATACCAATAATCAAGAAATCGAATTGTGCTAACTTTAGCGCTTTAAATTTTTTGCAGCGACATTTAATAGTAGAGAATGCCACATAAGGTCAATCTTCGCTCATCTGCACAAAAGTGATTGATCTTCCATCACTTCAACTGACAAGTTTAGAAATATTCGATTAGGAAAAAATAAAAACAGGCCAAATTCTTCAATTCGACTACAGTTAAATTAAATCAATGATGTATTTATAATCCAATCGTTTACCTATAGTACAGATCTACACATACACAGATTGCTAACCTTATGCATTTTTTGGGAAACAAATTTAGGTATACTTAAAAGCGCCCTCTATTGCGGAGCAGTATAAACATGTATCCTTTAAAACTGTAATATGACGCTTATGGATTTATGCGTTATGTCGCTGAAACAAAATTAAAGCTAAAGTCACTAGATATACAGGGTGGTGACTTGCGTAACGCATCATAGGGATTTCAATGTAAAATTCATAACATGCGATTATTGGCTCCCCAAATTATTTTCGAGCAAAAACGTACTAAGGTTTTTTGTAGAATAAAATTTTTTACGCCTATAAACCGTATTAGTTTTCAATTTTTTACATAATAAAGACGGAAAATTGGAAAAATAAAACCCGCATCTTTTTCAATAATCTGCGATGCCATGGAATTTTCTAAAACAAAAAGATATTCAGTTATCAATTAGCAGCAGTTCGAAATGGATTTTATGATCGACTAGGTTACTGTCTTGCAGTTAATGGTGACTTATTCGAACATTTATTGTAAATTGTTATATTAGGAAACCGTTTTTAGTAATTTGCTCTTTCTTTATGTTAAATTCGCTGTTCTAAATACATATAATAGTTTTTGATAGAATTTGATTTGTTTTATAGCAGACATTCCCTGGCATGGCGGATATTGGCGTACGTATTATACAATTCCATGGCATCACAGATTATTGAAAAAGATGCGAGTTTTATTTTTCCAATTTTCCATCTTTATTATGTAAAGAATTAAAAACTAATACGGTTTATAGGCGTAAAAAATTTTATTCTACAAAAAACCGTAATACGTTTTTGCTCTAAAATAATTTGGGGAACCAATAATCGCATGTTATGAATTTTACTTTGAAATCCCTATGATGCGTGACGCAAGTCACCACCCTGTAGATATATTTAGTGACTTTAATTAAAGCTACAGTGACTTTATACAGTGGCGACAATAGGAGTTCGGCCGCCATTTATATTTAGTGACTTTAATTAAAGCTACAGTGACTTTATACAGTGGCGACAATAGGAGTTCGGCCGCCATTTTGCGTCAAAAAGTTGGCAACACACAATACACGTAGGCATTTGTGGCGTACACCGCAATATCAGCAGTCCGCCGGCACGCGCGGTGGTTGCGTTACACATATTGTGAAATATTGTAAAATTTTGAATATCTGCAGGTGAAGGATACGAAAAGACAGTAATATCAAGAACAACGAATTATTACACTTATTAAATAAAACACAAAATTCCTCTCCAATAAATTTATTACAAAATAATTGGTCTAAGCAAAAGACGTATAATTATGATTTTCGTTACCATTAAGTCTAATTGAAAACACTTTTTGATCATCCTACAGGTCACACATCAGTGGGTTCAGCATCATATCTTTCAACTTCCACAGCTCCTCCTGAGTGGATGGTCCAGATCCCATCAGCTGCTTTCTGAAAACCTTCCTTTCAATATTGAATGTCTTACTCTACCTCGTCAACATAATCTCTTCGCGGAATCCAACTCATAGAAATTGTTCGATGGGCTATTGCACTGCGAGTCGAATATGGTATCGCGTTTCACAACAATATCCTCAATTGCTGCCACATTGTCACACATATTAGGTTCCGCCACATTCGTTTTCAGCTATTTTTCGATGCCTTTGTTCTCCAATGCTAATTGCACGCAGAAATACAATTAGGTACTGAATTCACGGCCATCGAAATACAAATTTTTCATCGTCTGCCTCTGGCATTTGACTGCAGAAGTCACTAATGTCAGGCTGTCATCTGTCATGTGACTAGTGTAGGAATATTATGGCACCTGTACTTCAAATTTGTCAACCAGTGACGTTTATAGAAGCGCGGGAATGCGCGTGAGCGTATCTATTACTGGAAACACGTGAAATTTGACGCAAAATGGCGGCCGATCTCAACGACCAATCAAAAATTAGACACTCTATTGTCGCCACTGTCTCTATAGTCACTGTAATTAAAGCGCTAAAGTTTGCACAATTCTAATTCCTTAATATTCGTATTATTACAGTGGCACAGTACAGTGGTATGATATGATAGGAGGTGCGTTGAGCCATAAATGTTTAAATTAACACTGGAGCTACTCATTCGTCGTAAGGGAGTTATTAAAAGCGGGCCCCTGTGGTCACAGATACACACGAACATAGGGCAGGTTCTTAAAGAATCGTGAAGGTTTTTTGAAGTTGGCGGAAACTATTTGCGGCTTTAAAGGTCTTGACAGATTGCTAACCGCAAACGCATACTTACAAACTATGTATATCTCTGCCATCATTAACGTTACACTCTTTACCACGCCGATAAGATATAAGATAGGGAGGTTATTTTCGAAAAGTTGATAGTTTTCGAGTTGTAAGCACAAAACTGCTAAAAAAATATCTTTTTAAACTTTTTTGAATTTTTTTCAATGTTGCGTCATGAAATTTTATTAGCAAACCTCAGATTCGAATTCAGCACCAAAAAAAAAAAATGTAGGGGATCAAAAACACTAATTCATCATACAAAATTATATTTGTTTAATTTTAGCAATAGATAACATAATATACATTAGACAGACCTTTAGGTAGGTCTACAATAAACCGTTTTAATTATTTTTTACTGCCCCAACAGGAAATTTGTTAATTGGTGGGTGAAATAATTATGTAAAACAAAATATGGATATCGGATTTCTTTTACTGAATTATTGTTCTCACCAATCAACTTATTGTAACAATGCAAATCCAAGCAGTACGTATTTTGAAAAATTTGTTTTATAAAAAAAAACAGAAATCGATTATTTTTGGTGTATCCCTATTTGGAACTGCACAAATTCAGTATATGGCCTTAAAACAGAAATCCATCCATTATGATACGAATATATATTCATTTAATTACAAAATCTATGATCTAGCTAGACTATTTAGAATAGACTTCAGCGATGAGCTGTCGTAGGCCCCGAACTAGAAACTTTCTCCAGCTTTTCAAAATGCTTTCTAGCATTTCTAATATTGATAAGGGTAACCTCCGAGGGTATTTGCGGATCGGACATGCAAACCATTACATAGGTGTTACTTGTAAACATATCTATATAAGCGGCGAATGCCGAATTTCTAACTTCCATACTTTGAAATTGGGCTGCTAACTTCGAGCAGGATAATTTAAATTGCTTAATAATATTCGACACCTTCTCAAATCTATGCACGTCTCTGTGAGGTTTACGTTGGCAATATGAGATAACTAAAAATGTGGCACGTTCGAATAATAAGACTTCATCCGCATCGACAATATTGGCGAACTGCCTCAAACTACTTTCTAAAGCCTGTACATTTGGTATTAACATGTATACAATACTCGACCATGCGCGATAAAGCGTTTCGTCCCAAATCGAAGTTCGAAAACAAGTGCATTCGAGAGGCTTCGACAACCTTTTCAAGTCGGCTTCGCGTTCACGAAAAATAATGTCACGTTGATCCTCGGCTACCAAATCCATCTTGTGTATTAGACAAAATATTTTAGCATCGGGAGAATTTTGTAAGATCGCCTCTAAACACGACTGATAATAATGCATGTCCTTCTCTAGCTCCCTACTTTCAACATCGAAAACGTAAATTAACACTTCCACATTTCTAAAGATGTTATCGCGCTGCGAAGCGAAGTAGTTTTCCATGAAGGCTTCTTGACCTCCGCAGTCCCACAGATTAAGAACTAGGTTGCCCAAGAAACGAACGTGAGAGTGCTCAACATCGACTGAAATTTTACATTAGGATAAATCATAAAAAAACGTGCGGGTTTTACTTGTTGCGCCCAATCTTCGCGTATCACGAGCAATATAATTCGCAAATATTATCGATCTCATACTAGTTTTACCCGAACCGCTTTTGCCCATGAGTAGAACCTAGAAGACACGTTAAATGTTGTTTTATTGCAATTATTAGACATACCTTTTTCTTCATTTTTAACTTATTGATAACTGAGCAATTTAAAAAAGCAAATTAGTTTACTAATCACAAAATATAGTTTAGAGGTTAGAAATTTGATATCTTGACGTTTTTAAAACTTTGGTATAATAGGCGTTTTCTATCAGGCTTACCGTTCATTCCAAATCATTATTCATATAAATTAATAAATAGGTAAACAAAAGTAAAGCAATTCAGTGTCATACTAGGGGCAAAATTATTATAAAAAATGTGTGATTGGTTTTTTACCCATACCATACCTAATACCACTAAAATTCATAGAAAGTTGATTTGTTTATAAGACCGAATAAAAAGTTAATAGTTGGAGTTGAAATGACACAGGACAATCAATCAATCAAAAACGTTATTACAATTAATCAGGGAACCGGAAAGAACCGACACCGGAACCAATTGGATAAGCCCCTCACTTGGAAGTGGAACCGGAAATATTATATAAGAAGTTATGATAACCGGAACCGATACCGGTACCTTTATTATTAGTGCCAAATAACCGGTATTTGTCGGTCTCTCTCTCACTTACGCTTTGTGAGAGGGAAATGCGTTTTATATTGTTGCTCTTAAAATTTGCTTCTGAAGTGTTTATTAGATTTAACCTGCACATTCAATTTGCTTGGTAACAAACGAAAAACATCTAGAAAATTATTCGAGAACCCGCGTATCACAATTTCTGGAAAGTACACGCACATATCCGCTTTCATCCCTTATCGCCGGTGGCTGGTCCTTTACCGACTTGATGCCAAGAATAAAATCTTGCCTTCTGAATTACGTTCAGAATTTTATAATGTGCAAGAAATTTCCAAAGCCCAAAATCCAAATTCTCGCTTATTCTGAGCTGCCCATTAATCATCATAGTCGTACAAAAAATAGTGTACGAAATTCGCATTTAATGGCTATTAAGACCCTCATATTCATTTTCATACTCGTGTCTTAATAGCTGTCATTAAATGTTCATTGCACAATATACTATTTATATTTAGCATTAGTGGATTACAGTTATTATTAAACGTAATCCTGCTTAGTGCTTATGACCATTAATGCCGAAAATGAAGATAAACGAATCAAAAAGGCTGGTGCTGAAACCGAATATTGTTGAAGTCAGAACTGGAATCGGTACCGGAACATACATGGATTCCAACCCATGGTTGTAAAATATTACAGATTACAGCCTAAGGAGCTGTCTGAATCACGCTAATTTTTTTCGAAACTAAGCACTATAACCCGTTAAACTTTTACAGCATATTACAAGTAAGTGTCTTAAATTATATATATAGCGATGTGGTAATTAATAATTATATACATATTAATAATTATATACATACCTATGATCCAATGAGCCAGGAGAGAGTAGTTGTCCACGTATCAAATCTTCGTGCGCAATTCGGATAGCGCAGCCTGATGAGTCTATAAATAGACTAAACGTAGTTTCATGTATTTATATCGCTCCAGAAGCAGAGTAGGTAATCGTAATGCGGCCGATAGTCTAGCGACCACTTCCACTCCTATCGGTATCCTCCAAAATATTTGAAAATGCCTCCTAAGCAAGATATGCGCAGGAAATATACCTAAACCCACCATTCTTTATGTTTTTTACAAGCTACGTGTATCTCCATTCCAACATGTTGTTACTACTAGGCTACTTGGACGAAATTGTAACTTTTTTAATTGGCAGTTGTTTTGGTCATTTTGTAGAAGTTGTCGGATAAAACGAGTACCTTGCAACATTGGCACAACCTTCATTGACCTAACGAAGTTTAAAATTTGAACAATTTGATTAAATAATGCGACTATTTTTTAGAGGTTTAAACACCTAAGTGAACTAAAAATTGCCTAATTTACTAAAACATATCTGGACGTCCAATATACAATGTATGATAACCTTGATAAAAACACACAGTGTGGGCCGATTTATTGGCCAGTTTATAGTTTAAATGGATCGTATTTTAAAAGGAATCATGAAATATCGCCACATAGATAAAGCAAAAATGGTTCAACAATTTCTACAAGTCAGAGACAATCCAACGGTATGAATTTAAATTTTATTTTACTATTAAAATGATATGACCTTTATTGAGGTCATGAATCATTCCACGCGTACTACGCGGCGTTTATTTCCTTGTAAAAGTCCACACTTTCCAAATGAAAGTGAATTTAATTATTTTAAAATACCGCCCGCGTCAGTATCAGTACGCAATTAGTGCCTTTACAACAAACCACAAATTCCGTGTATAACTTTTACGTCCATAGTTGCCAAATTTGCTCTAAACTTTATCTATATACCGTGTGTTTTTCTCGTCCCACTTTCAGTACTAAAACCTATATCTCGCTGAACCGAAAAATGGCGGGAAACCCCATTTTAAAACACTTGATAGTTTGCTACTTGATCTTCATTGCAATGTTTTCTATATCAAAGAAAACTGTTATTGCAGCCTAATAAGAAAATTAATGCATGCGTTCTTTTAGCCAAAAGCAGTATTTTTCACATGCATCGACAGCAGAATGATACCAACTCGGTTCACAGAAATGAATGTAGGAGATATGTTTGTTGGTACTATAATTTGAATGGTCTGTTATTATTAACTAATTAATTATTTTCAGTGCGAAATGCGGGCAACGTGATTCCGCACTCCCAACACTTCCTAGACGAATTAACCACCAATGAACCGGCGGCTTTGGAATTGGGCTGCATAGTTAATGACATTAGGCACATTATAGTCTGCGGTCACAGCGATTGCAAAGCGGTAAATCTGCTGTATAAACTACAAGATGGCGAATTCGCGTCGCTCGTAAGTAGACAAGCTTTAACATACATCCTAATTTGCCTCGTAGAAAAATCGCAGGTTGTCGCCGCTAAGGGCGTGGTTGTGCACGCATGCGCTGCCAAGTTTGGAGAAATTTCAACAACTTCAATTGACGGACTATCAAAAACCGCTACTGTTCCAGGCGGAAACGCCAATGAGGCACTTCGTTGCGTATATAGATCCCGACAACGAATTCGCCTTAGAAGATAAATTATCGCAAATAAATACTTTGCAGCAACTACAAAACATAGCTAGCTACGGTTTCCTCAAAAAACGGCTAGAGACACATCAATTACACATACACGCTCTGTGGTTTGATATTTATACGGGTGAAATTTACTATTTCAGCAGGCAGGCAAAACGATTCGTTATTATTGACGAAAATAATTTTGATAAGTTGTTAGGGGAGGTTCAGAGATATTATATGTAACGACTGCTGCTATTTTATACAATTTTTACCATAATTGATATGACCTAGATTGCTTAGAACATTTATATTTTTATACAGTTTCTTGGCTATTTTATACTTTTTTCGCCACTATAACTTGCCAAAACCACTGTCGAATTTTTTCAGTAGGTAAATACAAAAGACCTTCGCAGTCACAGTTCCTATGATTTTACTGTAGTGAACAGAAAGAACCACTTGACTTGCTATTTACACAGTGGGTACTTGTTTGGATCAAAAACAATTGCTTAAGCTTTTTGCCATACAGGGTGTTCTCGTAGAAGCTTTACTAGCTATTGTAGAATTAGGTATTTTTTCTACCATATCAAGATGAATAGGTAATTAGCTTTCTAATATGCCGAGCATGTTTACTATAGTAGTATTCTGATTTGCCGTATACTATGCGATCAAAAAAGACTTGCTGTCGAGTCACCTACATGTTTACATGGGAAATCATATTTAAATTGAACTTCCAAGGTAACTCGACGTCAATCCTTTTTTGATAGCGCCTGTTACTTTGAAACATTAATAATAATGCTATATAGTGCCAAGTACCACAGTTGTAATTAAGAACATTCCTATATTTTACTTTCTGTACAAGTATGTATTGCAATTTTAAATTCTATAAAACGAAATGATACTTATTTTATTTATCAATCACATCGTAATCAAGTCCCAAATGAGAACTAATTAAATAAAAAAAGCGTCTCAAGTAAGGTTGAACAACGCCAAATAATATTTCAAGACCTCGGTAAAAGTTGAAAAATTCCTGAAGTTGTGGTTGCTGGATTACCGGGCAAAACACGTCTGGTTTATCCATTTCTCATTGCCATATCGTAATCGGTCGGGGAAAATGGATGCCCCTGAGGAAAAAAGAGGGGAACTTCAATAGAATTTGAAAGCAAGTGAGACTAGGGTTTCGAGAGGAACATAAATTGAGGCATTGATTCATAGCAATTGTTCAATTGAAAGGTACAGACCAAGTTACAAAGATCCTTTAAAGCTCGCGCAAATTACTGAATTATTGTCATCATTTTTTATGTGACATTTCCTCATCTTACTCGAGAGCGAAAAGAGACAGCGATGTCCATTCTTCGTATCTTGTTTAAAATTGGGATTGTGATCATCATAAAAGTTGCCAGCTAAAATTACAACCCCCATCTACCTAGCCAAATTTAAAATTCGAACAATTTGATTGGATATAATTTTCTTGTTTATGAACCTACGTCAACTAAAAATTTCCTTATTTACTACAACCATTGTTTGTATAAATAAACAACACTATGATAACCTTGATAAAAGTATCTACTTAAAGACGTTGTTTACCATTTGGGTGCAGTTAATACTTAGTTTACATAAGGGTGATTTAAAACTTTTATAAAGGTCTAGTTGAAATGGATCGTATTTTAAGAGGTGTTATGAAATATCGCCACATAGATAAAGCAAAAATGCTTCAACAATTTCTACAAGTCAGAGACACCCCAACGGTATGAATTTAAATTTTCTTTCAATATTAAAATGAAATGACCTTTATTCAGGCCATGCACTTCTTGTCACTTTAGAAAATTTTCCATTTCCCAAAAGGAAATTAAATTTAATTTCTTTCCTTTGGTAGGTACTTTAAAGAATAGTTAATACACTATAAAACCTGGTTGCACCAAAAATGGGCGGAAATTTTTTTATGAATACCTCTACTTGATAGTTTACTAGTTGCAATGTTCCCTATTTGAATATATCAAAGAAAACGTAATATTACATCAAATAAGGATATACATCTGTTTTTTTTAGCCAAAAGCAGTGTTTTTCACATGCATGGACAGCAGAATGTTACCAACTCGTTTCACCGACATGAATATTGGAGATATGCTTATTGGTAGTAATTTCAAAAAGTATTCAGTTATGATTAACTTCCTAATTAATTTCAGTGCGCAATCCGGGAAATGTCATTCCAAATTCCCAGCACTTCCAAGATGAATTAACCACGAACGAACCGACGGCTTTGGAATTGGGCTGTATAGTTAACAATATCAGGCACGTTATAGTCTGCGGTCACAGCGATTGCAAAGCGGTAAATGAGTTGTATAAACTACAAGATCGCGAATTCGGATCGCCCGTAAGTACACAAGCTGATATATTAGTCTGGGCGCACAGGCAGCGCAACCCACGGCCACACACTCACTTGATGCATATATACGCATAGTTAACATATGAACCATATCTGGCAAAACACATTGTCCAAGACACACATTTTATAACGTGTGTGAGCGTGGTTTATAGCGCATGCGTCTTAATGTGAACCTAGACTTAGGTACATACAGCCTATAATTTGCCTTCTAGGAAAATCGCAAACTGTTTCCAGTCAGATCATACTTATGCACGCATGCGTTGCCAAGTTTGGAGAAATTTCAACAATTCCAATTGACGGACTATCAAAAACCGCTACTGTTCCAGGCGGAGACGCCAATGAAACACTTCGTCGCACATATAGACCCCGATAACAAATTCGCCTTCGAAGATAAATTATCGCAAATACACACTTTGCAACAAGTGCAAAACATAGCGAGCTACGGTTTCCTCAAGAAACGACTGGAGACAGATCAAATACACATACATGCGATGTGGTTTGATATTTATACGGGTGAAATTTACTATTTCAGCAGACAGGCAAAGCGATTTGTTGTTATTGACGAAAACAATTTTGATAGGCTAGTAGGGGAGGTTGAGAGATATCATATGTAACTACTGCAAACTACACGTTCCAGGCCGAGTGGCTCTCCTTTGGTTTAAAAGACCCACGTTTCTATGTTAAAGTTTGATTGGCCCGTATTTTTGGGTTTATGTAACCGAAAACTGTAATGGTTTAAGATTTCTTGATTTTGTTTAGTTGCATTCGAACGCGTATATGGAGTATGATTAAATGTTTACTTTCATTTGTGTGTAGAATAAATTTTGTATGTGTGAAATCATGTATTATTGTGATCCGGGTGTGTTCTGGGAGAGATTTAGAGTTAAAGGGTCAATGCAATATACAGTGTTGCATTTAAAAAATATCAACTTTGGGTCAAATCTCAGAACTGGTGATACAAAGATTTATTTTTACTAGAATGGGCAGTTTTTATCTTTTCTATCAATAAAATTTCAAAAAGTCAAATTTTTCGTTTTCATCACAGGGTCACGAAACCCGCAAGTCCCTATCTTTCAAAATCGCTGAGGTACACCACAGTCTCCACCAAGATAGGACTTCCTGAAAGGTCATATAACGGAATATTTATGCATACAAAGGAAAATAAGTCGAGCCATAAATATTCTTTTAATTATAAACATCGAGCAATCCGCGCCTGCGCTCACCTGATGTTTGTAATAAGTAATATGTTTGTCTTTAAAAGAAGAATCTTCGATTAAAGTTTTAAAAAAATATCTCTGTAATTTGCGCATGCGCACATCTGACTTTTACAATATGCTTGTCTTTATTAGAAAGATCTGTAATGTCAAATAAAAAATCTCTATAAACAATGAAGTTGATGTTGCGCATGCGCAATTTTTTCTTGATTCAGGTACCAGACCTATAAACTACCGAATGCAAAAGTCCTAAGTAAATATCTTGGATAATAAGAAAAATACTAAAGCAGTTAGTCAGGGGTTGAGGAAGAGAGGAAGTAACATAGAGAACGTCCAAAAACAGAAAATTTCAGATACGAAGTTCTGATTAGTGAAATTTGTTTTGGGTCTTTACTTTTAAGTGGGCGGGGTTTCAGCCAAGGCTGCTCTACCAACCCAAACCACTATACCAGGTTTGGGCAGCTTTTCACAAGTTTAATAATAATGATAGTCCAATGTTTCCCGAGAAAAAACTCGTGCATGTTAAAATTGTGGTAGAATCGGATCATAAATAAAATCATCGAAAGGATACCGTCTACTAGTCTGAAAATGAATAGGTGTCTGGAAAAATGTACACAATTTGTCCCATTAAATTTTGAGTTATCAACAACAGGACTGTTTTTGTGAGGAAAACAATACTTTACCTACTCATGTATGGGCGAGGAAAAGTAATAATGGCAGTAACTGTCTACATTTTCTGCCATGATTTTTTGAAATACAAATTCCCAACCCCCACTCATCACATATGGACCCGCTGCTTTTGTATAATGCAGAAGTATGAAACGAAGTAAATAAATAAAGATCATAGCGACAAAGTAATATATATTGAAAAGAAAATAATGGATTAACAATGTAACAGTATATTTTCTTTACAAATGTATAAGGTAAAAAAAACACATTGAATTAAAATGTATTTATTCTATCTGACGTTTTATGAATAGAGCTATCAGGAAGATGCCCACTTTTCGGATCTGTCATTAGCGTTATTACAATCATTATATCAGTCTAACTAATTAGGCACAGAGTAAAATAGTTGCTGGGACCACAATGTTATGTTCCTCCGCGATAATAATTAACCTTAATCAGAATTCACTACAATGCTCATCGATCTATTAATAATGTACATTTTGTTTAATTTTCGCTAGGCACAATTATAACAACAATAAAAAGAATGTTAATTACATATTTATACAAATCGCTTCTATATAAAATTTTAAGAAATATAACAAATATGCTTAATTACAGTATACAAAATGATTAAAAGATTACACAATAAAATTACTGACAGGGTAGAAGCTTATAGCAAAATGAACACAACACTGCGTGGTCCAACAATATTAATTAAGTTCAATTAAACTATATTATCGTTTCAACAAATATTTCTAATAGACTGCACATTTCCATCTCCTATATTACAAAATTGAAAAACTGCAACGTATATAAACAAGTCCAGTTGTTCGTTCATTAACTAAAATTTAGCCAATTTGTTGATAGTTCTTTTTGCTAGTCTTATATTGCCGAGCTATAAGAGTCACTTTCACAGCATCATTGTTCAAATACGGTGAATGGGGAGAATTTTGGAGATGTTTTTCGTTGCCAGTCCATTATCACTTGGCCACCGCGGCAGATCAAATCAGTCCAGAAAAATCAACACTCGATTTAAACAATTACCTCACAAAGTTTATTTATTTATATATATTTAAATTTATTAGAAGTTCACTCGAGCATAGAACTGTTTAAAATAAATGAGCACTGCACTATCCTCCTTTGTGTCTCTAGCCCGATCCGAACAGTGGGCTGCTAGGCGTATTACAACTATAGTTGATCCATATACCAGATTTTTTATAGTTTTAAATGAACATTTTAGTTTTTTCTTATCCCACACATATGAATTAATTGATAATTTTCCTTTTATACATAAGTTAGCGTTTAGTTAACACTGCATAAAAAATGTGACGGAGTTGAAACATATCTTGCCTATATTCCAACTTAGGCATCATCACTTCACATTATCTTTTAAACCATACTGACAATGATCACAAAAAGCAAATAAAGCAACTTAGGAATTCCGTTAAACAAAAAATTAATGGAGATAAAAGGGATGGTCCACTAAACTACAGCCATGCAGACAGAAGTTCAGAATAACCAATTTAAAAACATCTAGGTGATGAAATAACATGCTTATAATATATCGATGTTATATGACCCATAACATCAGGCATAACAGTACTTGTCCATTTCAATTACGACCACCGCGTCCTCCTCGACTTCTGTTATTCTCTCCTCGTTCCTGCAATCAGTACAGTTCAATTAAAACAGGAGAATGCAACCAGCATTTATTTTCATATATTTGTACATTGTAATAACCTTTGATTGCATACTATAATAACCAACCTTACAAATGTTGTCATTTTCTGGGGGAGAATCTAAATGCTTTTGCATTTGGAAGAAATTTTACACCTTACGGGGTGGTAAATAACGGTACACAGAGTTACGACACCTAATGCTGGGATTGTTCTTGACTCTAAACTATAGGCTGGGAACTCCCGTAACCAGGGCCCGCTGTTACCCGTCAGATTCTACTAACACACAAACTCTCTCGGTTTAGAATCTGTCTATGTGTTGCAATTCACTAATTTTCATTGTTTTCTTTTTGTTCATAAGGCCATGCAATTTTCCATTCAGTTCTCTCAAAATTTTTGTTATTTGGTTGAGTGAGAGCTATTATGCCATTCCTTCAATGTAATAAAGCATGGATTCTTACGTTCTTGACCGTTGTGTCGAGTTGCTGACACTTTGAACATCCCAAAAACAGTTCTGAATCACATTGTTACTGACAAACTCAACATGCGAAAGGTGAGCGCCAAACCGGTTCCCAAATTACTGACAAGGGAGTAATAATTGAGTGTTGATCACGAGTGAATTGAAGGGATGTGTGGAAATTGAAGGTGATTAATATTAGACCAAGATATTATCACTAATGAAATACAATGGACATTAGAATACGACCCAGAGACGAAGCGCCAGAGTACTGAATGGGACAATGTTGGCGTCCCCTAAACCCAAGGTGCTGAGCATGAAGCAATCAAAAGTAAAAAGAGCTAAATGCGTCTTTTTCGATGCGACCACAGATGATTACATTGGTATCAGATTGTTAGCAAACGTATGGTAATTTGTGTTACTTAAAAACATGAAACATGTGCATGTCGCATTATGCCACTTTAGTGTTTACCAAATTACTAGCGTATCGCAATTTAGCTGCCATTCTACAGCACTCCCAATAAAAAAGGTACGATCAACAAAAAAGTCACTCGAATTGACCCTGAAAGAGGGAGATAGATATATCGGTCACATGTAATTGTAGTTCATTTTTAATGTAACCTTTGAACCCCAGCTGTCAACTTAATTAATATTAAGGTGGGTTCATAGCTCTCCGTTCATCCGTTGCGTTGATCCGTCAAACGGATAGTACATTTTGTTAAGGTTCATAGCAATCCGTCCACATTGTACATTTGCAACGTATAACCATAACCTAAATTTTATTTTGTACTGTACCCTTTGTGATTTTCAGTATGTAAAAATGGTACGAAAGTATGAACACGTTGCTATCTGATTATTACCGTGAAGAATGAACAGGCGAACACTGTTAACGTACCAAACATAACCTCACTCTTGTTAAAAACGGACCAACGGAAACGTAAATGTTCAACTTCAACCAACTTTTCCGTCGTAAACGGACGACGTACGATTTAAAAATTTGCTGTCTTCTGATTGGCTAACGGACAAACGGAAACGTATGAACGGAGAGCTATGAACTTACCTTTAGACGTGGCCTAAAATTTCAACGGCCTTCCCTGATTCCAAATTTTGTTGATCATACATTACCAGCTGTAAAATTGTAGAATTCAAAAATATACAGGATGTCCTATTTAAATTTTCAAATTTATGATCACAGAAATTAGTATTTAGAGTATTCAATTCGTTTTACTCATATCGCCTCGCCCACCCAAATTTTATGTCCATATATACAGGGTGTTCCTAAATATTATGTAAATATTGTGATCTAATATACCTGGGAGTTTTAAATTTTATCGTTCCCGCTTGTATACATTTCATTAAAGAAGAAAAACGCAAGAAAAGTCTACCATGCTCTCCCTATGGCTACGTTACTAGTAATAAAACTTCTTCATCATTGGGAAAACATATTGTCTTGATGCGCAAGAGGAAGATGTTAAGTACGTTCCATCGCTAGGAACATTGGGCAACGGTTTTCCCATTTTTAACTCCTCCAAAAACTTTGATTGCACTTGTTTGGTTTGACTAATCTCAAACAGTAGCAACTGTACAGTTTACAACATGCAAGACAGAAAAAGTAAAAAAAAAAAACAATTTTGAAATATGAGAATAAATCAGTTTGTTTATGAAGATCGATAAATGTCACGATATCAGCCTACTTTGTCAATATTGGATATTGGCCGCCAATCTGGTAACTATACAGAGTGTAAACAATTAGGTATGTTAAAGAAGTGGTTGGTAGAGGGAAATAAAGCAAGCATTTGGTCAAATTGTAACAAAGCATCTTTTTTTGTACAGGAATTAAATCAGAATGAGCACACAGTACATTGATGGAACCACTTCTGACAAAACTCAAATGGGCGCTTATTACGAGAAATTGTAGTTCCGGACCTATGTATTGCTTTTATAGGAGTTGGAAATAGAAGATAAAAGTAATGGCTTTAATTTGTAGCGCCATTTTAACCGCAGATAAGCAAATCAACATACTGTAAGTAATTTGCCGTTTGTAGCCGTTCCCGTAGGGCGTAGAGATATGTAAATTATTTTCATAGCATCTGTCAGCTCTCAGTATGGGAAAACAGGAAAAAATTAATATTTTAGGATTTCAGCTCCATTAATTATTAGCCGATTTGAGTTTCCCTATGTTAATTTAAAACTAGGATAGAAACTGGCAAGGATGCTCGTTTAGACGTAGATAACCCTGATAAAGTGACCTGTTGCTTGATTCCGGGATTCCAGAACGCGATTGATGTTAATTGAAGCCAGGCCATTTAGTTGAGTATAGTTAACCGTAGTTAATTAATTGTGTTGCAGAAAACCTCGTCTCATTAGATTGTCTAGTGTCAAATGAAGTGCGCTTAATTGGCACGAGTTTTGGGACTGGTCCCGGATGTTTATGATGATTAGAAGCCGAGAAATTAAAGAAGTTTTAATTATTGAACGCCTTCTTGTGAATTCGTCGGGCGAGCTGTAAAATCCAGCGTTCTCTTCCAGTATTTTGGGATTCTCATAAAACGAGCTTGGTTTAGGGGGGGGGATCTTTTTTGATATTTTTTGTCTTGTATACTGTGCATTTAATCTTTAGTAATTTTCTTATCTGCTATACCGTTTGAACATCAAGGTAAGCGTTCCTTTCCCTTTATTATAATGGGGCTTTTAGATGTGATGTACGACATTAAGGTATAACAATTTCAAAACTTCTTTGCTGTCTAATATTTTTGATAGGTTACAAGTTTTAATTGATGTAGGGTTTGAGTATCGTCAATTAGGTGGTGAATTATCTTATATAAGTATAACATCGAGTAAGTATTGCTTAAGTGATCATAATTCTGTGTTAAATAATAATAATTTGTAATCTACTTTACCAGTTAGGGAACTTGAACTTTGTAACGGACGCCTCCGTCACTGCAATGAATCCGCCCCGCAGATTCGACGCGATTCAGAAATAAGAAAGTCGTAGCGTGCACATAGAAGGTGCTAACAGAAACCGTCCATTTCTGACAGTTTAAGCTAAGAAAAATTTAACCTACATTGTACCTCTCATCGTTGCAGAGATTCCAATGCTGAACCATGAATTTGAAACACCCTGTACAAGTCAATATACTGAAATATTGACGAGGATAGTCACCGAAGTCTGTAGATATCCTCAGACATATTGTTGGATATCCACAGATATTCCTTGGATACCTACAAAAATTCCCAGATACTTGCGCAAATCATCCGATATCCTATGGACATCCACTTCGATTTTCCCCTGTGTGTTTTACTTCTGAGAGAAGTTCAAGGGATTAGAGCTCACTTTAGTCTCACAGCTTATACACTATTTTTTCTGCACTGGTAATGAGTTAAGCAATTTAAATGTGCAAATTTGAAAGACAAATTTATTTGCACTTTATATTTGATTTTCTATTATTCTAAATTGATCTTGTACAAGGTTTTTTGCAGCAAATGGGCTTATTTTAGTAAATATAACTTTAGAAAACTCGTGGTAAGTACACCACGGTCACAGTCCCATAAATACTGAAGAAACTAAGATAACTTGATAACATTTTACTACATAAGATACGTACCTTATGATGTACAACATGATGATCAACATTGCGATGACCACTAGGACGATGATTGTCCCTATCATTTTCCCTATCGTGGTTACGAACCCGATGTTCCCCCCTATCTTTATGTTCGCGCGGTCCGTCCCTATGATTTGGCGGCTCGGTACTCTTACGACAATCCTCCTCCTCCTGCCGCTTTTCATAATGTACAAAATCGTCGAATATTGATGTGGAGTGTCGATACGAGTGCATGATGCGCAACACTTGCAGACCCTTGGCGTGGGGCACCTCTTGGGTATCTCTAGAATTTGTAACCGGTTTATTTTCATTATTTTCGAGACGAATATGTCGCAATTGTACATTAGGCACATCTTTCACATATACCCATCGCACCTTAAACTGTCCCTTCCACTTATCTTGAGACCACACAGAGCTATTTGAATTGTAGTCCACTGATGACATCATTTGTGCCATTCCGCAAAAATGTCCAGAACCATTAACAGAAAAAAACAAATACACTGGACCATTACCTTCGCGTTCACGATATGCATGATCTAACCGTTTATTTCCATGTTCGGTACTACACCAAATCTCGTACTTTATGCTCCTATGTATGTCATCTTCCGAGTAAGACTTAATCACAAAGAATCTGGCATTCGGAGCCAATAGGTCGTAATCTGGCGGGTTATAGTTGTTTTTACCCCGCAGCTCATCTAACACCGGATGCGAGGGAGATGGGGTGGTAACCAGAACAGGCATGGGGCCCGTAGGTGGCATCAAGCCCTGCACGTGAGGTCCTGCGGGCACACTTACTGGAGGTGGAAGGTGAGGAGGCATCATGGGTTGGGGCTGATACGATTGCAGTGGCGGTCCTGGACGCGGAGCTGCTGGCGGAGGCCGGTTGGTCGGCGGCCCGTTCCAAGCTGGACGTACTGGTAATGCGGGCGCTATAGATTTTGGGACTGTATTTGTGACAATTGGAAGTTGGGGTGGGGTATTCTTGCTTGTATCCCAAGTTCCGATGTCTATATTGTGTTTTCCAGGTATAATGGGACCTGGAGGCATGCCTGGTCCTTTCTTCTTTAATCCCTGTGTCTGTGAAGTCAATTGTGGTTTGGCAGGTTGGCCAGCAATACTTGCCCATGATGGTGTTTTTTTTGGTTGCGATACTAAGTCTTTACCGTCAGTCGATGAGCCCTTTAAATCTAAATGATTGAAAGTTAGACGGTTAGTTAATGCATGTTTTACGTGGTACCTAAATTTTGCATCGCTTGTTCAACACTTTTGAGCGTCGAGTCAGGCATGGCCTGAGTGTACATGCGTTGGGGATCCCGATAGTAATCATCGAACTTCCTTTGCCCCAACTGACTTCCCCACGTGTTAAAATCGCCATTACTATGAAAATAATTGAAGGAAGATGGCTGACCGAAGGCTGTTGGCGTGGAAAATGTCGTCGACGGACCGAACATACCTACAAATAAATTGATACAAAATCCGTATCAAAATGAGCCACCTACCATCCATTGAATATGATTCGTGAGGATAACCACTTAGAAATGTCATTCCGTCTGTTCCATTCGACCAAGTTCCATCTCCCACACCGTACGCTTGATAAGGGTATGTTCCACCACTGCCATAATAACCTAGGAAAAATAATTGAATGTAGAAGAAGTGATATCCAATTGATATTTATCTCTTGTCAGAGTATTAAATAAAGCTAATTACTGCATCAAAAATACTTTCATTGAACTGTCATTATTCAAGATTGATGATCATGTTTACTAGCGATACGAGTTACTGAATTAATCAATATAGTCATTATTTATTTATTAATCATCTACAACTTCTGTTACAAGAGGTTGACAAAAATTATTTCGTATAGATATATCTACCATATATAAATATACAAAATTCACCTCTAAGAAGAAATACGTTCTATATAAATAGATGTAAAAGGTGTGTTTAACAACGTATAGTGGCGATCAGTTACACTACTTAAAACACATGAAATGTGAGGGGTATATATTGTCAATAATTACAAGTCAGCAACTAAAAATGAGACTGAATTCGCAAGGAAGTGATCAAGATTCAATCCTTGCCCCACCATCTAATCCAAGTTCGCATGTTTGTTTCCTTTCTGGTTCAACATTCAAATTTTATATTTCATTTAAGTAAGTAAGTAAATATAGAAAGTACCGCAATCCATTGGGCTCGTGTGTTAGAGAGAGAACGCATAATTTTTGCTCAAAAATGGCAGAAGTTACCAGATTCTAGTAACTTTAATGTTAGGGATTGTTCCACCTGTTTGGAGATATTTGCATATATTTTTATAAAACATGACAGTACTATGAAGTTAGGTTATAAAAAATGACAGCTATTCAGATTTTATTTGTCAATTTTTTTAAGTTGGCAGCAAATTTGCCCAAAAATGGCAGATGATTGCGGTACTTTCTATATCTAGTGACTTTAAAGTAGTAGTAGTACCTACGCCATCTGTGTATTTCTCATGTAAGATTGCTGTAGCTGGTAGAGTTTTTATTTTATAGCTTTTTCTTTGGCGCTAGAAATCATCAGAATGTTCTTTTCTGTATTTTCCCTCTCTTGATTTTCTTATGTTTTCGCGTGTGCGAAATTTAGTTATTCTTATTTGCATTTTGTAAGGTAGTTACCATTACGTTTATGCTTTCATATACTTATCGCTGATTTGTACAGACAATTCATTGTTGATTAAAATTTGGCTTTTGAATACTGCTTTCCATTGAGTGTTACTTACGATTTACCGTATTTGCACCGCTTGACGTGGCAAACGTTGGGTTTTGCCTCGCAGTTCATATGCTGTGATGGTTATGCCGCCCTTTTTTGTTCTCGCGTTTATCTGATTATAGATTTTTGATACAACACTTCCACAAAGGGCAATATATGATTGATTAAAGAATACAATCAGAAAACATTTCGAAATCTTTTGTGGCAATACACAAAAAAGGGGGGGGGGGATTGGTTTTATTTCTCATGGTACCTTAATTAAAGGTGACAATGGAGGCGCTTGATTAACATCTACCATTTTCCCTTTGTAAGTATCCTCTTCCTACACTCTGTTTTTGAGACACCAACATTTGGAATTCTGCCCCCCCCCCCACATGTTCGACATAAGCGATTAGTGTGCTTTTATTAGAAAGAGATGGCATTAAACTATCGCACCACCACCAATAAGCAAGTTGATTCAGTAAATGTTTCTTAATTTTTTTGGAGTTTTCGTGGAAAGTGGAGGTTTTTAAAGGAGGAATGAGCTTAAGATCAACAGGGTTAATCTACGAAACACTGTAAACAATATTTGGTAATAAAACGTATAACCTACACCTCTACATCGTGATGTACCCAACTTTGCGCGCTAAATTCGATTTGCGGTTATTATTTTCTATAAAAGGGGCGAATTTTTTGTTTAACTTCTTCCTATTTTAGTTGAGACTGCGGTGTATCTCAGCTGTTTTTCAAGAGAGACTTGCGGCTTTCGCGGCCCTGGACCACAAACAGATTCAATCTAACTACGTTTGGTTCTGGGATACAGGGTGAAAACGAAAAGTTTGACTTTTTGGGATGTTATCATATCCTACACTAGATCATATCTTACTACCCATGTAAGATAGAAAACAGGTAAAAACTGCCTATTGTAGAGAGTTTTACGTACAATCCAGTGGTGTAGTAACAAAAATGTTTCGATCTCTGTTTCTAAGATTTGACCCAAATTGGTATTTTTTAAATGCAAAACCTCGTGCAACACCTGTATATCTGTGTATCATTTTTTGTACCTATTCTTTTTCCTTATTAGATTGATGTATCGGAACATATATTTTTTTAAAAGTTAGCCATAAACCAAAAATTAAAACTTTATTTTTTACTGTTTTTAAATAGTAGGCCATGGATTGATGGAAATTTTGTTTTTGTTATTGTATTATGATAGAACAACATTGGGTGAAACTTCAAAAATGGTGGTCCAAAAAATTATCTCTTTGCTGGATGTTGGATGGCCAGTTACCTCACAAAATTTTGTTAGTGGCAGTAGCATTAGGATAAAGTGTCCTTCAACCTCGAGTTCAGACCAGAGTAGTAAAATAACAAGATACAAAGAATCGCATACGATTTTCAGTAGGGGAATTTTTTGCCACTTTGCTCATATTCGGAAACCAGACTTTTGATCCGGCTCATATTCAATAGCCATCTGGGCGCCATCAAGTCAATTCCCCCTCGTGTACAGCCACCATTGCACATTAACAATGAACTAACTATGCGCGTATGGTGAAATGATGACCCATGACAAGAACACAACTCAAACACAACTAAATCCGGCACTATTGCTAACTTCATTGTTTTTGGCAGTACAAAGTCGACTACATTAGCAAATATGCAGCCAAGTATATGAACCATTTATTTTCAAAAGTAGATTGCTGGAATCAAAAAAACAAATGAACATCTAGTTGTCATGATATTCTACAAAATAACCTCGAAAATAACGTTTTGTCCATTTATATATATTTGGAAAGAAAATGAAATTTGGGATAAAAAACTTTTTGACGCTACTCTCAACCAATTAATAACGGCCACATTCAATGTAAATTAATACATGAATATTCTGAAAAGGGCAAAACAATTCTAGAAAAAGTAACTAAAGTACAATTCATTGCATTGCAAGCTTAAAGCCGAGTTTAGACACGGCCAGTAATGTAGTCGAGTACAGTGGTCGAATCCTATTTAAACTATTAACCAGAAAAACATCCTTGTAAAGCATATTAAGTATGTTTATGAAAATAATCCGTTGAAAATTGACAGTACAAATGTCATTTAATAAACAAATGACAGTGTTGTGTATAACCTTAGGGTTCGTTGCAGAAGCCTGTAATCTTGTCAGTACAGTCCCTTACTGGTTGGTTCCGTAATTTAAAAAAAGTAAGCACGTACTTGAATTTCAATGAATCTTTTTATATCTAATGGTTCTTCGATATTAGTATGTTCACATTTCATTCCTTCTTAAGATTGTTAAATACCTTGCAAAAAGCACACATAAGTCAAGTGTGCTTTAAGAATAGATTCCAATGGCACAGCAAACTGAGGTGGAAGCAATAACTATTTGAACACTTTATCTCAACAAGTTGAATTATGCATTGTGGTCCAAAGTATTACCTTCGAATTTATTATCTAGCAACACAAACATTAACAGATGATAAATGTTAATCAACGGACGCCGATGAAAATGTCAAGTTTTCCTCCCAATTAAAAGTAAATAAACAAACCTGCAGTGCTCATATTGTAAATATCTGTAGCGCTTGAAATTGGAACCGATGTGCCGTACGCAGTTGGTGCCGCCGAATTCTGTTGTTGTGATCGCCATGGCTCAAATTCCTCGGAACCGCTTGCTCCTTCACCAGCTCCTAACTGCTCCTTAGTGCCATTGGACACTGTAACGTGCAATCGGTTAACATAGGATATTTTAAAAATACCACGTACCTTGGTTTCCTTGTCCTTTCATCCGCTACACCGACACACCAAATGAAACAAAATGAGGAGGGTAAGTTTGGGCATAGATTTTAAAGGATTCCTAATAAAAATCGTGAAATCTAAGAAGTGTTAGCTCTACCTGATCTGACACGCCTGCTGACATTGACCAGTCTTTTCACTTAGAAATATAAATTTATTCGCTTAAATAATCCACTTTTTCAACAGTATCACTTATTCACAATTAGTTTATTAACACCGCACTTATAATAATATTTTACTTAATTAATTGTAAAGTATTTAATTGTTTTTGTAACAAGTCAATCACTTCACAATGGCGTTAAGTACCCACTGTTTGCGCATTATTTATGCGCATCGGAACTGCCAACGTTTAGACAGATTAATCAAATCAACTGCCATTTTGTGGGGTTTTTATTTTCTGCGCGTTGGCTATATACCAAATTTAAATATGAAAAAGGACTACAAGGAGGATACAAAAAAATGACTTCATGCTAAATAGTCCATTGCAATTGAATGTATTTATTTGATCCGCACACGTGGGTTCATTGTATGGTTTGGCTGAGAGTTGAAGCTATACTATAACTATTTAGACATACAGGGAATTTTTATCGTTATCATATAATGTGATTGTGCCCCATAAATTGAAGCGCCGGCGGGTGGTTTGTATGTAGCGGTGTTAAGGCAAAAATCGCCTAGTCTATTTCTTGCAAACAATGTAGGGAATCCTGCTTCAATATCAAGTAAACTATTTATGATGTGAATAAGAATATTTCGGAGAAAATAATGTACTCCTTCTTATATGTAACTTCTAAGCTGCCGAGATTAGGAGGGTTCAGAAGCAGACTAAGTTTTTCATTAAACTCGATTCTCTGTATACATATCTTTGAATATAGACTAACCAGTATGACTATAAGCATTGATTAAATTTATAATCAATGATCAAAGCTTCACATGAAGTAAACATACCTTACTAAAATTGCAACTAAACCAGAACTTTTGGATCACCCTGTGGGATCTAGATAGATTAATGATTGAGGTTATGTAATGTGGTAAATAAATTATTTTGAAATGTGTGAATTTACTTAATTAAAGCAATATGGTAAGAAATCCACCCTCCTTGAAGCTTAGACAAAGTGCCTCGCAGCAGAGTTCAAAAAAGGAACACAAGAGGGAAACTCACAATAAGAAGGCCACGAACACTCGTCCAAAGTAGGTATAAATCGGCTATTTTCAAATATATCAAGGACTTTTCCATAGAAAAGTCGAAGATACTGGAGGTTTAATTTATCCCGGAGGAGACACCGCATTTAAAGCGCTACTCTCGGCGAGATTCTGTTCGGCAATTTGGTCGCACATTTCCGACTGCGATGAGACTTACAACTATTGGGAGCCAACACACTATTTAGGTATCTAGGAGAAGTATATCTGTGTTATTATTCTGTTTTAGTTTTCGGTAAGGGTCTGCAGACGTGGGAGTACAGTCCGGAGTTCGGATTGCGATCTTACACTTACCTGTTGGTGCATGCGATTCCCGCCTTTATCTACCATAAGCTACTACAACCAAATCCGTTGCTAATATTTTATTTCATTCGGTGCTTATTAGGACTACTCTGCTCGTTTGCGGAGGTCTTCTTCTACAAGTATGCCCCAATTCTTTATACCTAGTAATTGCATTTTATGTTTCAGGGCTGTCTGTAGGGAATTTGGTGTACATGTAGGCCGTTTATGTTTAGCCTTTCAGATATTTTCGGCGGGGATGTTCATTTCTAGCACGGCATTTCTGCCGTCTAGTTGGGCCATGTATGGTTTCGCATCTGCATGTGCCGCCTGGTGGCAACAAAAGTATGCTTTAGCTGTATTTATGACTGCTTTAGGCTCACTTCTAGGTACTTTCTTGAATCATGCATGCCGTAGATGTTAAAGTGTTTTTCTCAGGTTGGCCATTTGCTGCTTTGTTAGGGATTCCCATAGCAATTGACATGATAATAATGAAGAAATTATATCAAGACTTTATACAGTGGTCTGTAATATCGGCTGTAGTGATATTAGGACCTATGGTTATGATTGATACGAATTATTTCGGAAAATTGGTTATTGCCCCTTGGAATATTGTTAAGTATAACATTTTTGGTGGAGGAGGCCCTAATTTGTATGGAACCGAGCCATTTTCTTTTTACATCACTAATGGATTTTTGAATTTTAATATAGTTTGGGTAGGTATCTAAGTATGTTTATTGATATCTAATTTTTCTTCTAGATACTTGCTCTTCTGTCACCTGTATTGTTAATACTTTCGCACTTTTTTGTGCCAGCTAAGAGCAAGAGTACCTTAATGCTACCTCACAGTGTATCACTGTTGCCATTTTTTCTGTGGTTGGGCGTATTTTGTTTTCAACCCCACAAAGAAGAGAGGTAAGTGAAAGAATACTGAATTAGGGTGTAGTTCTGAGGCTTACCACCTGATCACAACTGTCATGATTGATGTGAAAACAAAAGAGCATATGCGCATAATGTAATCCAACTGTTTTATTTTTTTAAGAATCACTTGATTCACTAAATTTTAAATTGTTGAATTGTGAAAATCTGTGGGGATCTTGTTCTGTAGAGTGCTGCAATAAACAACAAATGAGAAATTAATATTTATTCATTTCAGGTTTCTGTTTCCCGTGTATCCCATGGTCTGTTTAGCAGGAGCAGTTTCCGTAGATGTCATACAAAAATTATGTTTTCGCATTTTATTTTTATTGAGATCAATAAAAATATTCAAAATACCACGCGGAACCCACTATCTAGAATCGACGCTCGTCGTTATGGTGGGAATTATTACGCTGTCGAGTCTGCTAGGAATATCAAGAATATTTTCACTTTACCGTAATTATCACGCCCCCTTTGACCTAATGATGGAACTCAATCATTTTCCCGCCGAAGGAAAGCTTGTCAATACAAATTCGGTGAACGTCTGCCTAGGTAAAGACTGGCACCGTTATCCGAGTTCGTTCTTTTTGCCGAACACCAAGTGGAACATTCGATTTATACAATCCGAATTTAAAGGTATCTTACCGGCCCCGTACTCGGAGAACGAAAACGGTACCACAATTATACATAAACATTTCAATGATCAAAATCAAGAGGAGACGAGTTTGTATTTCGACGTAAATAAATGCCATTTCTTGTTAGATTTAGATTTAGAAAGAGAGAGTGACTTGGAACCGAGATATTCCAAAAAACGTGATAAATGGACTGTAATTAAGAGTCTGCCATTCTTAAATGTAGAGAAATCTAATCCTATATTTAGAGCATTTTACATTCCATTTTTAAGTGATCGCTATATACATTACAGCAACTTTAGTCTTCTGCAAGCAACTAGAATTGGTAAATTTATGTAATATGTACCTGATTTGTTACTGTAAATTATTCCAAGACCATAATTTTTGTACATTTTGTATAAAAATAATAAATTTAAGGCAAATATTGGAAAGTGTTTTACTTCAACAAACAATAAACAAAATGTTTATTATTAACGGTGATAGCATCAAATCCCCAAGACATTTAATTTAACGCTTGTATACAGTTTCCAAATATGTTATGGCTCATTCTCACTGCAAAGAAAAAAAAAACATGTTTACCTATATGACCTATGAGATAATACACAATATGATATTTTACGCAAAACGAAATGTTTATTAATCGGCAGAGCAAAGTTTTTAGGGGAGTTGTTGGTGTTTGTGAGCACGATAACAGGAAAACTTTTAGATCCATTTGGTTCAAACTGTGCAAAGTTGACCTATGGAGGCCCCTTGTAACAAGTAAGGGAGTCGATAATGTCTGCATGTGAACACGATAATTGGCAAAGGCTTCTGATTCGGTTCAAACTTGACATTTTGAACCCAGTTATGAGTAGTACTCCTCGTGTGATAAACCACATTACTAATAGAAACCCTTTTATTCAAGACAGTTATTACAAATCTTTGGTAATAAAATTAACAGTTAATATGAGACATTTTGACAGTATAATATTTAAAAAATAAATGTAAATGATATAAAGAGTTCATAAAAATAGAAATGCTTCAAGTCACAGTTAATTTCACACTAAGAAACATAAGTCACAGTTGTCATTTGCAGAGAGCATCAAAAATACTTTACAAGATGCCATTTTGAAGTGACCATTATTGATGAAGAGCAAGTCTGCTCCTTAAGTATAAAATGTTATACAAAGTAGGCTATAAATAGATTGGTCAAAATTATGTATTAAGTAGAAGTACATCAAATTCAATAGAATAAAGACCATAGGGTATTCGATACATGATGATCGGAGATGTCATTAATACATATGACTACTAGGTAGTCCTATTGGATATATCACATTTTATTATCTAATGTAACTGGTAATAAAATACCTTGACAAGTTAAAAATGTAGGTAACTACAATACATTCTACTTCATGTAGAGAATTTTCCAGTATGAACAAGGTGTGATGGTTTATATTGTCTACCGAAGATACCAAGTGACTGTAAAATTTTGAGGCAAAATGTTATTTTGATGCCAATTTTTATTATTGGTGATTTGTTTTTTCAAGTTCCTCCTCAAACTAGTAAACTGGGTTGGAATCCCAGTTTACAGTTCAACATCGAGAATATACATGAAATGAATAATGAATCATAACCAGTACGTAGCTGTTCTACTTACTTGGAGTAACACCAATGACAGGAATGTGAAAGCCAACATGTGTTTCTGAAAAAAAATAAGAGAGGCGTATGGACTCCCTACCTTTGGTATAAAAACAAAGTGAATCCTGTTTATGGTCGATTCACTGTAAGAGAGATGAAAAAATCAGTTCAATCCTTTACACTTCCAATAGTGAATCATGCAGTTTTCTTACCAAAATTATGATAGCACACACTTATCTCAAAATTCTGTATAGACTTCAAAGTGGTTTTTGGCAACAGGTTTACTTGCAAAGGCTGTGAAAAAGACCTGAGATGTAAATGACAGCCCATATAATGTTCCATAAAAAATTCTACAATGGCATAAGTCTTAAACCATTCACGAATTATGATCATTGATAAACTGAGTTTTTTTGTGGGACAGTTTATTTTCTGGAAAATTTTTCCGTTCTATTTCATTTTGCCCTGCGTTTTGTAATAAATGCGCGAAATCATGACTTTCGTAAAAAAAAGACTCCCATAGATCTCCTCTAGAAAGGTGTGATAGACTGAGCCAATGGCATCAAGCATGATATTGCTTCGCAATTAACCAGTAGTTCATACACCTCTCTTTATTTTATATCATGGCCATAGTCCAAACCATATAGGTTTGCCATTTCTTCCATGAATCACGTACCCATATCATTTCGTAATGATATGTAACACTAATAAATTTCACAGATCCTGTATACCAAACGGATAAGTAAATCCAACAAACAATGTATGTGTCCAGCTTAACAGTTTAAAATTCAAGTGATGATATCAACTACTTTTACAATACTTACATGTTAAATATATGTACAAAACTCTGGATTGTATAAAAATAATGCATTACTTATGGCACACAAAATAACAATTAGGTTTATAAACAAAAGCGATCAGATATCCAAATTATAAATTATTTGACATATTCCATATGGTGGACCATCCATTCTCATTATGCAGTTTGAATTCATCTAGTTCATAATTTTGTATTCTGGAAGTAATAATTGGTATTCAACACTTTCATCTTCTGCAGGTGAATACAATATGTACAATGTTTTTTTAGGGTTTTCTAGATTGACCCTTTAAAGAGAGACTTTTTACCATTAGAGTATGGAAGCTACCGGAATGGAAAACTTTCAGTTGGGCCACCCTGTATACCACTCATACTGCATATGGAGACTATCATAGTCGATAAAATAACAGAAGTCAAATTGCACCGTAAAGTGTAATATTTATTTTCTAATAAAGAATAGTGGAATGTGCCTCATTATGCGTTTTGTCTAGTATAACCTTTGCAGCTTTGGTTTTCGTTTCTGTTAAACCTACTTAAAATTTATCAGTCTTTACAATAACAATATTTTCTTAAGTTGGGAAATTCATTTTCAATGCATCCATCTTGCCTACCGTACATATTAATCCTACTAACGTCACTCAAGCTCAGAGTGAATTTATTCGATTTAATGTCATGCGTAATACTTGCTTCAAAGAGAGACTCTCCGGGCACTAACATTGCCTTGATTTGGTATAAATCCTTGTGGACCTTCATGTTCGAAGTTAAATCGGGTACAAAACCGTCTATGTCTGCGTTCTTTTTGAATTTCAAAAGATTTTTGTTAGGACTCATTTTTGTAGCCCAGATTATTTTTGAAAGTGACAGCACTGCGCATAAGTGGCGCTGTCCGCTGGTGTAGTTATTAATCGTGTTCACCAACGTATCTCCTAACTCCCCAACTATGGGATTCGTGACGTCCACTTGATTCCATTCCAGGCACGCGCACCAATGCGGTTCAATGTACGCGTGCGCACAACCACGTTCAGGCGGAATCTAAAGTTAAAATTGAAACCATAGTTTCGTTACGAAATTGTGTGGCTAACCTTGCTAAACAATGAGATGGATCTGTGCTTGAGGTCCGCTACATCTGTAGAACCAAGGTGAATTACACTCAGTAACGTTGAGTAGATATCGAACGGCGTTGTCAATTGATTTACGTTACTCAAAAAGTTGCTGTATGCCTGTCGATGTTGAGTTTTGAATGACTGAGGAAATGTGAATGAAAAGAAAGGTAGCCGTTCTTCTAGTTTCCCTTGGATCGTGTCACGAATGTTGGCAAACCTGTTGAGAAGTATTAGTTACACCTTGAAATTTTTTCCTGTTTGAATAAGTTGCGGTAATATCAAATTTGACTACTTGAAACCAAATGGTTAACACCTTTATTGTATTGTAACAGTGCGCTGCTCATAATGCAACATGGCAGAATGATAGTGAATTAATTTACGTTTGCAACAGTTGTTGATTTCTCTTGCATATCCATTTTTTCTGTCTTACCATTTTATTCCGAGGTGAATTATTATTTTTAGACGTTAGAAGCAACAAAAAGGGATTTGCTGTGATTTGTGTGGAATTATTAACTCGGACCCCACCATAATAATTGTATTTTATTTTATTATAATTTAAGGAAAGCAGTCTGAGATTTTAAAATGTTTAAATTGAAAAGATTTTATGTTATTAAAACTACTTTGAGTCTCAAAAAATTCCAGGTTATTTAGTTTCTTAGATTTTGATTAATTTTAAAATTTTCTTATTTCTCTTGTCGAACGTCTGCGTGCGGGGTAATTTGCCCACACAAGCTTTGCGAACTTCTCCATTCTTTATGTTACTTTTCATCTGTTTCAGAATACAAGTAGGTATGTCATTATTAATGAATTAATTGCGTGTTTATTCGAACCCATTGTGCGACTCGGATAGAGTTTTCATGTCATATTTTTCTGTCCAACATTTGTGTACTTAATCCCATGAAATTTTCAGAAGTTGATTGAGGTTCCCGTGTCTCCCAAAAAATAAACAAATTAAAAAATTAATTTAAGTCAAAATTGGGATTTTTTTGTAACAGGGGGCGGAAGTGTACGAGGAGAAATTATAAAAATTCAATTTTGTTTTGTTTGAGCTAGTTGAACAGGTGTTGTGGGTGGTGTAGTTGCTCACATAGAGTATTAAGTATTAGGCGCCCAACGTTAATCCACAGCAATGTATCTATTGATAACTTTGCATCCGTATGGTTAATAGTGAATAATTATAAATTAGTTTGAGCGAAATCAGATCCCACAGCTTACCTGTGACCATGATCGGCCATTAGTATAAGTAAAGTGTTCTCTAACATTCTGTTGGCGTTCAGATCTTTCAAAAATTGAAGTAAATCATCATCTGCCGCTCCTATCAAATTATACGAATCATGAGAGAGCTCTCCGTGAAATCCGAATATAAACTTTGGCTTGTACTTGTACACACTAAAAAACTAATGATTCGCCAATTATGTAAAGAAACTCAAACAAAAAAACTCACATTTTTAATTTGGTTCATCATAACCATATGTCGCGGAACGGCACCCGCGCATAATTTAGGACTGTGAGACCACTCACGGTGAGCAGCAACGTAGTATGGCCTCATGTAGTGGTCGGTAGGTGGATCCTATCAAGCACGTCTTAATGTATCACGATTCTTGCACACTTACCTTGAAGCCTCTTAGGCGGTATGTGAAAGTACCCAGATCTGGAACATCCTCAAGGAAACCCGTAACATACCCATTCTTTCTAAAGTCATTCCATACAAATGGGTATACGTCGACAGTAGTGGAATTGGAAATTCTTTTACGAGTGTCTGGCAACTCCAATTCTGTTTTACCAGTAAGAATTGGAATAAGCGCTTGAGGAGTACCATCTCCGACAATATTATAGCTGAAATACACTCAGTCATTGTTAATAAATTTACAGTAATGCGCGCGCACCCTTTCAGCACGTCTCCTTTCAGGACTTCCACAAAATACCTGTAACTTTTCGGCAATTTACGAATAAATGTATTTCGTGACAGCGAGTCGAATCCGAGCATTAAAACATTCAATTTCAAAGAATCGCTCGGCACAAAGTGCCAACCCGTTCTCTCCGTCACATCCTTATCGACCCTTATACCAGTCAAAGTTGACGACCACATTTTGCCTTCCTTATTTTTACAAAGCACTTTCACCTGTTTATAAACGAAGTAATCTCGGTATGTTGTTAAAGATCAAGGTCACTCACCACGTCACTCTTTACTAATTTATAATAGGCGTCTGTATTCGTTACGTCGCCAGGGGCCGAGTAAAAGTCATCCTTTCGGATCAGATCTGTGAACGAGCATGTGATCGGGCCGTATATCGCTTTTGCCTTTTCTTGAATTCGACATTCGGAATTCTGTAATGAGATGCTCTACTTAAGACAAGTTAAGGCAGGTGCCAAATTCTTGACAGAACAGCTTCTTAGCTCCTACGAAATATTTAAAAAAAAGTTTTTGACAGTCTTACATCCTTTATGCCTAATGTAAACTGTCAAAATTTCAACGTTTTCTAAACAAAAATGAGGACAAATTTGCATTTTTTTAAAAAATATTTCAAAATAACCGAAATACCAAAAAACTGAAAATGTCAAATTTCGTTTTCATTTTGCTTAACTGAAACAATCGGAAATGGACGGTTCCCGTTAGCACAAAATAATGACGTGTCACACAATACTTTTACATCAATTTATAAGGAACATTTCAAAATGACATTTTCAGTTTTTTGGTGATATGTTGTTTTTAAAAAATTTCAAATGTCCAAAAAACGGTGACTGTAATAGCCACCTAACGTGGGAAGTTAAATGGAAAAGCACACGAAAAAAACGCAAATTGGGTGATCTCGCCGGTCACCCCAGGTGATAGTACAAGAACAACTGCTTTAAAAAAACGTGCAAATGGCAAAGTTGGCAAAACCCGGGTTTTTGAATAAAAACCCATGGGTATTTGAGGTTTTTGTGGGGTTTTTCTGGGCAATTGGGTTTTTGTATGATTATTGTCCGCATTATTGCGACGCCATCTGTTACAGGATAGAACAAACAGCTCAAAGCTAAACTGTAAAAGTTTAGGGTTATGTTGGTTCAAAAAAATCAAATAAACGTTCGCGTCCGCGTCCTCTTCTTTATAAAAAGTTAGAAAGCTAAACATTTAATAATTTATCATTATAAGGTTATAGAAGTCTAATTGAAAACTCTTCCGTTATATTTATGTAATGTATTTTGCCAAAACCCTAAAATTATAAAACCCGGGTTTTTGTTACGAAAACAAATAAATAAATAAATAAATAAATGAAATGTTTTTGTAAAAAACCCATCCTGTTTTTGTACTTTGGGTTTTTGTTTGCCAACCCTGGCAAAAGGCAAATGAACTCCCTCCCTCCCCTGCACATATAGTTTCTCCTCAAATTGCACTGCTTGCTAATTGACGCAGCCTGTATAAACACTATTTTTTGGGGGTAAATATATAAGAGCTTGATTTTTAATCGGATAATTTTATTTTAAAACACAACAATTTTGGACGGAAAAAACTAGAAATCAAAAGTGTGATAAAATTTTTTATCTTATGCTTTTGATCGAGTTTTTTCCTGGAAGCAACAAAATTTGAGTGCATTTTTATCGCTGATAAAAAGCTACCTAACTTTGAATCACTTAAAAAATCATCTGATTGGTTAGAATTTGAAGTAATCACCAAGCTGATTGGTTGTATATTAATGGAGTGTATTAATCTTGAAAATAACGCTAAAAAATATTAACTGAAACTATTTAATAAATAAAGTGCAACTTGACTTGATAATCCGATACAATTGATTTTTTTCAGAATGATTATCATTACCATAATATGAAGCAATTTTCTCACAAATTACATTTATCCAATGAGGAATACCTCGACAATTACACATCAGGTTATCAAGGTATAGTACATACTCTTCTTAATGAAACAACAGGTATATTTTTAGATAAGTCAATATTTACCGTAGTCTATTGACTTAAGTCGTGATTTAAAGAAAGCGACCTACAGAACTATGTAGGTATTTGTGACTAGAAGTAATTTGTATGTTAGAAAACCTCGTAGAAAACATAATTGTTTACATAATATCATGTTTAAATATATCAAGTGAGTATGCATAATAGGTAAGACTTAAGTATTGATTCCTGATCCTGTATAAATAAACATTAAAAAAGACCGAAATTGAAGCTTGTGATACTGCTTTTGAAAAACACACTAATCAAATTTCATGTCCGGCAAACAATAAAAAGTTTACCTGTGTTCAGCACAGTATTCATACTTTATAAACTAACTTCTATATTCCCTAATAGTACTGTACTTACTTCACATACAACCCAATCGATTCCAGCAGCACTGCAATTAATAGGTGGAACATATTTGACAAACTTCATCATTTCGGGTGCATTAACCGGAAGATTCGGTTGCTTACATGACTCGTAACTCGCCCTTTCTTTGATAACTTCGTCTATCTTCTCTCTGCAAATACTGCACTTCACGCTGAGAGCCACAGCAATCTCATACTTACAGTTTTAGTCTCCGATCGTAATCATCTGCGAGGGCAATTGATTTGAGCTTAATTAGAACTACAAAACTGAACAGAAGGAGGATAAAGAATAATAAGGCTTTCCTAGTTTGCATTTTTCGTATGAAACCCATGTCTAGAAGACGTTACAACTTCCTAAAAGGAATTTTTATACATTCATGAAGGTTATAACTGAAAGATGACACGCAAACAGTGTTAAGTTGTGTAAATTAGTATGTAATTGTTAGCATGATAACAAGTCAATTCGATAAACTCAAACATTTGTATGGTCATTGGTCAGTGTTCAATCAGTTTGGGTCAGTGTCAGTTGTCACAAAACACACCAGTGTGCTATATAGTACGGTTCGAAAAAGCTTGGGTGTTAATCACAGAGTACTTACTCTAGTTAGGCAACGTTGGGTTAAGAGTTGGCAACTGTGTAGAGTACAATGACGTAGAAACTTGTATCTGTTCGAGTCTCAGAACACAATACTCTGAGGTTCGAGAGTTAAATAAATAAACGTGAAGAATATGTACACAAACATTACATTGTGCAGTCGATACAATCACAGATTACCCATATAGGTAAATAGAAAAACCTAAGTGGAAAAAAGTGGGTGATAAAGCAAAAAAGAGGATACAAGTATTATGCAATTCTATGTTGAGTTACGTACATCGATGTCAATATTAACACAAATTAGAAATGCTAAAGGAGCCAGGATCTCTTCATACTAATGGAAATGTTTCAGAGATTAAAGTTAAAAAATATATACCTATATATCTAATCTACTACTACTACTACTACTACTAGATTCTACTAGAAACAGCTTACCGAATATGGAAATGTAAACACATCGGCACGACACGACGCATGTATCGATCTCCGACTCTTCTTCTCTTTGTTTTATATTGTTGCTCTTAAATTTTGAAGCATTGAAAACTTCGTAGTGAGAAGTTCTACTCTGTATACACAACTTACAACGACGCACACATTAGCTGTATTCGTTTCAAGTGATTTATGAAGTGATTGCACTTTGTTTTTTTCGTTTACAATCAGTTCCCCCCACTACTGACCAAGTGAACAGAAATCACTATTATCTGATTGCGAGAAAAGTTGGTACAGTTAAATCCATTGAACTACAAACTCTGTAACTGGAACGGCATCGCCCGTAATCAGCCGTTGCCAGGGGCCGTGCCGAATTTTTGTGAGAGAGAGATGGGTAGAGGTAGGTATCCCTTACCTTGTTTCACTCACGTGCGCTTATGGGATGATTTATACTACGTCTTACATTATTTTTGTAAAATACGTTATTAAGAGATTTGAAAAAATGGTCATGAGTTGTATTGCATATACGTGCAATCATTTTCATAATAAAAATTCAAATATTCAATTTCATGGGTACGTTTTGATAATATTTTTCAACCTCGACGCGCGCATTTAATATTTTTGCGCATGACGACATTTGCACCGCTCAGATTTCTTGACTACTGTACCTCACCCTCATTTATACTGCCTTTATGAATAATTCTTCTTTCGCACTCTTTAATACTAATTCAATAGGGCATTCCACTCGCTAGAAAGCATCATATGAAGAAAAGCGTTAACGCCGCCAAAACCTATAAAGCCGTTTTGACTTACTAATTTTTCACTCAACGTTATTATTGATACTGCGCACTAATGGGGCGAAAAATACGTTTAAGGATTGATTTTTGTATTTATTACCGATTCCTTCGGCCCACAATCAACGTACATTAGGAGGCGTCAAAGTGTAAAATATAAAAGCATACACATATCACAAAGGTAGAAAATATCACGGTTTGCATTTTCTGCATCCATATCCATCCACATAGTTACATATGAAAAACTTTTTTATTTCTCTACGAAACATTCCGAGGGATTTGCAGGTCTTGAGTTTTTCTGGGGCCAGTTCCGGAAAATATGGGAGACCTTTTGTAGAAGGTGTAATTCTGACCTCACAGAACTCGGCGTATGTTTCATCTTGGGACAAAACTGGGTTATATAAGTAGCGCAATTCCTTATAAACCCTCTGCTCCAATTACCGTGGTTAGATGCACCAGATCGAAACCTTTCGCTGCTCATCAACGAAATTAGCACTTATGCATTACTCAAGCCGCTCACTGTGGATGTTCCAATGGGTATTTGACCTGAATCTTTGATTTTGAAATTGACTTGATTTAACCTCATATGCAGATTCATGTGTTTGATACCGTTAACCTTTTGCTTAAAATCGCGTTCATTTTTAGTGTAATGTTTGTTTGCATTTCGATTACAAGTACAATAATAAGCCACCTCTGACACACACCAGAGATATTTATGTGTGTGCATTTGTTTTTATGTGTCCTAGAAAAAAGCCACCTTGCTGATACCCTATTGCTAACCGATTCTTGTACGTAATCCTTGAAATGTAAATTAAATTTTGCGAAATTAAGGGGCAAATATGCCATTTATAAACGTTTCCAGCTTGATTTTATTTCCGTGGTCTTGTAGTGTGAACGGGGACGTTAGCGGACGACCCTGGGGGTTAAGTACACTACAGTGGAGCTTGAACTGCATCAAGGTGACCATAACCCCAACCATTTATACATTTTTGCAACGTACTATAAAAACCTATGCGAATATGTGCGACGTATTGCGATTACCGCAACAACATCAAGCATAATACCATCCAGAACCGATTGCATTTATAAGTCGCTCACATGGAACCGTAATTCAAGAAGTATTATAGTAACCGGAACCAATACAGTTGAGTTGTGTGCATACATTGAAAAAGAGCACATGAAGCGGAGTGTGGGCAGTTGGGTCTAAGTTACTAAAATTTATAACAGCGCGAATTTCACTATTTACCACTTCGGCAACGATACTGGAACTTCAATTAAATACAATTCAATTTACTTATACAGCAAACGAAAAGCTTATTTTAGAAAATTCTATATAGTCAGTCTTCCTCGAAAGAACAAGTCACATCCACTTTAAGTAATTCCTTACCGCTTGTGACTAATCCTTTATCGACTTGATGGCGCCTTGATATCGTTCTAGAAAATTTTACACAAACTTAATCTTAATACTAAACAAACAGAAAATATTTTAGAGTGACTAATGAATGCAAAACAGTAAGAGGGTTGAAGTGTGTGTCCGGAAAACTACTAGAACAGTAGAAAAAGACACTTAGACAGGAGGTGAAACGAACGTTATCATTAGTTCAGGAATAAAGCACTGAATCTACAGAAAAAACGTTCTATAAACTTTCTTGCAACTAATCCTTTAATCCTTCTTGAAAGCGTTTCAAGTTTTCTGCACATTCGAGACATGTATATTGAGTGATACGAGAGAATTTGAGAAAAGTTACCACATTATGGAGATCTCTCTACGTCCCATCACTATCGAGAGTGACTATAGAGTACCCCTTTATACCCCGATCATTGTCCGACTGTATGTGAAATACATGGTACTCCAGAGGGCGGAATGGAGGACCGCAATGACGCTGACAAACTGCGAGCAACGCCATATTGACCCGAAAAATGGTACATCAGGTCCTACACGTGTCGACAATCAAGAAACTTATTACAACTCTGTATCTACACCCGAGGCTTTTTCTTTCAATCACTAGCCCGACGCGAAAATGCAGTGCACGTGCCCTAATCTCTTTATACTTGTGTATGGATTGTTTCAGGGTCTCCCAGATGACGTCACGTGTTTCCATTATTTATTGTAATTATTTACAGCCATTTACTTATAACAAATGTAAAAAACTAATACTATCTGTTCAATTTTCATGTTCCACTATAAGTATCTTCAGCGAGGCTTTCCAAACTGAGCAGTTGACGACAATTAAAAATGTGTATAATTTAAGTACAACATACATTTAATCACTGCTACTCTCTGACAGTTCAGCATCTTCTTTTGCCGCCCTTTTTTTCATCTTCCTCGGTTCGACATAACCGGGTCCCTTTCTCGACTTTCGAAATACTTCAATCGCCTTTATTTTACTTCTGAGTGCGTCCGCCTTGTCCCTTTGCTTTTGAGGAATGACCTCCTTTTTGTGGAGTTGCGCCTTGGTAACCGCCACTTGCTTCTCAATATCATCCCGAATTTGTTTTACCTTCGTTCTCGTTTGGGCTTTTGACTTTCTCAACGCTTGTACATCTTCGTCGGAAGATAAGTGATCATTTTCCTCGGGAGTTTTTCGCTGTTTACGTTTCTGCCTTTTCTTTTTCTCTTCTTTGTCGCCGTTTTCGATAGTATCGACAGCCCGCTTTACTCGTTTACTCATTTTATTTTCAATGTCTCCTCCAGTAATTTTATGTTTCGTTTTAAAATAGTCTTTAATGGATTTTTGCGATTGCGTCTCGTTTTGCTTTTTCAATACTGGTTTCAAGATGTTTTCGCTTTTTTCTGGCGGCCATCCGAATTTCCTTTTCGCATACTCGACCAAAGCGCGTTCGTTCGGTTTCCCCCATGAGAAAGCTTCACCGCTGGAATCAATGTTCGGTTCCAAATACGCTCTTATTACATTAAGGTTAGGAAAACCTTCGTTTATAGCAACATTTTTCAGTTTGGTTCGCAGTCCAGTTCGTCCTAATCCGCCGACCTTTTCCTTACATAACCATTTGCGAAATTCCTCCAGACCGGCTGCTAGTTGTTGGTAGTTGTAACTATTTTCGAGTAATTTTTTTGGAGGCGGAAAAGCGCCAAGGATCTCTAAGGCGGTTACCGGCCCAATTCCTTGAATCCCTATAGTATAATCACTTCCCACTAGTAAGGCGAGCAGTATCATTTGCTCACGTGTTAACTCTAAAAGATTAATTACAGTATAGTGAGATATTCTCTAAATGGAATAGAAAGTTAATCTTTAGGTTCATTTTTGCATTGGGCACAAGGGGACAACACATTTTTTATGGGAAAAAAAATGAAAATCAAAAAACTCACGTACTATAATGTTCTTGAATCCTTTCGGCTCGAAACTCCATAACATGCTTCTGTTGATTAAAGAAATTTTTATAAACAGTCTTGCCCCCAAATAACCATATATCACTGTCATCAGTAATGGTACCATCGGTCAAATTAATAATTTCCAAAAAAGCACATTGCGCCTCGGCTTCCATGGGGGCAACAATATACGGTACTCCAAACAGTCTGAGTAAGTCCTTGAACTATTCGTAAATACATTAAAGCCAAAGTTGAAACTTACCTGAGTTTCCTGCACAATTTGCTCGGACAGACTATTTGCCATTCGCTCTTTTGTCAACTGATCTGTTAGTAACTCTATATTTTGATCTTCTAAATCCTGCCTAATTTCCCTTAGTTCTTCCGAAGTTACTCGACTCTGTACAGTATGATCATCCTGCACTTGATTCGTGGTTGCTTCATTTGCACCTTGGTTTCTATCTCCCTCACTTTCAACTGGTAAAGGCGCTGTCAATTTCTTTAAATTTACTTTTCCTGGCAGATTCTTATTTGCAGAAACTTCATTTGAAGAAAATACATCACTAAAAAGATCATCTTCAACAGATTTCTCTGGTTGTATAACAATTTCAAACAAATTCTTCGTGTCTTCTTTCGGTGTTTCTTCCACTTCGACGAATTCTTCAGCAGAATCTGAGCTAACATCATAAGCAAATTCTGCAGCTTTACCGTCAACTGGTCCCTCTTCTACTTCCACTGTAGTACTTGGTAATTTCGCGCTCGCCGACTCTTGCGGCACGTCTTCGACAGATTTACTTACAATTTCAAATGAATGCGTCATATCTCCTTTGGGAGTTTCTTTGGCGTGTTCATCTTCAACTAATTCTTCTGGTGAATCGGAGCTACCATTATCTTCTATTGTAATGTGCTCGTCTACTTCTATAGTAACACTAGGTAATTTTGAGTTTTGGACGATAACCGCATCGTCATTTAGGGCGGATTTCGGTTTCTCACTCTTATTGGCAGTTACTTCCCCACTCATAATTTTTGCAACTTCGTTAGGGGTTAGTCCACTATACTCGACCATGTAGTTTTTAACAGAGTCTAAAACCTTATTCGCATTTGACGGTTTACTGCAATCTTCTTCAGATTCACTGGAACTTGGAAAATCGGCATCGTCGAAGTCTTGAAGAAAGGAAAAATTGTTGCGCTTCCTCTGTTTTTGTTTGCAGCCTTTTTGTGAGCTCGATGAGGTCTCTTGGGAGGTAGAGGGAGTGTCTTGAAGTGACAGCTGAATTGCCAACTCTAAATCTTCTTCGAACTCTTTATCTGCCTTAGTCGGGTTTTCTTTTGTACTCTCTTCCTTGGTCTGTTCCTCTTTGGGAACATTTTCTAAAGTGGTGACTTCAGCATTTCGTTTTGCATCATTTATCGCTTTCTTCAAGTCTTTGATTAGTAAATACTTCTTACTCTCATCAGACGCAATGTGTTTTCCCACCGAGTCACCAGTTATAACTCCTTGATCATTGAGAAGCGTTTCAAGCTCGGCCAGAGAAAGTGACCGCCCGCCCATCTCCTTCTCGGCCTCTTCGAGTGAAACCTGCACGGAATATCGCTTTAAAAGACGTTTCATTTGAAAACCAGAGAAATCGTCGCTTTTCTTCGGCAGTTCGTGTAGTCTACCCCATGACGACTGTTTCCTTGTTTCCTTCAAGTCGGTAAGTATATCGTGTCGTACATCGGCCGGTAAAGCTTTAAAATGGACGCTCTTTTCATCGATCGTGTGCAAATCCCAGTGCTTGGTGGGACTTGAGTCGACAGAAGTTGTTGACTCTTCCTCGGAGACTGTCGACTCGAAGTCTGTAGGCGGTAGCTTGTATAAGTCTTCTCCTTTTTCCTTTGCCGAATTTATAACTAAATTAATTTTTGATTCTTCCGAGAGAATTTTATTTATCGCAGTGTGTTTTAAAAGAGCCGAGACTAGTTGTTTATGGATAGTATCTGCTTCATTTAAGTTCTTCGCCCTTTTATTGGCTCTTTTGTACTATAAAGAAATAAATCTGAGTAAATACGATAGAATAAACACAAAATACATATTAAAATCATCTGGTTCAAAGTCATGACAGGGGCGGTGTAGGTGACTTAAAATCAAAATCACTTTTCTCGAAACACACGAAGTACAAAATCGAGTAGTGGCTGGTAATGGTACGGTACGTACTACCCTCAGATGTATGAGGCATAGGAATCACTGCGAGGACAAAAATGGGAAGCAACCTGCATTTTCTGATTTTTGAAAATAGGTAATTTGAAAATGGTTGAAGACAGAGATTTTTGAATGGGAATGAAATATGCAAATTTTGGCAGCTTTCAAAAAGGCATGTTCAATTCAGCCAGGTCAGGCGGCATTCAAACCTCTAAGGTAGAAGTCAACTCTGGTTTAATACTGAAATGCACCTGAAACCTAAAATAATAACGTCGAGTCGATATCGATGACCGGGCTCTCATGCTCTCAATGGGGGTTTACAGTGTAGTTGAATTCCCTAGTTCTAATTTAATAAGCGTATACCTGAAACCATAAAACAATTTTTTGGACAGTAAAAGTTTATTTAAAAATAGTGGATGATTAGAAATCAATACTAAACATGTGCGGTATTAGGGGTTTATTCATAAAACGAGATGATTGTGGCGGGCTCTGTGACGTAATAAGCCCGACCAATCAGCTGCTAGAACCATTCAGATGACATCACGACTTGGAGAATGTCATTTGTAACCTGCGTCATCTGTCACAGGCCCTTGTCACTTGTCGTTCACTTTCACGTTAGATGCATTTTAAAACGTCAAATCCGACAAACGTCAGACCCCCGCACAAGGTTGCCGGTTCACTTCTACGTGATTGGTTGTAGGTTTGTGACGTATTTAGACTGAAGCGTTTCAAATTCGGATTAAAAACGCGGCTTTTCAATAATTTACTTGGTTTTATTTTATTAATTCTCTGTACTTCTGCGTTATGATTAATTAAAGTTTACTAAACTAAAGACATGTGAATTTAACTAAATATTGTGCCACCTCAAAATACACAACACGGGCATACTGCTATTATGGGTAATAAAATGGTCTCTTATAAGGCCCCAAGCGATATGTAGTTTTGCGCAGGGAACAGTGGGAAATGATAAGAAGGCCATTTTGAAAGAATGACAGGGAGAACATCTCCGGTCAGAGATAAGCCAAAGTTCTACTAATTGTACCCTCCATCCAAAGAGCTAAAGACCTGCTAAAGTATAGTAGGAATGAAATGCCAGGAGAGAGAAGAAACTGGTACTGTGAAGCAACCAGAAAATCATACACTTTGTTTTTAAATAGATTTTTTAAATGTTTTTTGACATATATGTCTATAGAATCTGGCGAATTTGATTTCAAATGGACACAATTTAAAAAAATTGTTGAATATAGTCATTTTAATGATAGTTTCTTATTGTAAATTTTGTCAGTAACTGTTTAATCCATTTAATTCTTTTTCTTGTATTTAGTTTGTATGATAAGATTGAAACGCATAACGTTTAACCTGGTCAGGTGTTAGTAGAAAGGTCTTATTGGACAAAAATTAATTGGTTTTGCGAGAAATAATGCCACGTGCAAGATAAGCAATGCAGGTGTCTCGAATAATGGTGGCAGTACAGCGAGTGTGGAACAACGATATTGAATTTATCAGTAGAGGTGGTTTTTCTTTTAAATAGGAAAAACGAAAAATACCTACGTCCGACTTACGGTGGTATGTACACCTCGACAGTGCTATCAGACAGCAATTTACGCGCGAAATCTTGCAAAAGTATTCCCGCCTTTAGATAGCGCTCATGAAGCGCTTTGTCTGGTGAATGGCATCCATTGATGACGTGCAATAATCGATACTTGTGAGAAACTTGACGCGGTTGACACAGGTTGCACAAATCTTATCATAGGTCTCGTCATAGGTATACTATCCATAAAGACGATACGCATTTATGAAGTGGTAGGACTACACAGACCAGTGGCGTACGTAGAAATTTATTCTGGGGGGGGGGGGGGGGGGATTAAACAAGTTCGTGGCACATACAGCCAGTGCGTAATTTTTTTTTCTGGGCAAAAAAAGGCAGTTATTACCTTCCTTTTTTCCCAAAAATCGACTGCACCAAAATTTCTCGGGAAAAAAATTTTTCTTATTAATTTGGGTGCGTAGAATTATTTTTTTATTTTAAAGTGGGCGGAGCGGATAGCGGAGTATTACCTAAATACCTAATAGCTATGATGATAACTCCATTCTTCTGGGGGGGGGGATATATCCCCTTCATCCCCCCCGTAAATACGCCACTGACACAGACCCCATTACTTTTAGGAGAGGTGGATATAAGAATATGAGGAAGAGGAAAAGGAAGAGATGTCCACTATTATATCAATACATGCTACAATGTGCTACCCAATACATTGAGAGATCTGGAAGAGAGGGAGTTCAGCGCCAAGATGAAAGTATATTGATCAGCAACGCATTCTACAGTATTGAAGACTTCTGCAAGTTTAATTTTAACAATGTAGTATATGAGCTATATTTGCATTTTCTATCTTACTTTGACGTGTGGAAGAACATGCATATGTCTATATACACCACCAATTATTATTATTATTATTATTATTATTATGTCCTACTGCATTTGCCTACAACTATATTTTTATTTATTACACATTAAAAAAAATCGCCAAAGGTTTGTGGGGGGGGGGGTCATGACCTCCCCCTTGTATCCGCCCCTGATTACTTTATTGAGTGATAAAGCAGAGTTACCCCACTGACGTAACGAACGCATGTACCTACAGAACGGTTGGCAACACTCTCGCGCAGCCAAGGGTGGCGACTTGTACAAATTAGTAAAGCGGCCACTTATATCAAGTCTTTTATACATCCTTAACAAAAGAAAACATAACTATGCAACTGGAATTGCTTGCTTGCTATCTACAGTACCCCCCCCCCCTGATATTGTTTCGTGGTCTCTTGTAATACAAAAAATTTTCAAATTGAATTTTGATCTGAGGATCAGTCCTGCTAGGTTGGAAACTACTTTGTGACATACTTTTAGTTTCAAAAAATGAAGGGTGCCTTTGAAAATTCCAAAAAACGTTTTTTTTCACTACTAGCGTCTGATGACATGATTATTAACCTTTTTTCCACTTGTAAAGTAGGCTTTCTCGGCATTTGTTCAAAGTGGTTAATAATTTTTTATTATTAACTAGTAGTCAATAATGAGAACTGTCACGCTGTCGCTTTTAGAAAACACAACCCGAAATTTCGCTCAATGAACGTTTAGACAAGTTCTCTAAAACGAATAATTGCCACCATTCGCAATTTCCAGAGAAATTACATACCTAAAATTATCACATTTTGAAAAAATTCGAACGAAATTACTCTTTGAAAAATCTCAATGAACAAAATACGGCCTATTTGACTTGTACTTCCACGTACTTGATTGACATGTTAAATTAATAAACAAAAATTCTGTCCAACCGTTAACTCTCTTATCAATATAATATGTTAATTTAGAGGATTTCAAGTGCTAGTAGTGAAAAAAATAGTATATATACCACGGTAGAGAAGTCTATTATTGCCTTCGCACCTTACCCCCCTCGGCGCAAGCGCCTCGAGATGTAATCTTGGTGCTCAGGCAATAATACTGGACTTCTCTACCTTGATATATAATGTACTATTTCAATACCAGTCAGGGGCTCTTTGGGGACGAGATACGCACAAATGCCTACTCTGATTTGTTTGTTTTTATTTTTCCGATCTGTAGAAATCCGTAGAAAGAAGTAATGACTGTTAGCAAATTTGAAGCCGATAGGAACACTTCGATAATGAATTCTATTTTTACTTATTACATTAAATATTTTAAATAAAATACCGAAGTGTTCCTATCGGCTTCAAATTTACTACACAGTCATTACACTCGTTACATTTTATTTGGAACAGTTTTTTCCGGATTTTTGGACATAAAGGATCAAAATTCACAAATCTCTGTATGATAGGGGTTACCATTGGAGAAGTGCAAGCACCTCCAAAGCCACATTGTCGATGCTCCTACCACAGATAATATTAATGAGAGATGTATAGTTTTGACTGTATGGCAATGACAATTGCGGTTTGTTCCGAAAACTTACAATTGTTTCTTGTTTTAAACTCGGGACTCCTCCATCAAAAATAACGACGGGTTTGATTCCAAAAAAGAGTAATTTACAAATTCGGTAATAAATTCCCAAAAGATGAGCATTGGGTAGCGTTCCGCCTTGCGCGTTTTGAAATCCCTTAATCGCCTGATGCAACCAAATGGACACATCTAAAAAGTGAGGTTAAGGAAAAGAAAACAATCGAGCGATCATCCGTAGCACGCAGCGATAAAAGGATACCCACCGCTAGAACCTTATTATCGAGCGTCTGCAATGGTACTGGTTGTCCAGAAGGCTCAATGAGCCTCCAAAGACCAGTTACCCCCATTAACGGAAGTAATCACAGCTAAAATAGGAAGAGCAAGGCAAAATTCTCACGCTGTCAAGCTCTCAGGGACAAGGACGAATATAAACTAGTACATTCATCCTTCTTATTTTGGTGTTAATTCCCACGGAAAGACGCGAGAATCATCAAATCAGAGGAAAATATTATGTTAACGCAGTCTGAATTACATCGGCTGTATCAAATGTTTGAGCTGAGAATCGCCGAGGCCACCCACTCTTTCCCACACGATGATTTTCCCACGCCCTGGCTATAACCCCAACATCCTTTAGCGGCACGGCACTATACGATACGGTGCGGAACGGGGAGAATAAAAGTACAGTTCATCACAATAATTGCGCTACCAATATAATGATGGATGCGCGTTAATTAAATTTAGGTAAAAAATTCGGGGAATGTCCCCCGATCGCGGTTTTCGGTAAACGCTATTGGCGATGTTGTCGATTAGTTGGATTAATTAAGATCGACGTCTCCGATAAAAATGATAACACAGTTTAATGGTGTAACGTTGGTCGAACTGTCGGAAAATTCATATCGCGAACAGGTGTTTTGGAATGAAATGAGGTAGCATTCGAGAGAGGGGACCAAACAGCAGTCGTTCTCACGTATTCCGGTAGCTCTGGCGCGTTTCGCTAGAAATCCTCAGTCAGTACTTAGTCTGATTCGGCGGCATCTACTTCCAAAACAATTCAATCCTAAATGAACCGGTAGCTTTTCACTCATAACCATAAAAAATGCAAACATGTGAAATTGTAAACAGTCAGTGCAGGACCCGGGGAGTGCAGTGTTGGATTTAAACCAAATTTTCAGCATGCCTCACCAATACGGCCTCCCGGGAATCGCTCACGCACAGTCGCCTCCGACACCACCCCCTCAACATGGGGCAATGTATTCCAGATTCACCGGTGCGGTCGTACCGGGCGGCTACCGAGGCGAAGGCCGGAAACTTACACGGGAAGCGATGGAACGTTACCTCAGGGAAAGATCCGACATGGTCGTAGTCATTCTGCACGCCAAGGTAGCCCAAAAGTCCTACGGCAATGAGAAACGATTCTTCTGCCCACCACCCTGTATATACCTATTCGGAGACGGCTGGCGGCTGAGACAGGAACAGATGCTACGCGAGGGCGAATCCGAGCAGGCGGCACAGCTCTGCGCCTTCATCGGCATCGGCAATTCCGACCAAGACATGCAACAGCTCGACTTAAACAACGGCAAGCAGTATTGTGCAGCGAAAACCCTATACATCTCCGACTCGGATAAACGTAAGCACTTCATGTTGTCGGTGAAAATGTTTTACGGCTCCGGACACGATATCGGCGTATTCCATAGTAAACGTATAAAAGTTATTTCGAAACCTTCTAAGAAAAAACAGTCATTAAAAAACGCTGATCTGTGTATAGCCAGTGGCACGAAAGTTGCACTGTTTAATCGATTAAGATCACAGACAGTGTCGACCAGATATTTGCACGTCGAAAACGGACATTTCCATGCCAGTTCTACGCAATGGGGCGCTTTCACAATTCACTTATTGGACGATAACGAGTCGGAAAGTGAAGAGTTTCAGGTTCGAGACGGATACATTCATTATGGGGCCACTGTCAAATTGGTTTGCTCCGTTACCGGAATGGCGTTACCACGATTAATTATTCGAAAGGTACGTTTGCTGGAGGGTTGTGAATTTTTATTGTTTTGAGAACCACTCTACTGGCACTGATAAAACGCTCTCACTAATTTTTAAACGAGCTTTTTATGCAAAATCCGAGGCAAAATCTGACTATGAAAAGGTTTTTATGCTTTGAAGGGCGAAGGGTCCAATCTGAGAGTTGCTTAATGACATTAGTGGATCATTCGACCATGAGAATAGTTACCATATAAGACCACAATGCATGGCTAATTATCCTGGTAGGAAGCCATACTTTTGCATATTTATATAATTCTCCAAGTTACCATATTCCGTTGCAATCTTGTTTGCAATACAGTTTAATAAGGTACCTAGTACCCTCAGTAATAACAATGAAATGAGTATAACAAGGACAGCAATAGATAATATCTGTCGTCCATACATGCCAATTGCCTTTTGTGAGTACTCTCCTCTGACACTACATTCTCACCGCCAAGTATGCCCCCTAGGTGGTTATATGTTAATGAAAACCGCATTACGATATCTCTCTCTGTTTCTCAGTTATCAAGTTCAAAAGAATAATAGATTACAATTGTTTACAGGGTGTCTGAAACATATTTTGTTTTCTGTTGGGGGGGGGGGGGGGGGGGGCTAACTTTAGGGACTCGATGTCTCAGATAAATTTTAAATAAAAATTGAGTCTGACCAGTGAGTGGAGGTAAGGCCTGAATAATAACGTCATCAAATAAATTTTTCCCAAAAACATACCAAAATTGTTTGTTGTTTCAGAACAATTTGTTTTAGTTAAAAAATTACAAAGGTCCTAAAAATGCCTTAAAAATTACTACTTCGGCAATAATAAAAATGTTGCGTAGTTGTTCACAATTCGTACCAATGAATTTTCCAGGTAGGTAGGGCCTTATTTGCAAACAGGGTTGCCAGATTCCGTATGGCCGTCTGCCGGAGACATAGGCTGCATGAGAGACATAAATCTACATTGCGAACACCCTGGTATAAGTAAACAAATAAAACAAACTATACATTCTTGCAATATAAGTAATATAAGGGTAAATCGAGGGGTAAATACAGTGCACTTAATTTAATAAATGAAACATAAACATCGAGGTAAACATCAACATCGCTGTTTATACACAAATAGTCAAAACAAGAAAGTTAAACATATTTTTCTGATTTTCTTGCAAGTGTTAGTAGTTTTTTGTTTTTTAATACAAAATCATAGAAATCCTATTTGTGATTTTGTCATATTTAAAAATTAAGGTGTTATTAGGTGCTTAAAAAGGAATCGTTTGATCTACTTTGAAAAGTATTAAATTGAAATTTATTGTTCTGCTGGAGTTATAGTCGCGCCTGCTGGGGGCCGGAGAGCACAATGTAAAACCTGAGACTTCGGCTGAATGCCTGACATCTGGCAACCCTGTTTGCAAACAAGAAGAAAGATTTCACCCTAAGGCGCATTTTCCATGTACAGATTAGTACTTTCCGAGAGGCTATATGCACATAAGGAAGACACAAGCATGTTTGTGGTTAAAGCGTCGTTAATATCTCAATCTCATTACCTCTTCATAAACAGGAAAAGTTGACGCTGCGCAGGTACGTATTTGAGTTTAATCACGGGCGCTACGTTTGCTTTGGTTAGAAGCTTCTTTAGTTAAAATTTCAAAAAAAAAATCTTGGTATTATCGAGCCCGCACATGCGCGGGTTCGATTTTCACTAGTTATATGCGCTACGTTTGCTTTTATTAAAACGAGTTACTGTTTTAAATGAAAGATGGCATTTTGCAATCTGCGCATGCGCACATCTGATTTTTAATTCCCCTGATGTTTGCCTTTACTAGAAACATCTATAGTAAGCATTTCAAAAACATACCCCTAGTAGTACGAAAGTTGCGCAGTCAGAGAATGCGCACATTTGATGTTTGTCTTTACTGATAGCTGCTCTGGCTAAAATTGTAAAAAAAAACGCTCGAAAATACCTCTAACTAAGAAAGTTATCATTGTGCACATGTGATTTTACTCTCTACTTCTTGTTTATCTCTATTAGAAGTATCTGTAGTTAAAACTTGAGTTAAAATGTCAAAAAATATCTAAGAAAATTGACTTAAGTAGTAGCCTGCGTATGCGCATATTTGGATTTTACTATTGTGTAATGTTTGCTTTTAAAAAACGCACCTGTGGTAAACATTAAAAAAGATTATTCCGTAAATATTGTAGTCTGCGCATGCGCATATATATACAATATGTTTGTCTCGAGGTTTGTCTATACTAGAAGCGTCTATGGCGAAAATTTCAGTAAAATATTTCCATAAATACGAAATATTAAAAATCATGATCAGTATCAAAGCGTTTGGCGACTTATGTTGATATGAACTTCGAGAACTTTCAATGATAAAATAAGCCAAAGAATTAGCACTTTCTGTATTTACGTCACGTTTATGTGCCCCATTTTCGATACTGTAGGATATCTCCGTAATTGTTGTGCTAGCAATCATATAGGCGCGATGCGAGGCGCGATGTGCTCTTGATGGGTCAAAATGGTAAAATCAAAATTGTACAATATTCGCTCGCTATAGAGATATGGGGGACAATCTAAAATTGTTCAGAATGACCCTATAAGTATTTTTTTTAATTAAAAGAGATTCAGAAAAATGTTTATTACAAATGTTTCTTTATACTTAATGATTGTTGACCTGCCGTTTTCCAAATCAGGTCAGGTAAAAAAGTTATCGGGCCTAACCTCATTTTTTTAATAAACCATTCTGTATATTTAATCGCAAAAGATACCATATTAAATTTTTTCTTGAAAAATACCAGCGATAGTATTAAAAAAGATTCAAGTTATTCAAAAAATTCAACAAGATTAAAAAAGGTTCAAATATGTAATTCGAAAAATACAAGAAAGTTGAAAAATGATTTTGAATTTTTAATATTTTTATTATTTTTTCGAGAATTTTTTTAAATCAATATTGAAATTTTTAGCGTCATATTTTTGAAATTTACACTAATTTTTGCAAAAAAAAAACAGTACCTAAGGTTTTTTGCAAACAAACACTTGTAAGTAGATAAATTAGTAAGAAGCTAAAACTAATGACAAGCTAGTTTGGATCTGGGGAGACAGGTATAGAGTCTTGGCTAGAGTATGTACCTCGGTATGTGCTGAAGAATCACAGCACAGCAGTAGTGAAGTGATCTCTCTGCAAATTTTTGTGTTAACTTCTTACTAACATAGAAGTTCCACATTTTTGGATACTGCAGAGGTCTTTCTGTGTATACTTGTCCCATTCTTATTGGTTAACACCGAGGTTAACACTATGTAGTATTTAATTAAATGGTTATTATTTTTCGCATGGAATTTTAAGTTCAAGATTCTAATAATGAGCAAATTACTAAAAGTTATTGTTCTTAAAAATTGTACTTTAAACAGTGAAATAATAACCTTATTATATACATAATAATACCAAAAGTAATAATTTTGATGTTATTGTTTAATTGTTTTAAGTGTTTTAATAACAACGTGGTGCCTTTTGTCTCTAAAACTGTGTAATGTCATCGCCTCACTTTTATTGTACTATTTGAATGTAGTCTAACCTGCAAACGTTATAGAAGTTACGAGATTTGCAAAAACGATATTCTCCGGTTGTTTCAAACACAGTACCTCCGCACATTGGATTCAGTGGACCTAACTAATCTGCCTGTCTACGATAAAATGTTGCTCCTAGACCATCCATCCACTTTGTATTTTTTGCTAGCTTTATTATGTCCCCTATCACGCAATGTACAAAAGTTTTTATAATTATTTTCATTTAAAGAGGAGAGAATGGATTTGCTCATATATTGTAGGCCATACATCCTCAATTTTCAGTGTATCCTCTCAGATATTCGGAGTCTGGGCCTATTATTCCTTGTTGAACTTTAATGTATTTTATCTACAGGATGTTTTCATGCGGTCCTCCACATTTGACAACATTCAAAGTACTATAGCCTAATCTACTAAAGCAAATGTCTTTTTTGAAATATCAACGAGATCCTATTACTTGCATAATATTTTTTTAAGTAATTGAAATTTGTTCTCTTAAAATGCCCACTGTACAAGAGTAAATGAATCCCAATAAAAGTGCATTAAAAAGTTGCTCTTCAGTTTATCTAACTTAATACAAGATGGAAGAAAATTGCTTTATTCTGTTTTTCTGTTTCAGATCGCATTTCTAAACATAATTTAAAACACATTGTGTAAATAATTCCCAGAATTGTCGTTTCAGCGGGGTTTCTTTAATTTAAACAATAAAATTAACAAACAATTTCCTACATATGTTGGTATAAGATCAGAATAACTATTCCGTGAGAAATAATTTATAAAAGTTTTTTTCAACTGACATATAAAATCTGGCGTAAAGTAACATGTGGGAATAATAACGAAACTTTATAACTACTTCAAAAGCTACGTTTTTCCGTAAAGTGTGAGTGCTAAGGTCATTTTTTTTGTATTTTCTTTTATTTATAATCGGTGGTTTGCACAACATTTTTTTGATGTCGTGGGGTTTTTATAAATTTATACAATTAATTTATTTCAAAAGATTCCTAGTACGCCCATTTTGCCGTGGATTTTTTTCGAATCTTGCTGTTGAAATATTATTTTCTTTCATTTTGCTGTTACACTTTCCTTCAATTGGTTTCCATTGCATTTTATATTAATCCTATCGTTCTGACTATTTGTTCACAATATTTTTTTTACTTTTTCTGGTGGATATTTTGCGCTTATTAAGGAATTGAATTGAATTGAAAAACAATGGTGGCATAAGTATATACAGGGTCTCGTACAGGGTATAACAATTAGGTAGGTATTTAAAAATATTGGGTGGTCTTTGAGACCAAAACAAACATTTTTTTCCAAATAAACCGAGGGTGCAAAATGTTTTACCTTCAAAAGCGTTTCTGAAAGCACTGTAACTGTTGTGGCCATTGAGATATCAAACACATAAAGAAGCCATCCAGAAACGTGACGTGTTTTTACTTTTTGTTTATTCCAAAATTATGGTTTCTTCTTTAGTTTTTTTTTCAACCACCAGACTGATTGAAGGATAAATCTAGCGACGGATCCTGGATTTTTTTCCTGCATTTAAAATGTTGTACTCCTAACGAACTCCAGGCGAGTATTTGGGAATGAAAAATAACGATTCTAAAATTAGTTTTTGAAAGTTTGGAAGAAAATTCCAACTTGAATTCTTCTCTGAGCAACAAAATGGCCAGAATTTCATGAAATTTGCTTCAGTTTGGTTCCCTCCATCACCTAAATTGTTTTGCCCATCGTCATCATGACATTCTCTATAAGCTCTTCATGCGGCGTAGGTCCATGGCTTGGTAAGTGTTCGGGGCTTCTAGTTCTTGTCTATACATTTTCCCCAGTTCTGTTTTGGTTTTCTTCTTTTTGTACCTCTTTCTGTATTTCCTTATCTTTTTACTATTCTTTCTTGAGGGTCCTAATCTGTTATTATCTTCTTTATTGTATTTTCTTGATATACTTGTTCGTTTTTCTGCTTCTTCCGTCTCTAGTCCTCCCCTCGTTTTGATTTTCCATACTCTGGGTGCAAAAAACTAATAGGAATTTTCTGTTTTTTTCTTCTGTGCTTGTATCTCGGCTTGTGTTCAAGTAATTTTAAACCAATTTTTGATTCATCTTTTGTTTTTGCTTGCCTTTTCATAGTCTCCCTCGTCCTTATGCTATTACTTTCCTTAATTCCTATTAAATTTTTTTTCTTTTATATTTTGATCTTCTTCTAATTCGGAAATTAATTTGATGTCGCTGTTTTTCATGTCATTTTCAATATTCTTAATTGTATTTTGCAAATTGTCGTTTCTTGTTTTTTTTTGTTTTTTTCCTGTTGTTTACGAGGTTGTTTAGTTCTTCACTTATTCCTTATTATTTCTTCTGCATTCTTTTTCAATTTCTATTAATGCTTGAATGCGTGGGCAGTCTATATGATTGTTAATTAACTTATAAAGAAAAATTAAGCTAGCATTCTTTTTTGACCAAGATGTGTCAAAATCGTTATTTGTGTCCCAAGTTCGGCGGGACAAATGTTTATTTGTTGATAGTTTTGCAAGTAGTTTCGTGTACATATTTGTCTGTTTGCCTAAATTGTGGAAAATGCGCTTTAGTAGGCTACCTACATTTCACATTTCTTTATAAAGTGCACGTGCTTCCCTTCTACATTCTGGGTTACGATAGGAGGGTGGGCTAGGTCCCCGCGTACCTAGGATCAAATTCGGGCCCTGACTAGAGCCGTTCGACCCCTCAACGTCGACTTGCACGGCACAAATACGAGGGTGTTGTCTTTAGTTTGGATTCTCACTTGGGGCTGTCATACGCTGGGTCAAGCCTGGTGTTACACGGCCCGTTGATCACTGAACCACAAGGCCCAATACTTAGAGGGGTATATTTCCCTTACAAAAATTTGTGTCTTTGAATAAATCCCACAGTCATTCTTTTGTTCTTCTTTTTTACTTCATTAATTTAAATTCGTTGCCACTTTTCCCCTAATCTATTAATCATTCTTGGTACCAAACACAAGGCTGTTCTCTGTGACTCGTTGGTTCTGTCACGATTTAACTATTGCGATGTTTTGTATGGTCCATGTTTGTTAGCTAAAGACCGTGACAGAATTCAGCGAGTACAGAACTCGTGCTTACGTTTCGTGTTCGGTATCAGGAAATATGACAGAATTTCGCACACCTTATCTCGACTTGGTTGGTTGAATATGTTGGAAAGTAGGCGACTGCATGCTTCGTCACTTTTTAGAAAAGTTTTAACTCATAAGATACCACCGTACCTGTACGATAAAATCACCTTCCGGACCGATGTGCATCATTTAAATCTGAGGCACAGGGGTTTAGCTTCCATCCCTATACACAATTTAGCAATGTTTCAACGCTCTTTTTTATTTAACATCTGCAAATTCTGTAATAATTCGGTGTACAGACAGTTATTGCCCCTGTCCGAAGATGCCTTTAAACGGAAAATTAAAAAATTATTAATCAAGAGCGAAATTTAACATAATTTAACATAATTTTATTATTGTTTTGTTTTTTTGTTTTTGTTTTTCTTTCCTTTGTTGGTAGGTAGTTACTTAGTAGATTTGTGCTTGTTTTCAATCAAAATTGAACTGCTAATTGTTTTATTTCGTAGAATCTATGTGTATAAATATATTCTTTATGTGTCTAGGGGTACAGGGGGAAGAACAGGTAACCTACTGGTTTATCTGACCCTGAACCTATTGGTTATGGTGTAGGAACCATTTTTTTTTCCTAATCAATAAAATCCATTATTATTATTATTATTATTCATTTCTTGATTTTCTGCTTTTCAACTGCTTTATTGCGAAAAATCCGACATGACCTTAATAAAAAATTCGCAACTTCTTTATTTGTTGAGATATCGACGTGAGGTCTTTTTTTCTTAGACAGAGGAAGGATTGGAGCGTCTAGTGTAAAATTAGGGCCATCTGACACTATGGGAAAAACCCTACCGTAAAGTTGAGGTTACTATGTTCTCAGGACGCCAGTATTGTTGATAGAGGCGTTGAAATGAAAAGACCTGCACTTTATTCGCCGAATTTGAAAGTTGTGTTACCGTCAAAGGTGCTAACACTAATTTCAAAATTAACTTACACTCCCAATTTTTTTTTAATAAAGGACAATTTAATAAAGCGCTCTTACCTACACCGCAGATGTCTGTTATCCCAAATTGAATTAAAGCTATTATTTTGCACCGACCAGCGAGTGCCCAATTATAATTTAAGTTTCCTTTGCTTAAAGGTGGATAAGCAGCAAGCGTTGCTGGAAGCGGACGATCCTGTTTCTCAGCTACACAAATGCGCTTTCTTCATGAAGGACACGGAACGTATGTACTTGTGCCTCTCCCAAGAACGAATCATTCAATTCCAAGCGACCCCATGTCCCAAGGAACCGAACAAGGAGATGATCAACGACGGTGCGTGTTGGACCATCATTTCCACCGACAAGGCGGAGTACCAATTTTACGAAGGTATGGGTCCGGTGCGAAACCCGGTAACCCCCGTGCCGTTAGTTCACAGCCTCCACTTAAACGGAGGGGGCGACGTTGCCATGTTAGAGTTAACCGGTGATAATTTCTCGCCGTCTCTGCAAGTCTGGTTCGGGGACGTCGAGGCGGAGACGATGTACAGATGTCAGGAGTCGATGCTGTGCGTTGTGCCCGATATTTCGCAATTTCGCGGCGAGTGGTTGTGGGTTCGGCAACCCACGCAGGTACCCGTTTCGTTAGTGAGGAATGACGGAATTATATACGCTACGGGATTGACGTTTACATATACGCCCGAGCCGGGTCCTAGGCCTCATTGTCCGCCGGCGGATGAGATTATGCATCGACCAGGTCGTGGTAATGCGGCGCCTACTGCTGCTGTCACCATGACTCAGTCCGATACGTCTGTTTGGAATCAAGCAGGCATGCACTAATTTTAATAGAGTAACATACTATACAAGAAAAACTTGCCGTATTGACATCTTCGTCACATTAAATGTGAGTGCTTTTAATTCTATCTTTGTTTTTGTCAAAATGAATCGTGTGATAATGAATAAGGAGTAATTTATCTAAAGAATGAAGATAGCACACTGAAATAAAGTGGTTTTTCTTGTATTGTATGTGATTTTACTTATTTTGGTAGTTCCAAAAAGAAGTCCGCTCAAGTAGGAATGACTACTGGGATTATCTCGCTAAATCGTATCACTACCAAAGTATTTACTGATCTGGCAATTAAGCTAACAGCCCGAAAATAAGCGAAAGCCTGCTTCGTTTTATTTCCGATCGTTGTAATTGAATCTGCTCAAAAGTTTTAGAATGTAATCGTCTTTTTAATTGTAATTTCTTGTAATTTTCGAATATATTCGCAGCGGTATTATTTTTGTAAAATTTTTAGTAACTCAAAAGGAACAATGATCTTTTAGTAGTGAGATTTTTGCAAGTGCAATTTAAAAGTATTTTTATCTAAAATTTGCCCTATAGGAATTACAAGTCAATTTCTGCATTTACATTGCTAGTATGTGTATTAATTGTTCAACAAATTTTTCGAATGTATTATAAGTTCTTCACTTGTGCCCTTTAGTCATGGTATTTTTAACTGAGACCAAAGTTGAACGCTAGAAGGTTTTGTGTTAGTTGTGTGTGTCCTCCAGTTGTTTGTATAAATCAAAATGTGGATATGTTAGAAGCGTGCTTGTAGAGTATGCTGTATGCACAACGAAAAGTTCTATATTTAGAAGACTTGTATATAATTAATTTAAGTATATAAAGATATATATGACATATCTGTACATGACACATTTTGTAGAAATATAAAGAATTCCTTATACATTCTCTCTGTATTTTTGTTTTCAGAAAAAAAGAGTTGCAAAAGACAAAGATTAAGTGGCAGTGATTAGAGAATAAAAAATGAGGAAGTGGATTTTCACATTCATTCCAAATGTTCTCACAGTCTTCTCATTAAATTTGCGTTATAACATGATTACTTATACTATATTGTGGGAATTCTGGAACACAATACAATTATATGTAATAATTAGGACTTCTACTGTATATTAATCAGAACACTTTTTCTCAAGAGTTAATATGCAGTAAAAGCGTTAAGCGTAATTGAATGTAACGTGGGAAAAGGAACTAACTAAATTATTTCGTAATTACTGGTACCAAATACCTATGACAGTTTGCAACTCAGTTGTTTTTCACCTTTGAATCTTATCGATAGACTTTGTGATGGTGAAGCTGAGCTGCTGCGCAATTCGGCAAGGTTTTATCGGATTAAAAACAATTCATTATTTAAAATTTAATTGAAACATGGGAAATAATATACGTGTACTTATCATCACAAATGAATGAGCTATTTTCCCAGGCTATTATATTCATATTAATTACGGCTTTATTTTTCTTAAAATTATGCATCATTAAAGCTCTTACATCCTAATGTATGACTTTAAATACCTATATTTTTCTAATGGAAGTGGTGACGTGAGTATCTGAAACAAGTCTTATTGGAGGGAATTGTCATCAGAACTCATAAGAAGCTGCAAGGCCAATAAGTTTTTATTTGTAAGATTTTTAGGTAGGTTTGTAGACTTGGGACTCGTATGCAATAAAATGTCTACCTAGAAAGTCGCAGCATGGCAGTATATCAATACATATTCCCCATCCACATTCAAAGAGCATCACTACACATCGAAAGTGCTAACAAATAACAACATACAATCCTTACTATTCGTTTCTCAATAATTTAATACGCCCCGATTTTGGAGAGCGATACCCATGCAAAACATGCTTAAATTCACTAGATTTTTTCTGAATTTTAGAGGCAAGACTATGGTCCAAGTTTTATTTTTTGGTAATTCTTCTTCTGTTGGATCTTGATCATGCTGTAAATGCTTCAGACATTCCTTTGGGCGATCAAAACAAAGAACAAATTAGAGATTCCCCTTCTGAGGTCCATTCACTTACCTAGTAGCGATACCAAATAGAGCTTAGGAAAAATTTGACCTTTCGCTGGCTCCCAGATTATAATTAAGGTCAGTCACGCACTAGACAGCCAAGCTGCGGTATTAACCAATCCCACACATTAATGCTCATACACTAGGCGGGCTCAAATGAGTAATCGTGTGTGGGATTGGCTGCCGCTAGTGCATGTCTGGCCTTAGCGATTAGCAATTTTCATATAATTTAAATTTAGATTGAAGAATTCTGAGAAAAAATATCAGAATAAAACCTTTTCGAAACTTTCAGGAACAAAACTCGCTAAAACGCTCTGTCAAAAATAAGCAGCGCAGGTGGAAGAAGTGGCTGCATTAGTAAGCGACGCCATAACAGCGTCATCGTGATGACTCTGTAAACTGCGGACCTTTCGAGGAACAAAGAGAACACCTTGGTGGAACTTAGACCTTGAAAAGTTTGAATGGAGGTAATTCACAGGCTCTTTAATAGGGCGATGCGAACTAAGCCGCCAGCGAACTTGGAACACCTCAAGATAGCTCAGCGCAGGTAGGTATAAGGATCATATTCGAAGGTCTAAGCGAGAATCATGTGGGGGATCTTCTGTGGCACCAGCGAGGGTCTTCCTGAAGTTCAAAAACTTTGGAAGATCCTTTTCAAAGATCCAGTGCAAGCAGGGCACTGAGGCTTTCATGCGGCAGATATACGTGTACCGTGGATGAGGCTCTCACACTTTCCAGGCTCTGGGGACTACGTAACCTCGAACCCACCGAAGGGAGCTCTCCATGACAGTGTAACGCTGATCGACTGAAAAGTAACTGCCCTGGCTGCTCTTACATTTGTTGCACCTATTTAGAGTGAGTCTCCCTGAATTTAGGGTAGATCCCCGAAAGCTAGAGAAAGGTAAGAGTTGTGTACCCACCTAAGCCAGGTCGTGCCAATGGTGAAGGATTACAGATCCATCAGCTGATCGTAGTTTCTTCTGAAACATCAGTGGAGAAGCTGATGGTGGACGCATACGTCAGGAATGGGATACTGGTCCTTAGACCACGACATACATTCCAACATGTAGGTAGTATCTCCAGTATCCTGTGCAGGCTAGAGTAGGGTAAGATGGATCCGCGCCATGCTCGAAAGCAGGGGCGCATTATATCCCCAATCGGGACGGCCGAGATGAGCTCCTTGGTTACTAGAGGATGTCTCCGCTGTTTATTTTGGCAATTATGTAGTCACTATATTTAAATGCAACGGAATATAGGTATATCTTTTAATTAATTGTCCGTAATTTCCATATATTAAACAATAGCAATAAACAGAACTGCGCCGTTGCCGTATAATTAAACAATTAATTGAGAAGGGTATTATTTCTTTAACAAACAGTCGGAGATTTATCTTATAATGCTAAGATTTGTCTACTCAATCCTTTATTAGGTACTATTTTAAGGAAGGAAAATCTTTTTGTAACTTAAATTTTCACTTATTTATTTACAAACCATTTAAGGGCCACCTCTTTCATGCTCAGTTATAATTCGTGGTAATCATGCAGATAAATATCGCAAGTAACAGTTAATGTTCGATCATTTGTAGCCCCAGAAACTCACTAATGGTTATAGCTTAATGATTTGATAAATCGGGATTCGGGCATTTTCCAACTCATGTTGGAAGGCGCTATTGTGGCAATTTTCTCCGCTCGTCCAAGGCCTGACCTACTCCTACAGTTAAGATTGTTAGTTCGTCCCTTTTGCATTACGTAGCTTATATAGTCTGCCACCCCATAACCAAGAAAAATCTTTAGGATTAATGCGCGCGTGCGCAATGTCAACATTCTTAATTAAATATATTATTTTGAAATTTTAACCACAAATGCTTCTAGTAAAATCCAGTAGGTCGCATCTTTTAAACATCAGTTGTGCGCATGCGTAAACAGCGCAACGCTAAGTTTATGCTTAACTTATTTTCGATTGTACACATAAATAGACCTTTATATGCGACCTTTTGGGAAGAACTGATTAATACATGGAAAATAGGCTAAAGGTATTCGCCCGAAGGAGGCGAAAACCTTTTTTTAAATTATACAACAGATGATTATACCATTCAAAAGTTTAAATAGGCTTAAAAGTTAAAATTCCAATATTACAAGTCATCCACAGTTTGTATGGATCTTTGATCCCGTATGTTCTAAGAAACCGAAAATGACGCATTGTTATTTCAGTCGCTACTCATTTGATATGACAAGTAGGTACACAAAAAATAGAGAAACACAAAGAGGAGATTCTTTCAAAAACCTTTAATCATTTTTACTTCTATACCTGTACATTTTTTACAATATAAAAAAAATCTATGTGTATGTGTGATGTTTCTCCTTAGTAAATTTTTTAAATACAGAAATGACTAGAATTTCCTCTAGCTCTTCAAGTGAATCGACTAAAATTCTACTCATTTTGTATACCTAATTACATTCCTTAGAAAAGAGAAAAGGAATTAAATTACTTACTGAAAATAATCTCATGAATTTATTTAAATAACAATTATAAAAATATATCGCTAGAAAATGGACGGATTCCTTAACCCTATAAGTACAATATATCATGTTTTCGTTTAAATTATTTATAGTAGATATAATTAATTTACAATTGAACAACGTAACGGGATCTATTTTATCCTCATACTTCTTTGTTTATTCATGTTTGTGAGCATAAGCGAGATGTAGGACGTTAACAAGTCGTCCATTTTGTATCCTAATGATGTTTCACAAAGCAACTTCGAGCCTCTGACTAAGTTGCCTATTGTCATATGGAAGTATGTGTTGCCGGAAGACCAATTGGATATTCTTGTGAATGGATGGGTCACCAGTATTTCCTACAAAATAAAAATTATTCGATTTATTGCAGATTCGCTCACTTTTCACTACAACTCATTTGAAATTTTGAGGGTGTGGCCTTTTTCAGGCTAGCGCAGGAAAAGTGTTCCCGATCCCTTTGATTCTTTCCGTGCACTGAACAATTAAAAATGTCCAATATATGGCTTTAAAGTAGACATTTAAAAAAATCTATATGGTATATCTCCCTCCTCCCATAAGAAATACATTGCGCTTATGGAGATTTACATTGAGCTAGAACTGTCCTTTATTTAACTATAGGTACTGAAATAGACTAATTAAACAAATCACTTTTGAAATGAAAACGCATCTGTAGCTGTTATAAAATAAGAATTTCTTTTTTATGTAATCGATTTCGAGATGTATTATAATAAAAAATATCTCAGAACCAAATAGATTGAAGGGGAACATACGACAATACACTCTCTTTAGATAAATTTTATTGGGTAACTTCCTAGGCTGAAATTGTCTATGGCTCAATGCTGAAAAACACAGATGCTCAGAAAGCAGCATGGAGGAGAGAGGGAGAGGAGGCAACTACACACACAAAGAGCTTTGAAATTGGAAAAAAATGGCGAGAGAATGAAATTTGCAAATTTAACAAAAAACCTCGCTCATACGATTTACTAGAGGAAGAATCCCATGGCGGATAAAAACAACTTTTAGAGCTCTATCTTTCTTGTGAACAAAATCAAGTAGGTGAAGTCTAACGCAGAAGTAGGATTGCCATAAGTATGATAATTACAAGGAGGACAGGTTTTCCAACCGCAAATCTCTCTTTATGTGAAGGGTTAAGTTTATTTAATACAAGTAATATTTTTTTTTCCGTTAAATTAGTTTTTAGTTTTAGCTTAGAACATGACATTTAATTTCAATCTCCTTTATATTTATGAAGGCGGTCTGAGTTTAAAATAAAGGGATATTATTATTATTATTAAATTATTTGAAAAATTCACTTTTTAATCTATAAATTCATAGGGTTTATTACTGTAATGGCTGGTGGACATATTTGGCAATTTCAAAAACTCTCCCCAGGCAGAATTGTATCCAGTAAAATCCACACTTGTCCGGGGAAATCCGGACGTATGGCAATCCTACGGCATAAGAAAATGAAAATATCAGTTGAGTCATGACAGTGAATAACCACCACCCACAGCGCCCCATTAATTTCCACGGTGAATGACGCATGGTGGATCTGGCGAGGGTGACCTGGGGGGTGAAATCGGTTTCAGCATATATAAATCACCCAGATTGCACACCACCAGTCCTCCTGCAATGGAGACTGGATGTTATTGTCATCTACCTATAGCGTGATCGCACTTCCAGATGCAGTATGACGCTTATGGACGTACAGTACCTATCAGAGCTCGGTCGAGAGTTCTAAAAAACCGCTCGAGCGCCCTAATTTTCTCAAAAATGCTCGCGAGCATCGAGTTGTTTTGCAAAGCGAAACTGTTTGCAAGTTCCGAGCACCTCGGGGAAAACTGCTCGGGAGCGGAAAAAACGCTCGCGCTTAATCCTTCAGCGCTTGAGGGCGGTTAAAAGCGCTCATGAGCAAAAAAACCGCGAGCGAGCGAAAAAAGCACTCGCGGGCGAAAAAAGCACTCGCGGGCGAAAAAAGCACTCGCGAGCGAAAAGATGGGAGAGAGAGGAGTTTAGTCCATAAGACCCCACAAGTGCATCTGGATATATACCTAAACGATGGAGGGAGATAAAAATTGTCTTTATCCTCAAACCTGGCAAAAGTAATGTCTTTTCTTCTTCAGACACTTGAAAGACTGCGATAGATACACAAGGAATACGGTGCTAACACGGTTTCCGCTGCAACTAAATCAACACCCCTTTCCAGGAATACAAAAGAAAGTTGTATAATGCTTGAAAAATAACAGTTATGAAGAGCGAAGAAGGGAACCCCCAAAAGAGAAACATTGGAAGGACCTAAAGAGAATCATTTGTCACAACTGTTGAAAGTCAGGGCATCTGTGAACAGACTGTTGGTTTAACAAGAAACACGCGCCTGAAGTGGGACATGATAAAGAGGAAGATGAGCCTACAGCATTTTTAATTGTCGCAGTAATGGACGTTAATTCAGTTGATCACATCACGTGGTATATAGACTCGCCCACTATGATATGGTATGCAATGAAATTTATTTTTCTCAAATTAATAAATTAGACAAACTAAATAAATATAAGGAAAGTAAGTACACCGTGTAAATCAATAACAAAACTGTCTCCGCCATATGTCAAATCAGTTGCAAACCAAATAGGTTTTATCTTCCAATTGTCTTTTCTTCTTTTCACAATCATGTTTTTGCAATTGAAATCTTTTTTCTTATGACTAAGTTGTTTTACATTGCAACTTCTATACAGACTTTTTTGCTCAATCGTAAGTTTCTTTTACAAATCCAGCTACCTATTTATTAAAATTGTTTTTTTTTATATCTTAAACACATTTATTTGTTTAAATTATTCTTTTTCCCACTAATCTCTACCACCTATACCTACCACAAGAGGCTTACCTTTGTCTGTGGATGTATTAAGCTAACGCCATGTTTATTAATTGCGATTAGTAACATTTCAGGATAGTTTGGATCGGTTGTCTGTTTAACTTCGAAAAAGGCAGATCCGAATGTCGGCCATCTGTACACAACCTTCAGGAAAGTGATCTTTGCGTCCTCAGGACTCATCCCACCATCCTGGTTGTAGGCAGCGACAATTTGCCTCTTCCAGTCGTTGGCGTTCTGAAGTTTAACTAGATCTGCCGGTATTAACTCGCGTAGTATTTGCCTAAAAGAAACTTGTAGTACCTAGAGAACAATACCACATGCACGGACACTTACGGAATAGCCTGAAGTTCCTGCTTGCTTTCGCCGAACCGTACCCTGTATATTAACGCTGCCAGCTTACACGCCTCCTCCTTAGAACACTTGTGGTATCCGCGAATTAGTTTAGGAAGCTCTTGGTGAAAGTGAAATATAAAGTCTGCGTTACGATCTTTGCCTGGTACCGTGTTCGTCCACAATTTTTTCATGAAGAACACCTGGTATGAAAATTGTGGCGTTATTCCCTCACGCGTCGGTCTCGCTTTCCTAATCCAGTCGGTTAAATGCCGCACGAAGTCAAAGAAAAAATCACCTTCAGGTACAGAAATGACTTTATCCGCTATTTTTACAAATAAACTAAAACCTTCGCTCGACCTTAAACTAAGCCTTTGACTAATATTTTGACAGAAATCTTTGGCTCGTGTGCTCGAGTCTACTTCGAAAGCTTCATCCGTGTCATCGGGGAAATAAACCTTATGAAATATTTGCGTGGTCTTGTGCTGAATAGCCTCCACTTCGACTTGGTGAGGAGGATATTTTCGCTGACCGTTACGGAGGGTTTTCTGTAACCTTTGGAGAGAATCTTGGGAAATGGGATGCCTTCGGGTGCGAAGAAATAAGGTCAGCTCTTTCAGTAAGCTTTGCGAACATGTAAAAAGCCCGGTCGCTAACCACATCAACTCCCATCCGCGTTCCTCCGACAAACGGTTTCGATTATCAGTCAGCTGTTTCATGATTTGGCAATAAATTTCGTCGCGCAATATTTCGTGTTTTAACGGACCGTCGAATATGTGATCGGTATATTCGTTTCCTAAACGTGGCCGTTTGCTGGGCAAATCGCCCATGTACTTCAAAATCGCGCTGAAAGCAAAACAGGCTTCGTCGGCGAGTTCCTCCTTCGCCAACAATTTTTTTAGTAGGGGTTGTTTTATAGGATCCCTCGTGTGCCGCCATAAATCGTCAGGATTTCGCCTACCTGAAGTTAACGTTAATGCTTTCGACATGGTACGCTTTGCGGGTGATCTAAAATGATCCATGGCATATTCGATTAAGGTGTGGGGCCTATCGCTTGAATCCGTTCCGTTAACCGCGTACTGTTGACTTAATTTTCGTCCATGTTCTGCTCCTATAAAAATGAAATAAGAATTAGAAACAGTTAAAGAACTAGGAAAAGTGTACAACCTGAGAAAGGGAAAAACAGTGCCGATCTCATACTAAAACTTCTTTAAATAGGAATTAATTTAAGGCGCAACAACATGAATGAAATTAAATAAAGTTTCTATGATGCAAATTGCAAAGTGATAGTTTAGGATTGCTCCAGGTATTTAACATTTTAGATGGAGGTCATTGCATGAATTATAAATGCAGACGTGGTACAAGGTAATGCATGATTTGATACGCCTTCAAAAACAATGGATTCTGTGTGCAGTGCTAATAAAAAAACCAAACTCGTTTCATATAAATGTAGAGAAATCCAAATTTCGTTTATTCTTTTCCTTAAAATTTTAAATAGATAACAATTAACACCTGATCAAGAAAGTTTATTTGTTAAAATTTATTCCTCATATAACACACCACATTGAAGATGCCCATGTGCATGTTCCGCTCTTGAGCAAGAATGAAACAAAAAATGGATTGCCGCTCCTGGCTTTTTTAAAGGAATTTTGATTATTGATTCTTCATTTTTGATTACAGATGCATTAACTGATTCTTGTTTAAACAGGTACCTATGCCGACGAAATTGGTAAAAAATAGGATATTGCTCAAAACTGGACAATGAACATCCTGAACTATGGTGGAAATTTGCTATACCTGTTACCTAATTAGAGAGAATTAAGTTAGTATATAGAAGAGAAATGCAGGTACCTATACCATTCAGTTTTGGGTTAACGCTTCAAAGAAGTATATAGGCTGGTCAATCTAGGCAGGTTTATACAAGTGAGGTAGAAAAAATTAGTAACAATGCTCTGCGGAAATGAGTACTCAATAGGGTCCTTGTTAACCCCTCAAAAATCGCACTTTGTCGCATTGGTGGAACTTGGAAAAAAATGGTCGCCATCTTGATTTTTTCGAATTTATTAAATATTTCGTAAAGTATACATACATTATATCAAAAAAACTCAAGAGACTTTTTTTATGGAGAATCAAAAGATACCTATATTAAAAAAAGTTTAAGTGTATTGATCAAAAAGTTATTGAAATTTATATGATTTGGGTAATTATCACATCTGTGTCGAGACTTAGATGTATTTCAAGAACTTAATGCAGATATAGCAGTTTTAATTAAATCAGGATTTAAAATTATTTTAAATCTGTACCGGTGTCCAAAGAAGATTCATGATATAACCAGTTACGTCACACACTATATATGCGAATGACTTCAAGGCAAAGCTTAAATTCAGAATTGTGTTTAGCCTCATTTTACCACCAACCGAAGAAGCTGCCAAACAGCACATTAATATCATGAATCTTTTTTTTTTATTGATGTATTGCTCCATGTGAATTATTTGGATATATTTAATGTAGCAGGTAAGTAGAGGGAAGCAAATAATTGAATGTTTTTATTTTCTTTGGGTTATCGATTTCGAAGCTCACTTCATCATCAGACCTTGCTAAAATATATAAACGACTCTAGTGAGCCGATAACCTAAAGAAACTAAAAACATTCAATTATTTGCCTCCCTCTACTTACCTGCTACATGAAATCATGAATCTTCTTTGGACACCGGTACAGATTTAAAATAATTTTAAGTCCTGATTTAATTAAAACTGGTATATCTGCATTACGTTTTTGAAATACATCTAAGTCTCGACACAATTATTGAGTATTTTACTTTAAAATCCTTATTTTCAAAATTGGGCATACAAAACAGTTTTAACTAATTCAGATATTTACCAAATTTTTAAAAAATCCATATTGCCAAATCATATAAATTTCAATAACTTTTTTGTTTTTTGATCAATAGACTTAAACTTTTTTTTATTACAGGTAACTTTTGATTCTCTATAAAAAAGTCTCTTGAGGTTTTTTGATATAATGTATACTTTACGAAATATTTAATAAATTTGAAAAAAATCAAGATGGTGGCCATTTTTTTCCAAGTTCCACCAATGCGACAAAGTGCGATTTTTGAGGGGTTAATAAGGACCCTATTGGGTAAATACTCATTTCCGCAGAGATCACTTTGTTACTAATTTTTTCTACTTTAACCATCTATTTTGACTAGCCTAGTAAGTGGATTGGTATTCGTTTTTCACTAACAGGGGAGGTTAGCATTCTGCCCTATCAATTTGAGCCCAAGATGAAGACATGTGGAGACAATAATTCATACATTATATCAGCGTCATACAACATTGCTCTCCATAGGCTACATCTGTGGAGCCGAGCGTTATTGAGATTCTACAGGGTGGGCCATTAGTGTGTGGGCGGAATATTATGGGTTTATTAACGCCCCTATTTAAAATTTATTGTGCGGGCATGTTCAAGGACCCTTAAGGCTACAACCTAAAAATATTTTCAACGAAATTGCAATTGTTATACACAGGGTGATTTGTATCAAAGTTGCATTTTTTTACATGACACCCCCTATATATTATTACATATTTCGATTCCTTGATCAATTTTATTGTGACTTTATGTATTACACATGATATCTATAAAATGAATCGTTTAGCCGCAAATCGTCTTTTCAAAAAGTAAAATATGTCCAATAAAAATTGAATATCGCAGATATCATTAAACTGAGAAGGCCGTGACTGCAGTATTACTAATCATGAAGTGTAGTAACATGCGCCGAACGGCTAAAGTTAAACTTCTTTTGTGTTAAAAGAAATCACTCCCTCAATTTCAAAATTTCAATCAAAGGTAATATGATTTTTTTAAATGGAACTACTAAGTTTTTTTTATTGCATAAAATGTAGGATTTTATTACCTTTCTAACGATAAAAGCATGTCGATATTTATCTTTTACATATTTTTTGTAATTCAACAATTTCTAATAATTCAGTTTTTTCAGTTTCAAAGCCTCTCAGTAATTAGTAGGCCATTAAAAATTATAAACAATTGAAATTATAAAAAATTTCCTTCAAATGAAAGAAAACAAAAACGATAAAAATCAAAATAAAAAGATTAAATTAAAATAAAGAGAAAAATAACAATTATTTCAATTCAAGACCAAACATTTGTCGATGATGGGTTTGGAAAATCATTCTTTGACACGACAAAGCGCGTTATGGATGCGAAAACATTACGAATGCGCATTTTCATATTCTCTTTTGTTGTTGGGTTTGCATACAGTTCCTTTCACGTATCCCCATCAGAAGAAGTCAAGTGGTGTAAGGTCTGGAGAGCGCGCTGGTCAATTTATAGGTCGACGACCTATCCACCTCCCAGGAAATGATTGATTCAGCAACTCTTTAACGTTTATAGCAAAATGAGGTAGGGCACCGTCGTGCTGAAACCACATTTCTTCTACGATGTGTACCAGAACATTTTGTAGAAGAGCAAAAAATTGAGTACTTAAAAATTCATAGTAAAGAGCACCGTTTAAAATATGTTATTCAAATTCCATTTTTCTAACAAATCAACTGGAGCGACGGTAAATTAATTTCGCTTTACAATCGTACAAACTAAAAATGGAAAAGTTAAATTTGCACGAAATAAAAATCCAAGTCGCAGCGAGACTAATGAACTTTTATCTCTGAATGTTATTCAACAAAGACGCACCTTGACGTCAGGCAAGCTGAAGCTATAGTGAGAGCCATCAAGCTAGTTCACACTCTGCCATAGTACAGAAAAAAGAGCAAAGTATGTATATAATAAGTAACCCACAGGAAAGATATGCATTTCACTCTTACTGTGTTTAGTTGAGAACTACTGGGATTTAATTTTCAAATTTTGCATCATATGGAGTGAAATGTTTAAAAGAACTAAATACGTTAAATCAGACTTACCATCAACTGCAAATAATTGTAGAATATCAGCAGGGGGTTTTGACATACATGGAAGAACGTACACAGTTTCAGCAGGGAAATCTCCCTTCTCTTGAGTTCGTTCGCATCTCCCCACGCACCAACCAGAATTTAATACAGTCTCTCCGGTACTATCCTCCTCCAAAATGATCAAGTCGCCCTTTTGGAACGTCAAAAAACTCGACCCCTCGCCCGGCGCCTTATAATCCTGAAGCGCGATGACGAACTTCGACCTTTTCTTTAAACCCTCCAAGAAATACACGACCAAATCTCGTATGTCCTCCGCGTTAGGGCTTTGGAAAGTAAACTCCTCGCCTCTAACTGTGCTTAGACTAAAGGTTTGTGTGAAAACCTTGTTCGTTTTCTGACTGGATACCGTCGTTATTTCAGGAAACGATAATTCTAATAATACTTGCTCTTGATCGTCAACAACGTACACGCCGGTCCAATTAACCGCTATAATAACGTCGTTTTTAGGCAAATTCGGGCCGGAGTTTCTATACGCCTCGTAAAAACGAGAAAACAGTAGGGGCCACTTGAATTTGGCATAGCTCACTATGTCTTCTTTGACTCGTAATGACAGAACTTTTTCTTTTAAATAGTAACTCTTCTTGTACGCTTGCACGACTAGGGTACCCCAACGATCGATCGCTTTATCCACGCCGGTCAAGCAGTAATCTGGGATGAAATTGGGAAGTAAAGTCAGTAGCCTTTCCACGTTCATATCGGATCCATATTCGATAAAGTACTGTTGAGCTGCAATCATTGCCAGATCTTCTTCTTTATCGCAACGGTATTCGCCGAATTTAACCCCTCTCACTACCTGCTGGTAAATGAGATTTGTGGCTACCTGGTCTTCTGTCGGTTCATGCCACGGTGCAAAGATTTCTTTGCGGAAGAATAACCTCCAGGGTGCGTTGCGCTCTTGCGCCCCTTGTTCTTTGGCGTACTGCTCACATTGCGAAATCGCATCCATCACGTGATCGCCTCCGCTTCCCAACGACGAGACCTTATCAAACAAAGCAATGTAGAGGGAGAAACCGAACTGATCTCGCAAACCAATTTTGTCCGACAACTGATTGCAGAGCTCTCTTGCTGTCGTTGCCGAGTCAGCAAGGAGAGTCTTCGTATTGCCGTCCATAAATGTAATCGGTAGCATGATCGGTTTCTTCGACTTGGTCGCCTGTAACTCCAGCCAGCTTGGCGGCTGATTTCGTGTACCGTTGTTGAAAGTGCGCTTTAAACGATCTTCACAATACGGCGCGTAACCGGGCGGTCCCTCACGTATGAACGCCCTTAAATAACTCACAAACTTTTCGGAAGGCGCGAAGCAACCGACGCACAGAGATAACAAAATCCACCCGCGCGCGTGGGAGGATTTCGACGGATTGTTCGATAGCTGCTTGCAGATCTGACAGTAAATTTCATCGCGCAGTTCCGCCCTGAGTATGCCGTGACCAATGATGAAGTGCAACTTTTCTAAGTTTGAGGTAGGCCGAGATTCTAACCAGGATTGGTAACTATCCGCTGTGTACTCTTCATCCTGTAATTTCTTACGTACATCGTCGCCCAATTTGTTTTTTCGTTTGAGTGTTAGCGATACGAGCTTGTTTCGGATAGACCTCGGTTTGTGCTTGAGGTAAGATTCGGGTTCCATACCCATCATTTGGGCTTCTTGAAATTCTTTACTCCTTATGAAGTTGCGTCCCAAAGTTGCGGTAACTTTAGACATTACAGATGTGTTGTCCCTGTCCATGGTTTGATAACGAGGTTCGGGCAGATCTCCGGTGAAACGTAGAATGGTAACCCACAATGCTTGAGCAGCCTGGAAATTTGAAATTCATTATAAGTCTATTGGCAAGTGGTGCCCCAACGTACCAATTGATCTCCTTGAGTATGCAGCGGCAGCAAGGAATGCTTGAGCGGCTTCCGCGAGTATTGATGGCCGATGTTTCCCTGGAAATAGGTGGCGGCGAACTTCTGAAATTTGTATTCGGATAAATCCTCCTCGTCTTCGGATACGGTTTGCATTGGGCTTATAATTTCAGATTCGTTCGGTTGTGATGGAAGGTCGTTGAATACGGACGTTTCGCGACCTAGAATATGTTAGTCTCATTGCATTGAAGCACTCTGCAAACAAACCTGGTGTTGGCGCTTCGCTGGAACTGTCAGGTAGGAAATCGAACATCGCCTCCACCAACTTTGAATCGTCTACGGGTTCGTCTTGCTTTCTTGCTGCGTCGTTAATGAGATTCTTCTTTACCTCCACTCGCCGCCTTTCTTCCAATTCTAACTCTATCTCCTTGCGTTCAAGCTCATACATTCGTTCCCTGCAAGTAACTTACTTATTCAACGGAAGAAAATCAATTAATCTTTGATTTGAACATGAGTTACTTTATTAATTACGTTCTTTGCTAATTTAATATTGTTATAACAATGTTTAGTTACACCATAGTGATTAAAACTTAATTATTTCCTCAATTCTCCCAGTTTCTGCCGTTAGTATCCATACATTTCCACTAAAAAACGATAATAAACGCCCTCCTATTATTTAGTGTCTCATTTGTAAGTGTTTGCACGTTCATATTGGGTTTCTAACAAAAAACGTATGAAAACGTTTTGATGAAGAATTTATGGGAAAGTCCTAAATGTTTTCAACCTTTCTGAATCTTTTAGGAATATATTATTGTTGTGTAAACAACGTCATTTCGGTCTAAACACCAAAAATAAGGACGGTAGAATTATTGACGAAATAAGCACAGAATTGGTTTGTTTTATTTGAATTTGTATTTCCGTACTCGTTTTGCCTCTTTGTTGGATGCGTAATTTTTCGTTGTAATTTTATCGCTCTGTAATTGTTCAATTTAGATACGATGTTAGAAGTAAGACACATCTGGTCGGTTGCGAATAGATTAGTAAATGAACAACGATATTCTAAAAAATGATTGACTGCAAAAATCTGGTTACAGTAAGTGCAATGACCAAATGGTCAATCAGTTATACGTGAATAGGGTGATTATAATGAAGGGGCATAATCTTACCTGTAATTTTGCTCAGCAATTTCTTTAGCTCGTTTGTTACCAGCATCCTTGAGTTCCCTCTCTTCAATTTTCTTTAACTTAAGAGCCTCAATATGCGTCCTATGCTCAAACTTAATCTTTTTAAACCTCCTCTGCGCAATCATACGCCGTACGTGAGACTGAATTTTGATAATCGCCCACATTTTGTGACCGTACTCCCGACGAACCAAATACCCCCTGGAATGGGCTTGCAGACCGACGATGTGGCCACGTAAGTGCCGAAATCGATGCGACAAAACTCGCGCTCGAATTAACGCCTGCAGTCTCATGTAGCCAACGCGCATTTTCATATACCGCTGCCTTTGTATGTAGCCCTTCCAGTACTTTTGTATGATCATCGTGGCGACTTTTAGCCTGAGGAATCGTCGTCGATACACCCACCCCCTTATCGATTTTTGCAGGATGAGAATCTTTTTAGTCAACATTCTGTCGCGCTCCTGCTCCAAAAACAAATCGTGAGCGTCCTTTAAAAATACCTTCGTGTGTCCCAGTTGGTAATCGGATTTACCTAAAACTACAGCACATATTTTTGCGGTTGCCGCCCTACAGTCGGCACGATGAGATGGCGGCACACCAGGTATCAAAAATCGATATCTTTCTACAAATTCGTTGAAGTGATGGCGGATGGGATAACCCGCACGACGTATCCGGATTGTTTCCATCATACCCGAGTATCTCAACTGCCTACAACACAATTCCCTATCGAACAAATTTGGTTTTTTCAGTTCATTGGGTTTGATGCACCGAATGAAGAATGGTTGACTATTTGACAATGTTTTCATTAGGGAGTCCAGACTTTTTTTAAACTGAGTAGATAAAGTTGGCGTTCTTTTGCGTGTTTCCGCCCCCATTCCGATGTCATCAGCAAATATTTGCTGCAAAAATTTGTTGTTCGATATCGTAATTAATTGAAGTAAATCGGCGCTAAAAGTATCCCTATTCTTTTCCAAAAATCCTCGAGTATCATAAAATACGACGCCGGCAAAATGGTTCAGTCCAAAACTCGTATTAATATCAGACTTGGGTTTGAGGTAGTTTCGATTACCTCCGTGAGTTTTGTGTAGCTTAGCTAATAGAGTTTGGTCGGTGCCTTTCGGAAATTTACTTTCCTCGTCGATGAGTGCCATGATATTGAGTTGCTTGATAGCGATCAGATCTAATGCGTCTTGATTGTCGACGAATTCGATGTGCCTCCAATTGATACCTTCGATATTATACTCCTCCTGTTCGAGCTTGAATATGTGCCGCACGAAGAACTGTTGCAAATTTTCGTTAGCGTAATTTATGCAGAATTGTTCGAAACTATTATGATTGAAATTCTCAAAACCGAAAATATCTAAAACCCCAATTGCCGTTCGCTGCCTTTCTTTCGGCCTGTAGATTGCGCTATTAATTTTTTTTACTATTAAAATGAACAGTCGGCCGTAAATTCCTTTGACAAACGCATCGCGTACGTCGACACTTTGATCACGTGACAACGTTGAGACCACGGTTTCTCCGTGAGCGAATAGTGTTTTACGCGTTAAAGCATCTATTAGCGGCTGAGTGGGCACAGCCAATAAACTTGCGACCCTTTGCACATTTGTGGGATCGGGAATTTCGGTCGCATCCAAATTGTCGACCACGGTCGCTTTGTATTTTATATTTCCCGTGTGCAGAAGGGCGGCTAAAAGCTTCATTATTTCCCATATCTCTTGGTCGCTAAACAGCAAAACCTTCATTGCACTTCGAATGTCAGCAAATTCGGCCGCATCGGTCCTACCTTCGCACGTTATGCAGCCACCCTAAAACAACAATAAATTGGAGACACTAAAAAATTTGTGGGAGTTGAAGCAAGACAATCTGAAACAAACAACAAAAACCACAAAACAACAAAATGAATTACAATTATAAACTAAGCGAGTTTAATACATTGTTAGAATATGCACCAGCAGCGGTGTGAATTTGCAGCTTTGAGCAAGTGGTCAAAAAACAGCACTTTATTAGACTCGCACACTAAGTATTTTTCGGTATTTCTAATTCACGTGAAATAATGTCATAATACGACTTTACAAGACGAAAAGTATAGGTATAAGTAAATAGCAGAAACCTTACACATTTCCTACAAAATTGTGTTTCACATCGTTCACCACGAGTGGCATTTTCCAAGGAGAGATAGAATCATTTGTTACTAGAAGAGAATAACGTTAATAACTACAAGTGTTTTAAAATTTTTCATTTATATAAACAGTGAGAATTATTTTTAGAAAATTTGCATATTAATTTTAGTTTGAGGTAATTTTAATATTCCTAAAGAAATCGATCCATGAGAACTATTTTCATGAACAGATTTTGGTTATTTTTGTTGTATTAAAATTTTTTTTAGCATTCAGAGTAGGGCGTAAATTATGGACAGTAGAAGCTACAGTAATTCATTCCGATGAATTTTAGAAAGAATCAAAGTTAGCATGGACACGTGATCAGGCATTTTTGTATTTCTTTTTGTGAATCAAACTCATAATTTACATCCAAGAGCGTGACGGGACAACTCAAACCTGCCTTTTCCAGGTAGGAAAGCAAGCAGGGAGAAATAGAAATACAATCACAGATCAAAAAAAGGAACTGAGCAATTAAAAAATTCCAACCATTCAAATCTCAAGATAAAAGAAATTTTCCCACCTTTGTTGCAGGTAGGGGTCGAACTGCTTCCTTCATATTGTGCACACTCTTTAGGGGCAGTGTTACTCTGGAGTCTTACGTCCCTATCTAGAAAGGAAGATGGTCCCAAGAATGCTTTAGAATACTCCTCCCAGAAAAATTTTGGACTTTTCCAAAGACACAGACATCTAAGGAAGGACTCGTAGTCCCTCGCCCCACTACCAGGTGGCGCATGAATCGAAGTATGTTATCAGAATTTGGCGCCATAGCGAAAGCGAGTATAAACGTACGTAAAGCATGCGCCTCGTTAGAGCAGATGACTTAAACGCTGACTTACGGTCAATGCACACCTGCGTATTTTCAAGCCGATGGTATTATTTTAATTAAGAGGAACGATGATAGTTATCCTGTCACAAGCTTAGTTGTAGGAGGAAATTAGAGGCGACGGGAAAGGTTTGAGCTTAAAAATGTACTTGGCCCATGTTTTGCTTGGAGTTAACGTGCTAAATACTTAAAACTAGGTACCTAGTCTAGCTTTTAATGCACCTGTTGACTGGTGTCGTTGCAATTTATCTTTGACTAATACAATATTGGATTGATCAAAACTCAAAAACTGAATAAGATTTTAAATTTGTTTGCTGAAGATGACAGGCTTTGCTGTCGTAATGCGTTTGGTTCATTTCACATTGTCTTTAATAAAAATATATCATTTCGATGTATGTACGTACTCACCCCAGTTAAATATCGATACTGATTGGCGTCTCCTAAATCTAATTTCTTTTTATCATCCTTGCCCAAACCAGCAAGCAAACAATAAAAAATGTGATAATTGCGTTCGTCTGGGTTTTGATGAACGATCCTACTTTTTTCTAATAAATACTGTTCAATTTTGGCACCTTCGATAACACCGTCCTTATTAAAGTGTATATCTATATATTTTCCGAAGCGCGAGCTATTGTCGTTTCTAATCGTTTTCGCATTTCCGAACGCCTCCAAGATCGGATTCGCTTCCAAAATTTGCTGTTCGATCCAGGAATGTTTCCCGCTAATGGCAGCCAGATATTGTAAAATTAACTTTGTGCTCTCTGTCTTTCCCGCTCCGGATTCGCCGGATATTACTATACACTGGTCTTGTCCATATCTTCGCATGTTACCGTACGAATTATCGCCGATTGCGAAAATGTGAGGGGGTAATTCGCCAATCTTTCGCTCTTTATATAACTTAATCTGTTCCGCAGTGTATATTGGAAGAATTTGGTACGGATTAACAGCTACTAATATCGAACCGGTGTACGTCTACAATGTACGAAACAGTTTTGAGTACCTACTTAACTAAAATGAAATTTACTCACGTATATGAGATTGTCATTGTATCGTATGAGAAGGTTTCTTAGAATACCGGCTTCGTGCAGATCTCCAAGACCTATCATGTCTTCGACTCCTTGTATTGACGTCGCATGCATTGCCTTAATTCTCCTCTCCGGAGATAACCAATGCTCGTTGGCATCGTCATCTCGCACTGCTATTCGTCGTCCTTCGGCTGTTATAACTCGAGCTCCTATGGCAACATCGAATTCACCTCCCGAAACTGGTTCAATCCAAATGTAATCACCCTGCAAGAAATAATGCAGACATTAACAAGGGAAAAATACGGAATTGCCTAAGTACTCGTTTGTTCCCATTTCCACCAAAAAGTTTCTAATGGAGGTGGGAAATTAAGCTACAAAATTGACTGAATGAGTTCTAGGTAAATACCTATATAGTTCAACTCGAGCCAAGTCCAGCTGAACTTCCATCCAAAGCTTGGTAAGTTTGTGCAGCATTAGAGCGTCGTTCAGGACGTGTAATTTCCACTTGGGAACTGCAGAATTTTTTCATTTGTAATAAAACTATTGCTAATGAAAAGAAAGTGAAAGATCTCCGTGGAAGTCTAATGGTACCTCCTCAACCCCACATAAAATCAAATAACCAATAAAGGCGATAAATTATAATTGGGAGACCCTCAGATAAGCGCCAAAAACGACCAATCCACCTACAGCAGAAGCATTAAAAAAATTCAAGAAGCCTTTTGAATTATCCATCTTTGAAATGATTTTCAAAATGGATCAAAATCTTGCTTAATTATTCATCAAAATCTCAGAAACCGCAAAACGTGTTGCTTTTGCTTTGATTAAATTTTCCTATTTTGCTGGGGGTTAGCAGGTCCATTTACAGCGGAAAAATACCTACCTCCCTTAGGCATGCGCATTTTTGTACGATATTTATTTATAATGACAATTAAAGAAAAGAATACAATCAAATAACCAATAAAGGCGATAAATTATAATTGGGAGGCCCCCAGATAAGCGCCAAAAACGACCAATCCACCTACAGCAGAAGAATTAAAAAAATTCAAGAAGCCTTTTGAATTATCCATCTTTGAAATGATTTTCAAAATGGATCAAAATCTTGCTTAATTATTCATCAAAATCTCAGAAACCGCAAAACGTGTTGCTTTTGCTTTGATTAAATTTTCCTATTTTGCTGGGGGTTAGCAGGTCCATTTACAGCAGAAAAATACCTACCTCCCTTAGGCACGCGCATTTTTGTACGATATTTATTTATACAATTAAAGACAAGAATAAATATCCATAACGCTGTTGGTTCTAAAAAATCAGGAAGAAATTAGGTTGAATAAAAAGTAGGCCGCATCGGAAGCATCACGCGGTGTCCTAATTTAAAAGCCTCTGGGTTAAAAAACAAAATTGTGTACGGTTGAAAAATGAGTAATTTTAAGGACGCGGTCATTGAGTACATAGAATTTTTATCCCGACACGTATGGACGCAGGAAACGGCCGCCACGGTTTCTGGCCACCGTGCAGGTAAATTACTGGTTTATATTAGCTATCTCTTCTTTTTATTATAATTACTTGCCCACTCTTACCTGTTGTTCGCTAACCGGACGTCCGTATGTGGATGACCCCGATAGGTTCAAGATACAATATTAGCTTTCAATATTTTCATTTAGAAAATCTTTTTTTTTCAGATAGTGTGTTATGTGGACGCCTCGGGCTTTCTGTATTTGGGTACATAACTGCTTTTTATATTACACCTGTTCTCACATCATTGTTTTCGTCCGATGCGTACGCACTAGACTCGTGCAAATTACTTGACGAGTTCCACTTACTGCTTTACTTTTATTTGTTTACGTACTCCAATATTAAAAGTGCCAATTAAAGGACCATTACCACCGCTTTTTTTTTATTATTTTAATTATTAAATATTTCAAAAACAGGATGAGTTAATATTACTACTTTAATTAACATTAATTGCAACAGTCTACTAATAAAGCTCAACAATTTTTGTATACCTTATGCTCCAAACCGCAGAAATTAAATTTTGAGTACGGCAGTAAATACGTTCAAGGTTCATTGAAAATCTATTTTTCGTTTTTTTTTATTGTGAAATAACATTAAATTCCAATCACCGGAAAAAATCTTTTAAATAAGTAGGTATCAAAAATAAGCTAAATCATGGTGTAGTAAATGTAAAAATAGAATTATAATATTTATGTAAATTAATAAAAGCTCCATAAACACTTAATTAAAGATAATTTGGCAACGTTATATAAATAAAAGGGAAGAAATTAAAGTGAGGATTTATTAATATTAAAAGTTAATTGTAGTGTAACCAAGCATACTCAGTTTTCTTATTTTAATTTGATTTTAAAAGAAAAGTTGCACGAAATTGAAGTGACCTACCCAGAATACCGATTCAAAATTTGGACACTTCACTTCTTGTAAGAATTCAATTGTATTAATAAATGCAGTCCAATCGTTACGCTCTATAACAAAAAATATTTTACGATTTCGACCTTAATTGTTGCTAATTGTACTGTGCTACAGTTTGACAAAGCTGACTGCTATTTTTAACACACAAACGTACAAAAAAAATGTTAGGGGCCAATAGCAATAAATAAATCACATATTTAAGGCAATTTTAAGTTAAATGGTCACATTGGTCGATCTTTTTAAGTTCTTAAAACTAGGGTCATTGGAATCTAAGGCTTTAGTCCACTCAGTAGGGATTTTGCTCTACAAAAGGTGGTGTAGTGGTAAATTTTTAATATGTTCTGGGCCTTAATGTTTTTGGCTATTTATTATACAGGGTGTCAATTTTAAAACTTGCAGCCGGCCATATTTTCCAAACTAAAGAAGATATTGAAAATCGCGCAAAACCGTTTCGGGGGTATCGAGGGGGAGCCAGAACGACGTTATGAGTGACAACCCCCCTCCCCCTCCTTTGTCCCCTACTGATTGAACTACTTGCGAGACTACTTGCAATTCCTTTTAATTCAAAAGCAAAGGTCATGCGAGTTTTTCATTTTCTTATACTTACACGTTAAATTTAACAGAAATTTTTCAAATTTTGAAGACTAGAACCCAAGGCCTTAGTTCGAACTCGAGTTCGAGTTGCATAATTTTTAGATTGATGTTCTCTATAGGTAATTGTTTTCAAAGAAGGTTCGTCAAGTTAAGAGGAGCCTTTTTTTGTAAAGGGAGAATACGCCTAATGACTTTGACCTCGACTTTGGCTTTCCTGCCCCCGACCCAAAAAGTTTTTGATGATAGTTGCGAAGAAGCCTCTCCAAATACGAAGTGGAAGACATCTTGCTATCTGCAAATTCGAAGAATAACGTAGACAGTTAAATACAATCACCACCTTTAAAAGAAGAGAGAAAGGGCGAGATAAACGGCCCTGCTTCCTAAAGTGTTATTGGAATGGGCCTCAATCAAATGGAAATCAATTTTTAATTGCGCATTTTTTAAGAATTATAAAATATGCTGGTTTATCACTTGTCCACTGTGCTGCATATTTTAGCGTATTATGTTTATTTAAAAAATGTTTTATTGCTTGCGTTTTGTTCCTCCGTTCGTGCATCTGCTCTGACCCACTTCTGCCGTTTTGAACTACCTTTAGGGGAATGATCTTAGATTCAGGAAGTTTTTGCAAAAGGTAGCGTAAACCTCGAAGGCATACCCGACGGCTTTTAAATAACTTTCACCCAACACTCTCCTTATGTAAAATTATCTCGAAATTGTTTTATTTTTTTGAGGGGGATTAATGCTTGAATTTCTTTGAGTTGCAGTAGTGGTGGGAAGGGGATGTAAATATTCTACCCTCTTTACTTACATTACATTTGTAAACCAAAAAGAAAATCTAAGCACATTCTCCTGAACCTACTTATAGGGATGAATATGCGGGCGATTTTTCAGATGACGAAGATTCTGGAACGACATTCGAGGGGGAATTTACCGGGCCGAGTTTTACGAGAGCGAGTATCCTGGAACGAATTTAACGCTTATGCTGAACATCCTAGTTGCACTCGATAGACTCAGTTACGAATTGGAAATTTCTACCACAACCGGTCCCATTGATTTTAAACGACTTAGTCTGGATTTAGGGTTAAATTCTGGCATGACGAATTTTCGTAACGGAATTTACCGAAGCGAGTAAAACTTCGCATCGACCTTCGCCTTAAGAGAGGAATCTCCAGGGGTGAATCTACCGAGGACGATGGGGAGCTATTCTTCCGTGGGCGAATATGCCGAGGGCTAATCTTCTGTAGACAAATTTACCTGGGGACGAGTATTCTTGAGGGGGGAGAAAATTGTCCTACAATCGTTTTCACATTTTTTTAAAAGTGTTTTCGAAAGAGCGAACGACCCTTATTCTCGTTCCTGAAGCGTAGGAACACAAATTTGGTAACTACAAACGCGATTTTGCCCCCTAATCTTCATAAAAGAGGAGTCTGTTAAGTCAAATCCAAAACGTCAGCAACTGACTTCGAAAATGGTGGCTTTCTAAGTGTTCCTGGACAGAAAGCAGTAACAAAAAGTAAAATGCGCAAAAAATCGAGTATGATAAAATAAATAATAACAATAAATGAGCCAAGAGAACCAAAAGAGGACGCATTCCATCGTCAAAGAATTTATCATTCTCAATTTCTTAAGGCGGATGAAATTCTGCGTGTATTGTAGTCATATAAGAAGGAATAAAGCTTTTATGACTTTTTGGTATAAGTACGAGTACATTCTTAAAACTAACGGCACGTAGTTTTTATGATGTGACATTATTGCTATTAGTGCTAGTGATTTGCATGCAAATTACTTTACCTAGGTATACCCCACTATATTTATCATAAGTCTCATTTACTCAAGTGCAATAATTATTGTTTGTTAGTCCTTGACTTTTTGTTTGTTTGAACTTTTAACAACCAAACCATGGAGCTTCTGAGACAAAGCGTTCTAGAAGACGATCTGATCCGATGTATAGGAATTCGCTGGGTTTTTGGTCATAGTTCGTTCTCCAATGCAATATTTTCTCACTTTGTAGAAAATGATCTGATGTCTCATCAGAACGACGGCATTGGAATTAGTTATACAAGTAATCATGCCGCTTCCTTTAGCATAAAACGAATAATTAAAAGATTCCCTAATCATTTCGGTTCTAACACTGATCTGCAGCAGATAGGTATAGCAGAACGGGCCCAATTCGAAGAAGCCTTCGTTTACGGTACCAATTTCGCTTTTCCAGTAATATTCCAATTTCAGTTTCTTTTGAAATTGAAAGTTGCGTGACAAAGAAAAAATAATGCAGGTAATTACTGCAGTTGTTTCAACAGGGAAGGTAGGTACCTACTTAGTTACGAAGGTAGTTATCGAATAGGTAGGTACGTTATTTTCAATTAAGTGCACTTGCACATTCGTAATTGTAAACCATTAGTGTGTTTAATAGCGGATTAAAAAGATTTGTAAAAAGAGAAAGTGGTTCTTCTTGCAGGTTAGGTTGTTGTTTTTTTAGTGGGCATTTCCTGCATTATTATGCTATTCTGAACCCATTTAAACAAGAAGATTACAATGTCGTTTTGTGGTAATATTATGCAGTGGATAAATGTCTATCTTTCATAAATTGTTGCATGTTCTTCAGAGACCCTATCTGAATGTTTTATTTCTAGATTAAGAAGTAATTCTCCATTATCAAAAAATTAAACAAAAAACAATCTTAATTTTTGTGTACACTTGTTTTTGAGAAAATTCTCTCACAAAAAAATGATCCCAAGAGAGTTCAAAGGGGAAAATTCTCTTACAACAACTCCAAGTTACGCTCATAATGAAACTCGCTTTAGACTAATTTGTACCTTGCAAGCATTCTAGACACAGAAAAATATTATTATTAATTCGTCTGCAAGCTTTTTAGGACCTTAGGATCGAGTTCTCTTATATAGGTTGAACAGTTCTTGTAAGCGAATTTTCCCTCCGTGTCTCTTTGAGGGCTATTTACGGAGTGCTACTACATAAGGTCATATACCTGGAAAGAGTTTTCTTAGCCGAATTCTCATGGGCGGATTTAGCGTTCACAATTTTATTGCGAACTATTTCTTAGACACAAACTTTTTGGGTGCGAGAGAGAATTTTCTCTTGAGAGTACCTTTTTTAAGGGACGAATTCACCTTGTTAGCACATTTCCGGCGGCATTTTTCTTATTACAACTACTTCCGTGGTGTATTTTCTTTGATAGAAGGAACGATACAATTTTGTCAAGGTGCGAATTCACCGAGGGCAAATTTTATAATGGGCATAATTTTTTAGTGGATTTACCCGAATTTTTGGCGCAAAATTTTCCTTGACTTGAAGTTTTTCAAAGTGCCTACGAATTCTCCTAGAGCAAATTTTCCTTTGAGTTCATGTTGGTGAATTTTCCGTTTGAATTTTCTTGTGATGGGCGACTTTTCTGGTTAAGACTTTCGAGTCGAATTTTACTTGAGAGAATTTTCTCAATTATTTCTTAGTCCCTGTGTTTAATTGAGCTAGCTGAACAGGTACTTGTGGGTGGCTTAGTGACCGTTTGCCATTGCACATGGCAATATTTTGATTCGAATTATATTTTCTTTTCGAAATGTTTGATATGAAAATGGGCTTACGATTTAAATCGTTTACAAATTAATATTTCGAGTGTGCTTTTATTCCACATATTACAGTTTCGTGCTCGAACCTAATTTATACGTTTGTGTACAAAAAGCGAGACAAAAAGTGAATATTTTCCCAAACTAATGTAAATAATGTTAGTACGAGTATAAGTACTTTCGCTATCAATTGCGTTTGAAGTACAGTTATTCAGTAATTTATTTCAAGCAGTAGGTAACGTCTTGGCTATTTGTACACAACAGCTTTATTCAAATAAAAAGCAGGAATGTGACGTGAAATTATTAAGTGATTTACAGTTATATGTTCCCAGAGTTACCTTACAGCAGTAACGTTGTTTATTGTTTGATGTTTCTTAAGGCAAATTACTTAGTATTTACCAAAAAAATTGAAATGGGAATGTCAGAATACTTACTCGAGTTACAATAACCATGATTGCCGTTTAATGGTCCATGTGGCGTGCCCTGAAACAACATTAAATTATAAGGTGAGAAAACACAAATAAAATTCCTTTTTAATATACCTATCTATATTCTTAAATTAAACATTTTTTATTCGATGGTAAGGGTAACAATTCCTGCAGAGCAATATTACCTACTATTTTTCGCAGAAAGGTGAAGTACTAAAAACTTAAGAAAGAATCTTGAAGCTGCCAATGGTCATGTCTAACGTGGGGGGTCGTGTGTTGGCTTAACCTCCCGGCCCCCGGGCAACAGGAGAAAACCTCAATTATATGAAACCCCAACGCCAAAGTGGAACAACTTATGCCGAAAGGCTTCACACAGTCCCTAATAAGCCGACTCTGGTCGCCGGAGAACCTTCGGTTTAAGTTTCCCTTTCTTTGGTATGGCCCAGCCATATTTGGCAGTTTTCCACTAGTCGTAGGACCAAAAAGTTGAAAACATCGCTCGAAATATTATTATTAGTTCCCAAATAGGTAACCCAAGAATAACCGTCAAATTTTGAAGGTCTGTCTGAGCCAGTTGCCTTTTTTCTTTTCTTCCTTTTGTAAAGACTTCTTTAAATCCAATAGCCTGTCCTGTTTAAATAGCATTTAAGGAGTTCTATGTACTCTTCTTCTGAAAGTTAGGTGTCGCAAGGCTGACAACTTGGCACTACATCAACCCTATGCTAAAAACAGAACCATGATAGCGAGTCTACCAGGGAAAGCGTAGGAGGGAGAACTGTCGCCTCAACTATGTCCCTTGCAGTTGATGAGCTTTTTACACGACTCAAACGAGGACTCAAAAGCAAAGGGATTAACAGTCAGAGACGCGCTAATGACTTGCCAAACACCGAGGCAAACACGATACGAGTCAGAACGGAAGCAAAAGAGACTCAATAGCATACATGAATGGTGTGAAGATCATAGCTTGAGTATAAACCTATCAAAGACGTTAAAAGCACCAATGGTGGGCGGAAGCACCATAACGGCATAAAAGTATAATATTCATGAGGGCATCATAAGTTAAATTCGAACCCTTGGATAACCTGTAAAAAAGAGCAATTATGGCAACACTACTGTTGGTAACTTATGCCGAAATGCTAAATTAGAATAATGGGTAGGGTAGGTTTTGTGTTTTAAGTGAAGGATTCCTTCACTCGACGGTTTACTCATGAACGATTCATTAGTATGTTGCCCCATTTGGAGTTTTTTTAATGTACAACATGGATATCCCCGTTCGAGTCCCCGTTTAATTCTCACAAAACATGCCACAATTTTATAACTAAAGGACTAATAAATATATAATATGGACATTAATAATAATTTTTGTTCTACTGCTCTGCTAGCTACACACACAAAACGCTACGCTTTTTCCGTAATCTCAAAGATAAATTAACGGTACTGCAGTCGCGCCTAAAAACTGACCGTCTATGATGTGTTAAGTGTAACTTGGTTACCTAGTAACTATGTACTGCCTACGATATATACCTAGAATCTTAAAGAGGCATTGACAACGGACCTTATTTGGCAGTACTCACGTCTTAGATTAGCATCGCCATCACTTTATTTGCCCTGAGGTGAAGGGCAGAAGGTGAACTGTACCGATTTTCAGTTTTAAATTATTTTCGATAATAAAATTCTGGGGACAACACCCGTTAAGTTTATTCTTCAAGTCATTCACGACGTTACTCCACTACATAATGCATGTGTGGTTCAAACACCTACCATTACCTTGACATTCACTACCTACTGGTGTACAATATGATAATATACTGACCGTTCCTATCGAGTTCAATTGATATTCCTACTGTCGAAACAAAAAGTAGGTAAAATAGTTCACCATTCTTTCATTGTTGTGCATTGGTAGCAAATAACATTATCGCCTTACGACAAAATGCTATAGAATAACGAGGGATCGACTATATTGCTAATTCTGCACCCTCATCATCGAATTTTTGTTTGCAAATTTATTGCAAAAGACCAATTTCGACTGTTTATAGTACTACCATTGAATCTACCTAAATTCTAAGTCTTCGATTTGCTTCAAGAAGAAGCTTCCTCTTTTCGTTCTCGAGTTAGGCGAGAAACAGACGGACCGACGCGACGTCCAAAACCAACACATAAAAAAATTCCCCTAAAAAGGCAACAGTTGCTTTGGCGGTTAGTGCAATAAATTATGATAGGCTATTGCAACGAATACTCCAGAAATTCCGATAGACATCAAGGAGGAATGAAAGATTAGCCATCGGCGATAAAGAACGAAGGCGGATGTGACGCAATCTTTCCGTGAGATATGACGTGTTTTGTTATCGAATGTTCGAGATCGAAATCGCTCACTAGCATATTAGCAACTCGAATTGTGTTTCAGGACAGTTCCAATTTCAACGCCGAATTAATAAATAGTTCGCGCAGTTGTAAATAATGTATATGTGAGTGATAAATAATATTTTAATATTTATAAATCAATTCATTTCAAGACTGTTATAAATTTATTGTTAAATTGTAACTAAATAGATCATGTAATTAAATTTACGTCACACTGTGTTATATTAGACTTAAATCTCATAAGCGCCATTTTTTTGCTTTTTGCGATAAGCTTTGAACTTGATATCGTAAAGGCATATCTTCAAAAGACATTTTTATAATAATTTCCCATATCTCATATTTTTTAAAACGTTCAAGATCTTTTTTTATAATCGAATCCTTAAAAAGTCTAAAAAAATGTTGTAGTGACCGGTGAAGGTCTTGGAGAACTTTCCCAGGGCAGGGGCTGCTGCCATTTTTCAAACACTAAACAAATGTCAAAAACTTCGATTTTTCAAAAACTCTAAGAACTACCGGATATAAGTAAGTATACAGGATATTAATAAAAGTGACCTTCTCACTCCTTCACGCCACGCTCAAATCGTCAGATTATTGAAATGCAAACTTTACAACACGTAGTCAATCCACCTTACTTTAATCTGACGCGCTCGAGTAAATCCCAAAATTCCCAATTGTGCTACTATGTGAAGAAACTAATAATTTTAATCGAGATTAAGTCTACAGTAAATGTTTGAAATGCGACTTTTAAGGCTATGGTTGGATGATTATTGCTAACTTCACACGGGTAACATAAAAGCAGCATGAATTTGTTGCTGCATGTATGGTTCACCTCAATCGAGACCTCAATGGATACAAAGGGGGTGAAATATCTTATGAATAGACACTTTCCTTTGTTTTCCAGGTTTGAAGGGAATTTTTGCTAATGTGCCTGTGACGATCTACTTTGGAAAAAGAAAAGATCGTACTAAAGCCAATACTGAAAATAATACCTACTCTGCACCTCCCAGGGTATAGGAAGGTCGCTGCGAACTTTCATTGCGGTCTGTATTTTGAGGACAAATTTGTACACGCCACAAATTGATATAAATGTAGGTCATCAGGATACCTATCAATCATCCTAATATTACTTATATATTATTACCCCGTTAATATCAGCAGTCACACTTTCATTTCTAAATGATCAATTACCCACTTCAATACCTATACTAACCGATAAGTAATTACAAAAGTCGGATTTTAATTAAATTATATCGTATTGACACCAAGATGGAAAAAGAAAGTACGTAAACAATTTTAACGATCGGAAATTAGAACGATTTGTACGAATAAAATTACAAAGTGGATTAATTGCGACCGGTCAATTTAAATGAATTAATTTCATTTATGCAACAATGAATGACTCACATCCACATGCATTATTATGTGAAGTTCATTATCGCCATTATTAACACTGAAAGGTCGTATCGCCAGACGCATTTGGAAAGTGAAGTAGGTATAAACAAATTGCCTACCAAAAGAGGCCTAATTATAAAGATTGCACACAGCTTTCTCTTGTAAAAATTTAAGCAGTCGGTAATTCACATTCAATTTAGTCTTTACCTCGGTCTTTACCTACATAAATAACAAGACTTTGTCCTGTAAAGATTTTCACATGATAAAGTATGCAAAACATTCAGTGTTAGGTTTTACATTTTTTGTAACTGCCTACACGTAACCAAGTGCACAAGTGTACCTAACAAAAAAGTAAAATCTGGTTCCTTCCTACAGTGAAATTAGGACAGTATTTGGTCATAAATAATATCTGCCAACAATAAAAAAAATTGGAAAAGAGCAAACTTTTAATCGGGTCTATAAGGCACTGCCTTATGCAGTTCGAAATTGACAAATAAATGAATTTTATCCAAATTTGTTCATGAGCAAATAACTTCTTGCTGTTTGCGCGGAGGTTCACTTACTTTGTGATACAGTCTCAGTCGAGGTCTCAGTGTACTTTTTTGGACCGCTCAGGTCGCGTATTTGCCATTCTAGAGTAAATTTGGAAAGATTTTTAATTTTGTAATACATTTTTTGAAACATTTAGCAGCTCAATTTCCAATGCCTCTTGTGTGATTTAAGCTCATTTAATTTAAAAAAATTAATTATAATTGTACTGGTAACTTACCTATTTATTTGTAACATTCGAATATATTTGGAGATGCATGAAAGTCGAGTGTAAGTAATTAAGTTTCTACTCGTAATTAAACGCAGAAATACGTTAATGTTGTAAACAGTTTTAATTTTTGTTTATTTGCGGTAATTTATTTGGCATTGGTTAATTTCTTTGAAAAAAAAACTGATGGTCTTGATGGCCAATAGTAACTAAAATGCGTATTTCAGCTCGTATTTCACCATACTGCACCGAGGGATGAGATACTGCTAAAACTAGGTGTACAACCAAGTAAAATACGAGGTAATATACAATATAGTACAAATACTTAAGTAGTAAAGTAAGTAAAGCAAATAGTCGACAGGGGTTGGTGCCCTGCAAAAATTTCAAATTTTTAATTTCGTTTTTAGCGCATTTTGCAACGAAGGCTATTGTATCCACTTTCTCTGTCCGTCCAGTTTTCAATATATTTAGCTCGATATTTAGTTTGTTCTTTTTGAATTCGGTAGCTTATATACCTCTGGCACCAGATCCAAGAAAAATCTTGACGATTAATGTGCGCAAATGTGCAATATCAGCTTTCTTATTTATTAATATATTTTGTTAAAATTTTAACCACAGATAGTTCTAGTAAAGACAAGCATATCGTATATAGTGAAAATCATATGCATGCATGCGGAGACAAAATGAAACCTTTTTTTTTTACTTATGAAGATCTGCTTCTAGTACCTACAAAAAACATATCGCATATAGCACAAATTAAAGGTGCGCATGCACGAACTGCGCAACATAACATTAACCATAGATGTCTCTAGTAAAAACTAGCGAACATAGCTTTAGCCTCGGCTATAGCTTTTTGGGAAATACTTATCAATGCCTGGAAAATGTGCTGAAGTTACTCGCCTTAGGGCGAAAACCGAGGCGAAAACCTTTTTGTTTGTTTGGTCTATACCTCGGCCTTTGCCGAGGTCTTTGCTATACTATACATTATACTCGTACATATACAAAGGTAGAGTTCACGAAATTTCCTTTAATTTTCATTAATAAAACTTAATCTTCGACGTCATACGTACCGATATATAGGGCTTTCCCGACCTTTTTGCTAGTGGGGCTACTGGCGAAGAAATATTGAAGTACGAGGCCCCTTTAGGGCTGAGTACTTTAATTTCCGATTAAAGTAGTATTTTACTGACGAGGCTCTAAAACGACCTAGAAGGCTCAAAAGCTCTTTTAAGCGACCCTTTGAGATCCACTGGCCACCCTTACAGGCTCTTAAAACCCCTTAAAGGGCGCCGAAACTTCTTAAAACCTCATTTCTAAAATCCTGCTCGAAAGCATTTACAACGCTCTTGGAGACTTTTAAAGTTTTTTCCAAGGTTTTTTCCTCGGTTTTTTCTTTATATCTTGAGAGCTTCCACCCTGTATATGCAACTTACAACGAGGCACACATTTTTTAGAGCTGGCAACCACGCAATTTTTAGGAGGGGAAAGCTGTCGCTATCGAGAGAGCACGAATGTTGGTTACGTTTGCATCTTGTCGTTAATGGCAGTCACGAAAGCATCGCTCCGTAAATATTTGTTGTTTTTTGTGTTTATCTAATGTAGTAACGAGTGTAGTAATGTAATCTTTGCATTTCTTTATAATGTATTTGTGTTTTGTATGCAGCATTTTATATTTTTTGTAAGTTTCAATCTTTGATTTTGAAGTTGACTTGATTTAACTTTGGATTTAACTAAAATGCAGATTCGTGTGTTTCCCTTTATCTCGCCCTTTGTTTGAAATCGCGTTCATTTTTGGTGTAATGTTAACCAAAATTTTTGTTTATGTTCCGATTACATGGTCTTGGCTCCAACTTGTATTTATATTTTTGATCATTATTTTAAACATACGGAAATTATTGAATTTTTTGTTGTGTGAAACTGTAACCAACTGAGTTTGCGACACTCACTACAGGGACTGATCTCAACAATCAAATGTAGGCTCGAAACCCCGAGCGAGGGGCGAGTTATCTCATCTCGTGGGCAAGATTTTACTGATTTAGGCCATACAACTTTCCAAGGTATTTATTGCACCAAACGTAAGTCACATTCTGTGTATTTCACCCTTTCTCAGAATCTTGGTATCTGCGCTTACTTGGCCCATTGTTCCCAAAACTTGTTTTGACTTATATGTCACATCTCGAAACCTACATGCTACATATTTTGATAATATTGTTATAATTTTATGTCTCGTTTTATGTTATGCATTCACATCATTACAAACAATTAATTTTGCTACATAAAATTTAATATTAATTTGTCGGCTGATTTTTTCTTGGTAAGTGCTTTTTCCCCTGCCTATTTCTGTTTTTACTCTATGTACTACCATTTACAAAGTTTATTATTGCAATGTAATTTATTTCTACTAAATTTTCGAGCTTTCACAATCTTCATCATAATAACAATATTTATTTATTAAACAACATTTTGACATTTCAATGTTTTATTTTGCGTTCCTTCCCTACCGTACTTCAGATCATAGCTCGGGTCATAGCGTTGTTTAGATTTTTCGACTTCAAATTTAAGCGGGATTCTGTTTAAATTTTGGAGGGAATAATCATTGGGGTCGCCGTTTTTAAACGTTGCCGGATTGATTTTATTTACGTGTGCTAGTAGTGTGAAATTAGCGTAGAACCTGGGGGTTAAGCATACTGCAAAATCTTGAGGAATTATGCTGAAATTTGCTATATAAGTAACGCTGAAGGTCATGTCAATGGTACTGAAGATCTACAGGGTGTTGTTTTTCTGTGCAATACTGGTAGATTGTAAAATAAGAACTTGATTTCCTGACCTTTTCTCCTGTAATTTCCTCGTACTTGCTGCCGTTACTGAGAACAACCGACTACAAATACTCTGATACCAAATATATTAGTGAGATTAAAAGGGCATTAAATTGAAGGGATTTTCATTGCATTAAAGATTAATTTCCGAGTTAATTTCATTCAAAACCACATTTCATTTGGAAGAAACCATTTTTAAACCCTGGGGGCTGCTCTTCGACCTAACATCCTCAAATGTTAAACAACGATATAGACAGACGGACATTTTCAAACTAAATTTAAGTCGAAGTCGGCGGACTTTGAACAATAAATAATAAAGTAAGCAACTCGGCAACAATGAATCATAATGTCACATGAACCGAAACCAGTTCTAATTAATTACTTATTCAAATTTATACACCACTCGTCTCATTTCCTAGTATCGGTCGGTGATTAGAATAGACTAATCTGAAAATACAATTAAAATAAATGTGAAATCCAAGGGGAAATTTGTACGGTTAGACGGGTATACCTACTCAATCTCTATAGGAATTAGGAATTATCGTTCAATTAAGAAATTGACGACATTTATTTAACCGTACCCTATCCATTCATTGATCAATGTGACTTTTTTGTACCTTTTGCATAGATCCTTAGCTGCACCTGCACTCGAAGTCAAGAACTCTAGACCACCTGTTTGCATGCTTTGGTAAATAAACACTTAGTTACCTATCATTAATTAGAAACGAACCCAATCTCACTAAGAACAATAATAACAGCAAATATCGCAATATTCCTATATAATTTTTATTGGACTTTTTTTTATTTTCAGACTGAAAAAGTTCAGTGGATTCACGGCTGTAATTTTCACGTGGAAAACTTATAGGATTTCGGTTATCTAATCTGTTATCGTTATGTAAATATTACAAATTTTCTAAGACCAATGTAGTATAAAATAGATGAGTAACAAAATACCGCAAAGGCGGCTAAGACGAACCTTTACCCAATTAGTCAACATTGGAAAAACAAACCGGTAGAGAACCTAAAGAGAGAAGATTTATTTAAAAGTGATTGACCACCACAGGCTCGAGAAGTCAAAGAATGCAACAAGGCCATAAAACCGGCCTTTATTACTTGCCTGAAAATACCCAACAGTGCACTTTTTGGTGCCATTTTCGCCTCTTTGGAAAACTAAAACGTCGCGACACAAGTATAAATGTGTGATGAGCTCAGTGGAGATCGAATTTAACGGGCTGCAATTAACAGTTATAATACCATCGACGTGTAACATTTGAAAAGTTTCACCTATCTTGTAAATGAGAAACATTAAAAATGCTTACCGAAGAATCATTTAATCCAAATCATAATGTTCTGCTATTGTATATCACTGTTAACCTTTTCGCACTAATGTATTAAATTTAACTACGGCCTACGTGAACTCCACACGATTAGAATCGGCATGCACTCGCTTGACTGCTGGTCACTTTTCTGTTTACCTTTAATTACCACCTGCTAAATTATCCATCTATTGGACAGGTAAGCAGTTTGTAACTTGGCGTATTTACAAATAGATGGTGTAATAGCGTAAAATTACATTTTCCTTCCCGGCTTTTTGTGATATTTAACAAGCTAGGAGGTAGGCAACACACAATAGGAGTAGGTACCAAAGATGATAGTCATCAACAGTCCTGTGACCATAGAATTACCAATAATTCTATGCCTGTGACAGTAAAATCTGTGGTCCCTACAATTGAACCTATTCAAAAGTAAAAGCAAGTAAAAGTAAAGTACCTACGTCTATATTTTTGAGGGCTGCCTTATAATGTTTTAGAACGTAGAAATACGTGTATCGAAAATGGGATCCACTTCAGGCACCCACAGAGTAACAATAGTGTATTTTGTCTGTGGTAACATTAACATAAGTCTCAGGGGTAACAAGACTTAAAAAACCAAAAAGAATTTTCTCGCTGCATGTCGTACAGCTGTTCGACTAAAATATCTAAAATGGTAAAAGATTTATAAAAAAATCTACAAAATGGCTAGGTATAGAATTTCCTAAACCATGCAGCGACACTATCTCTGCCCAGAGGAAGGCCTCCCCTAGGCAATTTAAACCTGGGCGCCACCAATTGCATAACTATTAATAGATCCATTTACTAAAAATGTTGATAAGATGTTGTTGAAGTTTTGCGTAATTGGTATCTGCAAACAATTAGAATTTTCTGCGTCCTCTAAAAGAAAGGTGGTTTTGGTGCATAAAAGTATCAATCACTTATCGCAACTCATATTTTATACTGTCATAGAGGAACCTCTATGATACTCTCTGTATATTCTTCTAGGCCCTTAGCCAGGTGGTGGCTAGAGAAGATTCAGTCGCACCTAGAAGACTTAGAACGGGTCGGTCGGTCGAGTTTTTATTACAAAAAATTGCATTTTTTTTTGCACCAGAAAGGGGCTATATACTTTTATGTGCAGTTAAGGATCTTCTCTTATATATATGGTATTTCCTCCTTTGATTATATACTATCAAAGATTTCCTCTATGGCTCCGCAACGCCATCTAATTTTTCTTTTTCAAATAACTCACAATGTTTATTGTTTCTGTGTACAACTATATTGTTTAAATACTTTATTTAAACAATGGTACAACCTACAAAAAATGTGCTAGGTTTCATTACAAAAAAAAATTATACTGAAATTTGCTATATAAGTAACGCTGAAGGCGAGGCTGAAGGGCTTATATCATTATTCATTAGTCATGTCAATGGTACTGAGAATCTACAGGGTGTTGTTTTTCATGGGTCATGATCCATTTTCTGTGCAACACTGGTAGATTGTAAAATAAGAACTTGATTTCCTTATTTTTTTCTCTTGTAATTTCTTCGTACTTGCTGCCGTTACCGAGAAAAAAATCAATTTTCGATAGTAAATGAAAGTTAAATGGTCCAGTAGGCCCTGGTTTTAATTGCGTTTGCATATGTTTACAAATTAAAGATTTAATTCCAGGTTTAATTTGTAAAGTGTACGGGGAAATTGTAACACCCTGTAGATCGATAACAAAGCGTCTGCGGACCTATGTTCATATGAACTTTTAGTCATACAATAAGTTAAAGAATTAGCCCCTTCCGTATTTACCTCGGTATTTACATCATATTTAGGACCACCTCTCAACGATTAAAAGCTCTCCAAGTAGGGTAGGTACGCTCTTAGAGGAAGAAAAGGAAAAGAAAAGCTTTTAGAAGACCGAGGGAGGTTCGTGGACACGATTTGCCATTTCTAAATGTTTTTACAGACCTTCAAGCTCACCTTCAAAGAGACCGACAGACAGGGCCGGTGAAAGGCTATTTGGCGCCCTAGGCGAGATGTTCTCAGCGCGCCCTTCCGGAGGTTATTCCTAGGTACCAGTACCAGGCAAAAAATAGAAGTGGCGTTCATAAATTCTCTATTGTGTTTTCTTCAAATACATATAATAACATAACGACATAACGTGTAGACGGTAGGTATACAAAAACGCATATCCAAAGATATTAGGGTAGGGATATACACACAGAACACACAGAAAATCAAAAATTCATCTTCCTTGCCTTATTTCTCGCGGACTGCTGGACTAGCTGTTCTAAATTTACATTGCATGCCTCCTTCGATTCAATTGAGATCATTGCCAAGTCCACGAACCTATTCTGAGACATTGTTGATCGCAAAAATGTCTTTATCAGCTTTAGCTTGGAGAAACTGCGTTCTCCGCTCGCCACCGACACTGGAAGCGTCATTAAAATTCGAAGGGCAATGGATACATAAGTGCGCATAGGCCGCCCTCGCTTGACTTGAGAGAGGTGTGCGATCCGAAAGTAGTCGGAATTTTGTTAAGCATCAAAATGCTCAATTTTGCCAAATTTAAACTACTTATCTGTTACAGGTCCCGAGATCCCCATGTTGACCCTCCAATTTGAATCAGTCTGTATATTATAATTTTAAGTAGGTAGCCGGAAAGTCGAATTAGGAGTTTACCTGACAACTAGTTTATAAACTTGTTAGGATGCTGTAATTCAAAAACCATTAGATACTACTGTATTATTTCTAATTTTTACAAATCTTATGTATGGAGCTAATTTATAGTAATCCCATGGGGGCAGTTTGATTCAGCCTGTGACTTTTCAAAACGAAAATATTGGGTGTGGCTATAGTTATTTTTCCATTTTGTCGAATCTAACACGGTTAATGCGAATATTTAAACCAATATATTACTTTCGAAGCAATAGTTATTTGTACAACTAGAGAAGGACATGGAGTTTCTTTCTTCTCAAGTTTTACACATTATTTTTTCTGAAACTACATCAAAATTGTAAATTATCGTATGCAATAATGAATTTGACACATAGCAATCTAGATACGGGTACCTATGTGTCAATTTTAAATGTCATTATTAAGATTTTCCTCACTAGAGGGGAAAATTACATTTTCTTCACTCTTTTTAGAGGCGAAATTAATTAAGTAGTTGTTTCTAAAGTAGTTTCAGAAAATTTCGAGATTTTTATAATTGTCAATTCGACTTTCGCCCTAGGTTTTGCATACTCAACCCTGCTTGCATACTACCAGTGCAGTCGTATTGATATTCATATCACTGAAGAACACGGTTACACTTAGCAATGCGTACCTATACTCTTTGCTAATAGTTATTTACTTTTTGCTAATATTTATTATACACCTTTTACAGCAAATACTCTTTAGATACCATGTGCCAAGATTACAAGATATCGCGTTTCTTATTTCTAGGGGTATTCGCGCCAAAATAGCTGCGCTCGCCTCATGCCCACATACAAATTTTAGTATTCAAACTTATTTTTTATACAACGATTAATTTTATCAAAACGGCATTTACAATACAATTACTTATAGCCACTAGGTAAGCTAAACCGGGATTAATCGTTAGGTAAGAGCACGTGAGCGAAAGTGATAAAAATTACGTGTGAGCGTTGAGTGAAAACTACGTTATTCAATGGAATCAGAGTCTCACAATTTATTCTAATATTAAGTTTATAATATTCGAATTATTACGTAAGGTTTACACCTAGGTTTACACATTTTAGGTGTTTTGTGTATTAGTAATTATCGATTGTCCATTCGCGGGAGATTTCCAAATCGAAAGTGAACGTGCGCGCGCCCGCTATTCTTTGACGTCACTCTTTGTCACGATGTTAGCAACATATCCCATTAATCGTCCTTGTTGCCTGTTGGTGAATCACTTTTTGACAGATCACCATCAGCGCGAGTGTGTGTGTATGTTGTAGAATTTGGATAGCGTGCAAATTTTCCGAATTTTTACACAAAATTACAAAATAAGTTGGAAATGAAAATTTGGACCAGTGAACACATTTTTAAGTGAGTATATTTATGGAAATTTCAATATGGGGAGTGGCCAATAATCAAATATTGCAGTCATCCTTGGGAAACTGTGGCCACAGCGGCCTGGAGGAAATACCCTAACCCCCATAATCCAGCTGTAATCGGAACCGATGTAGTTGAAAGAAAAGTGGTCGATGGAGTTCTACATACACACAGACTTGTCAGTTCGAAGTGGTACTTTCCGAGATGGACGCAAGCTGTAAGTTCCCTGATTTATTATTCATTCCCTTTTCATTATTACATTTCAATTGACATTGACCTTAGTGGCAACCTTGTTGAGTTCGTAACATTTCCAATGTAGTGCCTTCTATTATTACCTTGGAAATTATCCAACTGTTTAAGGCAATTAGGCATGTGCCCAACGAACTTTAATCCTTGTCTGTATTCATTCTCATAAGTTTAAATTTAGAGCAGTTAATATTAACTTTCAATTCGTTTTAAGTTCAGGAATTTGTATATACAAAAAAAGTGGGCTACTTGTGTCTAACGTACACGTGCATAAAGGTCAAAATTCTCCGTCTTTTGTGACATAACCTAATAAGCGTCACTAAAGAGAGGTTCACAATTGCATGGCTTGCTTTAATTATCAATGTAATTTTTGTATATTCTTTGAATTTCATGTTACTAATGCTATTTCCAAAATGAGCCATAGCATGTTTGAACTTCGTCCAGACAGAAAAGTGCCCTTATCTTAATTGTCGTATGTTGACCTGTATAGATAGTAAAAGTTGTTGGAAAACCCATTTAACTATGCCAATTCTTCTACTAGCCAACTAATAATAATCTCATTGCAGTTAATCGGATCGGCAAAAATTTGCTATGCGAGTGAAAAGTCTGTGGTGAATCCATCCGTACGAAAAATGATCCTGAATACTGTGAACTTAACATTTTGTCGATACGTGGCCGTCGACGAGACTCTATGTTACACACCCCACCCGACAGATCCCGGCAAAACACTACTGAAACAAGAAGCCGTGGTGACCGTTCAAGGCGTACCCCTAAATAACTACATGGAAGACTTGCTCACGAACAAAATTTCTCTAAACGCGGGGAAGGGAAGACAGGCGATGGAATGGGTCATAGGAAAAATAAACGCTGAAGTGAAAGATTTCACTAAGAGTACTGACGAAATTTTGCACCAAACTAAAAAATCATTAGACGATATTACTAGTACAGCTAAAAAGTCAATGGACGACATCTCACAAAAAGCGATGAAAAGTTTAGACGATATACAACCACTAAGGCAGAAATTTTAATATTGAAAGTGTTTAGCAAAAAATTAATTCTGTTGTATGACTGCAACAAGTATTATTGTTATTTACATTTTTTTATAATGTGCCTTTCTAAATCTAGAGAGTATATAATATTTATTTATTACTAGAACTTTTAATATTGTATGTACTTCAGTGTAATTATTGTATGAATGTGTGAGTGACGTCAACAACATTCCCTTCGTAAGAATGTTAATCTCAAATGTAAATATTTCAATAGAATTAAATACGCAAGTTGATTTTTATTTGATTTCTTCACCTTTTGTTTCAGTACTGTATTAAGTTTGCAATGAATTTTAATAAATGTTATTTTTATAATTTCGTTCTAAACAATTGCCAAAGGAATTGGCCAAATGTATAAATCTCAAATGGAAAAGTTTATTACGCAATCATACAGTTAAGATAAAAAGCATATCTTGCATAATCTAATCTAACAAGATTGTTAATTTAATTGTTTCTGGACAAAGTTAAATTACAAAGCAAAGTTTTCACTGCGTTTAAGCTAGAAATCATTTAATTGAACTTTCTATTACTTGAGGTGTGTTAATGTGAATAGGACGTAACTGCCACAAACTAATTTTGTTGCAACTGTGTCTGAAGTTTTAGGAGAAAGCTTGCATCTGCTATTATGCCGTATTTTGAACATTTATTTTGATGTCTGGTAGCTTGTAGATCATTTTACTACCCTAAACCTGTTTTTCCAATACCTACCCCAATCCATCAGCCAATTATGAGTAATTTCAGTACAATGTACAACTAAGTTTGGAGAAAAAGCAAGCAGCTAAATTTGCCACAATAATCTGTACTACCAATTCTTTTAGGCAATTATTTATATTTGAATGGGGGTTTACAGTATAGTCGAATTCCGCAGTTCTAATTTACTAAGCGTGTACCTGAAACCCTAAAACATTTTTTTGGACAGTAAAAGTTTATTTAAAAATAGAGGCTGATTAGCAAAAAAATAATGAACATGTGCGGTTTTAAAGGTTTATTCAAAACGATATGATTGTGGCGGGCTCTGTGACGTAATAAGCCCGACCAATCAGCTCCTAGAACCATTCAGATGACATAACGACTTGGCAATATTGCAGGAGAATGGCATTTATAACTTGCGTCATCTGTCACAGGCACTTGTCACTTTCGTGCTAGATGCAGTTAAACATCCCTCTCAAAACGTCAAATGTGACAAACGTCAGACCCTCGCGTAAGGTTGCCAGCTCACTTCTACGTGATTGGTTGTAGGTTTGTGACGTATTTAGTCTGAAGCGTTTCAAATTCGGACTAAAAACACAGCTTTTCAATAATTTATTTTGGGTTTATTTTACTCGCAAATAAAAATTGAGGACACACGGGTCTTTTTATTTTTAATGTACTTTGTGGATCAGGAATAAAAAATGAAGGCGGGATGACCCCATTGTTTACCTTATTTGATTCGCATGAGAAACCACTTAGGTACCTTTGATTCGCATGGTGACATTTGGCATTTATTGAGAGTTGCAGTATAACCAGCCTCAAGAACCCTGCAGTCAGAGGAGGAGTACTTTACAGTTTAGTGTATGGGACAACAGAACAAAACACCGAAGTATGTATATAAATTTCTACAAGAATTATGCAATAGAACCATTGAATAAGTAGGTACTTTAGTACCTAATAAGTGCTTATTCAATAACAGAACGAAATTTACATAAGATTCTTGTAAATTAATTTGCATTGGATACTGTTGTAATTAAACCAATGACAATTGATTGGTGTGGCAAGAGCGGTGCACTATTGGAAGACACCACAATTTAAAAAAAATTACCTTATCAAACTGAATTGTTCTAGAGCAGTGGTTCTCAAACTTATTTCTATGGTGCCCCCTTTCATAAAACTAAAATTACTCATGCCCCCCCCCCTATCCCGATTAAAAAATAAAAAGTGGTTACTACAAACGTATTTATTAAAAAATTACAGGGTGAGTTTTTTTTCATTATGGTGACTCTGAAACCGTTAGACATACAAAGCCGTTTGGGGCAAATTTATGCAAAATTGTATGGTGATAAATATTTACCTCAAATACATCAGGGATCTCGCGCCCCCTTAACAACTCCGTGCGCCCCCCTGTTGCAGAAACACTGTTTAGAGGTTTGAGAATGTCAGATTTTCTAATAGTCTACTGGTGGCGGGACGTCAGTTTGAGTTTGAAAGAAAATTATTGAAAGACCCGAATTTGTATCAATCTTCGAAAATTACGGTGAACGATTATGTTGACGTTCTGGATGTCGAGTGTTTTTTCGACTGTAAAGCATAAAATCCTGTTTTTCCTGTTCTCGTTGGAATTTCGGAAAATTGAGGGGCGGGGCGGGGAGCGTCGTTGTCAGCAGATCGACTGATAGAGCGTGGTCGAAACGGTTCTGCTCTTGCAGGCGGAGTGCTGGTCGTTTCTTGAAGCGCCGTCGAAGCAGGAATTGCTGTGCGGAGTTCGAAGCTTTGCTTTTAAAAGTTTGCGACCAGGGACGTACGCTACGCTCTGATCGGTAAGCCGTTTTTACCAATTAGGGTGCAGTACGTTTTAGCAAAGAGTAACCATAATACTCTTTGGTTTTAGTTTGCTGCCGGATGTGTATATGTGGCGACTTAATCTTTCTCCAGCGCAGTAGCAAACATTTTCGGACATGGTGCGTTGATGCGAAAGAGTGGCATCGATCAAAGATGCAGTTTTCTGGGCAGAAACTGGTAGCTGGAGCGAATGTGGACTGCTGTAGTTCACGATTTGCGGTGAATGCTGGCTTCAGACGATCGACTGATACTTTTAGATCGTTACGGCCGTTTAGAAATATGACAAAGTGTTTGCCGTGCCTGATAATTGCCGTGAACAAGGCCCGCCTTACTCCTATAAGGGTTGGAGTGATCCCTTTCGGCCTTCGTTTCCCATAAAAGCGTGTGAGCCGGTATACAGTTCCGGATGGACGAAAATTCTTTGCTTTCCATGTATTCTTGCTTGGGATATGGCCGTAAGAAGGCGGATCTGAGTGTCTTACAGCAAACTCAGTTGTGTCCGAATGATGCAAGTTTTAAGAGCTTATTTGTTGACCCAAAAAACCCAAGGCAATTTAACGGCAACAAAAATTCAAGTTTATAAATTACTCTTTATGCCCATATGCGCTCTAAAGATTAATTAAGCAAAGCTTTCAGCAAGTAGGTAATGGCGATAACTGATAATGCTCCATAGTTGGTTTGTAAATTTTACTTGAAAAGCAAATATAAAAGAGTTTGTAAACATCCGGCATAACAAAGTTTATGGAAATGTAAATCTGGAACAACGTTATATTCTTTTTGATCATTAATTGTTAAAGAGTACTCTACGTCAGTGAAGTGCACATTTCACAATTATGGCACACAGTGGAAAAAATACACGGGATAAATTAGAACAATATTAATGTATCGCGTACAAGAATGAGAGATTATATAGGTAGTATATCGCAGGTTTATGGTAAACGATATCCCCGTATAGCCCATTTTCGGTTTCTGTGTAGCGTCCTGGTTATTATGTAGGTACATTAAAACACCACAGCACAGATTATAATCTGTGACCACAGTTAAACTATTCTTTGGTTGATCTCAATTAAAAAATCCAAATTAGTAGGTAATCTTTTTTTGAGAAAAGGCGACTTTTTTCCAAACGTGTTTGGAACATTAAATGGATAATTTAAATTTGGGATCCCTATATTCATACATAAAATGCATATGTACTAGTCAATGATATGTATAAAACGTTCATATGTCCAAATTTGGGTGGCAAATGCAATAAATAAAAAATGTATTAAAATGCGATCTATGAGAAAATAAAAGTAACTATAAATTAAAAGGAAGTCAATATCTACTTAAACGACGCAAATGTTGATTTCTGTACTAGACCAGTAGAAACCACGTTAACGTTTACTCGTATATCTGATAGATGGAGCAGTTATGCCGTTACTCTTATTTTATTTTAAAATTGAAAGAAAATGATAATTCTCTTATAATTAATTAGGGAACAACCTCCGAAATGATTGCCTTTAAGTTCAATATTTTCTTACTACTAAAAGTTGTAAAGTTTCCTAAGTTTTTAAAGGAAGTACACCCAAAATTACCAAAAATGTATCAGATATACCTATCAGGTGATCCAAATGTCATTTATTTAAAAGCAGTGGCAAAACAATTTAATGGGCAACTAAAAATAATCAAATTTAGTTAGTTAAGGAACATTAATTTTTCAAGCACAAGTTTACAATTAAGTACTTCATCACAATGATTGTCCAAAATGTCCACCACCATGTTCAAGACACAGTTGCACTCGACGGGTCATATTTTCAAATACAAGTTCATTACCTCGTCTACGATCGCATTTTAAAGTGCAAGCGATTTCGAAAAATGTTATTCTTTAATGTGGTAATTAAACAGAATAAATCTAGTGGGGTAAATCTGGCGAACGGGGAGGCCATACACCTCTACTGATTAAACGATAATCGACAAATTATTGTAGGTCGGTAGAGTGGCGTTTGGTGTATGGGCTCCTGCACCATCTTTGCTGGAAATGTTCTTTTCGTACGTCTTCTAGATATGCCAACCCAAATACCAATCGCCATAAGATGCAAACTGGTTTCTTCAAAATTATGGGGGCTTTTGGTTGGTCACGTGCGAAAGTTTTGGCTATTAACCTGATAAATGGACCCACACTTCGTCATTGATAAAAATTAGATTTAAAACTTCTTTGTTGTTTTAAATGATTATTAAACCAGCGACAATAGTTGGGTCTACTTTCGTAACCTCGTGCAAGTGATTGTTGGACAATCGCGAAGATGAACTTGCAATGATAACAAATACAGATGTTATCGTTTCTATTAAATTACACCTACTATAGCCTGATTCGATGATTTGCGAATTGATTTCTTAAGTGTTATAGTGCGCCATTACTATGAACGCATTATGTTCTGGGGTAAAAGCCATTCTCGATTCTAACTAAAGACCAGGGTTATATAATCTTTATTGTAAAGTGCTGCTCTGAAAAGAACTATTTGTTTTAAAATGCAAAATTCGGGGTACCTATAGAGACAGGAAAAGAAAAATATAGGTAAAAAAACGCCAATGGATTGTAGTAACTGTGTTGTTGAGCGCATGCGCAATCAAGTTTTTTTCAATTGTTAAGGTATTTAAATGGAATGTGTCAGGATATTTAAATGAAATTTTGTATGTAGGCATCTCGAATAAAGGTAAAATGAATGCCGAATCAAAAAATTCGTTTTGCGCATGTGCATCCGATTTTTCTTATTTGTGAAAATATTTAAATGAAATTTTGTATGTAGGCACTTTGAATAAAGGTAAAAGAAGGTAAAAATTCAATAAATAGGTTTTGCGCATGCGAAATTCGTTTCAAATAAAATACGCAAAACAATTATTGCGCATGCCCAGACCCAAATTCGTTATTTGTAAACTAATTCTTCTAAAATTTTAGGATAGGATTCTTCTTAACAAACTGAAACTGAAGCAGCACGTCAAAAATGGATTGCACATATGCAACGCTACCTTTCCTATTTGTGGCCGGATTTTTACGATTTTAACAGAAGTTGCATCTTACAAATGGGAAATGAAAGCAAGTGGAAATGCGCTTTTTGTAAATTACTTTTTTAAATTATTTATTAATATTTCCGCATCATTACATCAACAGGAGGTGATCATGTGAGTATACCTAATTTACTTTTAAGAATATACGTTATTACGTAATATTTACAATGTGTAATTCAAAAGTGGTTTTCCAAAATAATATAAGACATCAATTTCAAATAACGTATTTCAAGTTTATTTTACAGTTTAAATAAACATATAATGTAACCACTGAATCGTGTTTCAGAGAATTCAGAGAATTTAACGGTTACCTGACGTTATTAAGCCCCCCAGGTACGATCATGAAATTGATAAAAATAGTTAGAGGGCACCTTAATTATGCGTTTGAACAAAACAATTGCGGGAGAAGCCCTAAATTTTCCACAATCTTAATACACAGTTCACATAATTTCGTCGAAATGTGAGGTAATGTTACTCCATATTTCATGATTACTTATAAGTTGGTAAGAGTGTGCATAACATTCCAACTTCAATTTCGCAAGAGGTTATGTTATGTCTCCACGATAGTATATCCCAAATTTGGTTTTTTGCTGCCCCTAAATTTGACGCTATAGACCCCATGGTAAATCCGGCCCTGAGTACAAAGCAAGACTAAAACTTTTTCGGTACTTCGAATTGCTCACCGTTCACCCTTTTCAAATTCCATTAGGTTCTTCAATTTTTTCGGATTCCTCAGATCGTAAATATTCTTCAGATTCTGCCATTTTCTTTTTTTCAGTCTCTATATATCGCTTATCGTTTGGGTCCTTCCATTTTTTCTAATTCCTCACGTCCTTCGGATTCTTCTCATTTTCAGATTATTTTAATATCCTTTACTTCTGATTCTTCAGATTAATCATGTTTCTCCGACCCTTTCCTATCTTTAGAAATGTATCCGATTCTTTAATTCATTCCCTTTTCCCAATACCTTGGTAGTCGACATTTATCAGATTCATTAGAATAAGGATGCTTGGGATTTTTAGCATTATTCGAATTTTTGACCTTCCATTTATTCAGGTTGATGGTTGTTATAGATATTTGGATTCTTCCATTTTGTGGACATTTTAGCTTGTTTTGATTCTATCGTATCGTCGTTCAAAATTTTTACTTCTAGTTTAGGCGTTCGCGTCACAAAATCCTATATATGATCGAAACGATAACGGTGAAGTGGATTTAATTAGAGCCTAAACTAATTCTCTTGCCGCTACTGAAATCTCTTCTTGATGCTAGAGCAAACTTTGGTGGATTTCATCTAGAAAAATCTACTTACCGTTTAGTAAAAATTAAAGAATCCGTGTTTTTTTTGGCAATGAAACCATTCTACATTTCCCCTTAGGTACATGCTTGTAGTGCAGGAATGCTTCAGACTCTTGAAATCCGTCAGGTCTTTCAGATACTTAAGACCGTTTTTTTCTCCAATCAGGCAGATCATTCTAATTTTTCCAAATTCTTTAGTTTCTTCAGGTTTTTCGTACCTACTTTTGTAATGTTTCCGATGCTTTGGATTCTTCAGCTTGATAGGATATTCTTCATCAATTCGTCTAATTCATTCATGCTTTTAGTTATTCGGTTCATTTCCTTTCAAATTCTTCTTCGAATGTTGGAATCCTCGTTTCCTTTCGTTTTAAAATTCCTTAGATCGTTAAATAAAAAATTCATTCAACGCTCAGACTCTTCAGATACTTGCGCCTCTTCGAAATGTATCAATTTTTCGGTTTCTTTTTGTCTTTACATTGAGAAACCTTTGAGAGAGTGCCCCACTCAGCCTCTTGGGTAAACTTTCTTTTTCTTAATAAAAATCTATGTTGATGGTGAGAAGATCGGCTATAGTGAGTGTGTATAATGAAAAATTCTAGCCCCGTTAAAGAGAATGGAATGCAATTGCAATAAGAAAAGAATCAATGATCACCCACTGACGGGGAAGAACGTGTCGGTTTAATCCAAGGCGAATGTGGGACAAATAGGCACAGATTAATTTAAGACAGACGCGGATTCACTATAAGGGAAATACTAGATTATGTTTTAGTTTTAGTCTGCAACTGCCTAGCTAAATATTTATGGTGTCTTCGGCCACCCATAGAGGTGAACAAAACACGCTGGTATACAAACTCCTTGAATTTCTAGAATATTTAGTCCAATCTCTTCTCAAGTTGGGAGAATATCTGCTGAAAATATCTTCAATAAAAATCACAATTTCACATTACATAAATCACGCATGCAATTATACAATATATATGCATGCATTTTTATGAATCGCATTGTCGTAATTTTATGCAAGAATCAGATAATCAAGTGCAGAAATCTGTATATTGTTGAATATTTATTGCGCTTGACGCCCTCAAGAATGTTTCGATGGTCATCGCTATCACATGACTCTTGACCCAAGATAACTTTCTGTAATGCAAAAAAGTTAATTAATTTTTTAATTGCACGTCTCAATGTTAAAACACTAAATATGTCACGTACTTAACGTCTGACTGGCGTACGGGAAATATTCTTAATCACTCAACAATTTAGGATAAATTGAAGTATTGCATGCATACGTTTGTTGTGGAAAGGTACGGTCTTGGTTAAATCAACATACGCTGAATATGTATGAGAGACGTACATTTTACCTTTATGGATATGCTCTCAGACCTGTTTGAATACCGTACAATTAATTGAATATGTACCACGGCGACAATATATACTGAATTACAGGTAGAGACATATCTATACTAAAAATAATGAACGCTCGATTTATATTATTTCCTAAGTTCTCACAGTAAATATGTTGAGAAGATAAATCCGCAGGAAGAAGTGGCTCTATTCTGCTGAAAGTAAATAAATTTGTTACATACAGTAAATAAGTAAATCTAGTAGAAGTGGCTGTTAATATATTCTCAGCGCATAGAGAAATTCTATTGCAAATAGGAAGATTGCGCACAGGTTCCCAGATTGTATTATTACATATATGTCAATTATCGGAGAACCTACTTTAATCATTGTTATTAATAGACTATTGAGTTATAAATGTTATACATATAACAGTTGGAAATTATGCATATACGAAAAAGGCATCAGTATGAACAAAGATGAGAAACTGAAACCATCGTTATGTCATCATTCTTTCTCTAAACACGCAGATTCCGTTTATTGCAGTTTTCCATACGAAGGTGCTCGCTATTTATCCTAGGACTTCCAAATTCCTATTCCTATTTTTTTAGGTTTTCTGTTGGGCCCATGTTAAAGTTTGTTTTCTTAGTCTTCTGCCGTTGGCATTTAATAAGGTAGCAGTGAAGGGGATTAATGAAATGAATGCACTATTTTGAAAGAATTAATCGAAAATAAACGTAATAAGAAAACATTAAAGGGCGGCATCTTAATTTGATTATTCGTTCGTTGAAACAATCTCCTTGATAATCTCGACCGCTCGTAAGGAACTGTGATGTAAAGGATGATAATAAAAATGCGGGATGTAATCAAAATTCACGCATATAAAAAATATATAATTAAACTACAGTTAATATATAATAAAAAAAATATCTTCTTTATGACCCGAACGTAACCCCGATCTTATCGAAAATTGCAGTTAAAGTCCCATAATAAATTTTACAATACAAAAACGCATCTAAATGCATTTTGTTAAGTCACAACCTTGCAGATTGAAAAAATTGATTAGCAATGGCACGTGTTAAGCAGCTAACGGTTTTTTAAAGATAAATCAATCCTTTAAATGACGATTTTTACTTGTCGGCTTGGAAATAATTCCTCTTATTGTAATTGTATTCTTCCACAAATCATTCACGGTAATTCGTGAGTACACTAAATCGAAGTGTTCAATTTTAAGGTCTTTGGCAAATTGGGGTTGCGTTTTATACATAATATTCAAGCAATTTCAACTGTAGAATGGCCTCTTTGAATTAATTCGATATTTCATAATGTTGAGGTAGAAAGGAAGTGTTAAAGCGTTACATCCAGCTGGCAGAAGCAAATTTGATAGGTTTTCGTTATGACTTATGAGTAGACCTCTGCTGTTGTTAGCTCTCTGTTGCCAATTGGGGTAGTTTGTCTTCAGAATCTTCAAATACTGACAGTAGCACGTTGTCCTTTAAAAAAATCGAAATTAAAGTAGGTACGTTAAAGTAGAAAACAAGCCTAAACAGCAATATCGCGCTTGTCTAAGAAGTTTGACAAAATATTGAAGGGTTAGAAGTCTAATTTGTCACGATTTGTGCTTTGGCTAACCTTCCTTTGTTAAATGTGTTGGATTCTGTACATAATCTTCTAGAGATTTTGTAACAGGTGGTCGCTTTAGGCGTTAAAGATCCTTTTATTAAACTTACAAGTTTACCGGTATAGGAAATTTTATGCGTGTACCGCTTCATAGGGATGAGAACAGAACTTACATTCACACATCAAGATAAGAAGCGAGTGTTGAAGCAGATAAGAGTCGAAACGCTACAGTGTTCTATAACCGTCGCCACGGAGGATGTGATGGTTACCCTCGGCTATACGTACCCCCATGTAGACAACACGCAGCTAAAGTGGAGTTCTCTGGAGGTCCGTTTCCGTTTTTTAGAACCTCATTGCTCACCAAAAGGTCGAGGTGAGTCTATGTAACTCATGTGTTACAATAGCGTAACGTTTGTATTAATTGAAAGCGGAAACGAGTGCGTGTCATCGAACGATTAGCAGCAGTCTCGTACGTTATATTTTAGTGCGAAAGTTGAAAGTACGAGTAATTACTGCTAGAGAAATTGTGCCGCCATTTTTACGAGTTTATTGAAGTGGGTGCCTTCGAAATTGGTTACTAGTTGCCATTATAAGTAAATTAATAATACATGGCTGGTTTAAGCAGAAAGAGAAATTGATTGCGTAATGGAGCTGGCAGATGCATTTTTAAAGACGCCCAAGGTGCAAAACATTTCGTTGCAATATATTTGGAGTGGCAAGTTACGTTAAAAACAGTTTATTAATCAGCTAGTTTGTTTATACAAGGTGTTCTTAACATTATAAATAAACGGCCACCGGTAAAAAGGTTAAAGACAATTAATTCGTGGTTTGTTGGCTCTCAAACCCCTAAGGGTTATAAGGTAATTTTGCACATTCTTATCCTGTGGAACACTAAACCAAATTGGAACTAATAAATTGTGAGGAACCTGAATCACAGTTGTGCCGGATTCAAATTAGTCAATCATCTTGCGAGATTCATTTTCGACGAGTAACCAAATATCTGTTTACCTGGCTATACAAAATGTTGGATTGTATTGTATTTTGCGCATTTTGTTTAAAAATGTTACCCAAACCAAAAATATTGGTAATTTTTTTTCTTTAATTGTGAAGTGGTTCTTAATACTATTTTTCTGTGTGGGATAAATTTTATTTTGCATCCAGAGGCGTGTACATTTGTTTTTGAAAAGAATTTTGTGCCCGGTGAATATAATAAAATCTAAGTAATTAATAAGATTTGGGCGTGATCACGAGACAGGATTGAACTTTTATGTTGTATTAATTACATGAAGTACATCAATATTTGAAATCATAACCAATGCAAAGAAAACTGAAATCGGAACGATAATATTTTCAACAATATATTCAAACAATTCAATTTATTTACTTATTACATAGTGGTAAAACCAGAGCATCAGGTATTAACTTTCAGATCATAAGTGGAGATAAGGAACAAACCTTCCACGAGGTATTGAAGTCATTGAAGATTTATTCATTACTGAGCTAGCCGTGGTATTAACTATTTCTTTACAAAAAATTAATTGTTACAGTAAAATATTGACCAGCGCCGTAGAGAATAACATTTATTTTCTACAAGAGGTGTTTCTAATCCCTGTAATTGTCTATCTCGTTACAATTTCAATTATAGTACGTTGTCTTTAAAAGGACTCAAATTTTTAATACGACCGTTTAAGTATACATTTTGAGCAGCTTTTTAAATAATTTCGGTACGCAGTTCTTTGTTTTTGTAAATCAATCCTGCTTGTGCTTCTTCTGCCCATCGTGAAGGACCATCGAAGCCGAGCGAAGTACCTATGGTCACCAGTTATCCGTACTCGGGCCGTTCCAGCCTTCTAAACCACCGGTAACTAAACACAAAATGTCAGTTTTCGTTCCTTTTAGTACCTGAAGTTACTTACCTATCTTTTACCGTCCAATAATTATTCCTCCTTCCTTTCAGCACTCATACGTTTTCTCGTTCATATGAATCATTAATTTAATGATTAGTGTTAATTAAATTTCAATCATCTGTTTAATTAACCGATTTTTGATAGTTACTTATTGTGTACATTGTGTACCTCTGGGCCTACTTACTCCTGTATCCGTTTCCGGATAATCATCGCAAGCAATATGTAGATGTTATGTTAGGGTTTCCACAGCCATAACAATGGATGGTCTTCGGCGATTCTGCCAATTCCAGTACCTAATGTTTGTTATTGCTGAATTACCGGGCTGACTTGGTCTTGTAGTATTGGGTTTTGGTGCTGATAAATATGTTGCCGCAAATTGTTAGAGGTAAACAGGTTGCGGCGTTGATCTTTTTCCTAAGGCACATACGCCAGATCCGGCTCCAAAGTGCTTGTCTTCCGGGGTGGAGTAGTGTAATTAGCAACTGCGGTGTGTCGAACTTCTAAACGTTTATATATGTTATATCGACGAGGCCTAATTAGTTTTGATAAAACGGCACCAAACTGTGAAGTAAAATCCTCCGTTTTACTGGTTCTGATATTGGACAGGTTAACCGTTCGAAATATCCAGACATAATCGCAAATCCCTATTGACTCGTCAAGTCCTTGAGTGGGTACGCTTCCTGGTTTCGTCAATTAATTTTTCATTGTAATCGGCGGCATGAAATTGACTAAGAGATCCTTGTTCTGGTCTTGCCCAGCTAAAATACTTGATAGAACAATAATTGACGTCACAATCGATGGTGATTTAATCAAATGATCTTAAAACAATTAGGCCACTGTAAAATATAGATCTGCTATGTGAATTTAGTCACACGTAGTCGTAGAAGATATTATTATCAAATCAAACTTCTGCAGAAACATCAGAGCTATATAATCGTTAAGTGAATGCCAAGCAAATGTAATAATTCCAATTCGATTTTATCGAAAACCAATATGCAATCAAACGTTAAATTAGGGAATCGATGATCATAACAAAATTTACCTTTGAACTTCGGGCCGCAACCTTTCGAGCTCAGGAGGGCGCGTTCTGCCAATCTGTAACAGATAATAACAAACAAATAAAAGGGTTAATGAACCGCGCTGCACATACTATTGCGAAATAACAATGCTAACGTGTGACACGGAAAATAATCGTATACTAAAGCTGCAATTAATACTCAAAAAGAATCAATGATTCGAATGATTTTACGCTAGCAAAAGCAAAACTACGACTGCCCTTGCAATCCGAGTTAACTGCATAAAAGTGACGTTAAATTTAACTAAATTTCGATTCAATAGCAATGCAATCTAATCCATTCAAAACAAAAGATAATATGAGCCGAATCTTCGGAGTAAACAAACAACCCAGCTAAGAATCGTAGATATCGGCTTCGGACACAACTTAAAAACTCACAAAGCAACGGTACTAACATCGGTATAACGCAGCTAATCTGAAGGATACAATGCAATCAAACTAACAGAAATGAACATCGTACTAACAAAAGGGATCATCAACAACATTGGTTGTCGGACGATATATTCTTCGTAACGATTTACAAGATCGTTAATCTAAGATTTCGTAATATTTGCGGTTACAGGAACTATTTTGAAATCTCCTAGTATAACTTCGAAGTAGGTCAATGTTGGTGGAATCAGCTGTTTAGTTACATTGAAATGGGGGGTAATTCTGCCAAGTCGGTAATATAGAAACATCTACGCGTCGTTCGTCACTCTTGCTAAAAAGGTGGGCCCAAATAAAAATGTAATGTTGTACGAGATTAACAATATTAAATTAATTTAGCGGATGTAGATGTTTAGCAGTTCGATATCGGTTCATAACAATAAGTTTAGGCGCCTTTAGAGAGTAAGAAAAACAATCTAAAAAATGTTTTCTTGGGCATGTGAATTACAAAAATGTAATCATACTAATATTTTTATCCACTTACCAAATTAACTCCTAACGATGAACGATTTATTTACTGTGGGTATAATAGTCATTTTCACCCCTGT